TGAAGTCGGTTCGTGTTGAAGTACTCCAAATTCTTGTGGTCGGTGAAGACAGTGATGGCATGTGCAGAGCCCTCCAGATAGTGGCGCCATGCTTTGAAGCAATCAAGAATTGCCAACAACTCCTTGTCGTAGATTGGGTAGTTGCTTTCTGGAGGCGAGAAGGTGCGGCTGTGGAAAGCCACGGGTCGAAGGATCCCGTTTGTATCGGCTTGGGACATGACACAGCCAAGTGCAAAGTCGCTGGCGTCAGTCTCAATGACCACTGGCTTGTCTGCGTCGAAATGAACGAGGATAGGGGCAGAAGAAAACAATGATTTGAGCTGAGTGAATGCCGCGGTAGCTTGATCGTTCCAAAGGAACACTTTGGTCGCCTTGCTTGTGAGAGCGTAGAGCGGCTTGACAATCTTGCTGTAGTTGGAGATGAAGCGACGGTAGTAGTTGGCGAAACCACAAAACACTTGGACGTCGTGGACTGACTTTGGTTGAGGCCAATTGATGATGGCGTTGACCTTGACGGGGTCCATTGCAATGCCGGTGGGAGACACGACATAACCAAGAAATTCGACCGTGTCGACGTCGAAGACGCATTTTTCCGCTTTGACGAAGAGATTGTGCTCGTCGAGAACCTTGAGAACTGATAGAACATGTTCAGTGTGCTCGTCCTGCGTTTGGGAGTAGATGAGGATGTCATCAAGATAGCAGACGGCGAATTTGTCGAGGAAAGGTTGAAGCACAGTGTTCATCAACGTCTGGAAAGAAGCGGGAGCGTTGGTAAGTCCAAAAGGCATAACGTTGTACTCGTAGTGCCCGTAACGAGTCTTGAATGCGGTCTTCCATTCATCTCCCGGCGCAATACGCAGTAAGTTGTATGCGCCGCGGAGGTCAAGCTTGGTGAAAATCTTTGCATGGTGCAATTGATCCAAGGTTTCAGAGATGAGAGGAAGAGGAGCCCGATTCTTGACGGTGATGGCATTGAGGCCGCGATAGTCGATACAGAGACGCAGAGACCCGTCCTTCTTTTTGACAAAAAGGGCAGATGCGCCAGCTGGACTTTCGGAAACAGAGATATTGCCGAGCTTGAGCTGTTCGTCCAAGTATTCCTTGAGGATTTTCAGTTCCTCTGCACTCATGGGATAAAGCGCCGTCGAAGGAGGCGAGGTGCTCGGGAACAAAGGAATCTTGTGATCGTAAGCAGCATTATCGGGAAGGCGGGCAGCCTGAATCTTCGAGAAGATGCGGAGAAGGACGTGATATTTGTCCGGTATCGCGCGTAGCAGGTCTGGCTCGACGTCGGAGTAGATGTCGGCGAGATCGATGTGGAGAACATCGTGAGTTTTTGCTAGCCGGGCGAAAGACTTGAGCGACACCATGTGGATCTGCATGACGTTGGCATTGACTGGAGGAGCGGCATCGTGTTGGACAGGCGATTGATTGATGTGCGCCTTGCACGAGGCCGGGAACTGGACTGTGGACGCAGACCAGTCGATAACAGGATTGTGCTTCGCAAGCCAAGTGGTGCCAAGAATGAGATCGTAGCCGGAGAGCTCAGCAACGACGAAGTGGTGGCATTCTTGGTGGTTACCAATGGTCATGCGAAGGGGAGACGTGAATTGAGAGGCAGACTCGAGTTCCTTGCCCGTAAAGCCTTTCAGCGGGATTGCGCTGTCAAGGGTCACGGTTGGGAATCGGCCTCGGGCCACACAAGCTGCGCTGATGAAGCAACTTGTTGCACCGGAATCTAGGAGGGCAAACGTGTCAAGGGAACTATCACCATGGGAGATGGTAACAGGCAAGACACTTTGCGGATGAGACGAGAGAGGAGGCAGAGAGATGGAAAAAGACAGAGATTTGCGCTATCGTCTACAACAGACAAAAGCGAAGGCGCGTGAGGGTCCTGAATGGCCCGGTCCCAGGAGTGCCCTACTGGTTCCTGCCGGGTCCATTTGGGGACTGCCGAGGCTTTTTTGGACACTTGTCTTGCCAGTGACCTGCTCCACCACAGTAAACACAAAGGTCGTCCCGGATGCGTTGTTCTTTTCGCGCTCGCCTCTGAGCGGGAGTCAAGGGCCGGAATGTGGCGGAGTCGATTTCCATCGGCTGAGGCGCCTGCGACGTCGAGGCAACAGGGCGAAGGCGCTGCTGCAGAGGTTGATAGGGGTGGTCGCGTTTTGCGACTCTGGCGAGGTCCGCAGTGGAATTGTTCAAGCGCCTTGCGAGATTCTCGCGCTTCTGGATACGCGACTCCACCTTGACAACCTGCTGCGCTAAGGCCGCGTAGTTGTTGTCGACCACCTCGTCGAGCTTGAAGAGGGCCTCGGTGAACTTCTCGTTGAGTGTGCCGAGAAGCATGTCGCACTTGGTCTCCTCAGTGATATTCAAGACCAGAGTGAGACGCTCGAACTCGGCCAGGTGGACGCTGACGGAGGTCTCCTTTCCTTGCTTGAGGGTGGCGAGCTGCTTCTTTGAATCTGACACGGGATCGCGGACTGCAAAGGACTGGGTGAGGGCGTCGAGAACTGCATTGGCATCTGGCAGTCCAGGAAACGAGATGAGGCCAGTAGTGGGGTCCGCCACTGCACGCGCGTCGCGCCACTTCGCCGCATCGCCTTGGAGGAGTTGGAGAATCCAGGCGATGGCTATGCCCTCATTTGGGAAGAGGTAAGGGCAGGCCTGCATCTTGAGGCGACAAGATGCGGCGAAGTTGCGCACGTCTTGACCAAGAAGATCGGCGTCGAAGGGTTTAGGGTCCGCGATCTTGACGGCCGTCCTGGCCCAGTTGGCTGCTGGTGTGGGTGCAGGGACGGGTGGTGAGGCGGCTGCTGAGGCGGTAGCAGCTGCGGCGAAGGCTTCGAGCTGTGCAATGCGCTGCATCATGGTCTCTTGCATAGCAAGAAGAGCTTGGCGAGAGGGAAGCCCGTCGGCCTGAGGCGAAGGCACATCAGACTGGGCGGAAGGTACGTCGGGGACTGACGACATACTGGAGTGCCTGTACAAGCTTTGTTGAGTTTACAAAGTGTGACGAAGGGCGAACAGGACAGGACGAATGCTTGTGCTGAAGACAGGACTTGGGCGAGATGTAGGGGACAAGAATAGAAATTGTAAACTAAGGAACAAGACAGCGGAAGGCTGCCTACTTATGTCTACCAGGTATGAGCATGAGAGCGGATGGCGATGATGGGGATGGAGCCCACGGGAGCCGACTCTCAGCAGGTGAACAGTGAAAGAAGAGGGGAAGCGAGATTGCATGAGCCCAGTGGAGATGTCCGAGCAGCTGCAAGATAAGGAAGAGACAGAACAAGGGACGACGTGGTAGACGTCGTCGACGAGTAAGAGAGCGAGTAAGGACAACGTGACAGAGCGTTGCCGGAAGCGAGGAAGCTAGGCGCGGGACGATAGGCAACGTGCTGAGGTGATAAGCGTCGTTGAAGGGCGGAAGGTAGAAGAGCCGCGATGAGTTGCCAGAGCATGTGGTGCGGGAAAGTCGGATGCGAGGTTTAAGGCTGCGTGTTCGTTACAAGAACGACAACGCACGCGTTCACCGGCAAATATGAGCATTGACACAAGAACTGCGTGTAGTCGACCATAAGGAGTATCTAGACTCTGACCTCTTCTATACATGTGTCCAAAGTCTTGTGTGCGCTCGAATCTTCCTCAAAAAGCAAGCACGCTCGCGATTGTAGTCAATATCTGCTCATGCTTCCATAATGATGTGGATATCCGTGCAATGGCCTGAAACCTGGAGCTGCATGGTAGCAATTCCATGTACTAGTTGGTTGCTCAATCATAAGTTAGGCCGGAATAAGAGCTTGAGCCCCTTGCTACAAATTTGGCACAACTGCAAGGAACCATCTGAAGGGAAATGCTAGCGACAGCAACGGACTAGCATCCAAGATTGCAGGTGGCAACAACTACAACATTTTGAGCTCGATAACGACCGTCTAGATGGAGAAGGGCTGTGAAGCATACGGACAAGCATAACACGTCATGTCATGCTCCTCGTAAAGCTATCTGGATTGATTTAGTCAGTGACTGCAAAGCATTCCTAAAGCCGCCATTGACGCAAAAGTCAAAGTCTTTTCAACAGTGCGGATCAAGAGCTTAGACGCCTACAAATTGGAGGTGGACACGTTGACGAGCGTTGTGAAGAAGTATGGCTGCAACTTCCTCAGCATTGGCGTCAAGGACATTGTCAGGGCAGATATCACTTCCAAAAAAATTGCTCCAATGATTGAAGATGCTCGAAAGCTCTCCAATGGTCTCAACTATGACGTCTTTCTCACCCTTGTGGAGACCTTTCAACAATCTTTGCAGTATGACTACAAGGAGGAAATCGCAGCTGTGGACTTCCTGAGCGTCGTCTTCAATGCCTAAAAAGAGGGCTTGTCCGTGGAATATAGTCTGGCCTGGCTGATCGCATTTATAGCAAACTCGAATCTGCGTCACAGAACAAGCTTATTGTCATTCCGGCTACCGGCTGGTCGACCCAAGGCGATGTTGTTGACCAAGCGACACCTTCTATCGACAACTTGCAGCAGTTTTGGCGACTGATGACGTGCAAAAAATAGGTTTATACTTTAGCCTTGTAATGGTTTGGAGCATTTGACAATCCTTTGAGCAACGGACTGCACGATGACAAGGCAGAGAGATCTTGTGGCCTGGCCTATGCAGGTGAGAACAGGCCTCTCAAAATTGACTTGCACTGCCGAAATGGGACAAAGAGAATCAGTGCTGAGTCAAGGAGGTAGTCTCCATCAGCAGACACTGATCTGTCCGTAATGATATCCATGTCTGTCACCCAAGTGTAGCATTGAAAGTCTACCGCCATGGACTCTTTGACCATCTGAAACTGCGCGTCCGTCTGACAGCAAGCTCGAGCACGACGCCAATCCATCTCTGTGCCCTAACAGCAATTGCTGTAGCTGTTGGCAATTGAGCTTCACGCTTTCAATGTTACCAGCCTACTATTCTCTGTCTACAGAAGGATCTGCCTGTCTAATGCCCGCATCATGCGGCCAAGTCCAGGTCTGCATTCGGTAGTCCTCCATACAGGCGGTCTCTGGTGTCTATGATGTTCTTCCATCGCAGCTGCATTGCCCGTGTTGCAACCATCTTGATATGGTCCGCATTGCCCGATGGTCTGCTAGATCAGCTCGTGTGCATTTGTGCGGTCAGGAACGACTCAAAGCAAGCAACAGGGCACGAGGTAAAGACAGGCAAATCTTTGCTAAGGCTACAAGATGAATGCAATCTCAGCTGGCTGTTCTAGGCTGAGCGTGGGTATTGCGAGGGAGATGACTCGAAAAGAAGCTTTAGTGTATCATCAACGAATAGCCTTCTTGCCTTAATTCAAGCACAAAGAGTCCAGGGCTCTGTTGTGATTTCGGTGTCTCCTTGATTCACTGACGTCCATTGTTTGATGACGGCCTCGGCAATATCATGCATCTGGTCTGAATTGCAACTAACGGGAACCTTGTCGTACATCAACCTTGCGTCACAGAAGCAAAGGTATTCCGAGGCGAGGGGCAGGTTCCTCCCAGCTTTATGCGAAACTGTGGTACCATTCACCCAATACCGAATCGGTACAATGGGACGATAGCAGTACAGCGTATTTGCGGAATCATAGACCTTTCCAAAATCAGGGATTTTCCCCATCAAGGTCCAGCATGCACCGGCGCATGTAGTGTGGTCGTTGGGCTTTGATGACGGACGTTTGTGTAAAAATCTGAGTGACATGGTGCAGTCCTTGGTTTGTTGAACGTCAACGGCATGCACTTTGTAGCTCAGTAGGCTGCAGAAGGACAAGATGATGAACGACCAGTGTGTCATGTCTTTCGCGAGAGAAATATTTTGATTGCAAGCGCTGGTATTTGTGCGATCAGAGAACGGACGGACGAGCGGCTGCTTTCAAGATTCTGCGGACCAGTCGGGTTCTTCACCATCCGCGTCTTGCTGCTTTGAACCCCTGAGTCTGCTGGGGCTGAGCAATGAGCAATGAGCAGTCTATGGCGACCATGCGCCCATCAAGGTTACAACACTTTGTCAACAACGTGGCGCCTCTGGTGGGCCTAGACTCAGTGAAGAGAGATCGAACACTGAATAGGCTGATTGAAGCATTTGCTGGAGAGACGATGCAAGGTCTGTGCCGGCTGTCGCTAAGCAGAGATTTCCTGCTCTTTGAGAGGCGGCTATAGCGAGTTTTAAGCAAGGATCGATGGTTTCAGGACGAGTCGACGAGTTCAAGACCGATTGTAGCAAGCGAGTAGGAAGCATGAGCTAGAACTTACTGGAGTATAGAGACACGTAGAGATCAGTAGAATTCTGTCCGCATGGCATCGTATGCTCGGAGACAATAAATATAGACATCACTTCTCGTTATATCGCCAGGCCAAGCATCTTTGGAGCTGGTGGGATATGGACATGCCATCTCAGAAGCTTTCCATGCCTGGCCCGCGCTGTTCTGGGTCTGACTGAGCATGTTCATGCCTTGTACTGTTGAGTTGTACACTTTTGCAGTTTTTTGTGTGACTGCGCCCGGATGAAAACACAAAACTGAAGCAACTCAAGCGACGACCGCGACCATCAAGGAAGCACTCTCGCTCAGCCCAGACACCCAGTTATCGCAGCAATCATGACCGTCAAGCGCAGAAACAACGGACGCAACAAGTCAGGACGTGGACACGTCAAGCCCGTCAGGTGCTCCAACTGCTCACGATGTGTGCCCAAGGACAAGGCCATCAAGCGATTCACCGTATGCTCCCAACTGACCCAAGCCACTAGAGAGCTAACGCAGTCAGGTCCGTAACATGGTCGAGTCTGCCGCCATTCGCGATATCTCCGAGGCATCCGTCTACCAGGAGTACGCCCTCCCAAAGCTCTACAACAAGCTGCACTACTGCATCTCATGCGCCATCCACTCCAAGGTTGTGCGTGTGCGTTCGCGCACTGGACGTCGTGTCCGAACCCCTCCTCCTCGTGTTCGATTCAACAAGGATGGCAAGAAGATCAACCCAGCTGCTGCTGCCAAGGTCGTCGTCTAAAGCTCAAGCATCATCTCGTGAGTTCTGACACCTTTTCAAAAGACCATTTAGCAATGAAACACATTCACCATTACTTGCCTGCCACCTTTCATTACCTCTTGTGAGGACTGAATTGCGACCTCGAACTCTATGATCTGTGAAATGGGCTCACAGAGAGGGTTCGGTCTGCTTTTTATGTGTCTGTCTGCCGCCATGCTGTCAGTGCCCTTGACCGTCTACCATGATCTGTGTTTTATTGTGATCTTGACTATTGAACGCGTATAGTACTATGCAATGCAATTCATTCAGTATCATCTTCCTTCTCCTCGCGCGTTTCTAGTGTACTGGCACTCATTGTGCTGCCAGAGGAAAAGATGCGACTTGATCGCTTCTCAAGATGGCTCGAGATGCGATTCAGCACGGCAGAACTACTCGCTGTCTTTGTCGCCGATGCAAGTGGGCTTACTGGGTTCTCCTCTGCTGTGGCAATCGTGACGGCAGCGGCAGCGGGAGACTTGATGGGCTGCTGCGGAACGCTGGTCTCTGTCATGACCCCCTTAGACGTTTCATCCTTGACATCTTCCTTGACAGGAGACCCTTCCTCAACAGACTTGGGTGTCGCCTGACCACTTTGCACGCGTGACAAAACATCCTCTACCTCCTTTGATGGTGTTCCTGGTGGTGAAAACAAGTGCTTGCGAAGCGCTTCATCCTTGAGCTGTCGCCTCCTCTCCACCTCCTCTGCACCACCCGTCGCCTTCAATTGTTTTGACGCAACAAATTGGGCGACTTCCTTGGTATGTAGATTCTCCAGCAAGTAAATGCGTTCTTTTTCGCGATTGCGCTCAGCAGCCTCAATGGCAGCTTGCCTAGCTTCATGATTCACATGCAACGACTTGATGTCTGCTTGCACAAACTTGATGGCCGTCGAGGGATCACCGGTCGTATCCAGCACCACTGGCTGTTTCCTGCCATTCGGCGAAAGTTTCTTTTGTTCTTCCACCTTGTGGACGGTTTGCAGGACTTCTTGATACCCAGCAAGATCTGCATCCATATCCGTCATATAAGCCTTGTGGTACTCGAGCGCTTCTTGCTCTCGTGTAATGGTCATCAACTCTGTTTCCCACAACTTATTACTCTTGCTGTCCAATTCACGTAACCCGATACGCAGGCTAGCAGCTTCCTTGAGACACTGCTCAAGTGCGCCCGTCAACTCCTGCAATTGTTGTGGACGTGGTGAGACTTTGCGTTTTGCAAGATCCACACGCACCGTATCAATGTCATTCATCAGTTCTTCCGTCTTTGCTGTCAATTCTGTACATCGCTGTTCATGCGTAGCTGTCAATGCAATCACTTCTTCACGAACACTAGAGACTTGTGCAGCAGAAGCTTCTGGTGATTCGAGGCGTGCCACGAGTTGTTGCTCGAGTGCTTCATTTTGTCGCGTGAGCTTTGCATTTGCGTCTTTGAGGGCGTCGACTTCTTCCTTGAGACTGGTAAGTGCTGCTGTGTCTACCGGTGCACTTGACACGACCTCGCGAGAAGTTGCTTTGGGTGATGTGTATATTGGTTGGTTTGGTACTTCCTGCTTGAGCTCCAGCGCGATTTGCTTCGACAAAGACTGCAGCTTTGTCTCTAACCAGCTCTTGAAGGAATCGTCCATGTTGACAGGAACGGCAGATGCACCACGATCGGGTTGGGTCCCTGTCACAACTGGTTCGCGCACCTCGAGTATTGTTCCATCGTGAACATCCGCAGGATTCTCAAGTTCAAAAGCGACATGATTCGGTTCTGATATATACAAAGTCGCCGAGTCTTCAAGTGCAAATGTGTTCTTTGAGAGAGATTGTAGAGACTCCAACGAAATGGTACTCGGCATCGCTACTTTGCGAGTTCTTTCGCGATATCGTAGAAAGAGACAAGGTGCTTTTTCTGTCGTTGCAGCACCCGTCGTACTACTCCTGCGTCTCTCATGAAGCATGGCTGCTTCATCATCTTCAACAACATCCGGCATATTGCGTGTCAGCTTGTTGCGAACACCATCAACGGTCACTTTGCGATCAAGCCCCGTACTGGGTGATGATGTCAATTGTGCGAGATAGTTGTCCGAGAAGCGTTTTGATGAGCGTCGTTCCAGCTGGCCAAGTTGATTGAGCTGCGTAACGGGGTCACTGGTTCCATCAGGTATAGACGGCGTAATAGTCGGCAGACTGCTACTCGGCGCTTGACTAGGCGGTTCTGGCGCACGTCGCGGACCTGTTAAGGCAGGGGCCTCTTCACCTGGTAGATTGGGTAATCGACGTTGAGACGACTGCTGGTGCAGCCGAGGCATCTGCTGCTGCTGCTGCGGCTGCCCGGCACGTCTTTCAGGACTCGTTGCTTGTCCGGTATCAGAAATGGAACGGCCTGCAGATGCCATACTCGCGGCTGGAGAATGTGCACGAGGCCCAGAGATACCTCTATCTTGAGAAGCGAAGCGTGTCATGTTTTGGGAGGTTGCCGAAGAACCACTCTCCATCCTGCGAGAACGAGGTGGCGCTGCTGCTGCTTCACCATTCTGGATACGGTGTATCTGCTGTTTGCGCTTGAGTCCTTGGAGTAAGTTGATGATGATTTCTCGGATACGCGGTAGGAAGCGATCGAGGCTTGCTGGCGAGGCATCTTCACCTAGTGCGCGCTCGAGGATATCTCTTAGCAACTCTGGTGTTTGTTCCAGGTCGCTGATGGTTAGCCATCTTTTGCAGAAGGTTGAGAAGCAACTTACGCCATGTCAATGCCTGCATTCTGGAAACAGATGACTGCGCGATTGAACTCATTGCCGAGGGAGACATAGATGTCACTGACATCGTTTTCCGTTGCAAGTCTGCGCGACCACTGCGTCAACGACTCGAGCAGTTGCTTTGTGGCAATCAGTAGTTTGGTGACGGATGCCTCGATAGATCCCATTGCCCTGTGATGCGTGTGTTAGCGCGTGTTGCTACAGCTCAGATGAACACGGTGGTCGTACAGCTTGCCCTTTTGCGTGTCTTGTCTTTGTGGCGATATGGCGGTGCTGATGCCGCTTACTGCTTGTTCGGCAGGCGTCGTGCCACTGCTTATAGAGGATCTTGTCCGCTGCATGGCTAGCGCAGCCCCTTAACAATGGGATCACGCGGGCAATTAGTGCCTGTCCCTGACACTTGTCCTCTGTTTGCGCCTGTTCTTCCTGGATCTCCTTAGTGCAGCCCTGCCTCTTGCTGGAGTGTCCTCTTTCCCCCCAGCCGCTACTCAGGCCCTGCTTCCCCTGCCCGTCTCTCTTGTCCAGCTCTTGTTGCTTCTTGCTTGTTGCTTGTCGCGTTGAATCTTTGGCGACAAATTGGAGAAACAGAAGAGACCAAGGGGGAATATGGTTATAGGATGGGTATTGAGGGAGTAGCAAGCATAGAGATAGACTAGATATATCTTGTCAGACACGGCCCATTTGTGACTGCCAGGGCCCACCCGACGACGCGACCGCAGCGCAACGAGAGAGGAAGCGACGTACCCAGCGAGCTACAAGGGGTGTTCCTTGTGGGCCTTTGTGTACCTGCGCAGCTGTCTATCAGGCTCATCAGCAGACTAAGGAAGGGAAGAAGAGAGCAGAGAGAGGCTCACGGCATTCTACTTGCTTGTTGTTTGGGGATTAGACCTCCTGGACCGACACACACAACCAAAGCTCCCTTTCCCTCTTCTCTTCTATCCAGAGGGCCTGCATCTAAGGGAACAGGATCCTCTTGCTATCGAAGAAGGCCTTGAATCAGAGGCATGGTGGCAGGAAAGCCAAGCGGACAAGCAGCGCCCAACAAGACAGGCCAGCGGGCTTGGTCCAAAGTAGCAGCAGGATCACCAAAGTCAGCCTCGCCATCGCGGGCACCTGTCCATGACAAGCTTGCTGCTGTCATCGCAAAGCTGACGGTACGTTCTCCTTAACGAGCATCTTGAATGCAATCAAACGAAGAGACTAATACAATTGCCTATAGAACAAACGCGCCGAGGTGACACTCAAATCTGGGCTGCGATATGCTGGTATCGTCTCCCAGGTAGATGTTGCCAATGGACTTTCTGTCACGTTGAGGGATGTTCAGGCGGTCAATGTCGCAAATGGCAGTAAATCAGGCGCTGCGTCGACTCTCAATGAATTGGTGATCAAGCCGGGAGAGCTCGTTCAAGTGCATGGGCCTAATGAGCAGCCGCAGCAGCAACAGCCAGCGCATCCATCAAGCAACACTCCCTCCAGCATCGCATGGAAGACGGATGTTGATATCTCTGGCCGCTCATACATCAAAGAACGTACACTGCAAGCGTGGCAGCCCGACTCACAAGATGAAGGCTTCTCCCTTGAAAGCGACTCGACACCGGCGCGAGGCCCTCAATCTGCAGGCGCAGGCGTTGGTGGTAAATGGGATCAATTTGCTGCGAATGAACAGCTATTTGGTGTCAAGTCACAGTGGGACGAAGACGTCTACACCCACAAACTCGATACGTCACGACCTGATTTCGCTAAACGGCAAGCTGAAGCTGCCAAGATTGCGCGTGAGATTGAAGGTGCAGCGTCCAATAATCCGCATGTGCTTGAAGAACGCAACCTGACGGTGGACGATTCCGGCATGACGGAGGAAGACAAGTACAGTGGTGTCGCGCGTACAGCCAACAGATGGATCCCACCTGCTCAACGGGCTGCTGCTCAAGCACAAAATAGCGGACAACCTGTTGATCCGGCCATCATTAGTGCTCAATTGGCACGGCCTAGTGCCGGTGGTCTGACACCTTCACGTGCCACTCCCTCAAGCGGCAAGGATGACCCGATAGAGGCAAAGCTGATGCGTACGTTTCAAGACTTTGTTGGCAAGGAAGAGACTCGCATTCAACAAAAGAAGGCGCAAAGTCTCAAAAAGGAGAAGGATGGGCGATTGCAGGACTTGCTCAAGTTTTCACAAAGCTTCAAGCTCAAAACACCTGTACCCGAAGATTTAATTCCCATCTTGACAAAGGACAAGTCGAAGCAGGATGCAATTGTCCAAAAGTCAGCCTCCAATTCGAGCGCCGCTTCATCGCCCGTTGCTGCACGCCCTGTCGTGCATCTCGGAGGCAAGCAAGAAGCAAAACCTGAGACATTACGTGCCAAGATTGACAAGATGCGGGCGTCACCCGGTGGTCAGCTAATGCCATCGCCAATCCGCGAACGCTCTCCTGCGAACCCAGCTGCACCTTCAGCAGCAACGCCAGCTTCCTCCACAAAGCTCAAACCAACGGCATTTGCATTCAAACCATCTGCTGCCTCCTTTACTCCCTCTTTTGCCCCGCGCGGATCTGTGGGTGTTGCATCGAGTCCTGCCTTGTCCAACAATAGCACCACTCAACCCCGGCATCCGCCAAATTACGTCGACCCATCTCTCTTCCTGCACGACAAACAACCCCGTCCCTTTGCTGAGCGGGAGAACATATTGGACCACTACAACCCATTCAAATCCTTCAAGGAGAAGAACCCCGAAGCGCCAATTGATATCGAAGCACCGCACCGGACGGATCCTGCATGGCCCAATGAAGAGGATGCCCGAGGTCTACTTGATCCACCCACCTATACCTTTGGGAAACCACACTCTTCAGGTAGTAACGTAACAGGTTCCTACGATGAGTTCAAAGGTGTCATGCCGATGCCGATGCCCATGCAGCCGGGCATGTCACCGTATGGTGCGCCCTTTATGCAGCCGATGATGGTGCAAGGACCTGGCATGCCGCCACAATTCATGGGACAACCGATGTATATAGGTTCACCACAGGCTATGGCAGCAGCCGCAGCAGCTGCTGCAGCTGGCGGTATGCCGTTTGCCGGTATGCCACAGGGATATTACGGGCAACAATTGGGAGTTCCACCGATGATGCCACAGCATGCTGGAGGACAACAAGCCGGCTCGCCACAACAACCTGCTGGGTTTTATGGTGCTATGCCATCTGGTGCGTCGTTTGGTGGACCGGCTGGCGGTCAAGGGCAGCAACAGGCTGGTGGGAAGCATGGAGGACAAGGTTCATTTGCTGGACAATCTTTTTCTGGGCCTGCTGGATATGGTGGGTATACACAACATGGTCCTGCTGGTGGCATGGGAGGATATCAAGGTGGACCTCCTCAGCAACAGCAACAACAACAACAGCCGCAGCCTCAGCAACAGAAGCAGCAGCAGCAGCAGCAACAGCAGCAGCAACGTGGCGGTCAAAGCGGCATGACAAGCAAAACACACACTGCACAACGGTCACAAGCGACAGGCGCCCTCTCATAGCAGTGATTGCGCTTAGGAAGAAGACGGATGTAGCCTCACAGCTGAAGACAGATGGCCCACAGCTGAAGACAGATGGCGAGACAGCTAAAGCTCTATGTTTTCTGGTGACCAGTTTGTAGCAACAATCTCAACACTATGCCTCAGGATATCTGCACCTCATGTACCTAATTGCCCGCTCGTTTCACCGCCAAAGACTTTGTGATCTTTCGGATTGGCATAAGCTTCATAGGTTACGGCAACAGGCCCAGCATGTAATTCCGTGAAGTCGCCACGGATGCCAAGATACCAAATCTCCGTCGCCACTTCATCCTCTTCCCCTGCGTGATTGCTCGTCACTAGAAATGACAAAGCACCTGTATGCGTGTACAGCCGCGTTTTGAAGGGATATTCAATGATATCGCCTGCACTCGCACTATCGACACACTCGATTGTTTCGATTGGTTTGATGTCATCTATTGAACTGAAGTCCAGATCCGTCCTGTTGTTGTAGACTTTGATTTGCTTTGGTGCAGAGGATGTTCGTGGGCACCTGAGGAGGAGTGAGCGAGGCCGTACTTGGCCGCCCTGGAACGGCACATGGAGTAGAAGCTGAGCATCATCCTCTTCTGATTGTAAAGAAGGATTTGTATCCCAGCGCTTGTCCCATGGCCTGATGATGTGTCTGGCTGAGCCTGGAGATTGCTCATTCAAGCAGCGCACAGCGCCTAGATCAATGTGCTCGTAGAGAGATTGTACAGCATGTGTCTCCTCTTGAGGATCGTGGTCATGGTCATGATCGTGATCATGATGCTGGGCTTCAGTCTCGCAGACATGGCCGTGCGGCATAGCTTCAAGTGCCAATCAAAATGTAGTCTGGTCACTGGTGTAGCTGTGTCGTTGCATCCAGGAACCTCATCCACAAACCTTGACTACACATCGCAGAATTTGACTATATACTTGATGCACTGCTAAGCTCATGCTGCTCTCTTACTTGACCCTCTTCTGTCCTGCACTTGGCTCGACAGAAGAATCTGTCGCTGATCAGCTCTTATTCTACACAGATGCGTCGGCCACGTCCACATTAGACCAACAGCTTCGCAATATTGGCTTGATTCAAGGCATCCTCGAGCTTGGCCGCTCCTTCTCCCCGAAAGATCATGCGTCCACATCGCATCGACCACTCAGATGCATCAAGAGCGAACAGACCATGGCTGTTGTCACTGAACTCGAGCCCGGAATCTGGTGCTGCTTGTGTGTTGAACTACCAAAAGCAAACGATGCACAGACTACAGCTATCCCTGAGACGGAGATGTTGCCGCATCCTTTGCAAATACAGTGTCAGCTACATGCTGCTCATGACTTGTTTTGCGCCTCTTATGGAAGACTTGGCGCGATGATTTTTGAACGCAATCACGAGACTGGTGCTGATCGAAAAGCAGAAGTGATGAGTCGGCTTGAAAAGTACTGGTTGCGCTGGGCCTGGCGCTGGAAGCCGCGACCTGCTGGTGTAGAACTGATTTATGGTCACAAGGCAGCACTCGCGTCCCACAAAGAATTGACGTCTTTTCAACAGCAGCAACTGGAGCAGTACTGGAGTTCTGTACAGAGTGACAAAGGAGCTCTTCTAGCGCTACACAACGGTGCATGGCTATGGAATACTCCCCGTCTTGACCGAGCAAAACGACGACTACTACAGCAAGTCGTGGCGGAGACCAGTCAAAGCCAAGAGAAGAGACTGAGTCAGCTGGCCTCGTCTGCACCTTATCAGCAGTCGACAGATGGTGCAGCTGGTGGGCGGTCATGGCTGGATGGCAAGGTCTGGGCGGACAGTACAAGATCTGTACTGACTGCCTTTCGCTCCGTCTCTGGTGCTCAGGCTACAGCGCCTCCTGAACAGAGCGGTGCGGATGAAGAATCAAATGGGATTTGGGTGTATGGCAAGGAGGTTCATTTGATATGGCTTCCAACGGACGATGAGCAACAAGACTGGCAGCAGCATCGGTTCTTGCTATGGAAACAGAAGGATTTGACATTTGCCTTCATCTTTGAACCGGAGCATCCATTGCCAGATGGTCTGCTCGATGCAGATGGCCTACAAACACTGTACAAGACGCTCTCTGTCCAGGAGGAGAAGGCACTCGACCAGCAAAAGCCAACAGACAATGGAGCTTCTGACTTCTTCAGCTTGCTCTATGATGGGCAGCGTGGTATCGTGTCATCCACACTGCCGGATGTTGAAACTGCATGCCTTGAAGATCGTCAAGACACGCCGCAGCAGTTGCTCGTCAAGCGCAACACCGTCCATTTACATCAATCACTCTACAACCTCTTTGCCGACTACCACAATGGCACTGGCAGTGAGCAAGAACAAAAGAAGGCGCATAAACAGCGGCTGATCCGGACGGCACGCAATATCTGGGTGGTGATGGAGCGGGAAGGGCGGTGTGAGGTTGTTTTGTGCAAGAGTGCAGCTGCTGGAGATACCGCGGAGTCTATCTATCGAAATGCATCGGTGCAGATGAGGCAGATGCAGAACTAGATCATGCTCTCAGCCCGAGGCCCTCTTCCATAGCCCGATAATCTACCTTGACTAATTCAGCGTAGTCCTTTTCAACTCCTTTTGAGTGTTTTGCATCCAGCCATCTCGAGCCAACAACTCAACGCACCACCACCCGCTCCCTCAACCTCCCTACTTCCCTCTCTCTCACTGCAGCAGGGCCTCGCAGCAGCAGGGCCAAGCAGCGTAGAGGCAAAGGGCATCAGCACGCGCATCGCACACCATCATCTTACGCGTCTTCGTCCTGCGGCCTTCCTCATTCCATTCTCGCCTATAAAAACAAACCAAAAAAAAGGAAAAGCAAGAGGATCCCCATCAGCGTCCCTTGCCTCCGTCTTCCCTGTTCTTCCTGACCATTTCAATCAGGCAGCATTGGGTAAGCAAGTAGTCCTTGTATCGCCTCTCTTTGCCTGTTGCAGCCTATATTTGAGCAGTACCGCACAAACCCTCTATCGCAAGAAGGCCCGTGCATCGGCCAAAGTGCTCTGGCCATCGTCGAAGGATGTTATAGAGAGGCGATACAAGAGCTCAGCATCAAGCAGTCGCTAACGCGCAGCAATAGTCCATTCCCACCCGCCCAGCAAGGTTTCTTTCGCTCCTTCTTTCCAGGCGGTGATCGATACCGCAAGATGAGCTCCAGCAATTCATCCAATGTCGTCGGCGTCCACTATCGCGTGTATGCAGTTCTGCTTGTCCGTCCTTTGCTAATGATGCAGTGGCAGGAAGGTCGGCGAAGGATCGTTTGGCGTCATCTTTGAGGGTACCAATCTCCTCAACAATCAGCAAGTTGCCATCAAGTTCGAGCCGCGCAAGAGCGATGCTCCGCAGCTGAGGGATGAGTACCGCACGTACAAGACCCTCGTTGGATGCAGTAAGTCGCTTCATTGCTTCTGCTCTTTACTAACAAGCAGCCGGTATCCCGAATGTGTACTACTTTGGACAAGAGGGACTACACAATATCCTCGTCATTGATCTGTTAGGTCCGTCGCTCGAAGACTTGTTTGACATGTGCGGCCGTCGCTTCAGCACCAAGACGGTCGTGATGGTCGCCAAGCAGATGCTCTCTCGCGTCCAGACCATCCATGAGAAACACCTCATCTACCGCGACATCAAGCCAGACAATTTCTTGATTGGCAGACCCGGTACAAAGAATGCAAATCTCGTGTGTGTGGTGGATTTCGGTATGGCAAAGCAATATCGCGATGCAAAGACGAAGCAGCACATTCCCTACCGTGAGCGCAAGTCGCTCTCTGGAACAGCACGATACATGTCCATCAACACGCATCTCGGACGTGAACAATCGAGGCGCGACGATCTTGAAGCACTGGGTCATGTGTTTATGTATTTCCTTCGTGGTGGTCTTCCCTGGCAAGGCCTCAAAGCGGCCACCAATAAGCAAAAGTATGAAAAGATTGGTGAAAAGAAGCAAACCACAGCCATCAAGGACTTGTGTGAGAACTTCCCCGAGGAGTTTGCACAGTACTTGTCGTATGTGCGCAACCTGGGCTTTGAAGATACACCGGACTACGACTATCTGCGAGATTTATTCACGCGTGCATTGCAACGGTTGGGTGAGCCTGAAGATGGCGTGTATGATTGGATGTTGCTCAACAATGGTAAAGGCTGGGAGGCTAGTCAAAAGCACAGTTCCGCCAATAACTACGTTCCTGCTTCTGCTGCTGAACTCAGGCAAAATGTGCAAGGCGGACGGACCCAAGCACATGCGGGTGGATCACGCGGTGGTGGTGCCGTTGCCGTGGGTGGCATTCAAACACCTGCAATGGCACGAACGGGAAGCCGTCAAGGTCGTCGACAGGACCGGACAAGTGCGTCTGCGGCAGCTGCTGCACAGCAACAACAACACTTGCAACAACAGCAAAAGAGGCAGTCACTGGGAGAAGGTGCATACGGCTCGACATCTCAGGGTGGTTTGGCGACACCGCAACGTGTTGGACGGACATCGGGCGCTGGACAGCAATTGCAACAGCCGTACGATGCGTCACACGGTGCACCACAAGGTCAATCTGGTGCTGCTATGCAACAAGGCGGGTCTCCTCAACGGCGGACTGGCTTTTGGGCCAAATTGGCTTCTTGCTGCGGTTAGCGACTTTTGCCACTTCACAATCCTGTTGACAGCAACACGCGACTTGTTTCCTTGCCCATTCGTGTCTCTACATTTGCGCATCGCCAATAATCGGTTTCACTCAAACATAAGCTCTAGAAAGAGTGAAAAGAAGCCAATGGGCTCTGTTTTTCTTTTGGATCAGCTTTTGTGTCTCTCAAAAATAGTGCGCTTCCCAACCATCATCTTCAACGGAAAAGGATTGCGTAGAATGGAAAAAAGAATACGATGCCAATAGAAGAGGATGGCGCGTGTGTTTGCTTTACTTCTCCTGCTCTTTCATGCGCTTTGCTTCTCAAAACCCATCAACCACCATAGTCATAATCTTCATTCTGGGTCTTCTTTTTCTACTTCAATACCCAGCTGTACGTGTTCGCCGTGATGCTCCGGTTGTGGAGGGTTTGAGGGGAGATGCAGTAGAAGCTTGTTTCATTCGCTTTACCTGAGATGGCTGATTGATAGCGGCTGATACCTGCTTGACCGGTGATGCACTCGCTTTCCGCTTCGCAAGTGGTTTAGAGACGCCTGCATTCAGTAATTTGCCTGACGCAAGGGCAAGCGGTGCGGTTTTATGCACAATAGGAGCATTAGACTCCGCTACCGCAGTAGACTGTGCGATCCAGGCAGAGACAGTCATGGTGCGAATATGTCTGGGAAGTCTACTGATGCGCATCTCGCCGCGCGTTAGCAGCGATTGAGCGAGTGTCTCTTGTTGTGATCTGAGCCGCGCTGTACGGCTGTCTAGCTCTAGTGCGAGATTTCTGAGGGCTGCTTCTTTGTCCATGATTTGATAGACTGACTTGTCTTCTTCAGAGTAGATCAGAGTAAAGTAGAGTCAAACAGAGTATTGTAAGTACTAAGTAGAGTATCTGGTTGATGGTTGATGAGTCGCGTCCAGAATCAAAACAAACAAAAATCGAGGCACCGACGACCACCACGACCAAAAGGACATCTGCAAAGGGGCCCAGGATGAGTGCGGCCATGGACAAGGCAGCCCTCGAGAAGCAGCATCTCAAGCAAAACAGAGAAATCATCCGGTACCTTCCTTCCCACTTGTTCTCAAGAATTCTGCTAACTTCCCAGCATCAACCACCTTCAAGCAAACCGCATCACAGCGCTCGAACAGCAGCTGCAGCGCATCATGGCCGAAAATCTTGATCTGCACTCTCGTCTCATCGCAGGGGATGTCAAGGCTCGTCAAGCAAGTCAACTCCATGCTGCCATGGAGAGATATGCAAAAGACCTGTATAAAGCCGCAAAGGCAGGGTCCGCTCTGTTCAGTACAGCAGCAGCATCAACACCTGCACCAGCCAGTACTAAGCTCGAAAGTCCAGTGACGGCGAGTACGCGTAAATTACTCAGTGCAGGGCCCGTTGCACCACCATCGCCTTCGCCTGGCCAGCACATGAAACGATCTCCCAAGAAGAACAATCTGCTCAGTGTCTCTCCTGAGCGCATCGAAGGGTTTCCGGGAGCCGCCAGTGTTTCTCGAGCTGCAGGTCTCGCAACAGTGCAACAGCCTGTGAATGAGGAAGCGGCATGGAGTGCAGATAGCGAAGAACAGGCAGACCTGGAAGCTGCTCAGCAACGAGAAGCAGCACTCCTTGCAGCGGCTACTGAGCGTGAAGAGGAACGTGGCAGAGATATGGAGCGGGAAGCACGTCGGGCTGCTCGAAGACAACATCGAACGAGTGGGGACACGGCAGCCCTCGTACAACCTGTCGACTCTCGTCGTGCCGAGCAGTCTGTCGAATCAAGAGAACGTGCACAACAACGAGCACGTCGCAAGTCGCATTCGCTCAGTAGCACATTACTACAAGATGATGCTGAAAAGGAAAACCGAGCAGACTCAGTGGGCCGTCTGGATCCGTTGGCCGAACGCATGGCCCAACTTCATGTGTCCCCTCGCAAGAAGGCTCGGCCGGCCTTGCAAATCTTATCGGACCCCAGCGTCCCTGATGCTCGAGCGAATCGCCTACCAATGCCAGCGCTGTGTTCGCCGAAGAAGAATCAAAGCCTACGACAAGTCCCAGAAGGTTTTGTCAAGGCTGAGCCGTGTTCACCACAAATGCTAGTGATGCCGAGGAGTGAAGACGATTTGGGCAGTGATGAGGGAACAGGTCGTTCAAGACGTGGCAAGGCGGTGAATTATGCTGAACCGTCCTTGCGTGCCAAGATGCGCAGGACGGAGAGTCTACCGGGTGATAAACGACGAAAGAGTACCTATCGACGCTCCTCGGCCAGTAGCGCGGAAATGATGCAGCGGGCTACGGCTGCTGGCAAGGAGTGTATCAGCATCGATGAAGATTGATGCCGCTGGTGCGTCTACGCCGTATTAGATGTCTGAGTGCTTTCTATTGTACAACATTCTCAACAGATTCTTGTTCTTGTGCTGCAAGGTACAGTTGTCGTGCATACTCGCCTGCGAGTCCAGCAGCAACGAGCCAGCCAACATATTGACTCCGTTTGAACCATCGTCCACAATCTTGTACATTCGCCACATCGACTTTGTAGATCATATTCGCTGTATACAAAGCAGCAAGCGTTGTGCCAGCAATATACGGGCCATTCGCAAGTTGCTCGGGGAAGGTCACAGCAAGGGACCCAAGCAGCGAGAATTGACCGATTGCAAGCGCAGACAGAAATGGTTTCGTCTTTGCTTGTCCAAGGAACAGCGCCGTTGAGTGAATGCCGGCATTGACATCATCCTTTGCATCCTGATGCGCATAAATTGTATCATAGAGGATACACCAAAGTACACCACTGCCATAGAGTGGTAACGCTGCGTCCCAACCCATGACTGCGCCGTTCGACAAGGCCGAGAATCCAAGCAATGCACCCCAATTGAAAGCGAGACCTAATACGACTTGAGGGAAGTATGTAATGCGCTTCATGAGCGGATACAAGACCACAAGTCCCATACTACCCATACCAAGAATGATTGTATTGACATCAAACTGCAGCAAGACTGCAAGACCACCCGTCAGCAGTGTCGATAGAAAACCGAGAGCCTCGGTATTCGACAAGGCACCAGACGCAAGCGGTCGCATGCTGGTTCGCTCAACAGCCCTATCGAGGTCTTGATCCCATAAATCATTGATGACACAGCCTGCACTGCGCATCAGGAAAGAACCAGTGCCAAATAAGGCAATGGTGCCAAGCACAGTTCCTGGACTCGCAGCTGCTGCAGGGTACGCTGAACTTTGCAGTAGTGTTGCAGCAAGCAGAGTCGATTGGAGACATGGGAGAAATAGCAGCGTTGCACCTACTGGCGCATGGACACGAGCCAGGGCCGCATAGGCTTGTAGCTTGGACTGCTTTGGCGCGATCGATGGCGCTGTGGAAAGTGTTTGGAGCAAGCGACAGGCAGGAAGAGCTGACTTGAGTAATACGCGATGACAGCTCCTATTCGATTGACCTAGCAGCTTCAGCATCGTCGCATCCAGCAGCTACAGAGAGCAAAACACGATATAGGAGATGCTGTATTTGGGAGAAGGTCGGTGACTCGGTGGTCTCGGTGCAAGTTGAGCAAAATTATTGACGCGACCACGACAACCACCCTCGAGCTCGCCCTCCCATCGAACAGCCATATAGCATGTCCCTGTCGGCTCGGCACAAGCGGGCCTCATCGCGACAGGCTCTTCAACAATCAGTCATCCCAAAACCTATCCAGGAAACGGCTACTTCTGTCGAATGGACCAAGACGGCCGATCTCACTTGCTCAAGGCTCGTCACTAGTACTGCGCCCATATTCGCGCGTAAAGAGCAATGCACAGGTGTGGCTGCAGAGGGACATGGCTTGCTGATGAGTGCAGACTCGGCCTTCATCTTCCCTTATAGCTCAGGACATGCTGTACCGCCCATCTTGACGTTTCCCATGCCAGAAGGTGAAACTGCGTTGCTTGGCGCACTTGTCCCTGGTCCAGGCCAAGAACCAGGCTTGCTAGTCATCATGCCAACACAAGGTCTTATTGGCTTTTGGCCAGCGTTGCACTCGGCACTGGCACCCAGTTCTGGTATCGAAGTCAGATTATCCCTTTCCTCTGGTGAATCTGTTGCGCATCTTTGCAATGCTGGCGCAGCAGGACTTGTCCTCGCTACTTCTAGTGGGCGACTTGTACATATCTCACTACGCGACGCAGCTGGTAAGCCGGTTGTCAATCTGACGCCTATGAGTACAGGAAGCGGTTGGCTAGGCGCTATTCGCAACGCAACGACACGACGAGAAGTGGTGAGCATCAAAGCAGGCGTTGCAAAAAGCAGAGAAGAACGAGAAGTCCATGTCATGACGCGTCAGGGTGGGCTGACTATCTGGGAAGTCGCCCGGGGTGGCAACTACAGGAACCTGCTTGATGCTGATCTCTCTGCGTGCCTTGCAGCGGAAAATATGCAAGAGGCGCTGGATGTCGCTTCATATCCATCAGAAGCGAATGCGGTGCTTGTACTGATTCGCACACGGCAGGGCACAACAAAGCTCATCACGGTACAGATTGATGGACGTGGGCAGCCATCGATTTTGCGGACTGTCGAACTGCCAAGTCTACCGGGAGCATCACTACATCTGCCCAATCCTGGTCATGTGGCTTTTGTCCAAACCAGCACCAATGTCCACCTTGTACATCTTGCAGACGGCACGACAGATTGCGTTCAATTCAAAAGGGGAGTTCTCATCGCTGGAGTCGGCACCGAAGATCAGCTCAAAAATCGCAGACAAGCTGCATTGATTCTCTTGACAAAAGGCGCAGGTGTTCTGCGACTCGAAGTTTCCAGCAACACAACAGATTCAGATGCCATCAAGTCGAGACTCGAGCAGTCCGTGTTCTTTGGATCACGCGAGGATAACCCAATCAATTTTGAGCCTTCGCCAAATGACTCAGACGATGCAGCGATTGCCTTGTCGTGCGAAATATTGACGGGCTCAAGCAGTCTCCTCACCAGGCACATCAACCTCCAAGAAGCACTGACAGATCGTCTCGCAGCTGCCCGGTATCTTGCCCAATACATCAAGAGCAAGGCTAGACCACTGACCACTCAAATCCTTCGCCAAGATGCAGAACGGCTCGCAGCAGGAGAAGAGCTATGGAGAATCACCAATGCACGCATCGAAAGCAGTAAACTCACCTCAGAGCTCTTGCCAGCATCCGCAAAGCAGGCTAGCGATCCGCTGAGAAAATTCTTCCTCGAGGGTCTTCAGGATGTTCTCCAGGTGGCATTGAATGCTCATATCTATGCAGTTGAGAGAGCAGCAGTCTTGGACCCCAGTCCTCTCTCAGCAGTCATTCAAGAATGCAATGAGATTGTCCTTGCAGTGCTACAGACAGCGGTAGGCTACCGAGACCTGTATAAGGCGCTATACGACCAGGATGGCCAGAAGTGGACTAGCACATCAGAGGTGTTGCATGCCGTGACTGTTCAATTTGACATTACTGCTGCACTCATCATAAGTATGAAGGGTGGCAAGAGCGAGCCCCTCTGTTCGCAATTGGCCGCATTTGCTCAGCTCAATTGCAGATTATATGAGGATGCACTAGTGTTTGAGCCCACCAGGCAAGCGCAGTACCATAGCCTTCGCTCAGGCTGGCTCAAACATCTCGTTGCTTGTGGAAAGACGGATCGTGCCCTTGCAATTGGAGAGTCAGTCAAGGACTACGGCAGTCTGATTGAGATTTGCCACGAGCAAGGCGAGCAAACGAGTGATGAAGAAGTCATCGACACAGTTGTGCGACGTCTCGAGTGGTATCTACACACGTTCGGCTACGACTTTGCTGCGGTCCTTTGGGAGTACTACATTCAGCATCGGCAGTATTGGAATCTACTCCATGAATTCCCCAATTACCGCCAATATCTCACACAATTCTTTGAAGATGGACGATACCCTAACGTTGCCTGGATGAATGAAATTATACTCGGCAACTACGAAAAGGCAGGCCTGACACTACTTCGTGTACAAGAACCCAAGGTCGAAAAGCGACAGATCCAGCTCAGCATTGCAAAATTATCGCTGCTCGTACGAGGCGGTGTTCCTGCGGAACTGACTGGACAATTACTCACAGCCAAAATTTTACGCAAACGGGTCCACGAAGCTGCGACTGCGTCGCGAGACGCAATCGATAAGACTGCTGCTGTTGACTTGGCAGCTGTCACTCTGCTGGAAGGCACGCCTCATGCGCTGAGCGACTTGTTGCGTCGCTTCCTCGCTCGACTCGTGCGCGGCTTGGAGCTGGATACGCGCAGCGCAGTCGAGTATCTGACGCTGGTCAAGACAGCCTCTCACTTCCAGGCCCTGCAAATCCTCAACGCCGCCGAAAAGTTGCCACCGGCCCAGCATGAATTCCTTGAGAAATTGATATGGCGACGTTGCTATATTGCAAATGATTGGCAGGCCTTGCATCGACAAGTGAAGGACAAATCTGACGACAGCGTTGAAGCACTTGCTCGCGATACTGCTCTTTACAAGCTCTTGCGTGATGTTGTCGGTGTTGCTGGTCAGGTGCGCTTCTTGCCGGCTTCAGAGTGCTTTTACAGCGCACTGGCGATTCCTGGTAAAACATTTTCGTCCGCTGAACAAGCTGCATTAAAGAAACAGTACGTGGCAGAGAATGAACAACTCGATCTCGCAGTGGCCAATGGGCTGCAATATTGGATTGACGCCATCACTACGTTCGCGCATCGTGATGCGGAAGGCGAGAAGACGAAGGACAGCCCTATGCCTCTGGGTGGGGCATTTGTCGAGGTGACGACAAGCAATGGCGATGTCTCTATGCACGAATAGTCCTTCGTAGACGTAACTTGCATATCTGCACATCAAGAGCACTGACGATCTCCTCTGACCAGCCGAATTGTCGTTGAACTCTGGCAGCTACCTTGTCAGCGCTGAAAATGGTGACGTTGAAGCCCATCGCATCAGCCTGCATGTAAAAGTCGTCCAGCAGGTCAGCCACGCGTACCTCTTGAGCAAAGTAGATGACTGGCGATGGCCTAGCCAATGCACATCGCCTGAGGATTTGTAGAAACGGCACTATCAACTCAGGATGGTAGATCACATCGGTTGCAATGATGTAGTCAGCTAAGGGTAAAACAAGAGAGGCATTATGCCAGTCGGCATTATGCCAGTCGGCAATTTGGATGGAGACTTTCCCCCCAGCTTTCAACACTGCATCTTGATTCCACGAGAGCGTCTGTTGCAGGACACCCGATGCTAGGAATTCGGCTGTATCTGTTGCGTACACCTGATGTCCTTGAACAGCAAGCAATACTGCAAGGAAGCCAGTGCCAGTACCGAGCTCAAGTATGGAAGAAGAGTTGCGTATAGGTCTCTTGTCGAGAAAGTGTGCTGCGAGCACTTGGGAAGAGAGCCAAAGCGTGCTGCCAGTCTCACCAGCGGCTTGTGACTGACAGATTTTGAGCGAGACATTAGTAGTGTCTGTTATAAGATTGATGTACAGCGGAGACAAGTGCTTTGTATCGTATGCAGGCGCTGCATTGAGCATTGTTTAGGATGTCAAGTAGTCACAAGACGAGCTCCATTAGCTATCGATGTGGTTGCCAATGTTGATCATTGTCCTAGTCTATTTACGAAACACAAGATTTTGTATGCAGCTCTGCATGACCATGAAAGCTCGGCCATCCAGATTTGTAGTTCTAGCTTCCTCAATCTCCGTTTCGTACATTTGTGACTTGAGTTTCGTGCAGCGTATCACACCTGTGGCCAATCAATTCGGCCTGAGAGTCATTGCTGAGCGTATATGACAGAAATAGATCGTCGCATTTATCCAAGTGTCTTCGAGGATGCAGCACTTGGTGAGATTGGTTACAGATCATGGTACTGCACGATGAAAGAGCAGCTGACTCAGTACACTGCAGGCAAAAGGAGACCGGGGCGGCCACTTACGTAGCACTGGTAGGAAAAGTCTGATGTCTCATCGTCTCCCAGAATCATCAAGTCCAACGTAACGAGTGGACGTGCCAGAAATGAAGTAGATATGGCGTTAATGGCTCATGGTTCTTCCATGTACACAATCAATTTGCGTAATTGAGCCACGACTAGACTTTCAGTGTAAAACTCATGCGCGCTCGAATGTTCAGCGACCAGATTGTGGGCAATCTCATGAGCCAGGGTGACGTACCAGTACGACTTGCCGTCTGCATGAGTCGCATGGCCCAATTGGTGAAAGTAGCGCAAATTGCAGTAAATTGTGCCGGCCTTGTTGAAGGCGATCGTAGACCCAGCTTGATCGTAAAACAGGTTGATGGCTGATGCGTTGCAGCCAAAACACCTTGCAAGGCGCTCAAGCATGACAGAAAACTTGGCGGCAGCGTTGGCGAGCTCGCCACCAAAAATCAGGTCACCATCAAGTCCTCTCGTGATGAACAGCTTGAGACCATTGTTGAGTGTTGATAAAATGACAAGGTCTGTTGCTGGCTTGGCATCGCAGTAGGTCTTTGCCTCGCTGACTGTGTTTGTTTGAGGACCTGCTGTTAGCGTCTTACTTGAAAGGAGCCAGAACATACGACTAAAGACAGAGGGCTCATCCGATGAGCGAGTAGCTCTGATGGCTTTGTTGAGAGCCACATCTATTGATGCTTGGCTTTGCACTGGCTGCACAGGATTTGTCTGCAAGGGCTTTGGCAGGACTTGTGCTTGCCCTGTATTCTCCTGCTCATAGATTGGTGGCGGCAATTCTGGCTTTGGCTGCGAGTAGCCCAGACCCTTTCTGATAGTCGAGAAGAATCCACTAGGAACAGGAGCGGGTGCTGATTGCGGAGTCAGCTGACGACTGCCTTGTTGACGAGCAGCAGGTGCCATTTGTTCCTGTGAAGACTGCTCTAGCACAGGATCTCTTGCCTCTGCTTCTGCAACCTTGTCTTGCTCACTCAAGATACGCTGTTGCTCTTCACGTTCACGTTTGAGCGCTTCTTGACGTTGCAGGATACGATTAACATTGAAACCTCTAGCCTTCAACGACTCGAGGGAGTTGCTGAGAAGACTTTCGAGCATGAGTGAATCTGCCTGTTTCGGCCGTTCAATGACCAGGCGACAGAGCGCAACAGCAATATCAAAGTTCTCTGGACTGCCGCTGATTATGATTCCAGAAGTACCGTCGACAATAGCAGTGACAATTTTGGTTCGAGCTATACGCTTGCCCTGAGAGACCAATGTGCGTTGCATCCAGACTTTTTCACTAGTTGCGACCTGAAGATGCTTAGACAACCATTCAATGCTCCGACTAGACTTTGAGCTGGAATTATTGGCAAAGAAGATGGTGACTCTCTCGAGTATGACAGCACGCAGGCCTTTGGTCATGTCGTTCACAAGCGGGCTCCCTGTCCGGAAAGCTTGATCTTGAACGATCGAAGACAATCTGACACAACCCAATGAAATGTAGAACTCTTCGAGGTAGCTGTCTTGTGGGCAGCTGTAGACATCAGCCTTGAACATGTTGAAAGCAGTGAAATCGTCAGCAATCACAATCTCATTAGCAGCGCGCAATGATGTCAAGATAAGATCGTCTTGATCACCGGTTTTGTACTTGTGGGCCACCAAAATGCTGCGCTGTTGCAAGCTTCTGAACAAATGACCGTCCCGCTTGATGGTTTCAAGCTCGCGAGCAATCTTGAGAAGAAGTAATTTGTACCGTGATTCACTACCACACAAGGTGAAGATGTGTTGTGCATCGTTGACAAGCATACCTGCAATCTGAACAGTTGATGGTTGATCGCGTACACCCATGGTTCGGAGAAAGAGATTGGCTTGAGGACCAAAATCAACAAGCTCAAAGACTTCACCTAGCCAAGGCTCAATCTTTTCACTCCGAAAGAAGCAGTGATCTGGTGAAGCAAATCCTTTGGCAGTAGGTATGAACGGCTTATCAGCCCATTTCTTGACATCACCGTGCTGTACTGAAAGACTTGCCAAGAGCTCAAATTGCCGTGTCACAATGTTGAGATCTTTGCTGGGATGGGTGCCGATACTCTCTAGCAATTCATGAACAAGAGGCAGCGGTCTGACACCAAACAGTGCCGCGCTTGGCACCAAATCTCTTCGCAAGACTTCAAAACCAAAGAGCGCTGCAGCTGGTTCGACAAAGACTTGGCGAGGATGCAAGCGCTTGTTTGAAATGGAAGGCAAGAACGGCTGAGCAGAGTTCCAAGTGTAATCAGCGCCGTAGCCGTGGACGGCAAAATTGGCTACCATGTACCGCAAAGTGCGCTCGTACAGAGCCGCATCCTTTGTTGTGCCGACAGTGGACATGAGCGTGTCGAGCTTGGGATACTTGCGTAGACCCAGAGAGTATAGTAAAATAGCCTCTTCAGTTGTCGACTTCCATTTGTCTACTGGCCATTTGATAATGGGCAAGCCTAGCTTGCGCAAAGTGTCATTGGGCTCATACAAGTCGGTAGCACGGAATTTTGTCGTTGAAGTCTCGCTCTCTGCGATCTTCGCATCGTGAAGCCTTTTGATGTCTTCCCTTGGGATATCGTTGCGCACAGAAGCCAAGTACTGTACCAAGTCGTAAGCTGACCAAGCGCCACCGCTGACCAGACGATTGAAGATCAAGTCAAGCTCAATCGTACGGCGTACACCGAGCGCAGCGAGCACTTTGTCCTTTACGCCCTTGACTTGGATCAACGGTAAATCGTCAAACATCTTTGAATGCACAAAATACGTGCTGCCAGGCGTACGTAAGCCGTGATTCCGTGTCGGCATGCAACTCCGCTGTTGCAACAGTCTGACCACTTCCGCCTTGTCAACTGGATTCATGAGATCGAAATTCTTGGAAAAGGTGGCAAGCACAAGAGCTGCAATTTGAGGATCATTCTCAATAGGTGGCGGACGCCCAAAGGGTTCCTTTGCTGCACAATGCTCAATCCATGTAAGCATGCGTAACTCAGACCAGCCGAGGGAAGTCAGTACATCTGCACTGAGCTTCTGTGACACACTGGATGGTACCGTCGTAGGCGGTAGCGGAGCTTCCACAGGAATAGTCTTTGCATTGCTCCAAGACGTGATGGCACCGGCATTGAAGCTAGCCGTGGGTGCACCAATGATGGCAGCACTCAGCAGTGTTTGCAGCGCTTCTCGATCCATCCGAGCAGACTGATTGCTGCAGTACATGAGGAACCTGATACCTTCCTCTAGCGACAGAACACGATCACGCAAATCTTGCCGAATGTCTCCAATAGAAATATGTTCAATCATGCCAAGTTGAGCAATTTTCTGAATGAAGGGCTGTTTTGCCATGACGAGAGGCAAAACAGGGACGGCCTTGAGAAACGTGATGGACGGATCCGGCAACCGCACTTGTGTGCTTGGTTTCACACCGCTTGCTGTGTAGAGTGGCAATGTGGTGGACGACCCAAAGAAGGAGTCCTCGATAGGCGCGTCAACTTTCAAAGGTGTTGCTGACTTAATGGAGAAGTAAGTTGTCACAAATGTGGCGTCCGCTTCAGTCTTGACGCTAGCAAACTCGTGGTGGTAGGCGACCCGCGCGAGCAGACCCACGGCACGAAGAACTTCAAAATTCCAAAGCTTGACGAACCGGTCGACCAGATCAATCGACTCACGCTCGACAGTGGGAATCAAGCACGGTGCACCGACATGACCAGAGAAGCCCGTGGTTTGATGCGTCGGAAAACCGATATAGATCCTACCTTGTCCTGGATACGCTTGCAAGTTTTCAAAAATGGCAGCTGGAGTAGATGCTTCGTGCTCTGCGCGATTCATAGAGACAAGTTGTACTTTAGTCTGCTTTGGCGGCTGCTTCTTTGTTGCGCGTTGCAGCTCTTTTGCAAAATTGGTCGAGAGCGACGAGGACAGGTGTGCCGTCATGACCCGCAGGAAGATGTTGGAAGTGCTTGATCCTGAAACAGGCTTGGGTGTCTCCTTGAGAAATCCAAATAGTCTGCCCATGCCTTGTTTCTGTACCGCTTGAGTGATGTTTTCGTACGTGGCTGTGATTTGCACAGATGCGCTCTCCACTTTTGTGATTTGTAGATACTTGTCTTGCGTTACTGTTGTTAAACCCTTTGTAGAGACTTCTGATGCAGGCGATGCAACACGTTTGAGTGTACAAAGCAAGGTTGAGTCGAGCCGCAGCTCAATCCTTGACACTGAGCGTGAGAACGTCAGCGCGTTGGCAAGGAAGCGAGTCAGATCCTTGAGTTGTGGAATTTCGACAGGCTCGCGCATGTTGAGAGAAAAGGTGGTCCAGTCATCGTCAACGGGTAGCTTGGCTTTGCGTGTGAAGAGCTGGTCGTTGCGCCAGTACATGGCGAGCGACTGATCACCAGAGACGATAAAGGGCTCATCACACAGGGAGAAGACTGCATAGAACCCCACGCCATATGCTCCGATGCGACCATCAGTAGGATTGCCCTCAGCAATACGCGCAAGGCGCATCCAGTCTTCAGAGCGGAACTTTTGACCGTCATTCTTCACAGTGAGGCGCCGTGTTAAGCGCTTATTCAGATCTTCAGGGAAACCAGATGCAGGCTCGACGATGGATTCGTAGCTGATGACGACGCTCTGTGCATCTGCATCGTCTGCATTCTGTATAAGCTCGCGCAAGAGTGTGTTTTCTGAGCTGTAGCGCGAGAGGATCTTGTCAATGAGACTGCGCTGGTTGACAGTGACACTCGCCTCATCTGTCTCTGCAAGTGTGAGCTTGTGTAGTGCGTCTATGTCCATGACAGCTGCACCGGTGGGCCTTTTATAGCATGTGTAGCCTTCAGTGTAGGCCTGGTTCAATTGAGTGTGGCGGTCGCTTCTGAGTTTGCGACGACAAAGACAAAAGATACAACTACGACAGCCTCTACCTATCAAAGATGCCGTCCATCGCATTGACAGAGGACACACTGGGCCAACGGGTCAAGCAAATTCTCCCGCACGATATCGACCACCTCATCTCAGACTACTGCGCAGGCTACATTCGCTATGCCCTCGACAACCCTGATATCTCCTTCGAGAGCATCAATGCCGTGCGCAACATCTGCCTCTCATGCCAAGCAGACCCGCAGTCAGTCGATGACTTGTGTAGACAGTTTCAGCATATCTTGGAGCACAAAAAGTCTGGCACAAAGGGACTTGCCAAGTTGAATCATGCCGTCAATATGGCCTCGGAGCGACAAGTCTCCAATACTATGGGCTTGCTTGGCGGTACCACAGATCTTGAAGCGACAGCAAGGCGCAAAGTTGCGAGTCAGGTGGACCGCAAGAAGCTGGCAAAGGCAGAGCTAAAGATTGCCGCAAAGCTAGCGAAGAAGGAGATGAAGGCCGACTATGAGGCGAGTCGTTTGCTGGATGAGCCAGAATCTGTGGATGACTATGATGAGAACTTCCTCAAGGTCAACCCGCTCACATTTGAGAGTAGTACGGGCAAATCCAAGGATATCAGACTCGATGGCATCGACATCAATTTCGCTGGATTGCGCATCTTGACCGATGCATCACTTACATTGGCACATGGCCGTCGCTATGGCCTTGTCGGTCGCAACGGTATCGGCAAGTCCACCTTACTCAAAGCACTTTCGCGTCGTGAGTTGCCCGTACCTGCGCATTTGACGATTCTTCACGTCGAGCAGGAAATTACAGGAGATGACACAACCGCACTGCAAGCTGTACTGGATGCCGATGTATGGCGAAAGTACCTGTATGCAGAGCAAGAGTCCATCACAAAACGCAGCTCAGAGGTGGCAAATGAGCTTGTTGCTATGCCTACGGAAGACCCTGGACGCTGGGCACTCGAGAAGGAGCAAAAGGATTTGGATGCGCACCTGATGGAAGTTCAATTCAAGCTTACAGACATTGACGCTGAAAAGGCAGAGTCGCGCGCAGCAACTATTCTAGCAGGTCTAGGATTTACACCTGAGCGACAGCAGCTTGCAACCAAGTCCTTCTCCGGTGGTTGGCGCATGCGACTGGCTCTTGCGCGTGCACTCTTTTGCAAACCAGACTTGCTCTTGCTCGACGAGCCGAGTAACATGCTGGATGTTCCGTCTGTTGCATTTTTGGCAAACTATCTCTCCACTTATGAGAACACCGTTCTGGTCGTCTCGCACGACCGAGCATTCCTGAATGAGGTTGCAACCGATATTATCTATCAGCACAACGAGCGACTCGACTACTACCGCGGAAACTTTACACAGTTCTATGCAACGAAGGAAGAACGTCGCAAGAATGCCATTCGCGAGTATGAATCACAAATGGCCTACCGCAAGCACTTGCAAGCCTTCATCGACAAGTTTCGCTACAATGCAGCAAAGTCCTCCGAAGCGCAGTCTCGCATCAAGAAGCTGGAGAAGTTGCCAATTTTGGAAGCACCAGAGACGGATGATGAAGTGACATTCCGCTTCCCTGAAGCAGAAAAAATCTCACCGCCCGTACTGCAAATGACAGACGTCTCGTTCAGCTATGGTGACAAGCAAATTCTCAAGAACGTTGACCTTGATGTGCAGCTTGACTCTCGTGTTGCAGTCATTGGTCCTAATGGTGCAGGTAAGACGACGATGCTCAAGTTGCTCATTGAACAATTGACCCCGTCTGGAGGTCTTGTCCAGCGGCATCCACGTCTCAGAGTGGCATACTTTGCACAGCACCATGTAGATGGGCTTGAGCTCAACTTGTCGGCTGTTGGATTCATGGCCAAGTATTGGCCTGGCAGGAGTGAGGAGGAGTACCGACGGCATCTTGCTGCCTTTGGATTGACGGGTACCTTGGGTCTCGGTAAGATGGTGACGCTTTCAGGAGGTCAAAAGAGTCGTGTTGCGTTTGCTTGTCTCTCGCTCCAGAATCCTCATATTCTGGTGCTTGATGAGCCGACCAATCACTTGGACATCGAGGCGATGGATGCGTTGATGGCGGCACTCAAGGAGTTCAATGGTGGTGTTATTCTCGTAAGCCACGACGTCACCTTCTTGAGCCAGACGAGTGATGTGCTCTGGCTGTGTCAAGAGGGTACAGTGACCAAGTTCCCAGGCACGATCGACCAGTACAAGAAGAAGGTGCTGGAGAGTGCAGACGAGCAGGGCCTCGGTGGCCTCGTCACGTAGACGTACTCTTGCTAGCGCATCCTCAACCCCCACGCCCCAGTTCCGCTTGTTCCGGTCCGGGTGGCGCTGTAGGCAAGTGCCGACAAACTTTATCGCAAAAGTACAGGGCCCATCTATGCAAGACTGCGGGGGAACACAAGACTGAGGACGTGTCTAGTACACCGTCTACGCATGCCGGTACACGACACTGTGCTCAATGAAAGATGATACCGTGTCGACGTCCTTTGACTCGATTGCAACTGAGGATCTAGCGCACGAGACAAAACTTGAGGCGGGCAATGGTAACGACGTGCCTGTTGACATCACAGTCGACCCACGACATCCACACTCATGGTCGCTGCGCAGACGGTGGGGTATCACAGCCATCGTTGGCATGCTAAGCTTCATTGGCTTTCTGCCCGCTGGATACTACGCGCCTGCCATTCCTCAGATGCGAGCAGAGTTTGGCGTCAGCTTGTTTCGCGCGACGCTCGGCATCGTCATGTATCCGGTAGGCTTTACTGTCGGGCCGCTTCTAGCTGCTCCACTCTCTGAACTGTATGGTCGGCGCATCATCTACAAAGTATGTCTGCCACTGGTCGTGCTTTCATGCCTCGGTATGGCCAAAGCCAGATCGTTTGATATGTTTCTCGTCTTTCGCTTCTTCTCCAGTCTCTTCATCTCTGGACCTTTTACCGTGGCAGGTGGTACGATTAGTGATATGTGGCCGGCCAGAATACGCGCTCCAGCCGTCATTTTGTATGCAACAGGAGGCAATGTTGCAGCAGCGTTTGGGCCAGTCTTGGGTGGAATTGTGTGCTACTACACGACCTGGCATTGGATCTTTTGGAGTCAAATGATTTACGTTGGCGTGCTTTTCGTTCTTGTCTGGTTCTTTGTGCCAGAGACGTACACACCCAAGATCTTTGCCATCACCGACAAGAGTGTCGGCACAGCAAGGCAAAAGATCATCACTGCCATGAGTCGGCCAGTCGTCATGATCTTCACAGAGCCTATTGTGGCGGCCGTCTCTGCCTATCTCGCATTCGTCTATGGTCTCATGTTTTGCTCGTTTTCTGCATACCCAATACAATTCAAGGAGTCTCGCGGCTGGAACACAAGAGACGCGTCTCTCCCATTCCTTGGTATCGTTGCCGGTATTTTCATTGCCGTGGCCATGTCTCCCTTCTTCATCAGGCTCTACCGTAAGAATCCTGTGCCAGAATCTCGACTATACAATGCATGTCTCGGCGCCATCTTGCTGCCCATCAGCCTCTTCTGGTACGGTTGGACGTCAGATCCAAGCATACCAGCCATCGCTTCCGTCACTGCCGGTGTCGGCATTGGGTGCAGTCTGCTCCTCTTGTTTCTTGGCATCACGGACTTGCTCGTTGAGATTTACACGCCACGCGGAATTGCGGCGAGTGCCCTTGCAGCGAATGGTGCACTTCGAACAATTGCAGCTGCTGTGTTTCCCTTGTTCTCCAATCAGATGTTTCACAAGCTAGGTACGAATTGGGGAGCATCATTGCTGGGTTTCATTGCAATTCTCATGCTGCCGATACCTTTTGTGCTGTTGCGTTATGGTGCAAGTATCAGGGCAAAAAGTCGTCTTGCGCAGCCATTGTAGCATCAACCCGGAGAACAAGGCTGTTTTGGCTTGGTGTTTCTAGTCAAGTGACCGACAATTGGCTCTTAGCTTTTGATTGCATGTGAGATTTTGCATATAGTCTCATACTGGTATTCGCTTATGAGACTTGGTATTGCCTTAGGCATTGGTTTGTAGGCCTAATCACTTCAAAGAGGAGACCTAGGACATTCAACTTAAGCCGATGAACGTCGATACGAACCTTTTTGTGTGTGTAGCTGCAGCGCCAGCTGCAATTTCAAGGCCATCTGCAAATCTGCTACAAGTCGCTCAAAAACACAGGAACAATTATTGCTGATACAGCTTATGTCCATTAAAGCCAGTAAAGCTACTCAAATGAAGATTTTTTTTGGTTCTACACAATAATGGTAGGAGTTTTGGGGCTAATTCGGTGGGAAGTTCGAATTTGTTACTTCCTTAGCTGGGACTGGAAAACGTAAAAGACAGCAACGACTGTCGAAATTGAATTCGCACAAATTCGGAGGCAATTAGCGAAAGCGCTATTCTGAAGGACTTGAGAGAACTGATGGGTCTTAGGGCTTTGGCTTACAGGTGCAATTGCATACGCCGTAGTCTCCTTGCGAGCGAGTGCCATCTTTCGAATTGCATTGCAAATCGTCAGTTGCACACGCAACTTGATGAGTGCACTGCCAGCGAGAGTCAAATTTGCAGTCCCCACCGATCTGAACATAGTTCAAGTTGGTGCAAGACTCACTCCACTCCGCCGAGATGCTGGTGAACCAAAGACTTGCAAGGTATACAGGGCCAATAACATTAAGGGAGATCATCTAGCAATCAGTACATGACGGTGAGTACTGCGATGACCTTACCATTGCAATTTGGGCTGAGGAAATGGACGCCTACTATCTGGAAGACTTTTACTTTCAGCAGATGTTGAGAGTTTATAACTCGGAGGAATTGGAGATATGTGGCTCTTTATATCATTTCCCTCGGGAAGATACTCAGACGTAGAGCGCTCCAACGTGGCCGAGACCGCTGTGAAAATGGCTGCAGCTGGGCTAGACTGGCCTTTTTGGGATGCCACTTCGCGTGGTGTGGCATTGATGTGATGTTTGCGCTCTTTGTTGGATTGATCGACAGCTGTCTACTGCTGTTTTGGTCTCTTAATAGCCCTTCATGATCGCGATTGTAATGAACTACATGGTTGTTTTCCTTGATTCGTGCACATCCGATAACACTCGAGCTCACGTACCTTGTGAACCATTGAAATCGACTGCGTATTTATTGTAATAATACCAAAATGTACTTCAGAAACTGTAGATGTGCAAAAATGGGCAGCTGCAGTGAAGATCTAGACCTTGAGTTCATGGTCTACAGCCATGCAGCTGTGATGCCACGCGTGCAAGCGCGTGTTGCATACAGTAGTAAAAGGTTACCAAAAGTCTGACCTCTCTTTTTGGACTTTCCATATCAGGCAAGATCGTAACGCATCGAGGGTTCTGGCCATGCCACGACAAGTGTTGCATGCGCACATGCATGGCGCTGTTAGCAAAGAATTGCCCACGCGGACATTGGCCATGCAGCTAGCTTCGGCTGATTTGTCGCCGATTGGGGAGAATGCTGTAAAAAAGTCCATTCGAGGCGGTATGCTGTGTGAACTTTTGCAAATGACTGTCATGATCAGCTGTGCCTTGTCTGTTCATTCTGATGAAAGCTTGTCGCCAGTAAGCATTGCATAGGATTCGTATAGCTTGCTTAATAGCTCGAGAAGTTGTGTCAATGCAGAGAGCATAGTCGCAGCAGACCGGAGATTATACACGGATGTTTTAGAGCTAACAATTGCAATAACAAGTCTGGTCTGGTCTAGGCCTAGACTGCAAACACTGGTTGATTCCCCTGAATCGACGACACCATGTTGCACTTTGCAGAAGATGTTCAGTCTCTCGTCAGACACGCGAGAGAATCACGTCCATATAGCGTAGTCCTAGCTTTCATATGCATGTTCGGCTTGTAGAGAATGAACGAGCAGGACAGAGAGAGTGCCCGTAATGGAAATTGGACCCAACTAGAGATGTGGGTGTAAAGAATAGATTACAGATAAGCGTGATAAGTGTCACGGACTGACTGATCAAAGTTCTATTCTGGTTTCAGATGTCTTTTCAGATGTCTCACCACCTGAAACCCCTGGTTACATCTCGCGGCTATTTTTCTGTGCACAACCACAGCGACCGATCTAGACCTTCTCGTCTAGCTCATGGAACAACTCGTTCAGCTTCTTCAACAGTTGCTTGCTTTCTTCTGGCTCAAGTCTCTTATTCTCGCCTGACCAATCTGAGACATCTCTTGTCTCTTCGCGCGTCTGGCCATGGCTAGACGTCGCCCACAGTCTTTGGTACTTTGGCCCTGTTTCTTGTCTTACTCTTTTATGGGTTCTACCTCTTGTCTTTCTTGCTTCTAGCTCTAGTCTGATGAAGATAAAAGGACAGCCTTCTGCTACCTTGTTCTTCATTGACCAACTTCGTGCACAGGTAGAATTGCTACTACCTAACAGTCTTGTTGTCTAGTGTCTCCGAAGTAGACTCGACCAGCTCTGCTTCGTACCTCGTGCTGACGTCTCAGCTTCCAACGTACCTCCGTCAATCCCCTTCGAGCCCAGTCGTTACAATAAGCAGTAGCCAAAGCATGTGGTGCGAAGCCGCATTCTGCGGAGTCCAAGGTCGCGTCTTCATTACAAGAACCAAGCAAACTGTGAGGATGCGCGAACAGGACGGGACGAATGCTTGTGCTGCAGCTGAAGACAGGACTTGTGCTCGATGTAGGTTTACGAGAATAGAAATTGTAAACTAAGTTACAAGACAGCAGAAGGCTATCTACTTATGTCTACCAGGTACGAGCATGAGAGTGGATGGCGATAATGCGGGCGAAGCCGCGAAGCCTGCGTGAGCCGACTCTTAGCAAGAGAACAGATAAGAAAGAGGGGAAACGAGACTGTATGAGCCCAGTGGAGATGTCCGAGCTGCAGGATAAGGAAGAGGAAGAACAAGGGACTACGCGGTGGACTTTGTCGACGAGTAAGAGTGCGAGTTGAGACAACGTAACAGAGCGTTGCCGGAAGCGAGGAAGCTGAGCGCGTGACGATAGACAACGTGCCAAGGTGGTATGCGTTGTTAAATGGCGAAAGTAAGTAGAGCCGTGATGAGTTGCCAGAACATGTGGTGTGGAGTAGTCGGATGCGAGGTTCAAAGCTGCGTGTTCGTTACACTTATATTCCATCAAAGTCAGTAAAGTTCTTCGAAAGAAGTTTTTTTTGGTTCTACACAACAATGGTAGGAGTTTTGACACTAAATTTGATGTAAAGTTTAATTTTGTTAGAACTAGCCATTCATCTGTGACTGGAAAAGGCAAAAGCCAAAAATGATTTTCGTAGTTGAGATCGCACAAGGTCGGAGGCAATCGGCGAAAGTGCTATTTTGAAGGCCTTGGGAGGACTGGTGCGTTTGAGCTGTCCTAATTAGCAGTCAACTCACGACGGCGACTCCTGTGGGGACTTTACCATGAAATCTGTTGGGTTGAAGAATTGGAGGGGTAGTCCTGATAGCAGGTAAACGTAATGACGGATTGCAACTTCAAGACAGATGAACTGGTGGTAAGTGACTTGGTACATTCTTATACCATGGGAATTCTCTGACGTGGGCTCCGCCAGCGGAGGCTGAGAAATGGTCGCAGCAGGCTACCAGCTGGGCCAGACTGGCATTCTTGGGATATCGTGTCGCATGGTGCGTGCAAAAATTTAGAACTCCGTGTAATTGCACGACAAACAAAAGAGATCATGTCAGGGTACAAAGGTATTGCTCGGAGCTGAGTCAACTGAGCTTGCGTTTGAAACTGTAGGTGGACCTAGTGATGACGTGTCTAGCGATGCGTCTGACTGATGCAACTTAGATAGTGTAAATAGGACAATCACGGATGAAAACCAGAGTAGAGGCTCCTGCCCCTTATAAAGAAGAACAAGGAGTGACCTTCACGTGCAAGCACGCGGTATGTAGGAGAGGGATGCACAAGTCGAGCCATGTGGCTGGGTACTTGATTGCTCAACACTGAGTCAACAGCCTAGGTGCTTGGGCGTGACATTCGGCAGTTGGCTGGCCATCGCCGCCTGTTTATCATCTGCAGCTCTGACACAACACAAGAGCATAATACATAGCTGCAACACTTTCAAAACTCCAGCTGTGTGCGTTTGAACCATTCCTGCAGTAAGCCAACACATCTGTACTGAAGCTGCGGCCATTTGTATTAGCTGCAGAGCACATGGTGGCAATCGTGAATCATGCTAAGGCAGCTAAGCTGCTAAGTGAGGCTATCCAATTTCGATTCTATAGCTACTGAACTTCACGTTGGTAGGAACCTATCAGTTGAATTGATATGGTTGAGGAGATTGTCGGATGAAAACAATCGAGGCATCGTTGTTACGGACTTAAGGCTGATCTGCAAATTCACTTAGAAGCACTCACTGTTCAGAGTGGATTGAAACTTTCTTATTCCCGCTGGTTGTTATAGCACGAACAACCGCAATTATGATTCCCTTCAGGTGTCGCGATTGGATTACGATCGTTGCAGAACAAATGTCGACCTGTTTTACATTTCCCACTTGAGTCTTCAGGATGCCATTTGCACTGATCGTTCTGCCCACAACTGGGTCCCACACGATCCGGGAGATCCAAATCGGAGCAAAGACTCTCCGATGTAGCGTTGCCTGAGACACAGGCAAATAAGTAGATTGCAAGCCATGAACACCCAATGACACGAGTTGGTTGGGCCAGCTATAGTTGAGTCAGTGAATTCCTGACTACGATATCTTATCATTGTGTTCAAAGATTGTAGTCCCCAACTGATATATTCGATATGATCGAGGCAGCTGAGATGACTCTGTAGATGACCTGAGAGGAAATAGGTTGAGTATTGAGCGCTTCTTATAGTGAATCTCGCGAAATTTGATCAGGCTAAATTGAAATGTAGCTGAGCGAAATTAGCTAGTTCGAGCAGCAAAGCACATGCCGTGACATTGAAATGAGCTGTTTTGAGCTGAATCGAGGCCTTTGCCCCATGCTTTTCAGAAGTGGAGTCACATGGTGATATCTGTCTCAGGTGACCCCTGTCAAACCGCTGTAGGTTTAGTTCAGAACGCTTCAGTCTCGAGGCCGACGAAGCATGTGTACAATACCAAAGCTTAAGCGGGAGTCAGGAAGCTATGTTATTAGCTCGACAAAGCTCTGAAGTTCATGCCCAGCGTTCATACTATTAGGAATAAACATATAGACACAGGAGAGAGAGGGTAATCGATCAATAAGATTTCACGCAAACAGTCAATCTTATTCGATGCGCTGTCATACTATGAAATGCATTGTCCATCTGAAGCTATCTTGCCGTTTTGTCCAATAAGAACAGTCAATCAAGCGTGGTCGTATCTGAGGTGCCATCTGCGATGCGGTGCCATCAGTCATGTGACATGTCAAATCTCCTTGGCCCCTTTTGCACACGGACAGCCGGTCATGCAAGGTAGCGTAGCGTACTGCCATGTGATTCACCATTTTGGCCCATCTGAAGAGTACTGTTCTATGTCACACCCGGGTGTCTGTTTGGACTGTCATTTTCTCTGTCGTTGCTGCGAGTGCGACTGCGACGAGAAAGAAGACAAAGGACAAGCGACAAGCAACTAAGGCACAACACTCAGAATACATTCAAATGGCTGCTGCTCAGGTATGATATGCTCTTGCCAGCCAGAGACTACTTCCTATCCGGGAGATGGCACCATACTGCCAGTCTAGCACTATTGTGGGCAGGGTATAAATCGTGATACTCCGACACATGCGACATCTCTGGCGGAAGAGAAGAGACCTTTGTGGACAGCAGGCTAACAGTTCCTGCAGATTGACGGATTCAAGCGTTTCGTGGAGGTCGGCCGCGTCGTGTACTTCACAAACGGACCATACACCGGCAAGCTCGCCGTCATCTCTGAGATCATCGACCACAACCGGGCGCTGATTGACGGCCCCGAGACTGAGGTACCCAGGCATGTTGCTTCGTACAACACCCTGACCCTGACACCTTACATTGTCGCCGGTCTCCCTCGCTCAGCCAAGAGCACAGCTGTCTCCAAGTTCTGGAAGAAGTCTGGCGTTCAGGCCAAGTTTGATGCAAGTGCATACGCAAAGAAGCTTGCTGCCCGCAAGACGCGTGCAGGTCTCTCTGACTTCCAGCGATTCCAAGTGATGAAGCTCCGCAAGCAGCGCAAGTACGAGGTGGCTGTCAAGGCGTCAAAGGCTTAAACTGCCATTTGCATTCACTCTCCTGCATGGACGAAGTCAGGCTGATACACTGGATACATGACGCATCTGCATCCTGTGTCTCCCTGCCTCGTCTCCTCCTTCCCTGTTCTTAGCCGTATCGCATGTAGAACTTGACTCCTTCCAACGTCACTTTGAACCTACTTGACGCGACAACACACATCAAGACGCTGCTACAAGTCACAGAGAAGCTACAGAGTCGCGGCCCATGTCGGAACAACTGCCGCCGCCCAAGCCAAGTGCCTTCCAGCACACCAAGTCAGTCGGCAAGTCCATTGGCAAAGCAGGCTCTTCCTTCCGTAGCGCCGTCAATTCAATCGACAACATCTCCATCTCTCGACACGGTCTATCCACGAAGAAGGAACTCTCTGCAGGTAACGTCGGGTATGATCGAGCCAACTACGTCGCTGCACCGAGGCGCGACGCAAGTCACTTTGCACCGCCCCCAAAACGCGCCGTCGTCATGACACCTTCCTCTTCGTCAGCAGCAGCAGCGCCCAATCGTCCTGTCGCCTCTGCGAGACCTCCTGTTGCGTCGCCGCCACCTGCGCTCCATGCTCGAGCAGGGCCGCCTTTACCGGCCGCAAAATCAGGAAGTTTAGCAAGACCTGCACCAACACCACCTATGCGTGCCACAGGCGGCGGTCGACCCGTTCCTCCTCCTCCACCTGCTCGGAAGCAAGCAACGGGAGAAGAGGGATTACCTGCGTATACGCCCGTTCCTGCATCGAATGGGATGTTGGGCGACTTGTCATCTCGCCTGAATGGACTATCCACATCCACGCCTGCACCTCCTGCTGTTGCTACGCCTCCAGCGACAGGATCAAGTCGTCTACCCAGTAAAGCAGAAGCGTCTAGTGCCTTCAAATCAGCAGGCACGGTGTCCTCCCTCTACGGCAAATACGGCAATACATCCACTACCACAGGAAGTTCAAAAGCAGCACCAACACCTTCTTGGCAAGATGTCAAGGCTGGCGCCGCAGCAGCGAATGATTTACGTGGTTTTGCCGGGAAATATGCACCCAAAACAACCCCTGCACAACGAGAAAAGGCAATTGGTTTTGGGAATCGCGTTCTGGCGAGTCAGGGGCAAGCGACAATGCCTGTTGGTGCGATCCATGCATTATCTGGTACGACAACCGCTACGAATGTCGTTGTAGGAGGAGCACCTCCTTTACCGGCTGGAAAACCAGGATTGCCGGCACGGACGCCTCACGTTCCAACATGCACGGCCTTATTCACATTTGATGGACAACAACCAGATGATTTGTCCTTTGTCAAGGGCGATGTGATTGAAATACTGGACCGGACAGATGATCCAGAAGCGTGGTGGCGAGGACGTTGTCAAGGCCGTGTTGGTTTGTTCCCGGGCAACTACTGTCGCTTGAATGTGTGAAACTTGAAACAAACAAAGCGAGCGGTTGAATGCGATGGAGAGACTGATGAATAGCGAGATAGAGACAGATACGTAACTTGGATGACATGCATGAACAAGAATGGTCCATTCAAGCGCTAGCCATGCTGCAGCTAGATCAACCAGCCAAGACGTTGACGCATGTGGGAAGGCCAGTTTTGTGGGTGCAGGGAGACACGCTGGCTGTCTTGCGAGAGAGTCCATGTCTTGCGCTGGACCAGCAACAACAAGCCTCTGTACGTTCCATGAAGCAGCGCTTTGACGGCAGCGTCTGTGCATTGCCAAAAGTAAACCTGGACGAAGCACTCGTCGTCTGCAGCAATGAGCAAGAAGCGCGCATCTGCGTCTCGACCCATCAGGAGCAAAGCCTGCAATTGCTCATCTTGGATTCTAGCAGCGATGAGACACCTAAGCCGCTCATCTGTCTCTTCTTTCCACTTGGCGCACTGTCACAACAGAGGTGCGATGCGCTGAAGCCATTCAATCAAAATGCCAGAGATCCACAAGCAATTAAGCACGGTACAGATCGGTATTCCCTGCGCAGACTCAAACGCTTCCTGCTAGGCTTTGAATGGTTTCTCGACTTGGCACAACGACCGAAACATCTGCATTGTCGTGACCATATTCCCTCCTGGTTGGAATCAGGCGCAGAGGGCATCTTCCGCGGAGAACACCAAGGAGCTGCCAAATCAACCGTTCAGCAACAGAAGCAAGACAAGTCGCAGCTAGAACGCTTGCAGAACGTGGTCCGCCATCTTGGTATGGAGAAGTCATCGAGGGAATCATCCACACCGGTTGTGTATGCACCGCAACGAGCAGGCGGCTGGAGAACGCGTGCCACCATCCTGCCCGTCCATAAAAAAGGCGAACGAGAGGTGAGCGGGGCGAGTAGTGAGGATTGGCAAGGTGAAGGGAGTATTGCAGCGCGCATCTTGCAAGGCGTCGGGATGCGCCCGTTGCCGGACTTGCGGCATTTGTTCAGACCATAGATCATCTGATAGACTATTGAGTGGATTGCTCCTTCTCGCGCTCCATCTCGGCCGTGAGATAGGCGTTGCAGTCGTCTTGCATACTGATGATGGCCTTGTTGAGCGCTGTCAACGTGCCGGCCGTCTTTCCGTCGCTTGTGCTTATGCGTGCCTCTTCAAAGGAGGATGTCAGGGTATGTTTCGCTGTCGGCGACTTGTACTCCACTGTAATCTCCATGTCTACGGCTCGTCTGCGGCTCAAGTATCAAGAAGTGGTCTCGAGCTCTTTCTCGTCGTCGTGGCTTCACTTCAGATGGGGCGAGCTTGAGGAAGAAGACTTAAAGAAGTAGAGACAGAGTAGAGCTATGTACAGAGAGCCCAACTAGCTATGCCTTCTCGAGGGGCGTCAAGATGAGCGGCAGTCCTCCCTTGGGCCTACTGGTGATGCTGGCTTGCACCTTGACTTCATATCCTGGCTTTGTCTTCACCTCAAACGCCAGCAAGATGCGCATCAACAGACACTTCATCTCGACCGTTGCGAATCGCTGTCCAATGCAGCTTCGTGTACCGTGCAGGAATGTCTCTGTAGAGTAGTTCGTCACTGCAGCTGGTAAATTATCGTAGCGATCAGGATTGAAGAGATGTGCATCATATCCCCAGACATGCGGGTTCTTATTGATAGCTGCTGCACAGATGAAGATGTTGGTGCCCTTTGGAATAGAATAGCCTTCAATCACAGCGTCTTCCATTGCTTGTCTGCGCGTCATTGGAACAGGTGGATAGAAGCGTAAGACTTCCTTGACCACATTATTCATGTATCGCAAGCTCTCGATACGCTCAAACGTCCACTCCTCACTTGCATCTCTTGCTTCTTGCAGTTCTTGTCGTAAGCGTGACTGTACCTCAGGGTGCTCGGCCAGGGCCAACAACGCCCACGTCGTACCGGCAGACGTCGTCTCGTGTCCAGCAGCCAACAACGTCATGGTCTGATCTGACATTTCTTCTTCTGTCATGGGTGGATCTTCCGGATCTCCTTGCTTCTCCTTGCGAATATTGTCAGACACGAGTAATCCAAGGATATCATTGCCGACATCTTGACCTGTCTGTGCGCGCTGTACTTTGTTCTGCACGAGTTCCTTCGAGATGCGTGCAATGACTGCCGTGTCTGCATCGACCTCGCGATGCCTGCGAACAGGAATCTTGCGCACAAAAGGAACATAAAACACGAGCACGGCAAGCATGCGACTTTGTTTTTTAGTATCAAACATGTCACTGTATGCATCAGCCAGCGCATTCTTGCTCGACCCAATCAAGCTGTCGATTTCATAACCAAAGCCAGCAGAACCAATAATGTCGAGTGTTGCGCGTGACAAACCACTCAGGACTTCAATCTCACCGCCTGCTTGCCAGAGCTTGATGAGATTATTGGCCTTTTCCAAGAAAATGGGCACAATGGAACGGAGATGGGAGTGTGCAAAGGCTGGGTTCATTTGCTTTCGCTGCCGCTTGTGGACATCGCCTTCCATAAACAAGATGCCCTTGGCACCCAAGATTCTGCGCAAGCCTTCACTAATGTCTGGTGGCTTGGGGAAGCTTGTTGCCTGTTGAAGAACATGCATGTGTGCTTTTGAAGAGACGAGCAAAATGCGTTCTTGGTGGAAGAGTCCCGTATAGCGGATGAGAGGTGCTTCTGGGTGATCCTGGATCCAGCGTAGATGCGGCACACCTGTGTCTTCTTTGAGGATCTGTCGCATCTCGCCAAAGAACCAATGGCCCTCTGGACCAGGAATGGCGCGCAACTTTGAGATGTACCGTGGAAAGACGAGGATGCGCCAGACAAAGTAGTAGCTAAAGGCGCCTAGGAAGAAGAAGGCGGCGATGAGAGGAAGGAGTGAGTATGATGTGGCTTGTTTGGTGACATAGGCTGCGAGCGCGGATACAAGCAGGATATGAAGCATCACTGGTGATGACTTGATGCTTCCTAGCTGTCTTTGATGCAGCTGAAGGTGTAGGCCTTGTGCTAGATCCCTGCGAACCTCGTCAGTAGCTGGTCGATGACTCCACATCACGTCGGCTGCAGTTTCCCCGGAAAGACAAAATCGAAGTCGAGATCTGGAGAATAGTGGAGTAGAATAGTACATGTAGAGTATAATAATAGAGTGTAGAGTATAGAGTGTAGAGGATAAGGTTGAACAGTAGAGTGCAGAGTGATATTGATGAGCAGCTGGAGAAAACATATATTAGGTCTACCATAACCAGACCTAAGCACTCTTCTTGTCAAAGTAATCCGTCATGTCGGCATCCAACTCCTCCGCCGTCTTGGCCACACGCTTCACACGTCCAGGCCCAGTCTTCTTAAGCTTCGTCTGCTTCACTGCAACAGGCCTAGCCACCTGCTTGCCCTTCTTGGCTTGCACCTGAGTAGCCACCTTCTGCTGCGGCTGCCTCGTCACGGAACCCAATCCAGGCAAACGCTCAGCAAGTCCGGGAACAGGCATCTCATGCACCAACTCCACCTGCAACTTCTGGTTCCTCTGATCCGTCTTGGTGCCATGAAGGTAGGCCGCTGCCTTCTTTGCCAAGCCAACAGGCTTGCTCTTGAACACAATCGTTGCCGTACCCGTCGACTTGCCATGTGCATTGTATGCCAGCTCCACCTTGGCAACCGGTCCAATTTTCCCAATCAGGTAATCCTTGATTTGCGCAGGTGTAATGTCTGAGGGGAAATGATGAACAACAATCTTAGTGGGGTCCTGCTGCGTTGCTTTGGACACCAAATCAGCACTTTTAGCGAGTTTAGCAGAGTGTTGCTTAACAGCGGATGTCTTGGCGGCAGGTTGTTTCTTGCTCACACCAGCACCGCTTGTTTGTTTAGCTTTGGGTTTTGCCTGTTGCAGCTTGCCGTTGTGACGATGGGTCTTTGGCTTGCTGGCGAGAATAGCATCGAGTGATTTGTCGAGATCCATGGTTCGTTGAGTAATTAAAGGGTTTTGTTTTCTTGAGAGGAGCTGTCAGCGTGCTGTTATTGAAGAGAGGATCAAAGCTCTCTTGTGCAGCAAGCATCGTATCAACAAAAGTAAGCATGAGAGACCATGAGCGTGTGCATTATGCAGTAGCGTCGTGTCCCTTGAGCTAGTAAGCATCAGTGCAAGCGTCGTGTCAGCATAAACAAAAGCTTCTGTACATGCAGTAAGCATGACTAGCAGAACATCTAGAGCGTTGAAGCAGAAGATGACACGTCGTGCACATTCACGCGCGACAAACGACCGACTCGAACAGACGCTTGTCGCGTCCTTTATCGATGTTCACCAAACCGAGGATGCCGAGTGCCAAGGATACATGCGCATCCCTACCGGACGTAGGTACGCTTCCTCTTAGCGCCGAGTAACCAAGACTAGCCCATTGAATCGAGTCCGCTTGGCTGTCTACCTGATATATCGGCTCTGTCTTCTTCAGTTTTTTTGTCTTTCGTTCTGATTGCTGCACAAGAGAGCGAGGGGGGAGTTTGATCACGAGGATGTCATTTACCTGATGGGATAAGTCGAGTCTGCGCCGCTCAGCAGATGCGTAGGGAGGGTGGATGGAGGGTCTGAAGTCTTGTTTGTCGTTGAAAAGGCCAGCGAGCAACTCCCAGACGCAACAGAGTCACAGCGTCAGGCTGGATTGGAGCTATAGAACGGTCTAGAGGGGCAGCAAGGGGAGGCCCTGCGCCCGGATGCATGTAGATTGCTAGTTGAAGCACCGCACAGGGTAGTCCACACCGTGAGCCATCGTATTCCCGGCAAAGCCAGCCGTCGTATCCAACTTGAATGCTCTTCCCTTCCTACCCATCGGCAATGGGGGCATACCATCCTTCCCCAGTACGGCCAGCACGCCTTGCTGCTCCAGTGCACTCGTCAGCTGCAGCTCATCAATCTTAGCAAGCACCAATTCACCGGCCTTGCCATCCGGAATCGCAGGCGCATCTTTATTGCCATACGTCAAGAGCCCAGCGACTCGACTCTGTGTAAACACACTGACAGACGGATACTGCCGACGCACATCTCGCGCAAAGTAAGGGTTCTCTGCAATATCATTCGCTGGAGCCGTGACGGGCTCTTTGTAAATCTCTGGACGTGATCCAGGCATAGGGTTGCGATAACTCTCATTGAAGCTGATACCTGATGAACGCGTCTTGTCGAGGGCAAAGAAGTCTTTTACTTTTGACCAGAGACCCGGAGGCGTCTCTTTGGTATACTTCCTAAACGACATCCTTCTCGCGACACTCCCTGCTGCCTTGCTTCTGTTCGTTGTCTTTGGTCGCCGTCGCCGTTGCGCTTCAAAATTGTCGTCGACCAAACACCACAAAAACCATCAAAAGCTAGCCTATACAAGGGCCTGTAGCAGGCCTCGATGGCCGAGGAGCGCCTTCCGTCCCTCAAGGGACCAGGCATGCCAATGGCTCCAAAAGTAACCTTCAAACCAAAAGCCGTCGCTCGTCGTAAAAAGGACGATACGACAACCATCAAGCCTGAAGACAATCGTGCGCCAGCACCAGATAGTCCGCTTGGTAAACGTGCACAGAGGACCGGTGGACGGCGTGTTAAGCGGGAGGAAGTATTGGTGGCGTCGGGGCCGTTTGCACAGGGACCTGCTGCACAATCTGCGCCGTCGCGACGAACGGCAAGACCAACGGCGAGTAGTTCTGGCGGCGGTCATGGTGGTGGAAGTGGTGGAAGTGGAAGTGGAGGCGGATATCATGCAGCTTCAAAAGTCGCTCAAGCGAATGCAACGGCGGATACAGTGATGGGCGAAGAAGAAGAGCAACTGGATGGACATCGTCGACAGTCGCTTGCATCCCTTGGCACTTCGAATGATCCTTGGGCACCCGTCACGACTCCTTGTCTGTCACGCACTCAGGCATTGCATCAAGAACCCGTATTGGCGACAGACAGCAAAGCCAGTGTGGAAGAATACTCACAGATACGAACGCTCTTTGAGGCAGACGACGTGGATGGCCAGCACTTCTTCACCATACAAATGCCGCCTGTGCTACCTTTTTGGGTACCTGATCCAGACGAGGTTGCCAAATCCGAATCCATCAAGGAGGAACCCGGTCCAGAAGTCATTGAAATTGATCAACGTGCTGCAGTAGAGACACAAACGACTCAAGCAGCGCCAGCAGACAAGCAACCCGTTAGAAAGCGGAAAAAGGCGAAACCAGTCGATTGGCCGCCACCAGAGGGACAGATTGGTCAAATCAACCTTCATCAATCTGGCATGGTCACGATGGATTATGGTGGCATTCGACTCACGCTTTCACCGGGTCAAGATGTGGACTTCTTGCAGGAACTCGTGGCAATTGATGCAGATGCAAAGAAACAGGCGTGGGTGCTGGGACGCGTGGAGCAGCGACTCGTTGCGACGCCTGATTTGGACAGATTGCTTTTCCACGGGCAATAACATTATTTGTCCTGCCCTGTGATGATTGCATGGCATATTACTTGTATCCAGGTGGCTTATCCCACGCCATACAGTATAAGACGGCGCTGCTCAGCAGGCTCTTTGATATTCGCAATATTTGCAGAACGTCAAATAAAGCACGGTCATGTCAAGAAATGCAATTGTTTAGTCTATATCGCAATTGTCTAAGGGTCATTCAGCAGAGCGCTTCATGTCAGGTCTCAGGAGGCTGGTCATCAGCCGCAGGCGGTAGGTGTCCCATGTTATGGTTCACAAATTCGTTGGCAATGTTCTGCCCAAGAGCCCGCTCAATGGCGAGCCATAACGTCAAAGCTCCACCTGCATCTGCAGTGGTAATCAAGCGGCTCCTCTCAACCATGCTCAGCCATGGAAAAGGGAAGCACCTCAGATCTGAGATGTATTCTCTCACCAGACAAGCTTCCGCTGTAGCAACGAAACATGGATTCCACTGGTCATTCGCAGCAATAACTTTGGGAGTCAAATGGCAAGCGTCGCAAACTGGCGGAAGGTGACCATCTCTGTGACCTCTCTTTGCTGGACACAATGATTCAGACACCATTACGGAGGAAATCGCAGACACATCATACTGTTCGACCAATACTCCCGCTGAATTTCTTTTCATCCGTCGAAGAAGCTTTTCGCTCATCGAGTCGAGATCGCAACGCATTGTATTGTGGATATGTGGTAGGTGGATGATCATGACACAACTGCAATGATAGAAATAGGTGTTGCGACAAAGTCCCCCTCCAAGCAAGCAGGTGTTGATAGACCTAATTTCTGGCCTGGTGAGACTCAAACATAGACCTGCTGATCGTAAACAGCTGTTTTTTGAACGTACTTTGATACATTCATGTAGCGTCAATAAAGGCGGGAACAACCAATGACGACAATTGTTGATACATTCCTGGTCGGTCATAGGGACGCTTCGTTGCTCAGCATGCTCTTTGTAAACCAGAAAACTGAAGTTTCCTGCGTAGCACGTTTCAGATCCTGGCTGTTTTCCCGCAGCCTTGAACATTGATCGCGGTGTCGACACACCTGCATAGGAGGAAGCATGTTTTTTGCCAACAGATTGACCAGATGTTCGTGTCGAGTTCAGCTGGGGTGCGTAGAACAAAATGAGAAGCATCAGTAGCAGCACGGAGCAACGCCCAGAGGGTGAAGCCATTCCGTGATCTTCTTGTGAGTTCCAAGATTCCTGGCAGTTGTCGTGTATGGGCAGCAAACCAGTCTTTTCAATCATCTGCGGGAGAACAGCAGCGGTTCAGTCAACACAGGATGCCACTTCTTCGCCACGCAATGCAGCAGGACGCGTGTGCACACATGTCGATGTAGTATCGCCTTTGTGACAACAAAAGAGACCTTGACTGTGGTTGTAATTAGTCTCCTGCGTTCCCTTGAATCACGACTCTTCCCATGGCTAACCAGTTCGACGATTGATATCGTTTGTGAGACTCTTATAGAAGCAAATATTCGGGCATCAAAGCCAAACGGCCTGGTGTCATCGTGATTGTGGCGATATGTCATTGCCCTAAAGCCCTTGAAAGCTGTGACACCGCATACACAGCTGTCCGCTTGCACTCACATGATCCCATACGCAGCTACAGTAGCAGTGCGAGCCGTCACTTAGCCACTGAGCTCGCATAACTAGAGGGTAACATTATGTGGCACTGTATGTGCGCGGTCGGGAAGCTCCGCCTGTTCGCGGTGTCTGGTCAACTGCAACAAAGGAAGCAGCCGTACATAACCATGTAACAACAATTGTAAATGAGCACAACGGCAGAGCTTCAGATGCACTACATCTGCTGCAGTGATGCTACGGTAACAATAGCACGCAATACTCCGGGCTTGATATGAGCGCACGCGAGCTCTCTAACGATACCGCAGATCCAAGCTTCAGCGGCTAAGCCTTCAATGTGTAATGTTCAGTCTCTGCAGCTGATTTACAATTGATTTATGATATTGGACGAGCGCAACGTTATGATGCAGCTGCATCTGATTCGAGCTCGTGTACAAATGCCCTGAGCTGCTTCTCACCAGCTACGCAAGTCAAGGCGAGCTGAGATGTGCTGACACTGCTTCAGCTGAGCGCACAGTAACTGGACACTGAGAAGACTATAGCGATAACGCCATCCCTACAGATAAAATTGAGAGTGAGTGCGCGTGAATTTGGGGGGATGTGTGAGCATTTGGGGTAGGGAGATGCCGCGCGCGTGAATTTGTGTGATTGGGCGGGAACAAAATCATAGTGTCAAGTCCATGGGTGGGAATGAGCGAGACTGCGCGCGAAGATGTGGCAGCGACAGCAAACGATAGACAGGCGCAACAAGACGTCAGGTTGGCGTTTCTATAAGTGCCAGGCGATGTCAGACAATAGCGGCGAGATCAGAAACAAGTTAGAACGTCTTTTATGCAGCAAAGCTTTATTTGATGAAGTATCGCTTGGCGAGCAGACTGCTGGGCCACGGCACGAAGCTTGACGAAGAAGAAAACGATCGTAGCGTTCAGATGGAGACTTTACGACTTGTGTGGCCAACTCACAGGTCATCAGTATGCGAAGTAGGGGCAGACAGACCTCGAGATTCAAAGGCAGACTCAATTCTGTAGCCGCTGACAACCTATGCTATTCCATCGCGACCAGTGTCGACATACACCATCCCATTTGGGCCCGTGATGCTGGCAAAGTGTACCAGCTCGTCCTGTCCTTGAGGCCCAATAGTCGTATACAAGCTTGGCACTGTGCACCGCTCGCGTGCTGTGAGCTTGCAGACGCGAGCTACGACCTGTATCACCTCACTTGTCGCAAATCTGAGGCGCAAGAAGCTCCAGCTATAGGAGAAGAGTGATGCGGTGCAGCGAGATAAGCTTGGAGCACTGGCAGGTACCTCATTAACAGTCCCGGACATAGTGAGAGACTGTATGGTGAGTTTCTGGAAGCGGGATTTCCAAGCAGCTCCGGGGACTGAGAGTTGTCGAATCATCAAGTGCGAGTAGATTTAACATGCTTTGCCAGCTGCAGGTACACATCCTGACATCGAGACCCCGATTAGCAGTCGCAGTCGACGCAAAAGCCTCTCAGTTCAGGTATAAGACGAAAGTCAACTACGCCGATGGTACAACAGAGAGCCATGTAGCTCAAATACATTACGAAATAGCGATCGCAGCAGTTGCCATACGGGAAACTTCCACGGAGGGTAAACCGGTGATAAACGGAAGACTGACGGTGTACGATAAACGGGTGACAAACGGTAGAATATGGCGCTGGTGACAAACAGGCGATGATTGACGCGTACTAAACCGGTGATTTACGGGTGAGAACCGGCGATCGCTGGTAACTAGTACGCAGCGAGCTGCAGGTGGCGAGCCAGGGCTTTACATAGTTTAGGGATAGTTCTAGAGTAACGAAGGCTTGGTACGTCCACCCTACAACTGTCGTGCAAGGTGCCTTGTACGCTTGCTACGCTCCCACGCTTGTTCCACCTCGCTGGCAGCGGCGGCGCGGCCATTCCTGTCATTCGCTGCAGCCTGGAGAAGCTGAGCATTCGCCGCCATCAGCTGGTTGCGTTTGCCCTGTAGAAGTCAGTATGAATAAGGGGCAGCGAAGGAATGAGTGTACCGTGTGACGTGGTTGTAGGGCTTCTGCATCGCTTTCGTCGTCTTCCTCGTTGTGCGGCGCGGTGTTTCGTGTGTTGCAAAGTACTTGTCGTGCCTGCGAGTCATCGTCTTGCTCATGGCGTGGTGCGATGTTCCCGGCGTTGCGTCGTGCTTGTCGTATATGCATGTCATTCTCGTCGTCAGTTTCTGGTGCTCAGCCTCTGCCTCTGCCAGGCGCTTGTTGTGCCTCAATTGCTGTTGTCAGTAGGAAATAATGCGTAGATTGTTGGACATCATCACGTACAGCGACTTGCAGATTCTTGGCACCATGCTGGAAAATGGCCACGGGAGCTCGTTTCGCTTGCGCCCCGGCAAGCGATGTGAAGTCGCGTACAGGATGACGGACTGCCTTCCCTAGCCCGGCAACGTTTTGCGAATGGATTCGACAGCCTGGCTCTCAGTACGCTTGGAATTATTCCTTGACGCGCGTCGTAGTCGAGCTGGTATTTTCGTCATGCTTGTATTGTGTACAAGGCGTTCAAATTGGTCTAGATCGTCCTTCTGAAGGCGTTGGACACAGCGCAGTGTCTTAAGAGAGATGAGACATTGTCAGACAAAGCCATGAGATCGTTGTTGACTGTACCTGCTGTGATGCCAGCTCGAGGCTAATGAGCTGGTTCCGCAAACGACGAGTGGAAGACGATGGGATGTAGCAAGAGCTGGCAGACGCGCTACTTGCTTTGCTTTGCCAGCGTCAAAGACGAGAATGGTGGCGGGTCTTGCTCAATGCCTTTGATCCCATCGTCTTCCACTCGTCGTTTGCGTTCGCTTGGTAGGTGGGACTATACCGCACTACGCAGCACAGCATTGATCTGACTTTGTCGGGCAGACATACTTGAGAAATAGACACAGAGCAAAAAAGACTGCAGAAATGCGCGTTCAGAGTGGAGCGCTTGCATGTGCAGCGACCATGAGTTGTACTGTAGCGAGTAGCGCGAGCTTGAGTTGCGCAGAGTGGCTAAAGTTCAAAGCGAACAAAGTCCAACCTCACAACGAGCACATCACACCGATGACTCAAGTTCCTTGCCCTTTGAAGCTTTGGAAAAAAGACACTTTCGATGGATAGCAAAAGACTACCGCATTCAAACCGACGGTCTCATATGCAGGTGATCACATGCCATGTAGATCGAGGAATCATATGGTTTGGTACGCTTTGTTGATAGGATTGCTTCCATATCCATCGTTGCGCATGAGCTGGACGAATGCCAGCGTATGCGTCTACTCGAACACGCTATTTATATGCATAGCCATGGTGCAGGAACAGAAATCACCAGCGTCTGCTATTTGTCTGCAGTCGATCGCCGGTTCTTCACCAGCGTCTGGAGGTGGTGTTCCGGCTTGCTCCAGTATTGCACCAGCGTTACCGTTTTATTTCCTAGGAGTCATCTGCGAGTCATCGGTGTGCGGCCGTCTTCACCAGCAATTTTCCCGTATGGATCCATAGGCACCCGTCATAACTCTTTGTCTCTCGCGCACCCAGGCACTGCATCAAGGACCTGCATTGGTGACAGACAGCAAAGCCAGTGTGGAAGAATACACGCAGATACGAACGCTCTTTGAGGCAGACGACGTGAATGGCCAGCACTTCTTCACCATACAAATGCCGCCTGTCCTACCCTTCTGGGTACCCGATCCAGACGAGATGGCCAAATCCAAATCCACCAAGGAGGAACCCGCTCCAGAGGTCACCGAAATTGATCAACGTGCTGCAGTAGAGACATAAGCGACGCAAGCAGTGTCAGCAGACAAGCAACCCGTTAGAAAGCGGAAAAAGGCGAAATCAGTCGATTGGCCGCCACCAGAGGGACAGATTGGTCAAATCAACCTTCATCAATCTCTGGTATGGTCACGATGGATTATGATGGCATTCGACTCACACTTTCACCGGGTCAAGATGTGGACTTTTTGCAGGAACTCGTGGCTATTGATGCAGATGCAAAGAAACAGGCGTGAATACTGGAACGCGTGGAGCAGCGACTCGTTGCGGCGCCTGGTTTGGATAGGTTGCTTTTCCACAGGCAATAACGTTGTCTTTCCTGCCTGATGATGATTGTATAGCATATTGCTTGTATCCAGGTGACCTCATTCTATGCCATACAGTATAAGACGGCGCTGCTCGGCAGATTCTTTGATGTTGGCATTCTTTGCAGAACGTCGTATACAGCACGGTCATGTCAAGAAATGCATTTGTTTTGTCTATATCGCAGCTGTCTAAGGCTCATCCATGAGAGGGCTTCATGTCAGGACTCAGGAGGCTGGTCATTAGCTGCAGGCGGTAGGTGCCTCATGTTGTGGTTCACAATTTCGGAGGCAATGTTCTGCCCAAGAGCCCGCCCAACGGCATTGAGCAAGAACATCAAATCTCCACCTGCATCTTCAGTGGTAATCAAGCGGCTCCTCTCAGACGTGCTAGAAGATGGAAAAGCGAAGCACTCTCTCACCGAACAAGCTTCCGCGGCGGCAACGAAACATGGATTCCATCCGTCAACGTCATTCGCAGCAATGGCTTTGTAAGTCAGTGGGCAAGCTTTGCAAATTGGCGGAAGGCGAGCATCACCCTGAGCTCTCTTTGCAGGACACAATGATTCAGACACCATTACGGAGGAAACCGCGGGCGGATCATACCGTTCGACCAATACTCCTGCTGTGTTCTCCTTCAAACGTTCAAGAAGCTTTTTGCTCATCTCGTGGAGATTGCACAGCGCAGTGTTTCGGATATGTGGGAGGTGGATGACCATGGCACAGCTGCAACGATAGAAATTGGTGTTGGGACAAGATCCCCCGCTGAGCATGCAGGTGTTGATCGACCTAATGTCTGGCCTGGTGAGGCTTAAACATAGACCTGACAACCGAAGACAACTGACACTTGAACGTCCTCTCATATATTCATACAGCTTCACCGCAAGCGGGAACAACCAGTTTCGACAGCTGTTGATGCATTCCTGGTCGGTCAAGGGGTCGCTTCGTTGCTCAGCATCCCCTTTGTAGACCCGAAAAATGAAGTTCCCAGCGTAGCACGTTTCAGGGCCTGGCTGTTTTCCCGCAGCCTTGAACATTGATTGCGGTGTCGACACACCTAAGGAGGAAGCATGTTTCTCGCCAACAGATTGACCAGATGTTCGTGTCGAGTTCAGCTGAGGTGTGTAGAGCAAAATGAGAAGCATCAGTAGCAACACGGAGCAACACCCAGAGTGCGAAGCCATTCCTTGATCTTCCTGTGAGTTCCAAGATTCCTGGCAGTTGTCGTGTATGGGCAGCAAACCAGTCTTTTGAATCATCTGCGGGAAAGCAACAGCGATTCAGTCGACCAAGGTTGCCACTCCTTCCCCACGCGATGTAGCAGGACGCGTTTGCACACATGTCGATGTAGTATCGCCTTTGTGACAATAAAGGTGACCTTGACTGTGGTTGTAATTAGTCTCCTGAATTCCCTGGAGTCTAGACTCTTGAAGTCGCTGACACTTTGACAGTTGGTTGACTGGTTGTGAGACTTCTGATGAAGCAGATACTCGGGCATGAAAGCCATACAGCCTGGGGTCATCGTGATTGAGGGGATTTGTCAATATATTGCCCCAAAGCCCTTGAAAGCTGTGACGCCGCATGCACAGCCGTCAGCTTGCCATCACATGATCCCATACGCAGCAACAGTAGCAGTGTGAGCCCTCATTTAGCCACTGTGCTCGCATGACCTGGATTCCGCTAGCCCCGTAGGCATTTGCTTACTCCGCATGGATGCATTGATAACGAATGGAAACATTATGTGGCACTGTATGTGCGCGGTCGGGAAGCTCCGCCTGTTCGCGGTGTCTTGGCAAGTGCACTTGGGAACTGCAACAAAGGAAGCAGAATAGCACTTAAAGACTTGTAACTTGCGATGCCGGATGACATGTCGTCAGTATGTGAAGCAGAGGTAGACAAACCTCGCAATCCAAGCGCAAACTCAGAAACTCAGTTCTGTAGCCGCTGACGGCCTATGACATTCCATCGCGACCAGATTCGACATGCACCATACCAATTGAGCCCGTGATGCTGACAAAGCGCCAGCTCTTCGTGTCCTTGATGCTCAATAGTCGTGCACAAGCTTGGCACTGTGCACCGCGTGCGTGTTGCGAGCTTGCGGACGCGAGCCACGACCTGCATCATCTCAGTTGTCGCGAAATCTGGGGCGCAAGAAGCACGCAGCTTCGCCAATGTACGGATGTCCCGCTATCTTTCCAGAAGCAGCGCACTCTGCAAGGAGTGTTGCCAGCTGCAGTGTGCTGGACCACTGCTGGTGCCTCAATTCTCTCAGTCCTCAACTTCCAATCCAAGCCTCAACGCACACAGTGAACAACGTTTCCTTTAAGAGGCTGCACTTGGCTACAAGCATCGTGATGCGAGCTTCATCACATTACTGACTTCTACAGCTAGATTCTGACCAAGTGCGTCTCTGCTGCAGGCGCTCTTTTGTCTTTGTCTCATAAGGCTGTCTCTACATGCTGATGGACTCCTGTGGCTGTTGGCATGCCTCTCCCCCCTTGTGCAAGCTTTCTCTACATGAACTGACACGCTCTTCGCACTCATCGCCAGGTCAAGCACTTCTGTCTCTCACCATTGCATCATGTTCTTGCGCTGGCAACTCTTCTTCGACGGCTTTCCGCTCGACTCAGTCTCGTCCTTTGACACAATCTCTGACTCTCTCTGACTCTAGACTTGCTCGTGATCTCGCCCAATCACCCGCACTTGATGCGTCTCCTAAGGGTCTAGAACTATGTTCATTGCTGCCATAATTCATACACTCCACCAGCTCTACCACCGCCATAGAACCACAAGCACTGCCAGTATCATCGACTTGCTGCAAACATTCCTGAGACTCCCTTGCCGTGTCGATGACCAAGCTACTGTAGATCCTCAAAACTTCTCAGAAAGCTTGTAGCCAAGTGCAGACTGTCAAAGGCGGTATTGTTTTGTGCGTGTGTTGAGTCTTGGGATCCTGCAGACCTTCCGGACGCCTTGCAGCACGATTCACTTTGCGAGACCTCGCGGCACCATTCGTGTTCGTGCTAAGGTACGTTCTTTCTCAGACCGAAGACGGTGAGCATGCAATCCTTGGATCTGTGGGAAAGGCTGGCCGCGATTGCAGTCGCTACTGCTGCGAGATAACGTCCAGCCATCAGAGAAGAGTGATGCGGTGCAGAGAGATGAGCTTAGAGCACTGACAGGTACCTCGTTAACAGTCTCGGACATAGTGAGAGACAGAATGGTGAGTCTCTGGAAGCAGATCTCCAAGCAGCTCCTGGGACTTGGACTGGTTGAATCATCAAGTGCGAGTAGAATTATCATGCTTTGCCAGCTGCAGGTACACATCTTGACATCGAATCCCCGATCAAAAGTCGCAGTCGACGCAAAAGCCTCTCAGTTCAGGTACCAGGCGAGAGTCAACTACGCCGATGGCACAACAGAGAGCCATGTAGCTCAAATACATCACAAACTAGCGGTCGCAACAGTTGACAGCTTCGCTACAGTGCAGAGAGCCATTTTCATAGAGCTTGAGGACTACAAAGCAGGGGACAGTGCTCTTGTATGCTTCCGTTTCCGACCCGAGCTATTCGGACTTTGTACATGTAGTGCAGGTGCAGCAGCTGCTCTTGCCGCGATCGACGACCACGACGACGTCGACCCACACAAACATGATATATATATAGACCACGAAGTTCTTCGCTCATGGTACATTGACTGATGAGCAAGATCGCCGAATTAGCTGCTGCATTCAATGTATTGCGCTCCCAACACGACCCACAGTGCACGTGATATCCGCGATCCGCCAGCTGCAGCGGCATGCGCTAGCTGACGCCGCTCGTCGACGAAACCCTGTCCACGGGCAAGATCGCAGTCTGGAAACCTTGAAAGCTTTGAACGTCTCGATTCAAGCATCTTGATTGCTACCTGACCAAAAGACCTCGCTGTCGCTCGCTGTGCAAGCGGATGCACTTTTTCTGGCTGCTGACGAGGACTAGTAGGTAGACACCGCTTCAGCAAAGCTGTGTAGCAACCATGATGGTGAAACGATGGACCTATATGAAATAGATGATGATATCATCGAGCAAGTATACGTTGGTGATGAGCCTTTGCGGCCGGTCTCGCGCGGTTGGACGCGCGTTGCGCACACGACGACTTTGCCAGGGAGAAGAAGCACAGGATGAGCTGCAAACAGCCGCAGATCTGAACATTGAGGAACTGCATATGGCTTGTGATGATGTCGAGGACACTTGTGATGACCTTGATGATTTCCATGGTATTGATGAAGAGAATGTCTGACATCAAGCGGATGACAGGGAGCCCGCGATGTCCGATCATGGCAATTCATTCAGTATAGCCACACTCCAAGAGGTCGACGGATGGAGACGATCGACCATCCAATGAGCGCTGATATCTTGGATTTGAAATGGTGCTCGCATATGAGGCTTTTGGAGAGGGCATCCGCCCCGCGATTTGCCACACTGCGACGCGAAGGTAGCGCCCCTCGCTGCACAGTCGATTACAAGATGGCACTGTTAGTAAGCAGAAGATCATTTATCATCAATTTGATTGAGCATCTGAGCGCACCTTTTGCCTTCGCTGCAATCGAAGCTGACAATCGTCGATGTTTTCGCAGAGGATAGCGCAGAGATGCAAAAAGACTGTGGCATCACTGGCCTGTCGCCGTTTCCCGACTTTGAGACCGTTTATTTCCGGACCCTTGCGCTTGAATGGCTCTACCTTTGCTTCGCATACTGACAACTTGCGTTGCCAACCAAGAAGTTGTTGGTCTTCATCGCACCAGTACGATCATTTCCTTCTTCGTCAAGTTTCGCGCCGTGGTGTGGCTGTCTGGTGTTAGAACTACAGACTTGTCAAGCAATAATTCGTCCGACGAAACTTTGCTGTATGGAGCAACATTCCGATCTGTGCAGCTGTCATGTTTCTTTCCTGACGTTGTCATTGCCCTCAGCCCTAGGGTAAACGCAATTGCAGCACTTTGTGACGATCACGACCTGACGAGACAGGACGTACCGACTGAGACAGGAAGCTTAGGCGTGGAAGTGGGTTTGGCGGCAGAGACTGAGAACAATGAATAGTAATGAGTATAAACTGATGTTGCTGACAATGCTACAAAGGTGCGAGAAGCGCTCCTTTTATACACTGCCAGCCTAAAGCAACTGAACAGACGAGATAGAAGTGGGCGATGGCAAAGACCCTGAAAAGAACACGGGCAGTTGCCGATGAAGGTCTTGGCGAGGACCGAGTGATGCTTGCGAGCGGAACAGGTTTGAGCATGGAACAGGTCTGAGCATGAGACATGCGACAGAGATACGTCGGGACGTGTGATAGCACTGAGAGCTTGCAGGTGCCAGCGTGATGGCGGAAGGGTAGGAGCGCTGGGAGCTCGAGATAGACAGACGCGGCTGAGAAGACGGAAAGGTATGAGCACTGGGAGCTCGGGGTGCACAGACGGGGCTGAGTAGACGGAAGGGTAGGAGCACTGGGAGCTCGGAGGTCAGTCCGTGACACACTTGATGAGCGAGAGTATTCTTTAAAAATAAAATAAAGGATTACTTCTTGCGCGCGTCGTTCTACGAAATCTTCCATGTAGTGTTGTTATTCAGTACTATTGTTACTATGGTTTATTTAGGAACTTTCAGCTTCAGGTGGTATCTTCCAAGCATTGTGCGAATAAAAGCGATCAATGGTCTTTTGACCGAAAGCCAACACCAGATTCTGATACAGATCCAAATTGGAGAGAGCCATTCGCTCGTTGGCACTCATCCATGGGAAAGGATAGCACCGCATAGATTCCAAGCCTTCTTGTTCCACACATGCTTGATTTGGAGGCTCCGAGAAACAGGGCTGCCAGACTCCGTCGCTGGATAAGGTGCACGGAAGACACTGTCCGATTGCACTAGTGCAAGAAAATTTAGAAAGTTCTTGGGGCGAAGATAATTTATCCTTCATTATGACCATTGCAGGGTTGAGCGCAAATGCTCCTTTCAGTCTGTCCAGAATCTTGTCGTGCATAGTGGCTAGATCACAACGTCGCTTATCGAATACTTTCATTAAGTCCACATTGATTTTGCAGCTGCACACGTGAAGAGTTTGCGGCTTTTCGCAAGTGAAGCTGGTATGTTCGCAGACGTTCACCGAGAAGATTTTAGGCTGACTTTGTGCAAAGCAAAATTTGGTCGTTTGGATACAGTTTGTTTTACTTCTTCCTCGGATCAGCAGCTGTTTCAGTGTCGATGCCAGTTGATGCGACCACAGTACACAGCTGTCGAGACATGCTTTCTGACTTATTGGCAGCAGCGTTGGATCAGCGGCTCTGATCCAGTATGGAAATCTGCCCATGTAGCACATGTCGGGAGTAATATCTGTAGACAAAGATGCACGCTGAGCACCGTCCTTCTGAATCTTTTGCTTCTTTGCCGTCGGCTGCAGCTGAGATGAACCAGACGACCTCATAGAGCTCAGCTGAGGTATGTATAGAAGAAGGAGAAATAAGAGCACTAGCAAAGAGCATCGTCCAGAGCGACCATATGCCGCCATTGTTTCTGTGCCTTACAAGTATCGTGCTTCGTCAGTGAGGAGGTGGCAGTTTGAACCTTTTTGAAGAATTGGAATTGAGGACGACGACGATCGAGACCACATGCAACGTGGTTTCCATTTTGTCACTCTGCTCTGGGCAATGCAATTGTGCAGCATCTTTCGCATTCACCACGCGTACGGTCATCAACAGCTACAGTGACATAGCACGTGCACCTGATGTTGTATGATGCTCAGGTGACGATGAAGACATGCTAAACTGGCAAAGAATGACAGCAGACACTGAAGTGAGCTGAGTATGTGCTAGCCTCACGCTCTTCAATTCGCTCGAGTGTGCAAGTTCGTTTATTTAGTGTAATTCACAGCCTCAGCAATTGTAGTTTTAAACGCTACTGCAACTGAAGGATAAAGTGTTCAGAGATGATGGCAACATTTATGAACATGCAACGTGGATTAGTAGTCGTGCTGCACCGTAAGAAACACCTTTTGCGCATACAACATGGGTATAGGCGCGTGGTTGCCGTAGCAAAGCTGAAGCGACTGAAGAGACTGAAGCAGCTGATTGAGAATTCCTCCCTTCTGGAAAAAATTAGTAAACAAGATGAGTCAAAAAAAAAAGAACGGGTTTGTCAGTTGTGCTGACCAGAACACTGCGAGGCGGGATCGAGGTTTGTCTTGTCCCTTTTCTTATTTTGCAATTCGACGGTCAAGAACGAGGGTATGCTTGCGTATATCGACAGAACTGTCTGCTCCTTGCACCTCAAGTTTGTGACAAGTTGATTGATGTAGGTTCTGCAGCTGGCTCTCGTCCGCAAGCTCACAACACGACAGCGGTGTACAGTGCCAGGCTTGTGCACGACTATTGAGCATTGATGATATGGAGAGTTGATCTCCCTTGCCAAAATCAAGAGTTCAATCGGATTGGTGCATGTAGGTACTGGTCGCGACTGCATGGCATATGCCCTCAGTGGCTAAAATACTGATGTTTGCGCTTGTATTGCGAGGTCTGTCTACCTCTGCTTCGCATCTGACGACTTACGTTGCCGAGTAAGAAGTTGTCAGTCTACATCGCTACAGTACGATCATTCTTTTCTTCGTCAAGCTTCGCGCCGTGGTGTAGCTGTCTGGTGTTACAGACTTGTCAAGCGACAATTCATCTAAGGAAACTCTGCTGCATGAAATGACGTTCCGATCTGTGCAGCTGTCATGTTCCTCTCGAAATTGATATCGCCCTCAGCCCTAGGGCAGACGCGATTGCAGCAGTTGCGGAGCGAGACTTTTCTTGAAGGATAAGATAAAGGATCACTTCTTGAACGCGCCGTACTATGAAACCTTCCATGTAGTTTTGTAAGTCTCATGTCAGTATGATCATTCTATGAATCTTCAAGTGGAACAACATATTTGTTGTGCTCATAAGAGTCATCAATGACCTCTTTGCCAAAAGCCAACACCAGGTGCCGATACATTGCCACATCGGAGAGAGCCATTCGCTCGTTGGTGCTCATCCATGGGAAAGGATAGCACAGCAAAGATTCCAAGGCTTCTTGTTCCACACATGCTTGGTTTGGAGGGTCCAGGAAACATGGCTGCCAGTCTTTCTTGATGCTTGGGGTGCATGAATGACACTGTCCGATTTTCTCAGCGCAAGTAAATTGTCGAAGCACTTGTGGCGGAGAGCGAATATCCTTCTGTACGATCATTGCAGCGTTCCGCCCAACTACTGCTTGCAACAAACTCAGAATCCTGTTGTGCATATTGGCTAAATTACAACGTGGCTTATGATATACCTTCAACCAGTCCACGTTGATGTTGCAGCTGCACGTGTAGAGAGTTCGTGGCCTATTGCAAGGGTGACCGGGATGTTCGCAGACATCCATCGTGGAGACCTTCGGCTGACTGTGTGCAAAGCAAAAATGTTTCGTTCGAATACAGCTTCCAGAATTCTTTCCTCGCGATTTGACCTCAATAATCAGTGTCACTGCCAATTGGCGCGACCACACTTTACAGCTTTCGACACATGCTTCCTGACTGATTGGCAGCTGCTCTGGCGCAGCGGCTCTGATCCAGTATGGAAACCTGCCCTTGTAGCAAAATTTGAGATCTTCTTGCACATGGTGGGTAGCTGAAGCCTGAGCAAGTTCTGCAGACGAAGATTCACGCTGAGCACCGTCCTTCTGAGTCTTTTACTTCTTTGCCGTCGGCTGCAGCTGAGATGAACCAGACGACTTCATCGAGCTCAGCTGAGGTATGTATAGAAGAAGGAGAAATAAGAGCACTAGCAAAGAGCATCGTTCAGAGCGACCATATGCAGCCATTGTTTTTGTGCCTTACAAGTATCGTGCTTCGCAAGCGAGGAGGTGGCAGTTTGAACCTTTTTGAAGAATTGGAATTGAGGACGACGACGATCGAGATCACATGCAACGTGGTTGCCATATTGTCAATCCGCGCTGGGCAATACAATTGTGCAGCATCTCTCGCATTCACCACGCGTACGTCCATCAACAGCTACAGTGACATGGCACGTGCACATGATGTTGTATGATGCTCAGGGGACGATAAAGACATGCTAACCTGGCAAAGAATGACAGCAGACACTGAAGTGAGCTGAGTATGTGCTAGCCTTACGCTCTTCAATTTCCTCGAGTGTGTAAGTTCGTTTATTTAGCGGGATTCACAGCCTCAGCAATTGTAGTTTGAAAGGCTACTGCAGCTGGTGGAGAGAGTGTCCAGAGATGATGGCAACATTTATGAACATGCAACGTGGTTTGGTAGTCGTACTGCACGTGAAGGAACATCTGTGCGCATATAACATGAGTGTAGGCGCGTGCGCCGAAGTCATGAAGCAGCTCGTTGCAATTGTTTTGAAAAGCAACCGATATGGACGCGGAAAAAAAAAGAAATCGGGCCTGAACGAGAATTGAACTCGTGACCTTGCGTACCCAAAACGCAAATCATACCACTAGACCATCAGGCCGATTAGCGGTCGAAAGCCTTACTACAATATAATACCTTAACTCAGTGTCTATAGCGGCAAAATTGGAAAAAACGCTTAATCAATGGCTCACGTATGCATGTCTTGCTTACATGTACTTGATATAGATAGCACTGCTATTGTAGCGCACAAGAAACTCAGTATCGGCAGTGTAATGGGAAGAATTGGCTGAAAAGCACTGCCGAGCAGCCAGCAAAATGTGTATCAGACGAGCTGCAGTCATGCCCCTCCGAGCAGACTCGCTTCTATGCAAGATGCGTATGTGTGCGTTCGCCTGAATGTCCCCATAGTGTTTGCTTCGACTGCAGCCTTGACCATTTGATGCGAGTGAAGCGTCAAGTTCGCCATCTGAAGGAGACCAGCAGCGAAGGAAGAAGCCTCAACCGGGACCTGACTCGGGCGACACGCTCTGCCATGGCTTCTCCTTCCTTCCTTGTACTTATATACGCTGGCATGGGCTTCCTCATCCTCTTGACACTCGCTCTCTGTGCACGCGCATCCCAGCGCAAGCACTTTGCAACACGCTACTGGCTCGATGAGGAGAAGCGCGAACGCAAGCAGACGAAAGCTTCAGATCTCAGACATGCTCAGCAGCGCGCGACGTTTGATCGCTGTAAAGATCTTATTATCCAGCGAGATCGTTTGTATGATCCAATTATCCAACCATCCTATGCGCAGTTGCAATGTGAGTAGGCGAACCCGGCAAAGAGGTATTTGACTCAGTGCACTGACGCTTCAGCTTCACCCCGACGGTCGGCGCATCGAGTCTATGCAACGCAGCTGCCTCTTGTATTTCCCTTTGTCAACAGTCCGACTCCGGCGCCTGCGCAATCACCAGTCAGGCCAATCAACAAGGTCGTATCGCATCCAGGCGCGCAAACACCCGTCCCAACCAATGTGCAGGCATGTCCAGAGACGGTAGACAAGCAATCACTGTACAGTCAAACAAGTGAGGAGACTCTAGCGAGATTGCCTGTTGTTGAGCAGACTGTAGCCATGTCGAGGGCGTCGACTGTTTAGCTGAGGAGAGCCATGCCACGCTTTGTCGCTAGCTGCAGAGTCCCCTCTTGCATCTTGGGCTGGGCTCTCAATTGATGACACGAGGCAGCTGCTCCATTGAGACCGTGTTCCCTCTATCGAGATGTCGCGTTGTCAGCAAAGAAGACGTTGGTGCTGTACTCCAGATGCCTACAAGCTGCATCAGTCACAGATCAAAGCAACCACTCAAGAGCTCTTTTAGGCTCTTCGCTGATCGCCGAGAACAATCTCCTCCAAGTGACAGCACCCTGACTCGATGTGCTGCATGGTGCGGATGGCGTTTCACCCAATTTCTGCTTTTGCTTGATCTCACAGCGATCATAAGATTTGAAGACGCAACCCCCCACTTGCACAGGCAACTTGCGGCGAGCTCCGCTTCTTTCAAAGTTCTTCCAAAGAGACCACCAGGGTGCATGATTATTGATTACCCTTCCCGCGATCTGCTATTGCTACTGCGTGTTGGCACGCTAGGCTATGTGTGTGTGTGTTTGTCGCTAGCAGACTTAGTCAGCTTTGTAGAGTATCCATTGACATGCTCTGCGATGGCACGTTCTCAGCCCGATTCCATCGTCGGCCTGCTGGGTCAATGCTGCTAGCGTTGCTGCTCGGCCTGCTCCTCACTAGCATCGTAGGTAGTACGACGGTAGACAGTCAATACATCCATAATGCGCTCAGAGATACCTAGGCAGGTAGCTCTTGCGTGAGCGTTGGCTATATGAAAGTGTAACATGTAGCATACAAGACTACAAGTCTACCAGTCTGTGCGTCCCTTCTTGAACCTTGCTATTCTGGTTGTGGGATGTCTATGGTTTTCTGGTGCGCCGGGATGTCTGCAGCAAGGAGTTGTGATGCGATTGTTCCGCTACGACTTAAAAGTATGGTCACCCAGTGTCAGTGATACAGGGCAAGCTAGAGAGCATCTGTGGTAGACAGGTATACCTTGGCTATCACATAGGCGATCCTAGCTGTCTGCGGTGTTGCTGCTCTCTCATGATCAGACTTAGCTCTGGCTGCTCTGCTTCCCCTCCTCTTCCCATGCGCGACCGTTGTGAGACTCTGCCCCGCTCCATTGGGCGGTTCGCCGTTGCGTCGCGTGGGCTCAAAGTGGGAAATTCGAAAAGTGGGAAAGAGTCAAGAGGGAAACGCGAATTATACACGCAGCAGTTGCCAGCAGGCTGTAGTGCGGCAGACTTGCAGTACGCTCGGGCTGAAGATTCAGGCAAGCACCAAGAGGCTGGGAGATTGCTTTGAGAGGGGGCCACGGACCCAAGCTGCAGAGAAAACCCGCACCCTCTCAACTTGTAATCATGCGTTTTGTGATACCATGCAGGCAGGGGTTTTGCTACACAGGGCCGCCTGTTGCAAGCGACCCGACCGTTCATTTGCCGCGAGACATGGTTAGAGACATTCAGCCATTGGGCTTCTGACAGGGCCGCTCAACGTCGGTTCGAGCTCTAGTCTGACGTCCACATCGGCACGACTCTTCTCTTTGCGCGAAGATCCGTGCCCGCTTCATCGGTGCCACTTTTGCATGCACTTTTACACCCTTTGGGCTTCGATGTCATTCATATGACATGGCCGCCCGTGAGGAGAGAAATAGTCCTCACTGAAGCTCAAGCGCGTGAGGGGACCCTCGACCCTCGCCATCGTTATAACATGATCTCGTCGGCACTCTGGATCTGAGACAGCCTACGATCCTTTGCCAACAAACCTTAAGCACCTGTTCTCATGTATACACACACAGCCTTCTCTGGTACAGTCACAAGATCCTGGTCTGTCGCCATAGAGGAGCTAACCTCAGGCTCTCTACTCTTACCCGACGTGCCTACAAAGTCTGTACTCAGAGATGAATCAGGCCGGCAAAGACCTGCTTCATACGCATCGGCGCCTTCTTCACCACAAACACCACGCACCATTGACGCAGTCTTGCAACAACTTATCATTGAAGCTGATCGGGCACGCGTACGACCCGTCTCAGAAATGGGCCGTCGTCCAAGACCACCCTTCGAATCACGCCCAACAACACGTTTGAGTTCTTGTTCTAGCACCAGCGGTCGTAGTGAAGACGGCAGTCACAACAGTTTCATCAGTACTTCGACTTTGCCAACGAGTAACGCAGCGCATGAAAATGGTCGCGATGCGTACCGTCGCAACAAGCAAAATCGCAAGCAATACCGGACAACGGCCCTTGAGACGCTGCAACTGGTGCAACAGACCATTTCTGTGATTCGTGCAGATAAAGGTCAAGTGGAGGATGCCATGAGGTCTCCATCAGCTGCTAGCACGGATGGATCTAGCAGATTTTCATCAGATGACGAGGAGGACTTCAGTTCTGAGCTCAACTATTACTCCTCAGCTGGCTTTACAGGACAACGACGATACGCCAACTATCTTTGAGGTGTTTAATCCTCTCTGACTCCCACATGATCATATCTGTGTGGAGCTATTCTAGTCGCCGCGGGCTACTGCATTCCGCTGACTCTGCATTTTCAACACGCAAATAATCAATTACAATATAGCCAATCTGCTTTGCTGCGTCTTCAAGTCCTCATCCATCCTGTATGTTCCTGAATGATGCGATTTCAGTGCATCTGCTCATTCGCGGAACAGTAAAGCTCCCATCTGAAAAGCTCTATCTTATCAGACGCACACAGCTGGAGTCCACCATCCAGGACGACCCAACCTCAGACTACTCTTGGTCTGCAAGAGCGATTGCGATGCGACAGTGAAATGAACAAGCTGGAGTCTTCCCACATATGTTCATCAATCTTGTCCATGACCATGCCTACATCATCCTCCAATGCGGCGTGCTAGCCCTCATGCTATCACAGCTCTACACGGCTCTCCTCAAGCTCGCTCATATACCTGGCCCGTTTGCAGCTCGCTTTTCAAATCTTCTCTTGACCTATCACGACTACCGCGGATCACGATCCGTGTGGCTTCAGGACTTGCATCAGCGCTACGGACCTGTCGTGCGCATCAGCAGTGATGAAGTCTCCTTTGCAAGTCCCGAAGCCATCATGACAATCTATGGCATTGGCCATGGCATCCATAAAGATGAATGCTATGAAATGTATACGCTAGACGGGGAGGCTAACCTGTTCTCGACACTCGACGCACACGCACATGCTCGCAAAAAGCGAGTCTTGGCGCCCATGTACACAAAGCGTGCTGTAGATCGTCATTTGCCTGGTATTGAGAAGCGTGCCCATGCATTGATTCTTCAGCTAGATACTGGCTCATCTGTTGATTTGTACAAACTCCTGGCATTCTTCACGGTAGACAACATCACGGCTGTGGTGTACGGCGAAGAGCAGTGTAGCAATTCTCTAAGCAGCAATGCGTACAGACCTGCTATTGAAGCAGATTTGTATTCTGGCATTGACTATGGCAAGTTTTGGCAGAAAGCAGGATACAAGTGGATTGCCAGGGTCATCTATGCCGTCCAGCAAGTCAGATTGCTTTTCGCTGGGCCAGGACCAGCTCGACATGAGCCAAATTTGAACTCAGCATCCAAATCAAGTCTAGTCAGAAGACTTCTCGATGCCGGCGCATCGACTCAGTATATCTGGAGTGAAGCGCGCGACCATGTCATTGCAGGCTCAGACACAACGACAACAACGCTCGCCTATCTGTTCCATGCACTCGCTACAAGACAAGACCTAGTCCAGAGGCTTCGAGAAGAGCAAGAGCTCCCAATGGAGGAGCGACCATTGCTGGACGCAATCATCAAGGAGGCGTTGAGGCTATACTCAGCTATTCCGATGACTCTACCTCGTGTCACGAGCAAGGCTCTCGTTATCGACGGCATACCTATCCCCGCTGGTGTCAAGGTTGGAGCAAGTGCCTATGTCCTTCATCGCAACCGTATCTTCGAGAAGCCTGATGTCTTTGAGCCCACCAGATGGCTCGCTGCGACGCCTGCCATGTGCCGACATTTCTGGCCTTTTAGCAGTGGAAGCCGTGTTTGTATCGGTCAGCACTTGGCTATGCTTGAACTCAAGGTGCTTGTCTCTGCTATGATCAAGCAGGTTGATATGACACTGGCGGGCACATGTGATATGGCGCAGGAGGAGCGTGTCTCGAGCTTTGCCATGTTACCGCGCGGGAAGAAGCTCAACATGCAATTCACGAGATCTGATAGAATGAGTTGAACTCACTGCTTTGGTGTTTGAATGGCGGTAATACAGACCAGAAAGCATTTAACCTTCCTTTCCTTCTCAATTCAAAGCTGACAAGGCATTGAATTTGCACCGATTAGCTTGGATGCTTCAGTGGTTGAGAAGGAGCTCGGGACGAGGTATTTGTATCGACGAGAGAAGCGACAGAGCATGGAGGAGACTGGGCAGAGCGAAGGCGGTTGTGAATGTGTCTGGCACTCCTGGGCAAGAGTTGAGTCTTCTGCGCGCGGGAAGATTGCTCAAAACGCGACACCAAATAGTCCACGTACCGTGACAATCTAGGAGTGGCCCCGTAGGCACGAGCGTAGTCAAGCGCATGGACTTTCTGCGGGGTGTGCTGTCCAAGTCAAGCGGACTACCCGGCTACACACTGCTCGACAAAATCGATTTGCCCGCTGAATGTCTCCATACGCTGCATAATGCGACACGCAAGGAAGACGGCCTTGCATGCTCCATCCTGACGTTCGAGGCGACACCGTCTGTTCAGCCCTTGGCGCGCAATTACATGTCCAAGCTGCGGGGCATGAAACATCCATGTGTCTTGCAATACCTAGACGGTGCAGAGGTCGACGGCGTGGTCTACATCGCAGTCGAGCGTATTGAGCCGCTCTCCTACACCCTCGCTGGACGGGCCGCAGCGGAGATTATCACATGGGGCCTCTATTCTATTGCACAAGCAGCATTCTTCGTCAACAGCAGCTCGTGCATCCACGGCAACGTTCGAGTCAGCAGCATCTACACCAATTCGTCGGGCGAATGGAAGCTGGGAGGGTTTGAAGTGCTCTCCTCCATGAAGGATGCCGAGCCCTTTATCTGCCGACATGGAGGATTCCTCAAGGACGCCTACAGCTATACACCACCAGAGCTGCAGTCACGCGGCTTTGAAGACCTCAAAAATATGCCACTCACGGCGCTCGATGCGTACGGCTTTGGTTGCCTGATCTATACAGCCTTCAATGGTCCATTCAGGTCGTCTAGCGAGCTGCAACAATATGGAAAGATCCCAAACAGCATGCTAGCGCAATACAAACGGTTACTCGCGGCTAATGCTACATCCCGCATGTCAGTCTCTGCCTTGATTGATCACGGTAAGAGGGCAGGTGGATTCTTTGACACAGATGTGATTCACATTGCCGAGCAAGTCCCCTCGCTTGCTATGCAGAGTCGCGACCAGGTCGAGGCATTTCTCGAGACGCATATGGAGGCGCTCAGCAAGCTCCCACGAGGATTCAGTAAAACCAGGGTACTGCCTGAGCTTGCAAAGTCCTTCGAATATGGCGGTGGTGGCGCCACATCATTCAAAGCAGTCTTGGCTTTGGCAAAGGATTTTACACCGGACGACACGGAGGCCTTGCTCGTGCCGATTTTGCTGCGTTCTTGGCAATCAAATGACAGAGCAGTACGGCTCGTTCTACTGGAACACCTTGCGGATTATGTGGATTTGCTATCACAAAAGCAAATCAACGACAAGGTCTTCAATTTACTCGGCAGCAGTTTTAGTGATCCAGCACCTATACTCAGAGAAGCTGCCATTCGCTCACTCATGATTCTATGTCCCAAGCTCTCTGATCGCAATCTGAATGGCGACTTGCTCAAGCTCTTGGCAAAGACGGCAAATGACGCACAACCCGGTATTCGCACCAACACGACCATTTGCTTGGGAAAAGTGGCACGTTACCTGAATGCTTCAAGTGCTAGGAAGGTGCTGACGGCTGCATTCACGCGCGCACTCAAAGATCCCTTTGTGCATGCACGACTTGCTTCGTGTCAGGCAATTTCTGCAACGGCCGATATGTATGAAAAGGAAGATCTTGCACTGAGGCTCTTGCCGGGTATCATGCCACTACTTGTAGATGCAGAAGGTGTTGTCAGATCGCAAGCCAAGTCTACAGTGGAGTTACTTGTGCGGCGCGTAGAAACATTGACAAAGGACATGCCAGAGACAACGCTACAACCTCAACAAGCAAAGCAACTACCACAAGCAGGCAGTACAGCTGGTGGCGCAATCGAAACAGCAGGTGTTTGGGCAGGCTGGGCAGTCAGTAAGCTTTCACGGAATTTGGATGCAACCAATAGCAACGTGCCTAGTGGAACGAGCACGCCAGTCCTGGTCAGTCAGCCAGTTTCTCGTACGCCAACGCCTGCACTTCCTGCTGCAGCACCAGTCAGCTCAACAGGTTTGAAATTAGCATCCAAACCGCGGCGGAAGTTGCAACTCGTTGAGAGCGATGAAGATGATGATGATGAGGTGGCCGATGCATGGGAGCTGCCAGCTGAAGAGGAGTCAGTCAAGTCAAAGCCAGTACTGGCTCGGAAGACTGTGCCCAAGGTGAGCAAGCCTTCTCGTCCTGCAGAAAAGACGTCTGTCGACAGTCAACCGATATTAGCGCCGGCATTGAAAAAGTCGAATCTTAAAGCGAAAAAGGCAGCAGCTGAGATTGACTGGGATGATGATGCTTGGGCTTGAGCAGTCCTGGAGCTAGTCCTGCTCGTGCTTCTTGAAAGTTGGACTTCCTCCAACTGAGAAGCGTCGAGTGTGTTGTTTCAAACATCGTATTCACGCGGGGTGATGATCATTCTCAGGAGCATCGGGCTAGACTCTAGTCTCATTTCCTGGATCTTGCTGAATACGACGCATGCATATTTACTTTCCACCCGATGCCGTCGCAGTTGGCCACGAGGTCTCGCTCGAATACGATGCGAGTATGGCATCCGAATCCTCAACCCTGACCTCACATCCTTATCGGCAGCATGACGAGCATAAGCAAGGCGACCACCACGAATGTTGTTCATCATATGCATCAAGCAGTTGTAAGTTGTCTAGCAACGCCGAGATCTTTAATCTTGAGTCTCAGAGTCACGACTTGCTTGAGCAATCTCCTTGTTGGACTCTTCGGCGTACGGCAGTTGATTGGTGTTCAGCAAACCCCTGAAAAGCAGAGCAACGTGATTGTACATCAATTTCGAAATGCCAAGACCCAAGCCATGAATGCGCTGTTGTAGTAACAGGAAAGTCTACGTTGCGATTGTATAAGAGCAGCTCCTTCCCTCATCTCTTCCTAATTGTCTTAGGAAACCTGCAGCTGATTCCCAAAACACCAGAAACATTAGACCATTCGTCAAAGTAAGTCGTGTTTGGCATCAAGCAAAGACGGCCAGCTGACAATAGACGCCAGTCATGAAGTTTCTCGTCCTTGTATTGGTCGCGATGAAGGTGTCATCCCAGGCCTTGACCCCTGCACATTGTAACGACCTCAAAGGACTCAAGTCGCCATTCCGTGGCCATGGATGTATGAGCAAAGCTTGCTCCACTCACACGTGCTACTTCACCAACGGATCCGGAGGTGCGCCCAAGCCGGCAGAGTGGAAGTGTCCAGAGAACACATCGCTTGCCTGTATGCCACCGCAGGGAACATTTGGCATATGCAATTGCCAATGCGTTTCAGCCGCTTATCCTGCTGGGTGCGTGCCATTTTGACCAAATGCATTGGTTAGAAGTGTGCGAGAGCCATGTCGACAACCGACGTTCTGAATCGTCTTTGGGCTTCATATTAGCTTTCAGATAGTTACTGAAGATTCAATGACTTTCAGTAAGACGCGTGCTTATGATGGTAACTGGCTAAATCATGTGATTGGAGCGCTCAACTTGAAGAGTGGCCTAGACGCAGTCTCGCTGATCAATGGGACTTGCCAAATGATCGCAGGACAGGATGCGTAGCGAAGCGATGTCGATGGTGACAGTCGAGGCATACCTCGTAGCGACACTTGGGGATTGATCAGCAATTTTCATTTCTCGTGTTCATGAAGTGATTCATATAAGCTCGTTTGATCACTCAAGACTATGCTGAGCATGACAATGAGGTCTTTCCAGAACCAGCACATCTGTTGGTACCGGTCCTGCTGAGTTTTGTACAGACTGCTGATACTGCTGATGAGATGGGCTGTCGGGTGCAATCACAAGTTCAGGAAGGTGCATAGAATGATGGATTAGAGCGTATGAATGTATTGTCTGCACGTTCGAGCTTCGCTTCAGCATTGTCCAGGTGTCCATGAGTCAATTCCATGACTGTTCGGCCAAGAATGCTAAGCAAGACCAGCCCTCCGAATGATTACTCTTCCTCAAAGACAGTCTCCTCAATTGCCAACTTCATACTCGATGCATCATACGACCCATAATCACTCTTGACATCAGAATCGCGCCTCCCTTCAATGCCAGCAACCAATGAGTTGACTTCACGCTCTTCGCCATACATGACACTTGGCTTTGACGTTGCCAAGATCAATGGCGGGACTTTGACTTCAGTTGGTTGCAAAGCTGGATCCCACAATTTCTGGACAATACGCCAGTATCGTGCTTCATCAAGACGCAAGTGATCGACATGTGCTGAACCATCAAATTCTTCCGTTGTGACTTGTTCAGATCCCAAGTGGTATTCTTGGACTTGACGCGCATGCGAGAGAACGTCACGGTAGTCGATGAGATCGTCTTGCTTTGAATAGACGTAGCACCTGCGTTGTGCATGGACATGGTGAAGCATTTCATGACGACGCTCGCCAAAGGGGTCTTGTCCTCGTAAACGGCAAAAGAGCTTGAACGTCCAGTACCCGAGTGTGATCCAAAACACGGCAAAGATCTTTGAGAGGATGCCGAGATTATTAGCAGCAACAAAGGCCTTGATGAAAAGCATGTAGCGTGCACGGCCTGGGCAAGAATCAAAAATCATGGTTTGTGGCCGCAAGACTGTGAATTCATCGAGTCTGTTGATGAGTGCCGAGACGGACCAGCAGCCTCCATTGGAGAAGGCCTGCATGAGTACGCCATTTCCGGGCTTTGTGATATCGACAGAGTACTGCGCCAGTAAACTTGTCAAGATGTGAAATTCACGCCCAAACTTGCTGAAGGGTCGCATGTCTGTTGGGAAGGAGCGCACGACAATGATGGGCGAAGATGGGTAGAGGACATGGTACCCGGCAGCGTACTTTTTGACGTGCTTCAAGCGAGCGCCCAGCCAGCCAAAGATGAGGATGAGCCTGGGTTGAGGCTGCCGACCATGGGCCACTGCCTTGCGCGGTTTGAGAATGGAGGGTGGCGTGAAGTGAAAGCGTTTTGAGAGGGCCTTGAGCTCGATGTCCGTGTCAGGCTGCGGCGATGGAGCCTTGGGTGGCTCCATGATGGTCTGTGTGCCGGCCATGACTGGATCTTGGTATAGCGGGTAGAGCAAGGACTGGGAGTGTTCGGTATTTGAGGGCCCCGCGGTCTGACGTTTATTGACACTTTTCCAGGCTGATTCCCGCGTCAACTGGCTCAACTTGGCTGGCGAATTGCTCAACTGGCAACTGCTCAACTGCGGCTGTCTGCTCCCGGCCCCGGATTTGCGCTAAAGTCGAGATTTGGCATGTGACGGCAACGACATCATCTACTCCTCCTGCTGCTGCTGCTGCTGCTATGCTACTAAGCTATGGCTTACGGAAGAGGCTTGCTCCTATCATCGCTATCCTCATTGACCTCTCCCGGCTTGACTCATTAACAAGCTGATGTGCTTTGTTTGCTCCGCTGTCAAATATATGCTGTCAAGGATTAGCCGTCATAGTCACTATACGATGTGCAGGCTAGGCGGCGCATGAATCTCCAAGAAGGCATTTCAAGCCTCGTATAATGCTTATCGCAATCAGTGGTTGTCTCCTGGCAGATATCAGCGAGGTTGGTCGTCTCCTGGACGGCCTTGACCTGCTTCAAATTCGCCGGCTCGCCATTCTGCTGCAGTACCGACATCAATCATGCAGCCCAGAGTCGCACAACCCATCATCCGTGGTCTGCTTCTAGTCATCGCACTTCCGTACTTCCAGGTCCATGCTCAACTACCTAGTTCAAGAACAATCAGCAATTGCCAGATCGGACCAGGTCAAGCGACCACGCAAAGCACACCAATCACGCGACTATCCTTCAAGATGGCCGTTGCGCCAGCACCTACTACTATGACCAGCCCAGCCCAAGATAAAAGCAAGGACGTAGACCCGGGCTTGGCCATGGTGTTTTCAATGGCCCTTGGTGAAGGCACTAACAAACTGGTTGTTGAGGTGACCAAATTCAATCATACTCGATGCGGCCGTAGCCCGACAGATTGGTGAGCACTATAGAGCCAATGCTGCGATACTAATAACAGGTGTATCGCACTTGCGCATATCAACCCACCAAATCATCCTCACTTCTCCCCCGGCGTACCTTGGAATGGCCACCTGGATACGCTTACCTTTGAGGCCCTCGCAACAGGAGACGATGCGACTAAGCCCTCATGGCATTTGTATGGACATCAGATTGTTCCAACCCTGCTAATTCGTGTAGCAGACTCACAAACAGCTGGCCGCCGTTTCTTGCTACGCTTACATTCATTGATGTGCCTCAAGGTCCACCCATGACAAAGTATGTTCTGCTCAGGCCTCACTCAAACTGACACGCAGGGTTTTCAACCAAGTGGTATTCTATGATGACTTTGCTGGGACTTCCCCACAGCACACATTTCACGACATTGACATTGATCTATTGAAAGCGGATGCCGCATTCGGCAACACAGTCAAGCATCTCGGAGGTGGCGAGTGCAAATTCAAGGTGAATCCAGTGCTCGACGATTTACACTGGCATATTGCAAACCTGATAGTCCCACCGCTTGACGCGAAGGATGCTTCCAAGACAGCTTGAGCTAATAATTCCACGTTCGGAAGTATGATTGCAAATCACCGTGGGCTATCAGGACCCCTGATCTGTTGTGTTCACCTTTTGAAGCCGCGTCACTGCATTTTGCGTCCTTTCCTTCAACACCGACAGCTGTTGTCTATAGAAGCGGCACTGTTGCGCAAGACAGCTATGCAATGCATCATTTTTCTCCTGATTGTCATGAACTCAGTCTCCAATGCATTCAATCTTGGCACGCCATTAGCAACCAGAAGCACATGTGAAGTTAGGGCACCCTCTGGAACATTCATTGAGGAATTCTCTTTCCAGCTCACCGCCAACTCGCCACCAATGGAAGTGCAGCAGTTCCCTCCACCAGGTGACACGACTAACCCAGGCGTGTCAATTGCGGTTCAGATGAAGCTCGCTACTGGTCTAGTTCTGCAAGTAGTCGTCTCGCGGTTCCAGAGGACAACATGCAAGCACCTTCAATCAGATTGGTAAGTACTTCATGATATTGTCTGCTCTCTTATTGATATTCAGGTGCGTCACGCTGGAACTTGTCGGTTCTGGACGTCATCAATCCACTGATGGTTTTCCTTGGAATGGGAAACAAGACTTAACAGTCAAAGCAACCTCGATTATGGCTGGTGGAAAACGATCGTGGACGCTGTTTGTCTTTCAAGCTTATCGACTTGACGCTGACAGAGGCAGTACAGTGCAAAGTGTTGATGGACCACACCCGACATTCGCAGAACTGAAAGTTGATGGTGGGCCTATGGTATCGTATGGCTTCGCTCTTTCCTCTGAAGACTTGGCTGACAAGTAGAATCCTCGGTTCAGCAAACGATTATAAGAAGTTGGTGTCGCCCTCGTCCCAGCACATCTTTCAGAATGTTGATATTGTTCTGACGAAGATGAACAAGGGGGCCCCGCCGTTTGTGAAGACGTGGTTCAGTTGTGATCATCAGGCTCCGTTTATGATTAGCTCTCCCACTGAAAAGGGCAAGCATTGGCACATCAAAGCTATGAAGGTTCTGCCCATTGAGTTCAATCGCTTCTAAGCAGAATGTTGAGAACTAGTATAACATTCATTCGACTAGGCTGGTGTTGTTCTTGCTCGCTGCGCAGCGAGCCTCCTTTGGTTGCCCCTGACATGTTTGCGACAATCCAGAAGGACCAGAACCATTTGTTTGCCCCTGAAATGCAGGCGAGCCTCTTTGGTTGCCCCTGACATATTTGCGACAAGCCAGAAGGACCAGAACCATTTGTTTGCCCCTGAATTGCAGGAGACTTTGTTTAAAGCGAGGTCGCTGCCTTTTCCCACATATTCCAGGGAACTTCGATATGCGTATGACTCTGAAGAGCCTCGCTCTCTTCTACACGATACTTCACGGTATGCCATCGACTGTCGTCGCTCAGCATCTACTAGATCCCATGGTTCCGATAGGCTTCTGTCAGAACATTCCAAAACATCGGGAAAACGGACGTCCAGCCACGACCATCAAGCGCGTGTCTTTCAAAATAGCGACAGCCTCACTACCACAGCCTCTGCCTCCTCCGTCCAAACCTGGAATGAATCCAGGCATCGCACTTGTCTTTGAAATGTATCTGAACCCTTCCGATACGGATGGTGATGATGAAGACAACTCGCTCGGGGTTTACGTCACTCAGTTCAAAAGAGCGAGGTGCGGGCATCATGCAACTGACTGGTATCAACTTCCAGGCATTCGAGTGCAAAGCTCATCTCAGGTGCATCTTCCTTGTTGCCAAAAAGAACAACAGTTTGCATACAGCGTCCAATGGTATTCCTTGGAATGGTGCCAAGTCAAGTTTGACGTTCGAAGCATTTTCCCACAGTACAGGAGCCCAAGCTTCTTGGACATTGTTCGTCTCCTGTCACGATTTGTACTTGCTAATGAGGCAGGCGGGCGAGAGACAGCTTTCCACCTTATCGAACAACACTTGCCTCAATTGAGTTTCCTTTCAAAGGAGACATGACAGCGTATGACAAGAATGCTTAAAGCACAGACTAATGCTAGTTTGGACACATCAACAAGTTTGTATGACGATAACACGATAACAACACCGCCGCACATGTTTTACGATCTCGAGCTTGATCTGAAGGATCCAGCAAAAGACCTCTCCAGCGCTTTTGATGTTGAGGCAAGCAGAGATGGTTACTGCTTCTTTACTACACCGACTTCATCAGATGACGGATCTTCTTGGCATCTCAGGCATTTTGCTGTGAAATCCTTAGAATCAAAAAAGCTCTGAATGACCGGGTATTGATCTGCATTCTAAACTACATATCTTGATCGAAGAAATAACTTCAAGTCGAATCGTCTGCATCTCCAGACTCCTGTGATCAGCAATCACAGAAGTCTAGTGGGCCTCATTTAGTCAGACAGCGGTAGACAACAGGTATCACACTTTAACGCCTAGCCAGCTGCATCAGATACGTTCTCAAGTAGTTGATAATATTACCATAGAGCCTTGTTTACCGGCTGATTGACTCTGCCCTTGCTTCCCTGATTCGTCTTGGCGGCTGACCCTGGTTGTCCCATCTCGGAATTTGGGTGACAGGTCTACGGGTGACATCAAATTTGGAAGCACACAAATCATTGACAAGACTCCAAGCCAGGCTGCCCCTCAATAGTCGGTGCTGCCGGGACGGCCTGCTCACTGAAGTTGCGTCAGGATCTGGTTACCGCCACCCGCTGTGTAAGGATTCAATACAGATACCATGCCACGCGCAGCACCATTACGGATCTTGTGCTACCTACTTGCATCGGCCGTCATTCTATACCTCCTCATTGCTTCTGGCAGAGTCTCATTGCCGCGAAGAGACGGATACACAGAGACTTTCACGCGTCCGATTGATGACGGCACAGCGATTGTCGCAGGTACTGGCGAACGGCCCAAGATCCTGGAAAATGGCGTATTGGTGATGCTTGTACGGAATAGTGAGCTTCATGAAGCGCGCTTTAGTATGCGTGGGATTGAGGATCGTTTCAATAAACGCTTTGGATATGATTGGGTCTTTCTCAATGATGAACCGTTCACGGATGAGTTCAAAAAGTTGACGAGTGGGCTAGCGACAGGGACGGCGCATTATGCAGTCATCCCAAAGGAACACTGGTCGGTACCCAAGTCCATCAATCAAACGCGCATGAAAGAGGAAATGACCAAAATGGCCGATGAAGATGTCATTTATGGAGACAGTTTGAGTTATCGCCACATGTGTCGTTTTAACTCTGGCTTCTTCTACGATCAGCCCGTCATGGCGTCGTATGACTATTATTTCCGGGTTGAACCGTCTGTTGAGTACTACTGTGACTTCTTGGAAGATCCATTCAAGACGTTGCGCGAGAAGAAGGCCAAGTATGGTTGGGTTATGGCGATGTATGAGTTTGATCGTACAATCCCTACACTCTGGGAAACGACGCAGGCCTTTGCAAAGCAACATCCCGAACACATTGCCCCCAATAATGCACTTGGGTTCTTGTCGGACGATGCATCCAAAACTTTGCAAGAAGCAAGCTACAACATGTGTCATTTCTGGTCCAATTTTGAGATTGCAGACTTGAGCTTTTTGAGGTCCAAGGCGTATCGTGATTATTTCGCACATCTCGACGCAACCGGTGCGTTCTTTTATGAGCGATGGGGTGATGCGCCTGTTCATTCAATTGCTGCTGCTTTGTTTTTGAATACCAATGAAATTCATCATTTCGAAGCAGTTGGGTACAGACATAACCCTTACATTCGATGTCCGCCACAACCAAAGTTCCACACATCAGGACAGTGCAGTTGTAATCCAAAGGACAATTTCGATACTGATGGTTACTCTTGCTTTCATCAATGGGAACGCGCTGTTGAGCAATTCAAGAAGAAGGCAATGTGATGGTCGTGACGGGGATTATGAGTTCATATACAATTGCATATTAATAGATCTAGAAACAGGCCAGCCGGCTCCTTTGCAGAATATGGAGCGTCAATAAGCATCAATCAATGGATTCGCTGGCTTTCGTGTCGTTTGTGCAATCACGAGTTTCGTGAGTGTTGTCATACTCGGTGTAGGTATCGCTGCTTGTGCCACAGCTGGAACAGCTGGTGCTACCGGCGTCGAAACGGTTGGCTCATTCAGTGCTGCAGCTTGACCTTTTGCAAAGACAAGAAGCGCCGAAAGTGCATCGACGAGCATCTCTGCCTGTAATCGCGGTGATGCAGGCACAGCTGACGCTGATGACACTGCTCGCACATCTTGGTTGACTTGCATGGCAGCGCTCTGTACCGCCACAGCCTGGCCCGCAGGGAGGGCAGGCTGTGTGACTTGGACGTCCATACAACTCGAGTACATCTCAACAACACCAGCGACTTTAGGAAACTGCCATAGCCAGACGAGTTGGTAGGTGCCCTGTGCCAACGTTGTTGGGAGTTGTACTTGAGATTGACATTGTCGTGGTCCTGCACGGCCGCGCGTTGCATCTTCTGCGCAGAGTCCATCATCGTAGTTCCCAGTTGCTACAATTTGTGCTGTGTTGAGGTCATTGAGTGTTTTGAGGGATTGAGAGGCAGATTGTAGGTACCAGGTATAATTACCTGGATGTGGCAGGTTATCTGGTGCTAGCTTATCTTTTGTGACATGACCGTTCTCGCTGTAATTCGCAATGAAACTCTGTCCTGCAGGGAGCACAAGCATAGGGAACTGAGAGGTATACGCAGGTGCTTGTTGATTTGACTTGCAGAGTTGTGTGGAGGGTGAGAGGTTATTGATTTGGAAGGTTGAGAGGGCATCGATATGGCCACCGTAGCCTCGTATATAGCCTACATTCGACAAGTTACCCACCTAGCTTGTCAGTTTGTATGCCGGACAGTATGAGATGCGTACCTGTGCGAGATTGTCGATCCATGAGTGTGCGGTCAGGCCGCTCATATGCATGAGCAGTAGTGCACAGAGACTTTTGTAGGACATGGCGAAGTTGGTAGGGTCCCCAAAAGGGGGATCAACAAGCGATAGCAGGAGAGGTCTTTAAATGTTCATCAGAAGAGGTCATGGCCGTTTAAGGCTACTGGCTAAAGCGTTTCGCATGGCAAGGGGGAGTGAGCTGCTGAGTCTGAAACGAGGTCCCTGCACAAAGGAGTAATCATGGAAGAGCACATATTGAGCTGGTATTTAGCATTCAGCATCACCAGCACCAGGCCATTGGCAGCAAGCAGCATTGATACGATTTCTTTGTCTCTTGTAACTGGTTGAGTTGAGTTTTCACTTCTTGGCGCGAGTTGAGAAAGAAAAAAATGACAAAGCAGGCAGCGACACTCACCGACCTAGTCAATAGCCTCGTCGTCTTCATGGCGCAAGTCGCAGGGGTGCAGACTCTACAAAGGCCACTCAATACAACGACGCGCTTACTCGAGGAAGAGGCACTCCCGCGCTATACGGAGAATCCAGCCTACGAATCCACTGCACCTCCTCAAGATGTCACACGACAAGCTGTGCGTCGGCATGAGTATAAAGTCAAGGAAGACTTGAAACGGCAAGCAAAAGATCTAGCGGCGTGTGAAAAGATACGACCGTACTTGCCTGCGTTGTATGCGCAACTGATGCGTGCTGTGGAGAGGGGACAATCTTCCCAAGCATCCGTCGGTCCAGCTGCTTTGAGATCTGCGCACCTGAGGGAGCCTGTGGGTGTGGATATAACGTTCAAGCTACGAGGGATTGATCAAAAGGCATTACGGCGTAATCTGCCGCGGTTGTTGGTGGAATACGCGGCAGCGCAGGATGTGATTGCGCAGACGGAGCTGGCGACTGCTGCTGCTGCTGCTGCTGCTTCTGCTGATAGGTTGCATGATGGCTCAATGAGTGATGCAGCTGGTGCGCCGCTATTGCACGCTCAGACAGCACCTGCATCGACTCTGATGCATGAGAGTGAGAGGCCTGCTGCACTACACAGAGCAGCGACGACCTTTCAATCACGGATTCATGATGCCGACAGACTGCAAGTGGAGGGTCTGTTCTTTGACAAGTACATTCAAAAGATCTACTTCAGCAAGCGGTTTGTCGGGATGTTCAGGAAGAATGAGTTGGGCGAGAGGCAGGTTGGTCTTGGGCTGGCGTTCATTGTGTTTGGGTCGAAGCTGGGTCTGCCATTATGTGATGTGATTACCTATGCTGCGTTGGACCTGCCGCGACTTGCCTTGCAGGGGATCACGGGAAGGCAGAAGCTGACATTGCGGATGTGAGTATGTGGGTTTGGTTATACATATGATTGATAGCGATGGCAGGTAAATGTGCATTGTGCAATAACTCCAGTGATGTATGACTGAGAACTGTACTTCCTTCTTTGTCGTCCTTTGATCTTCGCAAGTGTAATCCTTTATGCTGGTCCATTGCTGGATCACTTGCTCAGCCTGGAATTTGGTTTGCAGGATCAAAGGATTGAGTGCACGTGCTGGAGTGACGCAGGATCAAGCTGCAAGAGACAAGGCAACGACAGACAAGTAACAGAGGCGGATAAGATGGCAGGGTCTGGCTGAGTCTGACAAGAAAGAGTATGCTAACCATCCAGTGGACTCGATAACGCCAAAAAGATCATTGCAAAGCTCAGAGACGAGGGTCGCGAGTCAGAGTTTGGTATCTCCCAACCTATACACGGCGCACCCTGCTAATACCCCTTGCTAGGCTACGTCTACTCCATCTCAGGACCTGTTGTGATTGCCGCAGACTTGGAAGGATGCGCCATGTACGAGCTCGTCCGTGTTGGACATCAGGAACTCGTGGGTGAAGTCATTCGTATTGAAAAGGACAAGGCCACCATTCAAGTGTATGAAGAGACTGCCGGTGTGACAGTCGGCGATCCCATCATCCGTTCAGGCAAACCACTTTCCGTGGAACTCGGTCCAGGCTTGATGGAAAACATCTATGATGGTATTCAACGACCTTTGCGAGCCATCAAGGAAATCAGTCAATCCATCTATATCCCTCGTGGAATCTCAACACCTGCTCTTGACCGTAAGAAGAAGTGGGATTTCAACCCGGGAGACCTCAAGGTCGGTGATCACGTCTCTGGCGGCGACGTCATTGGTTCTGTCTTTGAAAACTCTTTGCTCGACGACCACAAGATTCTTGTTCCCCCTCGTCAGCGCGGTACCATCACCTCTATTGTTGAGAAAGGGTCGTATGATTTGGAAGATACAATTGCAGAGATTGAGTTTGAGGGAAAGACGAGTAAGCTCACCCTCATGCAGAACTGGCCAGTCCGTGTGCCACGACCTGTTGCTGAGAAGCTTGCCGCCAACAATCCACTCCTCACAGGTCAACGTGTTCTCGATGCCTTGTTTCCTTGTGTGCAAGGTGGTACCACAGCCATCCCTGGTGCGTTTGGCTGCGGTAAAACAGTCATCTCTCAATCCCTCTCGAAATACTCCAACTCCGACGTCATCATCTATGTGGGTTGCGGTGAACGTGGTAATGAAATGGCAGAAGTCCTCATGGATTTCCCAGAATTGTCCATTGAACGTAATGGTAAGCAAGAACCCATCATGAAACGTACAACCCTCGTTGCGAATACCTCCAACATGCCTGTTGCTGCGCGTGAAGCATCGATTTACACGGGCATCACGTTGAGTGAGTATTTCAGGGATCAAGGACGTGCAGTTGCCATGATGGCTGATTCTACGTCACGCTGGGCAGAAGCGCTTCGAGAGATTTCTGGACGATTGGGTGAAATGCCGGCTGATCAAGGATACCCTGCCTATCTCGGTACAAAACTCGCTTCATTCTATGAGCGTGCTGGCAAGGCACAAGTCTTGGGAAACCCACAACGTGAGGGTAGTGTGAGTATTGTGGGTGCAGTCTCGCCACCGGGAGGTGATTTCTCAGATCCAGTCACAACATCAACATTGGGTATTGTTCAGGTGTTTTGGGGGTTGGATAAGAAACTTGCTCAACGGAAGCATTTCCCATCCATCAACACATCTCTCAGTTACTCCAAGTATACGGGTGCTTTGACGCCTTGGGTAATTTCTTCGATGCATTGTTGAGGTTTGCTAACGGACAGTATGAGAAGAATCATCCAGAATTCTTGTCGTTGCGTACATCGATCCTTGAGATCATCACGCGAGAAGAGGAATTGTCGGAGATTATCCAGCTGGTTGGCAAGTCTGCCTTGTCTGAGCCAGACAAAGCAACGCTCGATGTCGCCGGGGTGATCAAGGAGGACTTTTTGCAACAGTATGTGTCTTATTGGTGCGATCGAATCATGCTGACTCCCTTCTAGGAATGGATACAGTGCTTGGGACAAATTCTGCCCTATGTACAAGACTGCCTTCATGTACGTCTCTGCCTTAACAGGACAATTGTTGAGACATATACTAATATTTACAGGATGAAGAGTATCATTGTATACTACAATGAAGCGCTACAAGCCATCCAGAATGGTATGACGTGGAACAAGACGCGTGAAGCAACCAACAGTGTGTTTTATGAACTGTCACAGATGAAGTTCCAGAACCACGATGTCGAGGGTGGTAAGGAGAATTTGACAAAGTACTTTGAGGAACTCAACAAGAAGATTGCGAATGCCTTTAGGGACTTGTCGGAGTAGCATTGTGGCCCTGGATAGTTCTTAGTTCTTTCTTTTGCACCTCTGACAGACTACATTGGCATGCTCAGTTTAAGACTACTACTACGAGACTACTAGACTACTACTGTAAATATCAGTCCGGGGAAAATGATGTCATGATCGCTTACACAATCAAGCGAGATGTATAAGTCTAGAACATGTCACTTTGATCTTATACCAAAACCCAACTCACAATCATGTCTTCAGCGTATGTTCCTGCTCTTGAATGACCTGGTCCAGCTGATAACCCCAGAAACCACAACCTCAACGTCGCAGATGCAGCACGCGAAGACTCAAAGACAACCATTGGCGTTGGTAACGATGGCCAAGGCGGTGGCTACTTCAAGGGCCTTCAGAAGGTATACCTTTTCCCCCTCCATTACTCAAGGCAAGACCATGGCTAACTTCATCAGAAGAGAAGCATGTCGCAGGACATGGTAGAGAAGTTCAAGGACCAAACGCCGCAAGATCCCATTGGCTCGACCTTTGCCAAGTTGACGGGTATTGGTGGCTCAGCTGCTGATGAGAGCAAGTAGAAGAAGGGAGTCTGATTGCCAGGTGCATCCTCTTAGCATGTCAGTTCCCTAGCACTCATTGTCATCCAATTTGCACTTCAATCAGACCGCGCCATTGTCCTCTCAAGACTCATGGAACAGACGTCTTCAAAAGACGCGTCCAACACCGCGACACACGCGACACTGTTCCTCAACCAGTCCAAGCAGCGTCTGCTTCGTACCATACCCTTTACAATTCCCACACAATCGACCACCAATCCTGGGATCACCCGCTGTAAATACAGGCGCGCCCATAGGAACACCTGCATGCGCTGGTAGATGCTGAACCTGTGCCGTTTGTACGCCAAACAACCGTTCACAAGTCCCACAGGGATGTCCGTTATAGTGTTTGATACCCGTATTTTGACAGTGTTGACAGAAATACCCGGCCGGATACGGGAATGGTGCAGGGCGTTGCCAGGTGTTGAGGCCTCCATTTGGAGGATAGCCTTGTGTATGGCCAGGATGCGCGTAGGATGGGCCCGGCACATGGTAGTGTTGCGCTGGTCGTCCATTAGGTACTTGCGGCTTGCTGGTTGATGCAGAGGGAGCGTCGTACGCAGGCGGTAAGTCGTCATACTCGTTGAATGGGCGACTTGAGCCTGCACCCGGAGTGTCTTGAGCCTTGCCCATCTGTGCCGAACCAAAGTCGCCTTCTCAGGTGCAGGTTGTCGGTGAAGTTGCAGAAGACGACTTTTGTACGCGACGAACTTGCGACCAGACCAATCACTGCAATCACTTGGTTGACCAGGCTCAATCGCTGAGTGGAAGAGCTGCTAGATAGTATGGTCGATAAAGAAGATCCTACAAGGCTGATTGCCAAGTACTTGCTCGACCATGGCTACTTGAATACGCTAGAAGCACTCTCTCATGATGCTGCCATTGCACTTGACCAGCTCCAGCTAGAAGACGCAGATGCAGTCTCACTCGAGTCAATCCTCGCTGAACGAAGTGAACGTCTGCTTAGCTTGCAGCTCGCGAACGCAAAGCTCAATGAAATGGTTTTGCCTGTGTGGTCTGCAGAGACATGTCCCTCGCAGGCCTATTCTTTGCCGGGTCTCGGTCAAGCCAACGTTCTCTTTGTTAGTGGTGTGAAGATTGATTCTGCGTTATACATCCTGGTTACGACAGCAGATAAGCTGCTGAGGCTATACCACGCAGACACGTTCGAGTGCCAGACGTGGGATGGCATACATACATCGCCCATCTTGGAAGCCCGTGTCATAGGCAATCACTCGCTTTTGACGGCAGGCATGGATGGAGCAGTCAAGCTGTCAGATCTGAGAAACTCTCAATCGCCACCTGAAACGCTACCTGGACGACACACTCGCTATGTGCATCGTCTTCTTCACAACGACGCGCAGACGTATCTGGTCTCGACTGGCTACGACAAGCAACTCATCTTGTACAAAATCGCTTCAGGCAATACACCCAGCTCAGAGTCATTCAATTTGGTCGCCTCTGAGCAACTTGCAACAGTTGTGGAAGGTCTCTGCTTTGTCATGCTGCAAGGAACTGAACATCTCGCCATCACACGCCGTGATTCATGTATGATTGAGTATCTTTCCCTTGACACCCTCCAAGTTGTCCATACAGTCAACATGAATGCCAACAAAGACCTCTGGGTCTCCTTCTCAGGTGTCGATCTCGCTATCCAACCAGTACCGCCGCATCTCCTCGGCGTTGCCACTAGTAAATCCCCTCTTGGCCGTTGGCTCGCCTTCAAAGGTCATACAGTCGAACCAACACCGCCAGATCATATCATTGCCGATATTTATCACGGAGCAGCCGTTTCTGATCTTGGCGTTCTTCCTCGCTTCGCCTGGCGACCTCATGGCTCTGGCTTTTTTGTTGGCTCAGACGATGGCACCATCTATGGCGTATCTATCAAGACTGGCAAGGTCATGAAAACCCTACGGAATCATTCTGCTGCTGTTAGAAGTCTGTGGTGTGGTTTTGATGCTATTGGGAACGAGGTACTGGTCTCTGGCAGTTTCGACAAGACTGTTTCCATCTGGAGAGTCTGACAGGGCTTCTTCCCAAGTCAGTAGGCTCTCCATCGCTATCATCTGCGTTGTCGCAAAGGAACAACTCTTATCCGGCCGAGCATGTCCTTCATCAATATGCAGCTTTATTCGGCCTGCCGCAGAGCCCTGCGCATGCTAATTGTGATTCTCGGGCCGGGTCCCTGAAAGTGTGCTCGCTTGTCATTCACATGTGTGCTCCTGGAGTCGGAAGCTCGAGAAGCCGCAATTTGCTCCTGTCGCGCCCATCCCAAATACGCATCCAAAATACCCGACCAGATTCCGAAAATTGTTTAACTCGGGATATAAATAAGGGGCCTTGTCCTCACAAATCTGGTCGCCTTGCCGATGCGATTCCGCTTCTCATCTTGGACTTCAAGGTATGAGAGAGCAATACACGCACACCATCTTTACTCATCTGACATTAGAATGCAAATTGCTCGCTTCAGCATGCTCATGCGATATATCACACTTCTGACTGTGGGACTATGCCTTCTTGATACCACTGCAGGCGACACCGCAGAGAACTGCGAGATGAATCCGGGCTTCAATTTTGACTTTTTCGGACTGACAAGGGGACCTTTTGATCAGACGACGTGTACTGCCAGTTGCCAACCCCGTTTCAATGCGCTCACTTCCAAGCCTTTCGATTTTTGTCTGGCACAAGGCGGCCACATCATCATTTCTTGGAAGGCTGAGATCACAGAAGAACATGGTTTCAAGGAATGTCATTGTCGATTGTGGATGTTCTTTACAAAGCTTCAGACGACGTCCGAATGCAAGGTCAATGTCGAGACCGACACACCTCACATGAAGTTGCGAGAAAACCTGATCTCTGTCATTCAGTTACGACCAGCATTCACCACAACCCTTCATGGGGTGACGGGATGTGGACTCGATACAATACAGCAAGGCGATGGTTGGTCACAGTTTAGCATTTTGCCGGAGAAATAGGCTCAATTTTGTTGGCGGCTATTGACTTCAGCTGACCCCTGATCGGCAAAGCTTGCGCCGGGTCGTATCAGATTTCTTTGATTGATGTGCCGGCGCTGCAGTCCCATGTAGCTGACTCCGTGCGTAATACGCAAGCCTTTCACATATCACAATGTGCCCCTGTTGCTGTAGCGGTACGATTTTTGGCATCTGCTTGATCGCTACTATTCTATCGGATGCACAATGCACAAATTTTGGAACGCAGACCACTCAGCGAACTACAAGGTGCAAGAATGTTCTGCAGTTTGTAAACGTGTCGCGTGCATTTGCGCAGCTTAGCTGCAGCTGCAGACGCTGACCAACAAATAGATATTTGACATCGTATTTGGACTGCTCCAGTGATGACTGGACTGTTACGAGACCTATTGTCCTGAGTTTAGATTCTGACCAACAAACAATTTTAAGTAATCTCGCATTCGGACTGACTGCAATTATTCCATAATATTTTACTTATCGAGAAAAATCCTGCAGCTGTTGCTGGATCGCTATCATCTGCAAAGCAGCTAAATGCTTGGGCGTCCAGTCATCGGGCGAGCCAAGAGGTATGTTAATCACATTCAAGAGCAACAAGTCAAAGCGTGGTAGCATTCCAAAGCAGATAGGAGGCCAAGTCTAGAAATATGCGAGCCGTGTTTAAGGAGCCGTGGATCAATGAAGTCAGGGGTGTATTGACAATAGAACGCTCTGGAATCTTCAACTTCGAGGCTCCAGCGCATGTATAAAAGACTGTTTCACCCTTCCCTTCCTTTGAAACAATCAAAGCAACGACTGCAATGTTGCTCAGTATCAGCCAATTGCATGAGCTTCAAAACAAGAGTCGACAAAGAACAACAAGTCTTGCGCATGTCTTAGACAGCGTAGACTTCTATATGCATATCAGTACAGATGATAAGCGATTCTATTTCAAACGTGAGCTCTTCTTGTTCTTCCTCACCTTCATCGCAATCCTGTTTGCAATAGAATCGCTTATCATCTGTACTGGTATGCATATAGATGTCCACGTTGTCAATGACATGCGCAAGACTTGTTGTTCTTCGTCGACTTTTGTTCTGAAGCTCATGCAATTGGCTGATACTGAGCAACGTTGCAGTCGTTGCTTTGATTGTTTCAAGGGAAGGGAAGGTTGAAGCAGTCTTTTATACATGCGCTGGAGCCTCAAAGTTGAAGATTCCAGAGCGTTCTATTGTCAAGACACCCCTGATTTTTTTAGACTGGTTGCAAGCTGCAGCTTCGCATCATATCTGTCTATTCGTACGATAATGATTTATCAGTTTTCTTTTTAATCTGCCTCAAGGCTGCCATCTGTCTAATATCTTTTGTTTCCAGTTGTCAAACCTCACAAAAGGTACACTTATACAACAGGCTCATCTTTCATCTACTTGCAGGCGAGCTCGATGAAGATGTGGCCGGGCTGTTTGTACCTACCGAGCCATTGTAAGGTCGGTACAAAGGAAGTGGCAATCCTCACATCTCCAAGAATATCAACAGGACCATTGTTGGTGGTCAGGAGACATTGTTATACTTCTGAGAAGAGGCGTCTCACGATTGACGAATGGTTGTTTTCACCGATTGCAAGAGCCGCGACATGCAAAGCGTCCGGGACGCTAAAGCTTTTTCCAATTTTGGAATTCGAGAAAGTAGCCATCCAGCTCGTAATGAATCAAGTCGCACCGGCGGTACCCTTCGATCTTGAGCTTTGTCGTCTTGGCATCATCGCGCTGTGTTGCAAAGCGCGTCATTGTGAATTTGCCTGGCAGGAAAACGTCCAAGACGCGACTGAGGTCTTTGACTGCGCCGGTCATGTTGGTCTCAAAAGACGCATATGAGCATTCTTGCTCTGGTGTGATGTGGATGGTTGCATAACTCGTACCGTCCACCATGTTCGCAGAGTAGCCGAGCGGGTCAAAGACAAATGAGTCCATGACGCTTGATGGTCTGCGGCAGCATATTTTCTGGAGACCTGATTGCTTGGAGCAGATTGTACCATAGACATGACCGACGGAGGAATCGTCATGTGCGCCATTTGCGCCATTGTGTTGCTCCTCGTGCTTGGTAAGCGTGGTGGATTGCATCATATCGGCCATCATGTCCTCTTCTGTCGCTGCAATGGTGCTCTTGTAGAATTGCTGAGCCTTGTTCACATCCAACTCCGTCATGAGTACTTCGAGTGTCTCATCTTCAAAGTCATCCTCGTTTGCTGCCCCACTCTCGAGGACTTGCTGCTGTGCCTGTGAAAACATGTAGAGAAACCAGTGATCACCATTCATAGGGCCAATCTGGTATGCACTGCCACCATCAAAGAACCGGTCCAGATAGTTCATCTCATCTTGCCAAGTCTTGTGTGGTGCCTTTTGTGCGTCGGGAAACATGTAATTCTTGCGAGAGTAAAAGACACGCCAGGGCTGAGTGTCTTGTGGGAAAGCAGCATGGTCTCGTGCAATATCAAGCAGTGCTTGTAGACCCGCAAGTAGGGTCGTTGTGCCGCACGTTTTGAGGATGAGTTTGTGTGGAAAGACAAACATGGATGATTCTGAGAGAAGGTAGGCATCAATGTCTATCGCATTAATGACAGACAGGACTTTGCACTGGACCTGGTCGAGCATGGTCTCCCAGACATCACGCGGCACGACCTTGAGACCTTGCGGCTTGCACGCCGAGGGTAGGTCGTCTGGACTTGCACAAAACCATACTTCAAGCAGCTTTTCCGGTCCTGATTGTTAACATAAATGTCAATTGAGGCACGCGAGATGTCTTACCTTCGAAACCAGTCTCTGACCAGTCCTGGACAATGGTCTTTGTAGGTTCCGTTTGCGTCATTGTCAGATTGGCGTTCTATGGGCGGCGTTATCTGGCTCTGACACGGATCAAGGTCATATAGGAATGTAGCTGGGAGCAGAGCCGTCTCAAGCAGACACTAGGCGACAGACTTTCTCAGCAGACAGAGACACAGAGGCAGCCGGTAGATGTGACTTTGCTTGAATCTGCGGCAGAAGAAAAATAAATTTCGAGATCCTGGGCACGTGCAGCCAACTTCACTCCACTATTTGAGTATTGGACCAAGTACCTCTGCCTGTTTATTGCTCTGGAGACGGGCCTAGCGACTGGACAGACAGCAGATGATGGCAGAAGCTCAACCAAAAGGTATTCTCAAGAACAAAGATGAAGCGCCAGCTGTGACGCAGGTGGAAGCATCAGCCAACGCCATCCAGCACAACACCCTCGCGAATGCGAAACCAAGCCATGCAGGCACTGCTCAGCCCATGAGTGGCCTGGAAGGACAAACTGGACCAGGTCAGCGGCTGAAGTGGGATGAAGCCAACCTGTACCTCACTGAACAAGAAAAGAATTCTACCATGAAAATCACAGAACCCAAAACACCGTACGCGCCTCATTATGATCCTGCGCAGGATGCAGAGGAGATGAGGCATCTGGATGGCATGGACTTGGATGCCAATGAAGGTCATTCATCAGGACAGCCGGGAAACAGCCGTGTGGAGGATATTCCATCACTGGACATTGGTGCACCAGAGCAAGAGATGGATCTCGATGTGCCTGCTTCCAAGGTCAACGGAGCAGAGTTTCTCAGTCGATCAAATTCAGGCACCACGCGGCATGTTCAAGTGTCTCCTGCTGCAGAGGTGATGGATGATGAAGCCGAGGAGGCAGGAGAGACGAGGACGCCCGAGGAGGAAGAGAAGCACAGGCAATTTGAAAAGATGCGCAAGGAACACTATGGTAATGCTGCAGCTGCTCTGAGAAGGCCCTCAATGGATGTGGATGAGGAGGAAGAGGACGACGAATGACACATGCGCTACAGCACTAATCCAATTTGTATCATACCCCAATGCTCATGACCTTAGCGTTGCCGCTTGAGCTTGTCCATCAACGCTTTGCTCCGTGTCCTTGACTCTTTGCTCAATGTCGAATTTTTGCTCTTGTTGACTTCGATGTACGACATGGTATCGCCACCTGCCAATGAACTCAACGTGCCAGTCGTCCGCTTCACCTTGGCAGCAGGTCTGCCACTCCCACTCGCACCTGGTTGTGCCTGGCCAAACAGGCTGTCACCCGGCTCAGCGATATCCGCTGCATCTTCATTTTGTAGCAAGACTTCTTGCAACAGCTCGTTGCGTTCTTGTTGTGATGTAAAGGCCAAGTTGGGAAGAGTATCGATACCCTTGAGATGCGTAATCACCTTGAACGCATACCCTTGATCTACCAAAAAGGCCTGCCGCTTGGTAGAGTAAAACATTTCTTGCGTATCTTTGCTGACAAGCGAATAGAAGAAGGCATTGAAACCCTCGTCATTTCTCCGTTTCGCTCGCAGAATACGGCCTAGTCGTTGCGCTTCTTGCCGTCTGGAACCGTAGTGCGATGAAATTTGAATCAAGCAAGTCGCTTCGGGCAGGTCGAGACTCGTGTCTCCAACTTTACTCAGAAAGATAGTGTTGACGTGGTCATTGTACTGGAAGTGCTCCAAAATAGACATGCGCTCTTGTTGAGAGGTGCCACCGTAGATGAAGTACTTGTTGAGTTTCTTTGCATACTGTTGCAAGGCGTAGACGTTGTCGGAAAAGACAATGATTTTGTCCCCGCGCTTTTCATGATAGTCAATCAGGAACTGACAAGCCTGAAACTTGTTGGGATTCATGACATACAGCAGCATGCGCTTCCTTGACTTTTCGCGCAAGTACTCTTGGTAGAACTCAGTCGTCATGGGACACCAGACTTCGGCGCATTGGACATTGGCGATATGTCCCTTTTGCGCGAGATCCATCCAATTCGCCTCATACAACTTGGGTCCAATCAAGAAATTGAGGTCATCAATCTTTTCGTCTTCACGAACGAGTGTCGCGGTCAAGCCTAGCTTGGCATGTGACGCAACCGTCATGATGACTTTCCTAAACATGGCAGCAGGCACGACATGGACCTCGTCCAGCAACAGGAAACCCCATTCCCGTGACCTCAAGAAATCCATCATCTTTTGTGATTCATGCGAGCGATTGCGGGTATTCGCCACCATGGAGTATGTGCTCACAACAATCCCTGCATCGCCCTTGAACTTTTCCTTGTGATCTGACGTAAAGACTGCAATGGAATCAGCCTTGATGTTGGACCATTGTAGAAATTGTTGCCGCCATTGCATAACAGACACACTGGATGTGGCAAGAACCAACACTGACTTTTTGATGGTACACGCAGCGGTGATCCCAACGAGAGTCTTGCCTGCACCACATGGCAGCACAATGATACCTGATCGTGCTCTTCCATTGCCAAACATTTTGGAGAGAGACTTTTCTTGATAGGGTCGAATTTGCGTCGATGGCTTCAGATCAATCTCAAGATTGGGATTGGCGGTATCGCGTCGAAAATCATATTCCTCAAGCACAGGATAGTCAATCTCCTGACATCGCTTCTTGACAATCTCATACGACTCTGGGAGAATCTCAAAGGAATGCACAGCATCTGGATCTTCATCTGCTTCATCTTCCTTATCAATCCCAACGATCGCTGTGAACAAATCGTCAGGTTTTTCTGGTTGTTCCCCTTCCTTGAGCGCTGGAATGCCTGGAATGACAAGACCCGCCATACTTGGGCGAACACCGCGTAGCAATGTGTCTTCTGGACCGGCCATGACGCGACATGGACCAATCTGCTCATCACGCAAAAGCATTTGCAGAATATCAGCTTGATTGCTCTCCACGAAATAGCGATTTTCTTTCAGCACGAGGCGTACTTTACCATATGATAAGGTTGCCTGTTCAATGAATGTCTTGATGGACTCTGGCAGCGGAGTCTTTGATAGACGATCCAGCACAGAAATGATGTCTGCAGTCTCGAGACCAACAGAAACGGAAGCAAAGAGTGAAAATGCAGTGAGCTTGTATTCGTGTACATGACTTGGCCGTGATGTTGGTTCAGCAATAGCAATCAAAAAGTCCTGCGCTTGCTCGGCAAGTGGTGAGAAGGCTTCAAGAATGATACGGCCATCCTCCGGGTCAATCCAGAGTGGCCGAGCAGCATGATCCAGCTTCAATGTCAAGAGTTGTGAAAAGTCATGCCGGCCAAAGAAGGAGGACACAGCATCGCCTCCTACAATACCTTCGGGCTCTTCCGTAGCAGCAGTGGCAGACTGCTTTGAACGGCGAGCAACAGGCCCTCGAGCGCGCATGGGTTTATCATTATAGTCTTCGTCGTCGCTGCGCAGTTCAGGCTCACCGAGCTCTGAGAATTCTTCATCATCGCTGTACTGCTCTGGCGATGCCTGCCTGTTGCGCTTCGGAGGCATCGCGATGAGCAGAGAAGAACAAGAGCTATGCTGCTATGTAGATGGGTGTGCTCGCCGTCTCGGTGGCGGTAAAATCAAATTCAAATTGCAGCTTGAACGATGACCACCACGCAGGAAGACTAGAAACAGCATTGCAAGGGCAGGCTATTGACTAGACTGCTATGAATACACCTGGATCTATGGCGCTCGGATGGGGCAGCCTGATGTTTGCAGGCGGTATTGCCTATTACTGGGCAAAGAAGGATATCAACGCGCGGCGCGACGAAGCGCATCGTCGGCGCTTGGCACATACACCGAGTGTACGGCCTGCGGATGGTACGGACGGGTATGTGAGTGAAGTGGTGGGTGGTGCGCCGGACTATACGAAGCCAAAGTATAGGATAGCGACAGGTCAAGCGACAGAGACGAGAGATCGGTGAGTGCTTCATGACATTGCGCCGCAACTATGCTGACAGACTACAGGGGCGATCGCCTAGGATGAGTATGGAGACGAGACTGTCTTTCTGCATCAGCAGGAGCTGCTACATCATGCGACAATTATTGGCAAGGATGATTTAGGCCAGAAGTGCGGCCTGATGGAGCCCAGATTCTCAATTGGTCCGTCTTGATGTCTGGCTGTCTTCGCCATAGCATGCCGTAGCCCACATGACCACTACACACAAGCATGCAAGCAAACCTGCCCTTCCCACCTCTCCTTCTGGAAGCTTCTGGCTGTTTCTTGCTCGCGATTCTCAAATTTAAAGACGCGACGACAAACAGCAACGACCAGCAGAAAGACCACGCAAGAAGCTCATTTACTCAATGCTCAGACACGCTATTGCAAGGGCCAGGATAAGACCCATAGAGAGACAGCTAGCTACCAAAACACTCCACTCGCTCGCTCAACCTCAAGCAGTATGGAGACAACCTCCGCTCAAACCAGTGCTCGTTCATGCGCATCGCCACTATGCGGCGCCGCGTCCACCAGGCGGCACACACCGCATGAACATGGCACCAGACAAAGAACCTGGCGCTGCTCTCAAAGAATACGGTGTTGATCTCACTGAACGTGCCCGTGAAGGCAAACTCGACCCGATTATTGGCAGACATGCCGAAATTTCACGAACCATTCAAATCCTCTCTCGCAGAACAAAATCATGTCCTGTTCTGTTGGGGAGCGCTGGTGTGGGCAAGACTGCTGCCGTAGAGGGACTTGCACAGCGGATCGTGAAGCAGGATGTACCGGAATCCTTACGAAATAAGCGTGTCATTGCGCTGGATCTTGGCTTGCTGATGGCCGGTGCCAAGTTCCGTGGTGATTTCGAGGAACGGCTCAAAGCGGTGCTCAAGGATGTCGAAGATGCACAGGGTGGTGTCATTTTGTTTGTTGATGAGATGCACCTCTTGCTGGGTTTGGGCAAAGCAGAAGGCTCGATCGATGCCGGCAACCTCCTCAAACCAGCCTTGGCGCGTGGAGAACTCCAACTTGTGGGTGCGACGACTTTGGATGAATATCGTAAGTATATCGAGAAAGACGCTGCTCTGGCACGACGCTTCCAGCCCGTTCAATTGGATGAACCTACTGTGGCGGATACCATCAGTATTTTGCGTGGCCTCAAGGAGAAATATGAGAATCATCATCGCGTGACCATCACGGATGCAGCACTGGTCGAGGCAGCTGTTGCGTCGAATCGGTATATTACAGACAGACAACTTCCCGACAAGGCGCTCGATTTGGTGGATGAAGCCTGTGCTGCGTTACGACTCCAGCAAGAGAGTAAGCCAGAACAAATTCAAGCACTCGAGCGACACATCATGACGCTGCAAATTGAGCTTGGATCACTGAAGAAGGAGACTGATCAGATGAGTGTCGATCGTCGTGAAAAGCTTGAAGCGGAGTTGGCAGACAAGCAAGAGCAAGTCAACAAGCTCAATACCGCTTGGGAGGAAGAACGACAGCGTCTTGAAGATAAAGCACGTCTCAAGACGGAATTGGAGCAAGCACGACTGGAGCTCGAACAAGCACAGCTCGCTGGTGACTTTGGCAAAGCTGGCGAATTGCAATTCTCTATCATTCCAAAGCTGCAAGGGTTGATTGCTGAGCAGCAACATGCTGGCGAGACGACCTTGTTGAACGATCGTGTGGGTGCAGATGAAATTGCTCAGGTTGTCTCCAAGACAACAGGAATTCCTGTCACTTCTCTTTTGCAAGGCGAACGGGAGAAACTACTACACATGGAGGAATCAATTACACAACATGTCATTGGCCAAGATCATGCCATCAAATCCGTCTGCAATGCCATTCGCCTCTCTCGCGCCGGTCTTCAAGATGCCAATCGGCCCATTGCCAGTTTCATTTTTGCTGGTCAGAGTGGTACGGGCAAGACAGAATTGTGCAAGACGGTGGCCAAGTTTCTGTTTGATTCTGAGAAATCGATGGTACGGATTGATATGTCAGAGTACAGTGAGAAGCACTCCGTCTCAAGGCTCATTGGACCACCGCCTGGTTACGTTGGGTTTGAGGAAGCTGGCGAATTGACTGAAGCGGTACGACGTAAACCGTACGCGGTCATCTTGTTGGATGAGATTGAAAAGGCACATGAGAGTGTGACGCTATTGCTGTTGCAAGTACTGGACGAGGGGTTCTTGACAGATACACAAGGACGCAAGGTGGACTTCCGCAATACGCTGATTGTCGCAACGACTAACCTCGGTGGCCATCTCATCCAGGATGCAAGCTTGCAAGCTGATGGCACACTGGATGAAGCAACAAGAGACAAAGTACAAGCAGAGATTCGCCACCACTTCCGACCAGAATTTCTCAATCGCTTGAATGAGACTATTGTCTTCAATCCACTATCACGCGAGGCGTTTGGCGATATCGTGGAGATGCGGGTCAAGGAGATCAATGAGCGTGTGGCAGATCGACGCATGCACATCAATGTGTCTGAGGATGCAAAGCGCTGGCTCGCAAAGGAGGGCTACAGCACAGTGTATGGCGCACGTCCGCTCAATCGGCTCATTGAGCGATCTATTCTTGTGCCAATGAGCGAGCAATTGATTCGTGGCGAGATTCGCGAAGGTGACAGCGTGGTGGTGACGGTGGATGAAGAACAGAATACGCTCAAGGTGACGGCACTGCCTTCACAATCATGATTTATGGCCATAATGTGTGTAGCGTGTTGATGATTATTGCATATGTAGGTTACGCTGTTCCCCACTCACTACTCTAGCTCTGCTTCATCCGCTGACGGTTCTTCGCCAATGATGTTGTGTGCTGGCTGGAAGATCTGTACGATATTGTCTTGTGCTGCACTCGCCAATGTCCACGGCTGGTGCAAGTTCCAGGAAAAGTCATGAATCAAGTCCGTATGGCCGCCATGCAAGAAGAATAGCTCTGGAGGCCCATCTTCCTTGTCATCTTCTGTTTGTTCCTCCCCAATCTTGCTAAGATCCCAGAGGAGTAGACGTCTGTCTGTTGCCGCTGACGCTAAGATTGTCTCTTCTTTTGGATGCCAGTTGATGCTCTGCACGTCACCTGTATGGCCTTCTAGTGTATGGATCCTTGTTTTGAGATGTCGCAGATCCCAAAGAGCAAGCGTCGAGTCTGAGGAGCCTGTTGCAACGACATACTGGTTGATGGGATTGAAGGCGAGACAATTGACGGGTGCATCGTGTGCGCGCGTTGTATGGGTAGGCTTGTTGCGGTCGTCTGAGCGTGTATCATGGATATTGAGACATGTATCATCAGAAACACTGCCGAACCAGGTGGGCTGCAGAGGATGCCATTGGACATCGTTGACGCCCGAGGTGTGTGATTGAAAGACAATTGATTGATCTAGCCGTGCTCCGTTGGCGGATTCCACAGCATTGATGTCCCATAGACGCACATCTTCAGCGGCCGTCAATAGCAATCCCTGACGCAGCGGAGACCAGCTGAGCCCCCAACCCTCAGCAGTATGTCCCACAAGTCTGATTTGTGGGTTACAAACACCCGTAGGTGTATTGGAGTGCATGGTCCGATCAAAGACCAAAACATCGCCACGACTGCCGAGCGTAGCAATCATATTGGGGTTCTGAGGCATGTACCGCGCCTTATTGACTTCGCCTTCGTGATCAATCTTTTGTATGATTTGGATCCGTGCTTCGCCCGAACCAGGGCCACCGTAGCCGCCGCTCTCGCCAGTCTCATCATTGTAGCGGCCAACGTCGACCTTGTCTGGCATGTTGGGAAGATTTACAGACGCGATTTGGACGTAATTCTGGTCGAGATCAGAGGTATGTGTGCCGAGCAGTAAGCGATGCGTGCTGTAGCCTTTGCCAGGGATGCTGTGCTGCGTTAGTCGCTGGTCGGATTTCACAAACAAGAAGAGCCTTACTGTTCTACATCTGGGAACCATTGGCAGGTGAGGGTCGGCCATTCAAGCGCGTGTGAGATGACTGTGTCGTAGAGGTAGATGCTATTCTTCTTCCACACCTTGTACTCTTCATTAACGCGTTTTTGTTCGAGAATAGCGCGGCCCTCCTCGTTCGCCTGGTCACTGTCTACATCCATGGCGGACATGGCGTGCTGCAGTCGCTTGGGCCGTGCTCCTGGGGATTTTGTCTGGTTGGTAGCGGGTGGTTCAATGTTCAATTTGGTCCGTGTCGTGGTGAATTTGGGTGCAGGCAGCAGATGACCGCGAGTAGTGGTTGACAGGCGAGGTGAATGGGCTTGAGCGATAGTCTGATACTCTTCTACTGCTGTATCTGTCCTCTGATCCCAGTCTCGAGCAATGGCCCCGTGTCAATCACCCGGCAGAGACAGCAAGAAGCCCGCTGGTACTGCCCATCTGAAAATATTGCCCATTTCATCCAATACTTCTGGTTTGTACCAGTTTATGTTGTTAAATCCTTTGATTTCTGCAACAAATCAGCAAAGGACGAGCAGCAACACCTCAGACGAGACACAAAGACCTCTGACACACGAGGAGGACAAGAGCAGGAGCGGGCCAGAGGCACAGACACTTCCCTTTTACTATCTCTACAACCTCCGACCAATATGGGAATCCCAAAGTTCTTCAAATGGATGTCCGAGCGGTATCCGCTCTGCTCACAGCTCATCGAGCCCAATAGCATCCCAGAGTTCGACAACTTGTACCTCGACATGAACGGCATCATCCACAATTCCACGCACAAGGGCGACCATGGCATCGCAGGCTCCCTCTCTGAGGAAAAAATGTTTGTTGCCATCTTCAACTATATTGAGCATCTCTTCGCCACCATCCAGCCAAAGAAGGTCTTCTTCATGGCCATTGATGGGTGTGCTCCACGCGCAAAGATGAATCAGCAGCGCTCAAGACGGTTCAGAACCGCAAAGGATGCGCATGACGCGCGAGACAAGGCCATCAAGTCTGGTCAAGAACTCCCAAAGGAGGATCCATTCGACACCAATTGCATCACACCAGGCACAGTCTTCATGGCGAGACTCTCAAAGCAGCTGAAATACTTTATCAACAAGAAGGTCAGCGAGGATGCAGCTTGGCGCGGCGTTCGTGTCATCTTCTCAGGTCATGACGTCCCAGGCGAGGGTGAACACAAAATTATGGAGTTCATCCGGACGGCAAAAGCCCAGCCAGCGTATGATCCAAATGTACGTGAATGTCTCTATGGCCTCGATGCAGATTTGATCATGCTCGGCCTCCTCAGTCACGAACCTCACTTTTGTCTACTCCGTGAAGAAGTCACTTTTGGTCCCGTCAAGGCTGGCGCCAAGACAAAAGAGCTCAACGATCAAAACTTTTACCTGATGCAACTCTCCCTGCTGAGAGAATACCTCGAGCTGGAGTTTCTGGAGCTCAAGGATAAACTTCCCTTCCCTTATGATATCGAACGCATTATTGACGACTTTATTCTCATGGCATTCTTTGTTGGTAATGATTTCCTTCCCAATCTGCCAAATTTGCACATCAACGAAGGTGCATTGGTGCTCATGTACAAAGTATACAAAGAGACACTTCCTCTCTGCGGCGGCTATATGAATGACAATGGTGTCATTCATCAAGCAAGACTGTGCCAGATGCTTGAAGGTCTTGAAAAGTTTGAGCGCGAGTATTTTGAAGCAGAGTCACACGATGCCACGACCTTCACGTCAAAGGAAGGCAGTCACCTCGATAACATCGAGAGTGCCAAGTCCAAGAACCGTCTCATGTTGACCAAATCGCAGAGTAAGCTTATCCAGCAAATCAAGGGACTCGTCAAGCAAGGTGAAGGCAGTATTCAAGTCAAAGACAGTGAAGACGTGGAACTCAAAAGCTTCGTTGAGCGGATCGCTTCTGAACTCTCGCTCTCTCGCAAGTCTATTGCTACTGAGGAAGATGGTGCAATCGCCATGATGACACGCTTGCAAATCGACACTGCGTCTGCTCAAGATAAAGCCGCAGTGCAGCGTGCTCTCACGCGCTACAGTAAAGCACCTGTGGTCGAGACGACGCTTGCAGAAGCCGAAGAAGCCATGCATGCGGCGTATCAAGAAAAGTTCAATGCTTGGAAATCAGACTACTACAAGGAGAAGCTTGGCTTTACTCTGGATGATGAACAGACATTGACCAAGATGACTACCAACTACTGTGAGGGTCTGCAGTGGGTATTGTATTACTACTACCACGGTGTTGTCAGTTGGGGCTGGTACTACGGCTATCACTATTCTCCCAAGATTAGCGATGTCCGCAAAGGTCTGCAATCGGGTGACTTCAAGTTTGACTTGGGTAAGCCCTTTAAGCCCTTTGAGCAGCTCATGGGCGTTTTACCAGAGCGCAGTAAGAAACTGGTTCCAGAATGTTTCCGCGAGCTCATGGTGGAGGAGGATTCACCCATCAAGGATTTCTACCCAAATGACTTTGCCCTCGACATGAATGGCAAAAAGGCAGACTGGGAAGCAGTTGTCAAAATTCCATTTATTGATGAGTCAAGACTACTGGGAGCCATGCAGAGTCGAGAGAGCAGACTAACGGCCGATGAACGCGCTCGCAATACGCACGGGCCTGCTGTCGAATTTATCCACGATGAGTCTGTGGATTCATTGTATCCATCTTCGCTACCGGGTTTCTTTCCTGATTTCCGATCGAGATGTCGCGTTTCGCTATTTGAACTGCCTGCACTGGGTGATGTCAAGAATCTGACGCGCGGATTGACAGAAGGCGTCTTGCTTGGTGTTGATTCTCTCGCTGGGTTCCCAACGCTACACACGTTGCCCTTCAAAGGCGTCCTGGCAACACACGGCGTCAATGTCTTTATGCGTGATAGCAAGCAAGACTCCATGGTCATCCACCTCGGTAATCCACAGGCAGGCATCAAGTCAGAAGACGTTGCACGCGCTAAAATTGGTCGCAGTGTATATGTCAACTGGCCATACCTTCAAGAAGCACAAGTCCAAGCAGTCTCCGACTCGCATTTCAGGTATGAGATGCATGGCAAGAAACTTGTGCCCGTCCCACATCGTCAAGGTCCTGAGGCATGGAGCAGGACTGCGAAACGTGTTGCTGAACGGTATAGTAGGAAACTGGCTGTTGTCACAGGACCTGTCGAGATACTTGTGCATGTTGCACCGTTGCGAGGATTGCGTCGCACTGAGGAAGGTGCATTTGTCAAGGACTTTGTGGCTGAAGAGGGACAAGACAATGATTACGCGCTTCAGACTGTCGTGGACAATGTCGTTTCTGTTGATGCGCGCTTCACAGAGCGTGCAGCAGTCGATGTGGCAGAGGAATTTCCTGTCGGTTCTAAAGTCTTCATGCTCGGCAGTTTCAATTATGGCCGTCCAGCGCGTGTCACGGGCCATCTGGATGGTAAAGTGGACATTGTCTTGTCTGTGCCGAAAGTCAAGGAGCCTGACTTTGGCAGGCAACTTGCGCAAAAGGCACTGACGCGTGATCGCTACTATCCTGCGCCGGTCGTTAGCAAAGTTGTTGGCATGTCTGCATTGAGTCTCTCCAAGCTTACATCTTCCTTCTCTGTTGTCCTCAAGGAAGACCGTCTCAACTTGGGGCTTAATCTCAAATTTGAGGGCAAGCGACAGAAAGTCTTGGGCTACTCGCGTCGTTCGCAGCAAGGATGGGAGTTTAGCGACAAGGCTGTTGCTCTACTGCAAGCCTACAAGAAGCAATTCCCAGAGTTCATTACTGCTTTGGAACAGCTTGCGCGCAAGGACAACGTCACTGCCGAGGACTTTTATCGTGACCCTGAGTTGGCACGTACCAAAATGAAGGAAATTCGAGACTGGCTCAAGAGTGTTGAAGTCAAGTCATTTGAGCGTGTTCCACTTGAAGCACAGGAACTCGATGCGGCGACCATTGCTGAGATTGAAGCTGCTGCCAATGTTGCTAATACGTCTGCTAGTGAAGTGGTCTTCAAAACTGTGAAGGCCGTGCCGCGCACTGCTTTGCTACGACCTGAAGACGCTACGCATCGTTTGGGCAATCAAGTGTTTAGTCTTGGTGATCGGGTCGTATATGTTGCAGACACGGGTAAAGTCCCCATCTCAACACGCGGCACTTGCGTTGGCGTGCACAAAGATTCCCTCGACGTCGTGTTTGATGTGGCATTTATGTCTGGTACCGTGCTCGGTGGTCGTTGTTCAGAGTATCGTGGTATGACGGTGGATTATGCTTCAGTTCTCAACTGCACCCAGCCTAGCGTCTTGGCCATCTCCAAAGCCGAGCATGTCAGACAGCCGGCCGCTGCCTCGCAACAGCAGCAGCCTCAAGGGTATTCGCGCCAAGTTCGTGGTAGCCAGCCTGTAGCTCAGCGCGGTGGACCACCTGTTCGATTGCTTGCTCGCAATGCACCTATTCCTGGTCAGCAATACTACTCTGGGCCACCAGCGCGGGGCGGTCATGGCAATGTGTGGCAGGGTCGTGTGGATTCACAGTTCTTGGGGAGTATGATGCAGCAAGGTGGTGTGGTTCATGGAGGTCAGGTTAATTGGCAGCAGCAACGACAGATGCACACGGGGCCAGCTGCAGCTGCTGGGGTGCCTCCGCAGCATGGAGCTTCGCGAGGGCGTGGCGGCCAAGGGCGTGGCGGCCAAGGGCGTGGACGGGGGCGTGGAGGCCGCGGTGTTGCGAGAGGTGGCGGCCCTGCAACGGCTGCTCAGTCTTGATGAAAGTACATGTAGTAGAACAACTTGCACTTGTGCACATTGCTATTGACTGCTCTTGACTTGATTGAAACGAGCATTTGCATGAGCTTCGGTCCATTGTCTATACAGATTGTCTATGCAGCAGATCGTGGAGGGAACGTGATGGACTGCGAGCCCTTGTAGCTGCCCCATCGAAGCTTGCCAACATGCTCTTGTTAGCCATCTCTGTACCTCTAGCAGCATTACTTACAGGCATCGTGTTCCAGTAGAGCGTGAATGTAGCATTGCGGCCATCAAAGACCTTGGCAATGTCGCCAATGGGATACTTGTTACGCTTCTTGGCCAAGCTGACTTTGGCCTTCTTTGGCGTCTGGATAATAGCATCCCAGACGGTGACTTTGTTCTCCTTCCACTTGGCGACCGTCCCTGCGACTGGCTTGGGCAACGCAGCATACTCTGCCACCAGATAGGCAAACACCTGCTTCGTGTTCCAGTCATTGAACAACGGAGTGAAGTCTGCCTGCAAGTCGAACGTCACATGAGCATACTCCTGCTGTGCTGGATTGTAGGACCGCGGCGCGCGCGAGTACTTGACCACCGTCTTGGTGATGTCAACCTTGCCAATTTGGGGGCTATCCCTGTAGAGAACAGAGGAGAGAGCCACCAAGCCGCCCAGGACGAGTAACAGGGATGTGAAGAAGCTAAACGCGCTCTGCAGGCGTTGCCAGGCCGAGTACATGCTCTACAGATGGCTCTCTAGCTGAGCTGACTTGTTGCGACGTGTCCAGATTCCCAAATTTCAAATTTCAAGACGACGCGACCGACGCGAACCGAACTCTACGGGGGTGGAAGTGCACGGATCTCAGAAGTGAGCGGTCATATGGTAGGGGATGTATAGAGAGAGTGTGGCAGATGGCTCCAGCAAAAAGGCCCTCGAGTGCAGCGCCGCCTTCGCCTGCAAAGAAGCGTACAAAGCAGGCGACAGCACAGGCAACGCCACCCAGACAGGGGCCCTTGCTTGATTTCTTCAAGAGCCCGCGTGTCAAGCAAGAAGAAGATGCAAGAGCTGCTGCGAAATATGCTGAGATGGACCAGTGGCTCGAGGCCGAATCGGAGGGTGCTCCAGAAAGTGATGAGCAATTGGCACGAAGACTCCAGGCGCTCGAGGATAATCAGCTAGCAGAGGACGAGGCGCTAGCCAAGAAGCTGGCAGCAGGCTTGTCTGATGATGCTGCTGAGAATCCCATTGCAAGTCAAATGGCAGCAGATGAGGCTTTTGCTCGGAGCCTCGAAGAGCATCCGCCTGGTCCATCAGGGCCATCGGCTCCGATCGAGGTGCAAGGAAGTCCTCCGAGGTCATCTCCAGTCAAGACTGAAGCAATTCAGAGCAACGCTGCTCCTTCTGCTGGGCTTGAAGATACTGAAGAGTCCCCAGTCTACACTCTCGACCTCGGTAATGCAATGTTCGATCCGCTCAACCATAAAGATATCGCAGCAGATTGGACCGTCAAGTCTACGCCGTATGCACTGCTTTCCCACACCTTCACACTCGTCAGTTCAACGCGTTCTCGGCTACTGATTGTAGATTGCTTGTGCAATATGCTCAGAATGCTCATCGTCTATTCCCCAGAATCACTCCTCTCTGCCGTTTGGCTTTGTACGAATGCAATTGCACCACCGTTCGAGAATACTGAGCTTGGTCTCGGTGAGAGCATCATTGGCAAGGGCATCAAAGCAGTCTCTGGCGTCAAGTCTCTCAAAGCCCTGTACAATAAGCACGGCGACGCAGGCGACGTTGCCTTTGAAGCAAAGGCGAAAGTCAGGACAATCTTGAAACCAGCGCCCTTGACCATCAGTGGCGTTTACAAAAGTCTGCGAGAGATTTCCTCCTCCAAGGGAACAGGCTCAGGAGAAAAGAAGCAGAAGATTGTAGAACGACTATTGCTTTCTGCTCGTGGCGAAGAGGTTCGATTTGTGACCCGAACGTTGGTCTGTCATCTTCGAATCGGTGCAGTCAAGACAACTATGCTCATTGCCCTAGCGCGTGCCTTCTCACTCAACAAGCCCTCAGACAGCACAGCAATATTGACTCCCAATCTGATGGCGTTAGCCAAAGATCCTCGACAAGAAATCTTCAAGACTTCAGAGCAAATTGTCAAGCAGTCGTTTGCTCGCCGACCCAACTACAACTTACTTGTGCCAGATCTGTGTGCTGGCGGGATCGAGCAGCTCTTGTCGGGGCCAGACATCTCGATTGGCACACCCATCAAGCCAATGCTGGGTCTCATCACGCGAGACCTGAACGACATGTTTACGCGTCTTGCTGGTCAAGCTTATACCTGCGAATACAAGTACGACGGTCAACGTGCACAGCTCCATTGCAGCGAATCAGGGCAAGTGAGTATCTTTAGTCGACATCTGGAACGTATGACGGAAAAGTATCCAGATCTTTGCAGCTTGGTGCCGGATATAAAGTCCGATCAAGTTCGTTCGTTTGTGCTCGAAGGGGAAGTCGTTGCTTGGGACAAGCTGGTGGGTATGCAAAACTTTCAATCTCTTGCAGCGCGTGCAAGGAAGAACGTTGAAGCTGGTACTGTCAAGCAACAGGTATGTCTTTTTGGCTTTGATCTCATGTTCCTCAATGGCGAGTCTCTACTCAACAAATCGCTCAGGGAACGGCGTGATATCTTCAAAACACATTTTCGTGAAGTTGAGGACCGATTCACATTTGTCAAGTCTATCGATTGCCCTGAAAACAGTGAAGAGGATGTTCTTGCATTCTACAAGGCTGCTACAGATAACAAATGCGAAGGCATCATGGCGAAGCTACTCGAGAATGAAGTTCCTATCGAAGCTGCAGTCGAGGAAAAAGAAGCACCAAAACGCAGTGGTCGTAAAAAGGCACTCTTGGCGACTTACACGCCTGATCAGCGTCTCGAATCTTGGCTCAAGGTGAAGAAGGACTATGATGCCGGTGCTGACTCGCTTGACTTGATACCCATCGGTGCATGGCACGGCTCTGGTCGCAAGGCTAATTGGTGGTCTCCTATTCTACTGGCTGTTCGCGACAAGGAAACAGGTATGCTGCAAGCAGTTTGTAAATGCATCTCAGGCTTTACTGATGTCTTTTACAAAGATCTCAAAGTCAAGTACGCGGAAGACGCCGAAACGACTTTTCAAGGCGACATGCCAGGCGATGTGGATTCTCCTCTACATCCTGATTACTGGTTTGTGCCACAAGAAGTATGGGAAGTGCGTATGGCAGACATCACATTATCACCTGTGTATCGAGCTGGTATTGGTCTTGTGTCTGAAGAACGAGGCCTCAGCATCCGTTTTCCGCGATTCATGAAGCGTCGTGAGGACAAGTCCATTGAGGAAGCATCGACAGGCGAAGAATTGGCTTACATGTTTCAGCAACAAGAAAAGCGTAGCGATGCGCCAGTCAAGGATGACTTTGACGAAGATTGAGCCTCTCATGCCTGGCCTGCAAGATCTTCCTGGCATTGCTTGCAGTTGCAATCAAACCCCCAGTCGCGAATCGCTGCACGTCGTTCGGCACTTGTTGCAAATTCGCGGTCACCGAGGTAACTGATGGTCAGCTCTTCGCCTCTCGCAATGGCACGCATGGCAGTGAACTGCATTGCACGACCAACACGAAGCTTGGCAACGTTTGGTGTACATGCGTGATTGAAGAAGCTGGACTGCGGGTACAACGCCCAGCCAAGTTGCTCGCTCTCTGCAAAGGAGTGGCCTTCGTGCTGCTCCCAAATGCCGAAGCAATTGACGCGAGATCTACTCATGGCATCGTGGACTATTTCTTGTATACTGTGCTTTTCGCTCCATGCCGGAAAGGTCTGTTTGAGCTTTGCTGAGATGAGCTTGGCTGTCTCATTATCGTCTGCATCAAACAGCTCCGTGCCGTCTTGAAGTTTGAGCATGTCGTCATAGCCCACAGGGTCATCTCGGCACAACGCCATTGCACTGCAGCAGAAGCGAAGCATATCTTCTTGTGCAAAGTCTTGCACGTTGCCTAGCCTCATAAGTATTTGGACAAGCGTTGCTGAGTTGGTCTTGAATAGTCTGGCGCACTCCTCTGTACAACAACGACCTAGTATTCCAGAGCTCTTGCTATTACCATCAAGCTTAAGACTGACTTTGAGAATCTTGCCAAGGTCGTAGTGAAAGCACCAAGCACAGCATTCTTGTCTGAAGACTTTGTAGATGGCGTTGACCAGAACAGCTGGTTGCTCATTTAATACAATGTCCTGGGAGTCCATTCTCTGGGCAGAAAAGTAGCTCCGCCCTCCGTGCGGTACAAGTCTAATCTCTGGCATGAGAAACGAATGAATTATAGTTAAAATGCAAGGCCCGTCCCTATGGATGCTGTGTAGTGTACAGATACAAATGTGCAACGCTCAGATTTACAATTTTTTTCCTCTCAAAAGCCAGCACGCTTCTTTTTCTTCTTCTTTGTTGGGTCCGCTCGACTTCCATGTGGCCCAGGCACTGCTTGAGTCATGACGAAAGCATCGCCTTGTGATGATCCTTGCATTGGTTGTGATGATGCCGGTACTGCGTCCGCATCTTGTGTTTCGCTCGGCTGCAAATCAAGAGGTCGACGAAGATGAGAGCGCGGAGTAGGGGGACCTCTCTGTGAGAGCAACAAAGGCGGCCGGGATGGACTTGACTGCGCGACAACAGGTGTGCCAGCAACTTGAGCGGGCGTGCCTCGAAAAGCAGGAATCGGTCCCACTTGAAAGTGCGAGCGATCTTTCTTGCCGATAGTATTGTGTGCTTCATGATGGTTGGTGTCGCACAAATCACGCCAAATGTAGCCTTCTGGAGCCTCACTAGGAGCCCAGTCACCCAACAGCTTTTCGAGAATCTTGTTCTTCGGCTTGCGTTCTGGCTGTGTATATTTCCGGAAGCTGGTCAAGTCCAGAATACCATCCTGTTGGGGTACCGAGCCAACCACAACGCTTGCAAGACAGATCCGATTTGCTGCCTCCCTCACCACACGATCACGGGAAAATTGGGCATCCCGCCGGCGAAGCCTCTCGGGTGTCCATGTTGAAGTAAGGCTTGTCTGAATTGCCTCTGCAGCGAGTGACTCGCCTTCGTGGTGCTCGAGGCTAAACCCAATAATTGCCGAGATATGTTCGAGTGAGGCCGTGAAAAAGCCACTATCTGTATAGTCTTGTACCAGTACTTCGATGGCATGGTCTACTTCGTCGCTTGTGCTGGAGATGCGGTGTTCAGTGAGCAAGTCATAGGCAGTCAGAAGTTTGCCCGTAGCTGGAGCGTTCCCTTGTGAGTCACTCGACGTAATCTTCGCGTACAATTCAGACAGATTGCTCTGCCTCTTCTTGCTTGCTGATCCAAGAAGAAAGCCATCCTCATCAACATCTTCATCGCTCAGTTCTTCTGAAAGGATGAGGTCGTGTCCATGTCTGATTGTGACTCTGCGGCGTTTGAAGCGCATCGCATTATCGGTCGCCAGCATGGACGAGAGCAAGCAGCCGTCTTGCGTAGTAGAAAAGACTTGGAAATATCCCAAGTCATCAACATCTTGGACTGAGCGGAATGGCAGGGCGCAGAAGCTCGTTTGTACATCTTCAGAGCAAAATTCAACTGCATATGGCTCGAATGTTGTATTCCCAACTTGCAGAAGCTTCAACGTATAGATTGTGGCCCAGCCGTCGAGCTTTGACCACACCAGAATGCGCTGCAAGTTGCCGTGTGGTAGAATGGCAAGTCCGGGTTTCGATTCGACTGGACGATAGTGGGCCCAACCGACGATTGGCATGATTGTATCCGTCACCTGGAAGACTTGTAGCCTGGCTGTCGTCAAGACGGTGAAGATATCAGCAAATACTTCGCTGCCGACGGTTTTCTCTGCGGCAATGACCGCCTCACCCCGCTTGCAAATCTCTGATCGGTTCATCTTGCCTGTATTGGTATCGAGTGCGCATAGCTCCGACCCGGCAATGAAAATGAGCAAGTCTGGACGCAATGCAGCCCAAAAGGCTTTATTGAAGGTTTCCGGACGTGTCGCAGTCTGTATACTGCGTAGATAGATGAGCACATGCTGAGTCCTGAGAACTTTGACTATTTGCCAGATTTGAATGACTCCGTCTGTGGTCTGTACGGCCATGAGGCCAGTCTTTGAGAGAGCCACAGCTGTTGCATCGCGCGGCAGAGTGAAGGAATCGTCGTCGACGTGCAAGCAATGCCAAGAGAACTCAACATCACCAGCTACAGGAAAGTGTTCCAGTTGATATACTTTGAGATCATCCTCAAGCAAGACGGCCAAAATGTTGCTGGCCACATCAGAGGCAAAGACCAATTGACGAATGCGTGAACGGAACGTGTGCTGATATACGCTGTTTGGCAGTATGTTGTCGAAGTAAGCAGGAATTCGTGAATCGCCAAGCTTAGCCAGATCCATATGTCGTCGCGAAAGAAAAATACTGAGCGTGCTGGGCGACGTGCCCAAGACCGCTGCAAAGCAACGCTCCATAGATCGCTGTTCGACGTTACGAGAGTATCCAACCACAATCTGACTGTCCAAGTCCAATCGACTTGCTCTTCTGACTTGACCAAGAGCATAGTCTTCTCTCATATGGTCTAGCAAGAGATCGTCATCAATTGCAACTGTTGCATGGTGTCGTCTGAAGCGCCGTAGCGCGTGTACGCCGGGCAGACCTTCCTGACCAGCATCATAGTCGAGCTCACGATTCAAAACCAGGCACCGCTCTGGTTTGCCAGCCGCGACAAGCCTGTGCGACGATGCGGCTAGGTCATCTTCTGAAATTTGCCGTTGAAAGCGCCACTGCCCTTGCGCGTCTCGGTCTGCTGCGCCGAGTACACCATAGCGGAGCAGATCGTCCATACATTGAGCCTACGAGATGGCCGCTGAGCAGGGCCCTCGTTCAATAGCTGCGACTGTGTTGTTGGCCTCCAAAGTCAAAAAATGTTTTTGTTCGTCGTTTCTGTCTTGACTGACTCTACTCTACTCTACTACAAGACCAAGTCGAAGTCTACAAGTACAAAGCCTGCTGCTATAATGTACAATAACCATCTATCTACGCTCTCCATAGACTGCAACAGTCGGCCAATGGACGTTGATCTTTGAGTCATCAGTCCAGCCCGTCTGACGTTTGATTTCGTCAATAGCCTCGTCCACTGCATCGCCTGCCCCGCCAGCAGCTCTCGAGACTGGATTACCGTTCGCTGCACGCCAATTATGGAAGGCAGAAGCAGTACGCATGTACTGAGCAGCTCCTAGTAAGGTCGTCTGCTTCGCTACCGGCGAAGGCTCTTGAGAGCCACGCTGTGCTGTGTAGTGCCGCTCTACACGGCTGAACAGTGACTCTGGCAGGTCAAAGCCGTCCATGGCCTCTTCGAGGATACTGCGTCCTGGTTGTGGCCAATGAGGACCAAGCTTGTCGTCAGCGTGTGAGACCTGGTTCCATACTTTCGTCGCGGCCGGTGAGTCTGTAAAGACAATCTCGTTGTATGACCAGACTGAGCATTAGCTTGTGTCAAAATGAACCACGGGACTTGCAAGAGAGTGTGCCTCCAGGTTTGATGACGCGGTGCATCTCCTTGAACCATTTCTCCTTGTCGAACCAATGTGCAGCTTGGCCAACTGTGACGAGATCCACACTGCCGTCTTCCAGAGGAAGAGACTCGGCACTGCCAACCTGATAGCTGATGCGATCGTGCTTGATAGCTGCCTCGAGCATCTTGGCAGAAGTATCAAATCCAATGACCTTCTCGAAGCGTTCAGCAAGAATAGATGTGATTTGACCAGTACCACAGCCAAGGTCTACCGCAACCTTGCTGGAACTCTGATGATACATGAAGAGCTGATCAAAGAGTGCTATGCCGTAAGTAGGCCTAAAATCTGCGTAAGAAGATGAGTCGAAGGACTTTTCTGAAAATGCAAGAGTCTTGGCCATTCTATTAATAAGGGATGGTCTCATAGAGCTTTAACAGATGCAGTAGCGATACAAGGTAAGGAGCTTGATGGGTGATATGAATATGGAGAGTTGTGGTGTTTCAACTTGGCTGCCAAGGTCGACGACACATCGGACACGACTCCCGAGGTCGGACTCCTCAAACCTACTATATAGCTGGAATCCGCCTAAGGACTGCTCGCAATGAGCCGAGCTGCTGCAGAAGCTGCCGCGGAGCTTTCAAAAGGAAACCATGGTACGTAATGGATGCTTGTGAACTATGGAATGCTGGTCCTGCCCTTCGTCCTCTAAAGCTGGCAGCATGCGACCAAGATCTTTGACTGACTTGAACAGAGGGAGCTATCCGATGCTATACATCTGCCATTGAAGCAGAGCCAAAGAATATTGACCATCTGCTTGGACGTGCAAGCGCACATCATCGATTGAAGCGCCATGATGAAGCTCTAGAAGATGCTGAGAGGGCACTCTCAATAGCTATTGAGAAGAAGAACAAGACGGGTCGCTCTCAAGCTCAGTTTCGACGCGGGTAAGCTGTTGTAGAAGATGATCCTCAAGCTAATGTCAGCGTGGCTTTGTATGGTCTCAAGCGCTTTGCAGATGCTGCATTCTGCTTCGATTTGTCTGAGAAGGACGATCCAGAGCAGAAGGAAAAGATGCGAGGCGTCTGGATTGCAAAGACGAAAGCAGCTCTCGATGGCCAAGGTATGCTCTCTTGTGCTCATTGCATGCTGATATTTAGCGCAACCACAAAAAGTAACGGTTCAAGAGAAGCCTGTTGCAGTAGATGCAGTCAAGAAGACTGTCGAGTCTTTGCTATCAGCATCAGTCACTGAATCCAAGGCGGAGAGCAAGGAGTCTGTCCCAATCCCTGCGGCATGGAAACCGCCAAAGCATGAATGGTATCAAAGCAATGACAAGGTTGTTGTGACTATCTTTGCGAAGAAGATCCCAGCAGACAAGGTCAATGTCGATATGGAGCCTCGCTCGGTACACATCCCCTGTAGCGACTACGAGCTAACTCACCAGCTTTCACTGAACTTTGAGATTCCAGAAACAAGCAGCGAGTGGTCTCACCAGTTCGAACCACTCTTTGCAGCAATTGATACAAACGCCTCAACTTACCGTGTCTTGGCCAGCAAGATTGAAGTGACGCTTGTCAAGAAGCAACCAGGCCAAAAGTGGAGCCAGCTTGAAGGCGATGCATCGCAAATCAAGCAAGAATCTGCGCACACCTACCCAACCTCTTCCAAAAAGGGTGCACAGAATTGGGACAAACTTGCTGCTGATGCAACAGCGCCAAGTGGTACAGGGGAGAAGGAGGAGGAAGGAGATCCACTACAGAATCTATTCCAAACGCTGTACAAGGATGCTGATGATGATACGAAAAAGGCAATGATGAAGTCCTACCAAGAATCGGGCGGTACGGCGTTATCGACAAATTGGAAAGAAGTATCTGCCGGCAAAGTGCCCATTCAACCGTGAGTGAGCCATGTCAAACTTGAAGTACTAATTGTCACAGACCCGAAGGAATGGTCGCCAAGCCTTACGAGCAGTGATGAAGCCTATCGATCATCGTGCTAGACATCATTCGCATGCATCGTATCGTCTTGACTGGCAGGATGTATGTCATCGAATAGATACTACCTCTCAGCTGCTTTACATCTCATATCATATTGCCCGTCTTCAACGTAACTTATTCAATCACAGTCCAACCTTTCTATGCAGCAGCGTCGTGTTGTCGTTTGCGCTGCAAGCGATCATCTCGAAGACTGTAAAAGAGTGTTTGCGTGAGGATCACAACGTCAAGCAGCAACGTCCCTGCTGACCCTGCAAGCCAAGACGCATTGATGGCGAGATACTTGTGATAATGTGGTGATTCACGATTCTGTCGAATGAGAATACTGCCAACATAGGTGATATTGCCCAAACACGCAAATAGGAAGAACAAGGCCGACAAACCCTCTGTTGAGCCACGTTTGTAATTGTGAATGATTTGTGGGATTCGTGAGCCGAGGTAAAGCGCTGCACATCCCCAGCCAAAGATTTGGCCGCCTGCGTTCCAGCGCAATTTTGGTGTAGGAGGCGGTTTACCGTGTTGTGGTGCAGAGGAGATGGCACCCACATACCAAGCAATCGTACCAACCATGCACAATGCAAGCAGAGCAAGGATATTGAGGATGGCTGCTTGGAATGTTGTGCGAGCTTTTGTGAGTTCAAGTTCTTTTGGGATGAGCGGTGTAGCGGCAGATGCATGCTCAACCGCGGTATCACTACTGCTGATAACAGTGCTTGCCTCGGGCCCGATGATGTCTGATGAGGTGGATGTTGGGATCCCAATAGCCGCGACATGGTTTGGCTCATCTTGCTGCTGTGTTGCTTTGTGCCCGTATGCCAGGCATTGATACAGAAGAACGACATCGGCTGCTGCATAGTAAATGGCGAGGACAATCATGACCCACATGACTTTTTGCAGCCAAGCGCCAATGATGTTGAAGAAGTCTCCGAGTAGCCAGATGACGACGAAGTGTAGGGATAGACCCTCTGCAGACTTGCGGCGCCAATTTGTGTAGATTTGTGGTGTGAAGACCACGAGCCATGCGGTGATGGAGATGGAGCCGAGGATAGAGGAGAAGGCCTCGTTGTTTAGGTTGATGGGCGGCATTGTTCTTGATGTGTGGAGAGCTCTTACAGGCACTTGGAGCGAGCCTAATATAGAGAAATGTCGCTTCTTGAGAAAACTGCGTCGCAATTCGTGTGCAGCGCTTAGAAATGAATTGATCCTCGACCCAAAACTTCTCTGACTAATTGAGAAGCTACCCTGCTACTTTGCCGGCTCTCGCTGCGTTGCTCTATGTAAGCGAAGGCCGTCTTGTACTTGCGACGGGGTGTTTCAAATTGAAGTCTTTCCTCGACGTTTCAGAAATTTGGAGTCAGATGGCATCCACCCAGTTGTTAACCATCAAGTAGTTGCTAGTACAGGGGAAGGAAGTCATAGGATCTAGCTAGGCATTGTCACCTGTAACATCACCCAGGAAGGGGCTGATCGTTGAACACAGCTGTTCGCAGCGATGGGAGCTGTGTTATGTCGCGAACACCGGTTGCTCGAGCGTATTTGTTCACCCCACTTCTACTGGCTGCTCTCTAGCTGCCTCAAGATAATCACAGGCGTGGATGAAAAGCATGGGAGAGACGAAAGATGCTCACACAGACCTGGCCTTTGGTTTGCTGCCGGCTCGGCCAATGGCCACCCACCCGGTTCAGCCATCTGAAGCAGCAGCGGCGAACTGACCCAACAACGGCGAGCTCGTCAACTGCTCTGTCCTAAGTACTCCATCTACAAGTGCAGACTCAGCAATCAAAGCTCATGACCTCATACAGCTGCTTCTTCTATGGGACACTCATGCACCCAGCTGTCCTCAATCGTGTCATCTCCTCCACTGAAACTCCCGCCTATCTCCCTGTGATATTGCCCGGCTATGCACGGTTTCGTGTCAAGGGCCAAGACTACCCCGGTGTCATTGCTGCGCAAGATGCCCCAGAAGGATCTGTTGCAGAGGCAAACGTGTCTGTTGCCGGCATGCTTGTCTCGCATCTGAGCAGCTATGCTATTAAACGTCTTGATGCATTTGAAGGAGATGAATATACAAGAACATCAGTCACTGTACTCGATGGAACTGGCAAGCGGCACAATTGTCAAATGTACTTGTACAAGGACTCTAGCAAACTAGAAGCAACAGTCTGGGACTTTGAAGACTTTAAGCGGGAAAAATTGGCACATTGGACAGGTGATGCAGAGTTCAGCATGTTGCAAGGACAAACTGATGGAACAAACGGTCGTTCGAGTTTCGCTTGACGATGCATGTTCAGGCTGCACGACGGTCCAGAGCACGCAGCAAGTCGTGACGTCGATGGTCTTGTGCAGACATACCGCCAAATACTGGCGTTGCTACTCCACTGTGCATGGGCGATGGACCCGTGTACCGTTGATCGAGATGATGCATGGAAGGCTGCCTTTGCATGGGTAGTGCAGTGTTCATCAGACTTCCGCTGCTGCCTGGTTGAGAGTTGTAACCACAAGAACCTTGACTGCCTGCAGGTCAGCGTTCTCTCCTTCTTGTTGGGCCATCTTACCTTGGTAAGGACCTGGACTAGGTGTTGCGCTAAAGTTGCTCGAATGCATCTCGTGCCAGTCTGATTCTAGCATGTACGGACGAAAGCCAAGTTTGACGATATACCCATCCAACGCGACTTCGTCAAACAACTCCATGGCCTGCCTCGTCAGTATTGATCATCTCAAAAGTCTTCACACCCTTTGTGCACACTTGCTATCGAGAAATTGCACCTCACCGTATCGTTGGCCGTGGATATCTGGTTGGGGATAGATGTATACTGCTTCAGGTCTGCACGACACTGATTACTTGTCAGCGCCTTGCTTTGCCCATCGAAACTCACCAAACGCATCAAAGAGACCTCGCGGATCCAACGAAGGTCTGTGTGTCAGCTACCATCAATATAATGGAATCCATACGGCAGGTTCTGGACCAGAATCAAATCACTGTGAAAGATGGTACGCACCGGTGCGATTTGAGTCGTTGAGAATGGCACATCACCCGTGTGCGCTTGCCGCGTCTCCTCTCGTCTATCATGCAAGTCATGCTGCTGGCGCAATGGACTATGACGCGTTGCAAGACTTGCAAGGGATGTTCTTGGTATTGAAGCGACATCTCGCCACGGTGTCGTCACGCTTGCTGTCATGGTAGGAAGACTTCGCTGCTGTGGCGATCGCGGACTGCTACTCTGTGGCTTGATGCGTGTATATGGCATCTGTTGTGCAGGATGCTGCTGTAGACCACGACGCTCAGAGTACTTCTTGCGTCGTGTCACAACCAGAGTACGTCCACAGACTTGTAATGGGTTTGGTGAATCATGGGAGCATGCAGTAATGGCTTCTTGGCATTGTGTCATGGTTGCACACTTGAGGAAGGCAAAGCCAAGTCGGTCTTCGTTCTGGTTGTTGGCACGATGAAGGAGGAGTGCGTCGCCAAAGCGCGCTGTAAAGATATCAAGCAATAGCTCGCTGGGTATGTCACTCGTCAGGTTGCCTATACTGCAATGGTCAGCTTCTGGGGTAGAGGGGACAGATGGACGTGCTAGACTGTGCGAGAGTCTTCCTCGTCGCGCTCTGCAGCAGTGAGGTGCGTGTCCTTGCCTGGCGACGAAGACCACATGATACAGGAGTCGCTGCCCTGCTCACGGTTGTTGGACTAGGACTATGGACCTGGTGGTGTTGTGCGACGCATTGCTACGTGATCCCCTCATTAGCTACCTGGCTCCCTAGTCAGCTAAGTAGATGCGCTCTCCCATCCTCATGCCAACCGCTTCGCAATCGCCTCCATCCGTGGATCCTGCTTGTTCATGGCTTCAGATAGATTGCGCTCATGTGCATCGTGCTCCATCTGTTCACAGACCTCCTTGGATGGCGGCAAGCGCTCATTCTGGATATCAAACTGCCGTGCATCCTCAAACGTCGTAATGGCTTCCTTCAAGCCATGAGGTCCAAGCATCAGCGTACCGGGCGGTAGTCTCGTACTGCCAGAAACAGTCTTGAGCTCAGACACACTCTCGCTCTCCTCGCGCAGTACCTGAAAGACGCGCGAGATGCGACCAATGGCAAGAATCTTGTTCTTGATAACTTTACGTCGAATCTCCGCTTCCGTCTCTACCGCACCTGCTGGCGGTGTCAAGGGCGTGTCACTTGGGGGACCGACTTCGTCGTCAAGTTCCTCCTTTGAACAAATACTCAACAATGAAATCAACATATCCGTCACCTTCTCCCCAACAAAAGGGAGAGACCAGGTAAAGACATCCATGAAGTTTGGCAACCAGTACGGATGCGGCGTACAGTTGAATTGCCGAATATTCATGACATTGTTCTCATACTTGAGAACAGCTGCTTTGTTGTTGTACACATCCAGATAATTGGGTGCTGAAAAGATGGTCATGACAGAGGGAAAGCCCGTCGTGCGGGTTTTACGATACATGCGATATCCTTGATCTTGCGCTTCATGCGCGCGGATAATCGAAAGTAAGTTGTTGCGTTCGAGGAATTGACAGGCTGCTGCGTAGCTGAAGAAGTAGGAGCAGCCACGGACGTGATTGTGAACAAAGAACTCATTGTTGCGTTCGTTGCCAAAGTCTTCGAGTGGATCACTCCATAGCAGGTCACACATGATGCCATGCGTTGGCGGCTCTCTGAATCGGTCAATCTGAGATTAGCAGGAGCTCAACAAGGGGGGAGCACATACAGAAGCAAAATCAGCAAGAGTATTGAGCTCTGGCGAGAGGCCTCCATGAATGCACAAAAACTGCTTATTCATCAGTGCTGCGAGGGGCAGCGCGCAGAATGAGTCCATGCAGGCATCGTAGACTTTTTCGGAGTACTTGTGCTTGCACTCCAGCTTGAATGTGAAGTAGTCTGTTAAATGGCGACACTCATGGTTACCACGCAAGAGCCAGAGTGTATCGGGATACCAAATCTTGAGTGACCAGAGGTATAGCACGCACTCGATGGAGAAGTACCCGCGGTCGACGTAGTCACCTAGAAACAAGTAACGTGTCTCTGCTGGGTTACCACCAACCTCAAACAGCTTCATCAAGTCGTAGAACTGACCATGCACATCGCCACACACCGTGATGGGCGCGTCAACATCAAGCATGTTAGGCTCACGAGACAAGATCTCCGTGCCGGCCTTGAGAATCCAAAGCGCATGTTCTTCGCTGAGCCGTCCTTCGCGCGTCAAGTGGTCCTTGAGGAAGACGATATCAGGTCGCTTGACACCCTCTGGCGCGTTGGCATCAAAGAATTCCTCATCTGTAGGGATAGTCGTTGCCGGCGCAGGCACATCTGATCGTCAGCTGAATCCCAACTCTTCTGCTAAGGTTACCCTTATAGACGCGCTCCTGGGTATTATACGTAACGCCATCCAATTCAGTGATGGTGTAGTCTATTTTCGGCACAACATGCTCAGGCCGTATCGCGTCACTCATATCGGTGTCGGCCATGGGTATGTCTGAGTGCAATGATACTGTGCGGCCTCTTACAGATGCTTGTGATCTCTGGGCCTGGGCTGATGCAGATGCGTTGTCGTGTTCTGTAGCTGAATCCCGACTTTTTGTGTGGAGTTGAAATCATCGCCCAGGACAGCGGCGCTACGTCTGCACTACTTCACTACTTCACTACTTCACTACTTGTTGTATTTGGCTTCTTCTGCCGTGGGTTGATGCCTCATGGGCACAGAGACGCTCCTAGGCGAAGTGCCGACCTTGTCTCTCAAGCAAGTCGCGCTACTGAGTCATGACCTGGAAAAGGCCATCAAACAAAGCACAAACACGACTATCAAAGCTGTACGATGCCAACTTAAGGGCCTAGCAGAGTCTGAAGAAGCGTGCAGGTCCTTCTTCCGCAGTCTTCAGCAGGCAGCAAGCGTTCTTTGCACAAATGTAGAGGAACGCATACATCTGCTTCATTTACTGAATGATCTGCTACATTGGGGAGGAGACATACCTCCTGCCCCTCTGCTCAATGCCCTCAAATCTTGTCTGCTACACCACCTTCGCTATGCATTGCACGCTCCAGATGCTACAAGTACATCCCAGGAGCGTGTCAAATCACTTCTGGCGCTCTGGGAAGAACGAAAGCTCCTCGAGCCCATGACGCTCGTCGGTCTACGAGCCGGTCTTGCAATCAAGCCGAAAGAAGATCAGTACACTTACTCCGACACCGCCATAGGAGCCGCCACCGAGACAACAATGATGCCGTCTACATTAGTACTTGGCACACCAGACCAACCATACTGGCAACTTCCGGCCTCCCTTCTCGCACGTCCCCATCCAGATTACCATTTCAAACATCCTTGGACTTGCCAGTCCATGTCAATGCTAATGCCCATCTTGTAGCTCGCTGGCTTACCCAACAAGCAGGAACGTGAAGAACAAGGTATTACGGGTTTGACGTCTGTCAATACAGCGCAGTGTCGTGGAGGCCAAAGGTTTGGCATTACGCAGGAAGTACTTGATGCTGTGGATGCCTACCTCGAAAGGCAGCCTGCCTTCATGCGCTTCCCGGAGCGAGAAGAAGATGAACCGTCGCAAGCAGTATACGAAGGCTGGTCCGCAGACACTTTCTCATGAACACTCATAAGGCCCTCATCAGGACGTTGTCTCTGGATCTCGTCCATCGCTTGGCCAGAAGCCTTGTTTGATCCATCCATATTTCAAACATGGCATTAAGCAACTGAGATTGATGTTGCGTCGTAGCCGCTTACCTTGGACAACTGCTTTTTCATATACTTCAGACATTTGTTCTTCTAGAGGACCACCAGAGCCATCTTGGCGTGTAGCAGGAAACAACATGCCTTTGGCACGACGAGCAGCTAGTATCTCTGGTGTCACAGCAGCGGGGATCGTTTGCCAGGCGAGGCGAGTAGCTTCCCAATGTTTCAGGCCAATTTGCGCATCGCCCATGTGTTAAAGAGATAATAATACAGTTGTAGCTATAACAGGCTCAAGTTCGCCAGGGCCAACAGATGGAAGTGGCAGTGGACTGACTGTCACGTCTCAACTTTGCTCATCGTGCGACTTTTGACGCGCTCCAGGTAAGCTCGAGTCCTCCATGAGTCCATTTGATGTACAGGGCTCATGGGCTCTTGCAGGGTGAAGCATCTTCCCCTAGCAGCTGATGAACAGATACAACGCGAGCTGCTGAAGCCTACATACTCCACACTGGCCAGATGTATCATGTATGGCTACGCTGCAGAGAATTGCTTACCAAATTGTCGTGACCTGTCATTCGCTTAATTTGGCGATCACCGAAACTGTGGCCTTGCATATATGGCATAATATGGGCCCAAGGATGCTATACATTGTGCAACTGCAGACTTACAGAGAAGCTAGATCGACAGAAGCGAGGACAAAGCCACTCGCGTGCTCGGCGTATACACATTGAGCATTGGAGCAAGCAGACTCACTGTAAATGGAAACGCTGATTGCAATGGTATGTGTAAGTTTTATGACAAGAGCGACATTGCTGAGAGCAGCAATTGCAATCGTGCTGTAAGGAACCTAGATCTATTTCTGTGCAGATGCCTATCGTCCAGTGCTCACTGTAAGCGTGCATGGGCAAGCAATTGTCTCGAATCGGACACGGGCTACAGCATTCAGTAGTAGCTCTATGCTAGCTACATGCAGGCTGCAGCCGCCATGAGTAGCAGTCGCTTGCGGCATCACGATGGTCTTAGGCTCTTAGCCCACAGGCAATCGCATACAACTTGATACAAGTATTGAAGTACAGGCTGCAGCTGGCGGGGTAGAAGCAGAGCAACTGCCAGATTGCCGCTTTGAGCGACCCGGCGCGACTCGCGACTTGCGAGGGATTCTTCCACAAGTCGATGATATGAAAATCGAATTTGGACGCGTCCGCGACCCCGCGGCCGTTGCAACGTCTGACTTCCAAAGTCTTCATACGCCGTCTTCCAAATGCATGGACTGAACCTGTCAACATGGCGTCGCGTTCACAAAGAACGCCGCCACATTATTGTCTGCCCGCTACTGCAGCTGAGTTGAGTCCTGTGTATAAGATGATACTCTGCCGCCAGTCAGACGAGTAGCGTCCTCGTTAGACCAGGCATCATGAAGGTGGTCTCTGTGGCACTTTTGCTGTCCGCTGTGTCGGCCGTCGTGGTCAAACGCAGTGTCTCATTCGGCAACAGCACTGTCGACTTGGCCTCCTCGTCGAGCAGCTTTGATACTGCTCCTTCAGGTACGATCCGAGACAGTCGATGTCGGATATGCTAACAATTCTTTTAGTAACTAGTTCGCTTGGAATATCTTCAGCGTCTCTTTCTTTCGGCATCAATGGCACAGGCATCAGCACAGTAGCTACTTCGATTGCGAGTACATCACTGACCAGCGCCGCCATAATTGGCACGTCTGCCACCAAAGTTGCAGCAGTTGCGGGAGGTGGCGTGACGACAACCACTAAAACCGTGTCGTACACTGTGCCCTTTGATGCGAGCACTGTTGTTCCAGTCATCATCAAGATTGGTGTCACCTTTACTACCATCGTTCACGCGCCTGCCTACACGCTGACTGCCTATGTACCCGTTTCAGAGCGGCCATCGTGGGTCAATCAGCAAAATTTGGCAGTCTTGGCGCCGGTCATACCCTCTCACATTGACACGAGCGATCCTGTACACTACGTACCTAATGTACAAACAACCATTCAGTATGCCACTGCGCCTCAAGGCAACCGCCCTCAGGACGTCTCAAACATCAATATTGGCTTCCAGCATCCTGCTGTCGTGATTGACCATACAGATCACATTACTGCCTCGTATGCAGGTCCAAATGCCATGGTCTTGACTTTTGCCAACGCACAAGCATTACAGTATGCTGCCACAAATTGGTTGCCAGCAGGACAAGCTGCTGTGGTGATTGTGGCATATCTGCCTGGTTCCCCTGACTTTGCACTCGGTGGTAACACCTATTTCACTGCAATCAACATTGTCTGCAATACACGACAACTTTCATGTACAGTGCAGGGAATTGACGGAGGACTTGAGTCTGCCATTGACCATTTCGATGCTGACATCAATACTGGCTTTGTCCCAGTTTACTCTGATACCAAGACAGGGTCAACGGGCATGGGTTCTTCACGTCCTGTCGTTTCTACCAATGGTCTGCCGTCATGCGCTTTTGGAGATGACTTTGACGAATGTCTCGATCGTCAGTTGGGATACATTGACTTCAAGGACAACTTGGCTGCTGGTCTGAGTGAAATTGCTCCTGGTGCCACTTCAACGGAGGGCACTGAATTCTTGTTGGACAAACGTAGTGCTCCTCGGGGTTCCAGGGCATCAAGGCTGAACAAACGATGCTGCCGCTTTCTTGGTCGCGTATTCACAGCAATTGTCGCTCCAGCACGGCGGTACATCGTTGAGCCCATCAAAAAGGTCGTCCAGGTCATCAAGAATGTCGTTGACGAGCTCACATCCATTGACAGAACTTTGCAGACCACAAAATCCTTGCAATATCCTCCAGACGACTACGGCTCGTATGTGACCTCTCCATTCGGCCAAAAGAGCATTGTCATTACACAAGGTGAGGATCTGACCGCTTGGTGCGTCGACTGTGGCACTCAAGGCTCCGTTACAATCGCTGGACGTCTGGCTGCTAGTCTGACACAAGGTTTCACACAAGCATACATTGGCATGAGTGGCAGCATTGCAGCGGAAGTCAACATTGGTGTCGAAGCCAAGAAGGATTTCAAAAAGACATTCAACAAACAACTTGCCCAGACTGGTGTCAAGTTCCTCGAAGCGCAACCATTCTATCGCATTGGCCCTGCCCTCATTGTTGGAATCGACGTCGATTTGGGTTTGGAACTTCAGACGACTTTCATTGCTGGTGCACGCGCTGAAATCAACAACTTTGAGGCACGCGTGAACCTTGTCAACCCCAGCAGCAGCTTTCAAAGAAACTTTCAACCATCCTTCACTAAACGGTTTGTTGCGAATGGTCAAATTAAGGGTTCTATTGACGTTGGCTTCCCTATCAGTATCGCCTTTGGTATTGATATTCTCAGTGGCAAATTCAAGCGCGATATTGCACTCGTGGAGAAGCCAGGTGTTCATCTGGATGCAACAGTTGCCTTTTATGCTTCTGCAAATGATGCGCCTCGCATTGTCACTATCAACGGCTGTAAGGGAGTTGAATACGGTGTTGGTCTCTTCAACACAGTTTTCGCCACTGTGGGCACTACGAACTATCCGTTGTCGACATTCAATGTGCCTTTGCTAAAAAGTTGCTTTGCTATCGCCGGCGTGGAAGATGCACCCATGACCGCAGTTCCTCAACCGGATCCCGCAGACGGTCAAGGAACTCCTGACGACACGGGCTCGACGCCACCAGCAGATTCTGGTTCCACGCCTCCTCCCGCTGACTCTGGTACAGTGCCTCCCGCTGATGGAGCCCCATCAGAAGACACACCAGTTGCTCGGAAGAGGCAAGTCCTTGTTGAGTCCTCGACTTTGTCGCCCTCTTCAAGCATCGCCTCAATTTCAGCCAGTGCAAACGCTACGAGCAGTTCATTCATTTCGACCAGTGTGGCGTCCACCACGAGTCTCGCATCCTCATCTACTCTACTTGAGTCATCTTCTATTCTTGCCTCCTCATTCTCACAGAGTGCTACAGCCTCAGTAGTCGCTTCTGATTCTACGGTGGAAACGGCTAGCTCAACAGCATCTTCATCAACTGTGGCTTCCGCCGCCTCAATTCGAGTTTCCTCTGCCAGGCCAAGCAGCTCTGCAGCTGCTGGCAATGGTACAGTCACCGTTGGCCGCCTGCGAGACACAACAACATTCAACGCCAGCGATACTCTCGATGGCTATGCCCTACCAGCTGACCTACTCAATTCTGGAGCCTTCAATGGCACAGATGGTCTTGATCTCAACAACACGCAAGCACTCGTTCGTATTGTCAATCAGGACAATGCGCTGCTCTGGTTCAGCGATTATGACGGCAATTTCTACCTAGAGGAGGTGGCCAACGCTGGTCAAAGTGTGGGTGCAGTGGATTTCATCCTTGACGATGATGTGATTGTCGCCAACCCACGTGAGCAGTACATGTTCTACTACGACGACGAGCTCAGCAAATTGGGTGTTTCGCGTCTTAGGACAAACGACGACTCACTGACACCCAAGACTGCTACTTTGGTGGCATTCCAAGGTTTCACGTATCCTGATGGTACGCCAGCGGTGGGTGCAGTGGACAGCCAACAAAACTTGTTTTACATCTTGACTTGCGATATTCCATCAAGGGGCACGATGCTGTTCATGGCAAAAGATCCAGAGGCGGGTGCGGCTACATTGATGAGCGATGCTGTGCAGAGCAGTATCACAGGTGGCAAAGTGACGGATTGTTATTACCTTGACTATGCAGTGGTCAAATCAGGTGGTCAATAGGGACAGTTTCATGAATTTTCATAGAGCGAATGCATATGAGCGAGAACTGTCTTGACCATATGATGTGACAAAGTAATGCATTCTAGGCTCGTTTTGTTGCAAACAGCAAGAAACTTGTATGACTGCTGATCTCCGAGTCAGGCTTCGCTATCCGGTCCCAATCGTAAGCTGTATCGCCTTCCTTGATCTTGACCCTTGCCTTGATGGCTTTTGGTACACCTTCCTCGCGCCGCCGCTTGATTTCTTTTAGCTTGTCAATGACATCAGTGACATCAACGCGACGCGTATACCGTGCTTCCCATTCACGGAAGGCTACTTCGTAGCATTCAATATCTTGCCACAAACTTACACGCAAAACCTCGACAGTGCGTTGGACTTGCTCAATGCAGGGCGAAAAGCAGCAAAGTCGTGTTGTTTGCGCTAGATGCGGCGTTAAATGCTCCACAGCTTCCCAAGGAGCAGGTAGGTCAAGAAACACAGCTTCTGCCGTATAAGGGATGGGCGTGCCATCAGGCAACGCCACCTGGAAGCCTCCTTTACACACATCACGATGTGTCAGTGTCATGAGTGATTGACCATTTCGACTGGTGAAGAGTCCATGCTCTTCGAACTCTGTTCTCGCCTTTTCACAGCGCTCAGCGTGGAATTCAAACGTATAGAGATGGCCACTGTCTCCAAGTGAGCGCATGAATGCATGTGTGAAGCTGCCACTGCCAGTCCCCGCCTCAATCACAGTCGACCCTGGTTGAACACAGAGCTTAGCGGAGACAAATGAAATGTCAGGAGTATAAAGAATCTGCGTCCGGTGAGGGAGCGCCAGCGTCCAGAGCTCAGGTGTCGGGTGCAGCAAAAGAATGTATCCAGTTGTCTTCCTGCTCTGCATCTGCGAGCCATACCGCATGCCAATCATATCTTCATGATAATAGTGGCCAAACTTGTTTTGTACAACGCCCCCAGGCGTGACTGTGATGGCTTGTATCGCAGTTCTCGATAGATGCAGAATGACCAGATCCCCTACTTCGATGACTTGCTTGAATTGGCAAAAGGGATTGAAAGTAGGCTTCTGTTTCATCTCCACTATGCTGGCATCTGCTCCATTCTCCATGGGCTTCAACGCAGGCTTCTCAGCGCGTCTTCTAGTCTTCGGTGTTTTGACCTGCTCATCTGCCGCCGACGACCAAAAAGTTGTCGCATCGCACGGTTTCCCTGCAACGACACCAAGAAGTCCGCTGAGACGTAGTAGTTGAAGTAGTATTGAGAGCTATACCAATGCAGCTGCTAGAGTCTGCAGAGGTGCCCGATCGCTCTACATTTCAGCTTGCGGACACGCCTGATGAGGTTACACCTGCTCAGTATCAAGATGACAATACTGCTACTACTGCCTCGCCAAGCAGGCCAGCGGAGGAGCTACTCTATGCCGAGGGACAAGTGAACTTGACTTGTCGTCCTCAAATAGATGCACTGAATGATGTTTCATGTCTTGTTCACGTCACTGGTGCAGCCATGCATCTATATTTCGAGAGTCAACAGGATCAGAAACCAGCTACAGGAACTGCATGCAAGCAACTGACCATTGACTTTGCAGAAATCATCTTGCATGCAACGACGACGACGCAGCAAACAGCTGCAGGAGCTGTTCCGTCTCTATACATGCACATTGAACCGTCAAAAGAAGGCATCAAGCTTCAAGAGCTTGTCAAAAGCTTACGACCATCAGAGGCTGCAGAGAACGGCGACTCGCTATCTTTGGAAGCCAGTTCAATCCTGGAAATAACGTTGACACCAGGACCGGAGGATGGCTATCTAGTAGCGAAACTCTATTCTGCCCTTTCGCATATGGCGAATATCCTGCCTGCGCCGTCGAGCAGTCCGGGTGGCGACACAGCGGGCAACGACTACAGCTCCTTGTTTCAACGTGGCGGAGATGCAGCAGATGACGTGCCATCAGGTCAGTGGATCACTGCCGATAATGCACATCAATTCATGGACGCTGAGGAATAGTTTTTTGAATGGATAGATTGGTTACATATATACAAAAGCGTGTCTACCCTCCCTTTCACGCGTGTCCAGGCGCATCTGTTGCATCCTCACCTAGTTGTGTTGCAAAGCTAAAGTCCATAGGTGACAAGACTGGTGTGTCTTGCAATGCCGGTGATGTCTTGATAGCCGGAGGCGTTGCGTGATGGTCACCAAATGGATCTTGTTGTTGAGCAGGCGAGGCCTTGGGAGTAGTAGAGTGTTGCGACGAGGCAAGGGTCTTCTTCAAGTGTTCCTTGCGTGCCGCCCAGTTGTCTGTTGCAGCAGCGACCGACTTTGTACGCACCGGCCCATTCTCTGTAGGGGCCAATGACTCATTCTCAGCAGGAGCAGCAGCAACGGGAGCATGAGCGAGAGCAGGAGCAACATCAACGTCATTCGTCGCCTCGACAGGCTTAATCACAGAATTTGACCTGGCAGGCAACTCACCTGAATCGTGCTTCTTGAAGGGTTCGCTCGGTGATTCAGCACGCTCTGCAACAGCAGGCACAGACTCCTCGAGCGAATCATCGCCAGCTGCAAAGCTAGAGGCACTCATACGCTTCGCGTCATTGTCAGAGTGGTGTGCGACGGCAGCGCCTGCAGCAACCACACCAGCGCCTAGACCAGCGGCAGCAGCTGCGGCAGGCATCATGGAGCGTTCTTCCATCGGTGCCGTCATGCTCGACATGCTGGTTGAGTTGTGCACGCCATCAGCGAATGGGTTTGCCGCCTCAACAGGCTTCCTTGGCATCTGCTGCACCTGCTGCATCTGCTGCTGACCTTGAGGTGCAAAGCCGCGTTGCTGTTGTTGAGGAATACTACCCACAGGCATCATGGCAGCGCCTGAAGCCATACGCATCTGACCCATTGGTGAAGCGTTGCGGGGATAAGGTGCTTGCGGCTGCGGTGGCATGAAGCCTTGTTGCTGAGCACCGAAGGGTGGCGAGGTACGTGCACTGCCAGGATGACCAGGTGGTGGTACGGCAGAGGGCGTCAATGGTCGCTGAATACCCAATACAGCTGCTCGGTCCAGCGTCAAGGCAGGCGAAGCACTACGTTGTGGCGAATTGCGGCCAAAGGGTGCAGCAGCAGCGGCACCAAAGCCTGCACCACCGGCAATAGGAACGAGTGGGCCAAAGTCAAAGCCGCCGCCTGGAACCTCTGTTTCGTCAAGCCGGTAGGCTCCCTTTTCTGCTTGTCGAGGGTTACGCTTCTCGTTCATGGCTGCTGCTCGGTGACGCTTATCCTTCTTGCGTTTTCGAATGAGGAGCAGTGCAGCTGCGAGGAGTGCAAGCAATGCAAGCACGCCGATGACGATGCCGGCGATTGCTCCGCCCGAAAGCCCGCTGGATTGCTTCTTCCCATTCAGCAAGCTAGCTGCCGAAGACGCCGATGCACTGGGCCTTCGAGAAGACGATGCCGTTGTGGAGCGTACAGCAGCTGTGGTCGTAGGTGCTCGCGTCGTGCTCGAACTGGATGCACTTCTCACCACTGGTGGAGCGAGCGATGCCGTAGAAACGACCACCAGCGCAGCACGAGAGCTAGAGGATGGGCCGCCAGAGAGCGTGACGACCCTGTTGGATGGGATGGCCACAGGGGTTGTTGTCACTGCTGCTGGCCTGACTGCAAGTGGCGTACTGGTGGATGATACAGCGACGGGGAAGTTCAAAGCATTGAATGAATCCGGTGTCGCTACTGGTGCATTTGGATCAACAGTCTGCCCGCCTGCTGCAAGGAAAGAGGAAAGCTCCGCACCGTACAAGGTGACTGTTCGCGTGAATGCCATGTTTTGTTGATGTCGCCTTGTTTTGCTTGGTTTTTGGGATGCTCAAAAGAGTGTGGTATCAAGAGCTGTCCGTAAAGAGTGAGACGCTCTGACTGCAGCAATGCTGTTGCTGGACCAAAGACGTCCTGCTGGACGGTGTAGTTAGACTGGTGGTGAGAGGGCAGGGAGATACAAAAGACTCTGGTACTCTTGACCGGAGCCCTTCTGCTTGTTGTAAATGCAAACTCGCGCCGGGAATGTCAAAGCACCGCGCTGAAGCGTCGTTTCCCCTTAAATGCCAAAGGTCCGGCCCAAAAGGGAACTTCACCTGGTGGCTTCACAAGATTTCTTTTTCAGCACAGCCAAAGGCCAAGCGCAGACAATCAGCAATTTCGAGAGGGCTCTGCACAATCTCCGCTCAGTCAATGCGGTCGACGCTTTTTGATCGTCGGACTGTCAGTTCTCGACTACAGTAGTCTGCAACTGTGAACAGTGTGATGTAAGACGTCAACAAGCGTCGTACCTACTGACGCTAATGGGTCAAAGAGGGCAAAGGCAACAGGCGAAGCTCCGCTTTATCAAGCAAGTTGAACATGATGATGCACTTGCCACGAGTACGCGTCGCTACTGATAGGCAAGAGGTCTTTCGTATCCAAGACAAGAGCAGGCAGATCACTCTGTCCAAGCGATGGCCTGAGAGCCATGGCCGACTGTGCGCGAGTCGCCCATGGTCTAGGGTTCTGTCTCTGTTTGCTCGTAATCAGAGACCTAGTCTGCCAGCGTGGGTCATGGAGAGGCCGCGACAAGTACAATCATGCTTGCGGGGGCTTCTACGTCTAGTCGTCTACCGCTACCGCGGGCCACTCAAATTCGTGGGCAAACGAAAAGTCTCACTGACACGACTCGGTGTCTTGATCAACAATCAACAATTATACTGTAGAAGACCGCATGGCCTGGTGTGCAGACCCGTCATCCATGGGCCATGAATCATGATGGCAAAGACGTCAGCATTTGAGCTGGGGTCAGCTGGGCCTGAGCTGGCCCCTATGGACCTATGGTATCTGAAGTATCAATATCCGGGGGACAAATAGACAGCGCTGCACACTTAAAGCACATCTGGCGCGCTCTTCTCAATATACAAGCTTTTGTCCATGCACATAGAGACAGCTTTTTAAGACTCTTTCATATCTACACTGCATAACGATCACGAGCAGAATACGTGTACGCGTCAGTGTAAGCCAGCTTGTCGCGCTAGTGTAGAATCTGTAGATGCATTTCATGAGAGCTGACCGGCGCTGCCGCGTCTGCGATAATCAATTGCCGCTGTGCATCTGCCATGCGCGATCTTCCTCCAATCAACGTACACAGCGAGAGGGAAAAGTTTGGCCGCTTTTGGAGGGCTGGGAAATGAGCTTCGGCGTGGTCGAGTTTCAGACTCTGCGCCTGGCAACGCCAACGAGGCAACGAGATGATTTTAGTGTTTGTTGTGAACTTGTGACACGCTGATACATTCCGAGTAGAACACTTTGCTTCGGCATATCGTTGACTGAATCAGTCGCGTCTGTTGCTGGCAAATGCATTCCATCTACGGTGCTACGGACTGCAGCAGACTCCTGTGTTGACTTGTGCCTCTGACCAAACTGCCCTACACAACTTACACAAGTCCACGGTGACCGGGTAACAACAGAGACATCTTGATTCTTGAGTCAGTTTCATAGTAGTGACAGCACTGACAGGAACCGATCAATGCTGCGAGAAGCTCAAAGTCATAATGATAGCGATGGCCCTGGCGAAAGAAGTCTTCCTCCAGTCATAGCATCCGCTGCAGTGACAGTAAGCACACGTCCCTTCGATCCCTTGACACTCTTGATGACCTTGACCTCTTGCAAAGTCGATCTCCTCGGCAGATCCACGAGCGACAATCTGGTCGTCCTTTGTCTCTTGTGCTGAAGCTCTCTGCTACTCGTGTCTCTTTGCCCTGTATCTTCCTCGGAAATCTGACGTCTCTTTCCACCATACTGGTTCGACCCGTCAGACACTGTCGTGTCAGTAGACACACACTCATCGAGTGTTGCAATCTGCGCTCGGAGCGATGACATGGCTGCATCGACTTCCTTCTCATGCTCTTCGTCAAGCTTGAGCACTACGGATTGTCAGTGAGTGTCACCTACCAGATTGACATACGCATGCGAGCTTGCACCAAAACAGGATCGTAGTCAGTAAGGTTCAGGAGGACTCCTTGATCTGCGCACTCTAGAATCCACTCTGCAGCGACGAAGCAGGTGTCTTGACTGCCTGTGCTAAGCTTTGCTGGAGGACTGATGCAGATATACAAGTCTGCTGTGACATGAGCGACGACATGGCCGCCGAGTGCTGTAAACAGAAGCAAGACAGTCTCTGGCACTGCGCTGCTGAATGCTGCTTCGACGTGCTCAAACAGCATGAGTGTCTATGTCTGGTAAGTTCAGGGATGCATGTATAGATATAATTTAGCGGATATGTCTGCAGTCTGCTCGATGGCACATAAAGAAAGAAGTCGTCGCGTCATCGTCACTGGCCACCGCTTGTCTGCATCATAGGCACACGCGGTAGAGGCACATCCGCCTGTCCTGCCTCTTGCTGCTGCTGCTGTTGCTGGTGATGGTCACCTTGTACACCTGCTGCTGGACCACCTCTCGCAGTTCGCCACTTTGACCAAGACTCACCACTCGCTAGTGTACGACTCACTGCATCCGTGACACTCTGCAGCATCTCCATGGATTCCTTTGCCAGTGATCCCACACGCGCTGCTTCACTTTGTATCCGCGCTTCGGTCACTTCAGACTGTCCATTCTTGGCATGCACAGGTTGCTGCTGTTGCTGCTGCTGCTGCTGCTGCTGCTGCTGCTGCTCTGCATCTTGACTCGCTGCCCAACGTCGTGGAAGTCCCAAGAGCGCTACACGGACAGCGCTGCGTGCTGGTTCAGGTAATGTCGCATACTGTGACACGACCTGAAAGACATTCTTGAGCGTCCCAACAATCTCTCGCTTGACTTTGAGGATAGTCGTGGATGCATCTGTCCGTTCTGCTTGTGATCGAGTGGTGGAGGGATGACCACCGATGCCTACACACTGTTGTAGGAGTTGAGCGAGATGCGCGAGATGCTCATGTGCACGATGCAGCCATTCAAGGCAGTAGCGGAGTGACTTGATGCTCTCCTCTGACAGGGAAACTGTCAAACCGGATGCACCTGCCAACATGGATTGCCAGCGTGGAATGGTCTCTGGCTGTTTATGGGGTCTCTCCATATTGTCTGGAAGGATAGGCGATGCCGTCTTGCCAGACTCAAGGTCATGATGAAGACCATACCTGCCTTCAATCTATCAGTCAGCCATACACTCTAGCAAAGAGAAGCGGGACATACCCGGTCGAGTTGCCTACAAGCAAACTCATCCAATGGTTCGAACCTACGCGCAACAGGCCTTGCGACACTCTCAAACATATCTGCACCATATCGGAAACCCCTCGATGTATGCTTCCCTTGCTCATATGCACGCACGGCCGTACTGACAATCGGGTACGTCGAGACACGATCTAGGAATTGTGGAGCAACAACAGGCTCACCCCCTGATGCGCGTAAATCTTCCAATGCTTCAGCAGCGAGCCTGACATCTGGATCGTCTGCAGAGAGTCCACTGGCATACGAAGGCCCGCTGCCACTTGCGTGTTTGCTAAATATGGAATCGACGTTGGAGGTGACGCTGGATTCAAGCGAAGGAGAGGGTGATTTGCGTTTTTGTGGGATTGCAGGAAGTGACCAGCTGGTAGCTGTGTCTGCTGCATGGTTGTCGCTTGGCTCATCCATGTCCATGATGCTGCTGACGCTCATGCTATGCCGGTGTTTTGGATGAAAGGGCCCTTGCTGCTGCGGCGGTGAGAAGGCCGCCGCAGGCCAGGCGTGTGTGGATGGGACGGGTGTGCCTGCATTGCTGGAGACTACCTCATCCTGCATGACCTCGTCCTGCATCGTCGCTGGGCCTTGTTCGTCTACTTCTCTTCCCTTCTGCTTTCCCTTTAGTGGAGACTTTTGGCTTCTGAGCACATGTCAAAGCGACGACATCTGCACGTGATATGGCAGTCACATCTAACAAGTCGGCATTTCTAGAGATACTATGACTCAGTTGAATATAACCACCTAGATCAGGACCCATACATCATGCCTGCCTTGTCCCTGCCTCTCAGCAACAGCCTCCAATGTCTCTTGAATCGCCTTTTTCGTCAATTGCTGGCCAAACTCCTGATACAGCTTCTCCACCAAGAGCATCTTACTCAAGCTACTGCCCTGCACATGCTTCTTGAAGGTAGGTACTTGTGCTTCTGGAATGGCAATAGTGGCAGGTCGTTTCTTGCTGTTGGTCTTGCCGGCTGAGAGTTGCAACAAGGCAGCACTATTACCAGTTGCTGTTGCAAGGAGTGTCGTTTGTCCCTTTCCCGGTGGTGTGCCCTTCTTGATTGTTTTGGGCTCGTCCCAGTAATTATGGAAGGGATCAATTGCCTTGCCACGCGTATCAATCAGTCCTTGCAGTGATAAATGACCGACTGCCTCCATGGCTTCTGGAGAGACACCCACAAATGGGCCTCGGAGGACAGGAATCATTTGTGCCATGCTTCGTCGTGCCTCTCGATTCTCACCATCCTCAGCATCATCCAAAAAGCTGGCATCGTCTTCATTGTAGGTATCCAGTGATGCCAAACTGCGCGCATCATCTTCATCGCCAAGATCTTCACCATCGCCCAAGTCATCCTCCCACTCTGCTTCAGAGTCATAGTCATAATCAAATCCATCGCCTTTTGCAAATGGATTCCGACCAGACCTCAAGCCAGCAGTGCTCGGCACTTTCGTGTACGTCCCAAAGTAGGGCGGTCGTACATCACTGTGGAATTGTGCGAGTTTCGTAGGGATACCAGTGAGACGCTGCACAAGCGGTATAGAGGATGTTTCATGCATGACTTGTTGGAGAGTCTTGTACTTGTCTCGCCGCACTAGCCTGCGCGCACGACGCTCTCGAAACGCTTGTGCTTGCATGGCAGGTGCGTCTTGTCCGCTGATGGCACGGCAGAAGGAGACTTCATCGCCTGGTTTAGGCATAGCAGCCATCGTCATATGCTCTTTGACTTGAAAGGGTTTGAAGCAGCTGATACTGCTATGTGGCAGCAATGCTGGGACTTTGGCTTCCACTTTCTGAAAGAAGCAACTGAGCTTTGGTTGAGCGCGTGCTTTTTTAGCTTCTGCTTCTTCCTTCTGACGTTTGGCAGATTCAGCAGACATGCGCTTTTCTTCTTGAGCTCGTCGTTTCTCTTCCCTTGCTTGCTCTTTCTGTAGGCGCTCTGCCTCTTGTGCTTTTTGCTTCATAATAGCTTGCGCTTTTCTTTCTGCTGCTTCTGCTTCTTTCTGCAGTCTTTCCACTTCTTTAGCCTTCTTGCGTTCTTCCCTCTCAAGACTATCGTTAGTGTTAACCCTTGCAGTAGAGAGGTAGACATACCGCTTCGCTTCTTGTTCTGCTAGCTGCGCAGCTTTCTCCTCCGGCGTCAATCGTGGCCTCTTTGTCACACTCGGTGAGGCACCAGGCGTCACAGTCAAGTCAATAAACGCAGCAGGACGCTTCATCGCGTGACTGGCAGAGACTGACGCCGGTGGTGTTTGTATGGGTTCTGGTGAACTCACCAGCAGTACTGTTGGGTAAGGTGATTTTTGAGACACATACTGGTGCTCTGATTGTTCAGTCTTGGTCTGATGAGAAGTTGACAGGTCACCGAGCGTTGACTGTGTCTCCATGGCGTAACTGCAATGGCCTCTCAGCAGGACAGCAGGATGCTCCAGGCAGGGGTTGAGGGAGTCGCGTCGTCTTGCGCGCTGAAATAATTCGCGACAGGCACGTGACTGAACCACTGTCACTACTTGTACTGCTATTACTACTGCTGCTATTGCTGCTGCTACTACTTTCACTACTACTGCTATTGCTAGTATAACTGCAACCGATATTGCTAGTGTAGCTGCTACCGTTTCTGCTGTGCTGCTACTGCCTAAGTCAAAAGTGATAAAAAGTACTTCCACTGCTACTAGACTGAAACTGCTATAGAGCTGCTAGCGAGCACTACTGCTGCTGCAATGGATCGCACACAGTCCTACCACTCCCGGCAATCTTCCGTCGGCTCATCCTTCTCACGTCCGCTCTCCGCCCAACAAGCAGATCAAGTCAGCTATGTTCAACGCATGCGCATAGCAAAAGGCACAGTCTGGGCAGAGCGTGGTCCGAAGGATGCCGTCAATGAGCAGCGAAAGCAAAAAGTAGCTCAAACCAAAAAGCGCGGATTCGGCATGAAAGTAGGCTTCTTACTTGGTATTCAAGGGATTGATGCTGACAATAGATGTTTCATGGTGCTCCGCCTGCTCAGCAAGCAAGAACCGGGAAATCCAAGTTGCAGCCATATGCAGCGCCTCAGCATACTACCCTTATTCCTCGTCTTTCTGCCTCTGAAGCCAATGACGATAATGATCAAGACTTTGATAATTTCACGTCCAGTGCCAATTATGAAGCGAAAAGAACAAGCGCAGCACCAAGCTTATCCAAGTCAAGTCTACGCAGATACCCAACGTCAACGCACAACTCGACATTTACTCCCGACGTGCCCTCTGTGCCAACATCACCGGTGGGTCTGACCCGTCTCAATCACCTCGACTCGGGACTTTCCTCAGGTGCCAATTCTTCAGCACAGCATGATATGCCATTCCCGGCACCAAATCAAACTTCCTTCGGTTTTGGTTCAACGAGCGGCTTTGCCACCTCGAGAAGCGGATCGCCTACCCAGCTTCAGCAATACACACAACAGCACATACCCGATGATTCGGATGATGAAGAATCCCGATACCATCAACCACGACAAAAGCTATTCATTGCCAATGCTGATATATCAGACTCAGATTAAGTCTTTATCTGTGTTTGATATGAGAATGAAGCAATGAACCAAGTATTGGCATCCAATTGTACAGGATCTGTGATGTGGCAGCCACCTTTGAGCATGACACCGAGATTGATATTTGGCTTGGAGAGCTCAAGTCGGATGTTGGTGTAGTTTTGCAGCATTGCTTGAGTCTTGAATTCACCCATGTAATCAGTACCAATCGACAATCTGCGCGTTAGTATCGGAGAATTGGTCGAGGGATTGCTTACATGTTCATCTTGCTGGCGGGAGACGTCAGCTGTGAATGAACAGTATTCGTGTCCATCTCAGAAATACTCCTTCAAGTCAGCACATGGTTCTTGTCCGCAAGAAACATACTGCGTCCAGCCAGACTGGTCTCCATTCTGCTGATAAGAGACATTGACCACTTTCAGTCCATTCCAAGTCCACACGGTTCCCTGTCGAAAGGGTGACACAGCAGACGCTTCACCGTCTTTACTGACACTTGTCAATAAACACCAATCTGTTGGTTTATGATACAGGCACATCTCCGATGTGGATAATCGTACAGTACGCGCTTGTAACCAATCACCACCAGGTCCGCCACGCAGCGCGAGATAAGCATGAACGCCACCTAGTGTATGACTTGCTTTGATGCGTGGCGGATCGGTTTGTTCGATGTTGAATTTGACACTCTTGATGGTTGCATCGCTGTCTTTCAAGTATACGTTGCAACCCAAGTCGATGTTGTTGCGGTCAAAGGCTTCTAGTTGAAGACTCTTGATGAAGGTGATGACGAATATCCACAGAGCCATGTATATAGACATCCACTTCACTCAAGATTCGTTTGTTGTTGTCAACGTGTCTTTATAAAGCTTGTTCAGATTCAGGGGTTTGTTTGTCTGCTCACGGCGCACTCAGATGGACGCGAGAGTTTTGTACGGCTGAGGTGACAGTTAGCTTTGACTTGTCCCCAACTTGTCCGTTGACTGACATGCTTCTCATTGAAGCTTTGTCGGTGGCACTGTTCTCAAGAGGCTGAGCAATAGTCGTCGGTGTGCTCAGCTGCATGCACATGATTCTCCGACTTTTCGCGTGCGAGAGTGACTGCCACTGACTTCGTTGCCTCTCAAGCGTGTCTTTGGAATGGAGCAGTCGAGTGCATTGAACTCAGCGTACGACCTCATTCGATCATCTCACGGCGGTTGCGTACTTGACGAATCTACAAAGGTACACTTCTGCAAGCTTTGTTATCATCCATACATGGACTGCTTTCACGATTGATGCATATCTATCAAAGTTTTAAGCTATCAAAACGATATCTAGAAATCGTGGCAGGAAGAATTAGCAGGCTCTCCTGATTCAGCTTGGAGCAGTAAAATAATAATAGTATTTGCTAGACGTGGGTTGAAAATATCACATCGCTTATGAAACCCCCTGCAAGCGCACTATCTGGAGCTATCGAATTTAGAGAATATAGGAATCAGATCCAACGGTGGGAAGAAATATGGCTGATGAAATATGCTGTCACGTACACTGTCCTAATAGCAATGAAAAGCAAAACTGAAGTATCGCCTCGCCCGAGATAACGAAAAAGAAGGTTTTTGGAGTAAGTCGAGTAAGTCTTGGAGAGTGGCAATTGCAGAAAGTTAGGTCTGAAATTCCTTCCTCTTGTATTTGCGAAGAGAAAGGGACCTTGAAGAAATTTGAAGTGGGCGTGTGAAAGCTGCTTACTAGCAGGTAGGATGACCGTTACCCACCTCTTTCATATTGATTGACCTGACAAGCCAAGTGCGACCATTGTCGGTAGTGACGGGCACATCAAAAGTGCAATTATATCCTCGTCCTGTCCTTGCAAATTCGGGGTCAGGGCTAGACAGTGTGATTTTGATATCATGATAGCTGTGCGCATTTACCACTGGGTTAGCGCAGTCCAGCATTGCCACAGCTGTCTCGATGCTGCGTCGTCAGTCCAATCGTCACGCAGGAAATTTGAAGAGAAGTTACCTTCGCATGGCCATGTTGCGGGGATGAAGTGGAGTTGCTAGGTGCGACAGCATTTTATCGGTCCGGGGGTCCGTTATCGTTCTGCAGTCAGCCCATCGTCGTTCGAAAATTCAAAATTGCAAACGTACTGGTTCCATGTCCAGGCCTTGAAATCTTCATAGTATTCGATCTTCAACGTTCCGCCGGGCCAAGCCACGGTTTCTCCCACAATTTGCTCCCAGGCAGATTGGCTATGATACTCAACTGCTGCAAGACACCTTCGACATCAGCACGTTGATATCAAGAGTGTCCATACCAATCGGTTTTCTGCCCCCCGCAGACAGCTTGTTTTGTCTCGTGAGCCGCTGCGGATTGTATCAAGTCAGGAAAGTCCTCCTTGCCATCTGAGTCCCTGGAAAGTCCCAACCGAAGGAAAACACCTCCCGGCTCTTCATTCATCATTGGTGGAGGATTAAGTTCCATTGAAAACTCGACCTGTTTGATGTGAACTCCCACTTGAGTTGGACCGAGCTTGAATCCAGCAGGAAACTTGCGGTCATAAGTGGCATATACTTCTTGGAAGCAAGTCGCTGCGAATAGAAGCAGACTGCAAAGTAACATTGACTGGTCAACAGCGGATGTGATAGCAGGGTTGTGGTCAGAGCGTTGCAGCAGCTGTCCGCGCGCGCCCTTTTATGTGCTTTCCCCTTGTTCCTCAGGAGTCGTCAACATCGTAGACGGAAGTCTGCAGGTTCAGTGAACGGGAATGGAGGGCGGGAGCCTTGTGATTAAGCCTCAATGCAACTGGTGCACACGATGTTTGCCTGCCTGTGCTTGAGGGTCAAGACTCAAAAGACAGCGTGAATCATGTGGTTACTAGTTAGGTCCTAATGCAATTGCTGCGCACGGAATTTGTTTGCCTTTGCTTGATTGTCCCTTGGACCCCCTTGCTGCTTTTGTCTCTTGACGTCGAGCTCCGCTTGCGGTGGCTTGATGACCGAGTGCATGCAATCCCAAGCAAGAAACATTAGCAACATGAACTCTCGATGCTCTTACTTGGCTGATTGCAAGGCCGGAGACCAAGGCCTGGTGCTAAATAGCGATCGCGCCTTTGCCCGCCTTGGCAAAGACTTCTGCTCAATATTCAGCGCAAGCCGCGTGGTTGCTCGTGTGTAAGGAAAAGCTTGTGCCTTCAAGGGTCCAGACTCCGGACTCCTGAGCATAAAGCATGCAGCTGCGGCAGCACATGGGACTGAGCAGCAGGACGGCACTGACTGGACCAGAAGCAGACAGGTCTGGGAGGTACTGCGACACCAAGCGAGTATGTGAGCCATATGAGCTGTATCATGTGTTGCAATTGCATCATGTATCAGCTTGAGCAAAGGATGTTTCTGCGCAGCATATCTCAAAATGTCCAGGTGCAGTTCTGCTGCGATTACCTAGCTGATGAAGGACCCAGCAGCGAATCAAGCTCCCTTCGGGTTTGGTTCAACGAGCGGCTTTGCCACCTCGAGGAATGGATCGCCTACCCAACTTCAGCAATACACACAACAGCACATACCCGTTGATTCGGATGATAAAGAATCTCGATACCATCAACCACGACAAAAGCTATTCATTGCCAATGCTGATATATCAGACTCAGATTAAGCCTTTGTCTGTGTTTGATATGAAAATGAGGCAATGAACCAAGTACTGGCATCCAACTGTACAGGATCTGTGATGTGGCAGCCGCCTTTGAGCATCACACCGAGATTGATGTTTGGCTTGGAGAGCTCAAGTCGGATGTTGGTGTAGTTTTGCGGCATTGCTTGAGTCTTGAATTTGCCCATGTAATCAGCACCAATCGACAATCTGCACGTTAGTATCGGAGAATTGGATCGAGGGATTGCTCACATGTTCATTTTGCTGGCGGGAGACGTCAGCTGTGAATGGACAGTATTCGTGTCCATCTCATAAATACTCCTGCAATTGCAGAAAGTCAGGTCTGAATTTCCTTCCTCTTGTATTTGCCAAGAGAAAGGGACCTTGAAGAAATTTGAAGTGGGCATGTGAAAGCTGCTTACTAGCAGGTAGGATGACCGTTACCCACCTCATTCATATTGATTGACCTGACAAGCCAAGTGCGACCCTTGTCAGTAGTGACGGGCACATCAAAAGTGCAATTATATCCTCGTCCTGTCCTTGCAAATTCGGGGTCAGGGCTAGACAGTGTGATGATGATATCATGATAGCTGTGCGCTTTTACCACTGGATTAGCGCAGTCCAACATTGCCACAGCTGTGTCGATGCTGCGTCGTCAGTTCAATCGTCACGCAGGAAATTTGAAGAGAAGTTACCTTCGCATGGCCATGTTGCGGGGGTGGATTGGAGTTGCTAGTTTTGTTAGCACTCTACCGGTCCGGGGGTCCGTTATCGTTCTGCAATCAGCCCATCGTCGTTCGAAAGTTCAAACTTGCAGACGTACTGGTTCCATGTCGAGGCCTTGAAATCTTCATAGTAGTTGATCTTCAACGTTCCGCCGGGCCAAGCCACGATTTCTCCTACAATTTGCTCCCAGGCAGATTGGCTATGATACTCAACTGCTGCAAGACACCTTCGACATTAGCACGTTGATATCAAGAGTGACCATACCAAGCGGTTTTCTGGCCCCCGCAGACAGCTTGATCATTGTCGTAAGCCGCTGCGGATTGTATCAAGTCATGAAAGTCCCCCTTGCCATTTGAGTCCCTGGAAAGTCCCAACCGAAGGAAAACACCTCCCGGCTTTTCCTAATCATTGGTGGAACATTAAGTTCCATTAAAAACTCGACCTGTTCGATGTGAACTCCCACTTGAGTTGGACCAAGCACGAATCCAGCAGGGTACTTGCGGTCATATTTGGCATATACTTCTTGAAAGCAAGTCGATGCGAATAGAAGCAGACTGCAAAGTAACATTGACTGGTCAACAGCGGATGTGATGGCAGGATTGTGGTCAGAGCGCTGCAGCAGATGTCCGCGTGCACCCTTTTATGTGTTTTTCCGTGTCCCTCAGGAGTCATCAATATCGTAGACGGAAGTCTGCAGGTTCAGTGAACGGGGATGGAGGGCGGAAGCCTTGTGATTAAGCTTCAACGCGATTGGTGCATCCGATGTTTGTCTGCCTTTGCTTGAGTGTCAAAAGATAGCGTGAACCATGTGGTTAGGTCCTAATGCAATTGCTGCGCACGGAGATTGTTTGCCTCTGCTTGATTGTCCCTTCGAATTCCTTGCTGCTTTTGTCTCTTGACGTCGAACTCCGCTTGCGGTGGCTTGATGACCGAGTGCAGGCAATCCCAAGCAAGAAACATTAGCAACATGAACTCTCGATGCTCTTACTTGGCTGATTACAAGGCCGGAGACCAAGGCCTGGTGTTAAACAGCGATCGCGCCTTTGCCCGCTTTGGCAAAGACTTCTGCTCAATTACAGCGCAAGCCGCGTGTTTGCTCGTGTGTAAGGAGAAGCTTGTGCCTTCAAGGGTCCAGACTCCGGACTCCTGAGCATAGAGCATGCAGCTGCGGCAGCACATGGGGCCGAGCAGCAAGACGACACTGACTGGACCAGAAGCAGACAGATTTGGAAGGTACTGCATCACCAAGCGAGTGTGTGAGCCATGTAAGGTACTGCATCACCAAGCGAGTGTGTGAGCCATGTAAGTTGTATCATGCGTTGCACCAGTATCAGCTTGAGCAAAGCATGTTTCTGCACAGCTCATCTCGAAAAGCGCAGCTGCAATCTGCTCAGCTGGTGAAGAATATATGCTCGGCTAGAGAGCACGCCGGGCGGCTATGGTGCGCGTGTGAGGCGAGAAAAGCATTCCGAGTGAAGAGCGTCTATTTATAAGAGCACTTTAGATCCATGGCAACTGCCGGCCGAAGTCTAGACCTGCTTCAGCTGACATGTACAGTAGTATATCACGATTCCAAGTGCGGTCAATCAGAACATGCCCAGGTCGGTGCTCGGCTGAATCTGACCGCTTGCGACTTTTGGCAGCACGGAGGTTTCTGAAGCGGCTGGAAAGACAGGCTCTACGGGAGACATCCAGCCCTGCTACAGCTGTAAAAGAAGTCATGATTGTAAGACGTATTTGTCGCTTGTCTGCAGTATCTCGCTTTCAGACAACGCAGACCTGCTCAATAGGTCGAGCTGCTACACGCCCGACACAACTTCTTGCAACACGCGGCCTCAGAGCTGTCCGCTCTCGGCCTGAGAGACCAAGACAGCGTCTACCTAAGAGACACTCGCCTGCTGAGTCTGACACGGCTCAAGCTAGTAAAGAGACTGCTCCGGTTCAAGTGGCGCAAGACGCTGACTCGCTCGTCCGTAGTTGCGATGCTGCTGTACACCTCCTGTCGCAGCCAGCACTCGTCATCTGCCGCCAAATTGAGATGATGAATGTATTTCTCGGCTTTGAAGAAGCCAACAAGTACTTGATCAAAGCAGCTGATGGCTCAACACTGGCCTACATGGCAGAAGACTCTCATACCATGGCGTCCACCATGATGCGCAATCTCGCCGGCACGCATCGCAAATTCTCATGCAACGTATTGGACTTGCAGGGTAACGTCATTCTCAGTATTCGGCGGGGGTTTGCGCTTGTCAACAGCCACATTTCAGTCTATGTACATCGCACACCAGGTGAGGCCGGCGAGTTGATAGGCGAAGTACGACAGCGCTGGAATTTGACGCGACGCAAGTATGAGCTCTTCTTGCATCGTCGAGAAAGTATGCAGCAATTTGGTGCCATTGACGAGCCGATGCTGAGCTGGGACTTTTCCGTCATGGGCGAGGATGGCGCGTTGCTAGGAAGCATCAATCGCAACATGCGAGGCTTGATGCGTGAACTCTTCACCGACACTGGGCACTATGTACTGCGCTACGATGCAGCAAGTCCAGAGACAACCAATTTATCAACCTCTGCAGTTGCTCTGCCAGGAGTCGACACAGAGACTGCCGATGCACGTCAAGCTATGGCTCAAACGCACAGCCGCGCTATCGCCTTGTCACACACCTCAACCCGACCCATGACTTTGGATGAGCGTGCCGTCTTGCTCGCCACAGCCGTCAGTGTTGACTTTGACTACTTTAGTCATCAATCTGGCGCAGGCCATACGGGCTTTTTCCCTATGTTTATGCCATTCCCAATGTTTGGCGGCTCAGCTGAGGGTTCTTCAGTTGAGGCTTTGCCGGAGACGACTCCTGGAGCGTTGCCAGAAAGTGAAGGTGGGACAGCCCTGCCACCTGATCCTGCATTAGGAGGTACAAATGGTGACTTGGATGAGGGTCAAGATAGTGTTGACCAAGGACATGGACAAGAGCAGTCACCTGTGGACGATCGGCCTTGGTGGGAGCAAGATCAGCCTGCCGAGGAGACTTGGTCAAATGACTTTGCAGATGGGGACGGAGGTGTCGACGGAGACGACTGGTTCTGATTGTTTTGGGTTGAGCGAGGACTGTGCAGCATCTTTTAACTTCGTCCTCATGCTGAGGCGCAGGTAGCACTAATGCATGCTGCTACATGTACTAATTTGGCAATTTTTGGCTTAGGCTGAAGGCGCATCGCATCTTATTCAATGTGCATCACAATGCCCTGGTACGATAAGCTCCCCCAAGGGTACAAGCCAAGAAAGTAGGTGCCTAGGCTATATCGTATCAGTGCTGCAGAAACACGATTGCATGCTGCATGGAGGCCATTGCTTTTATGCAAAATGGGTCTGCGACTGGGTCGTCGCTGAGTATGAGGTTACGCAAACTCAAGGATGAGAGCTCAACGACCAACTGCACTTGCAATTCATATATACTGCACCTTGAGCTTGGAAATCCATCCACTCCCTCCTATAATCACTTCCTTTGTCCATGCTTATCAACTCAATGGCTTCGTGTCTCTCGATATCTAGGGATTATGATTGAGTCAACATTCAGGCTACCTTGATTTAGCTTGGAGCAGGACACATCGCCTACGGCGTCCCTACGAGCACTTGTTCTGAACAGCAACGTCCAGTGTGCTATAGACTTGCTCATCTCCGTCGAATGAGAGGATGGTAGGAAGCAGATCGACGTTAGAAAGAAAGAGTATTAGATATGGCTGATTAAATACGCTGTCACAGTTCTAGTAGCAGTGAAAAGCATGACTGAAGTACACCTCGCCCAAGATATCGGAAAAAGAAAGGTTTTGAATGGCAAATGAAGTACAGAGTCGCAATCGCAGAAAGTCTGGTGAGGAATTCCGTTCTCTAGCTGCAATCGCAAAGAGAAAGAGACCTTGGAAGAAGCTTGAAATGAACGTGGGAAGCTGCTTTTCAGCAGGTGACCTTGCCGCCACCCACCTGATTCACAAAAATTGCGTTGACATCCCAAGTGTGACCACGATCGGGGGTTCTGAGCTTTTTGAAGTTGCAATTGTTTTCATGTTTTGTTTTTGCAAATTCGGAGTCAGGGCTAGACAGTGTGATTTTGATATCATGATAGCTGTGCGCCTTTACCACTGGGTTAGCGCAGTCCATCATGATCACAGCTGCCCCAATGCTACATGGTCAGTTCAATTGTGGCAAAGGGAATTTGAATGGAAATTACCCTCGCATGGCCATGTTGCGGTCGGTGAGTGGAGTTGCTAGTTGTGACAGTACTCTACCGGTCCGGGGGTCCGTTATTGTTCTGCAGTTAGCCCATCGTCGTTCGAAAGTTCAAAACTGCAAACGTACTGGTTCCATGTCCGGGCCTTGAAATCTTCATAGTATTTGATCTTCAACAGTCCGCCGTGCCAAGGTATGACTTTTCCTACAGTTTGCGTGCGGCCAGGTAGGCTATGATACTCATTTGTGAAAAGACACCTTATATATTAGCACGTTGATATCAAGGATGACCATACCAAGTATTTTCCTGGGACTCGCAGGCAGCTTGTTCTTTGTCGTGCATCGCTACGGATTGTATCGTGTCAGGAAAGTCCCCATTGCCCGTTGGGTCCCTGGAAATTGCCAACCGAAGGGCAACACCCCCCGGCTTTTTCTTAATCATTGGCGGAGGATTAAGTCTCATCGAAAACTCGACTTGTTTGATGTACACTCCCTTGGCCGTTGGACCGAACCAGCATGTAGCCGCAGTGATGCGGTCAGATTGGGAATATACTTCTTGGAAGCAAGTCGCTGCGAATAAAAGCAGACTGGAACGTAACATTGACTGGTCAACAGCGAATGTAATGGCTGAATTGTGGTTAGAGCGCTGCAGCAACTGTCCGTGTGCACCCTTTTATATGTTCTTCATTTCCTTTTCCTCAGGAGTTCCCAACATCCAAGATGGCAGTGCAGATGTTCAGGAACAAGGAGACATAGCGTGGACCATGTGAGTAGGTCGTAATGTAATTGGTGCACATGATATATGCTTGCACTTGCTTGATTGCCCTTACAGCTGCTGCTTCTTGACCTCGAGCTCCAAATGTAGTAGCTTGGTGACCGAGCGCGGGCATTCCCAAGCAAGAACATTCGCAATGATGAACCTCTGATTCTTATACTTCGCTAACTGCAAGGTCGAAGCCCAGGGCCTGGCGCTCACTAGAGATCGGACCTTTGCCCGCTTTGAGAAAGACTTCTGCTCAATGTTTGGCGCAAGTCGCGTGTTTGCTCGTGTCTAAGGAGAAGCTTGTGCCTTCTGTCAGACCTATTCGGGGTTCGCATCGCATTCCCGTTGAGCCAAAAGTGACTAGTCCCTAGAGGACACCGCTGCAGCTCTTTAAACCCCGAATCCAAGGCCTCATCCAGGAGTCAGTGCTCATCAGGAGACACCTCCTGGACCCAACTTCGAATCCCGCAGAATCTCGAAGCTCATTTTATATCTAACACCTTCAAGGGTCTTGAATCCTGACTCCTAAGCATAGAGCATGCAGCTGCATTGCCGCCGCTGCAGCAGCAGGATCTCGTGCTCCGCTTGCAGTAGTTGGCCGAGCGCGGGCAATGCCAAGCAAGAAACATTTGCAATGGTGAACCTCTGATGCTCTTACTTGGCGGATTGCAAGGCCGGAGACCACGGCCTAGTGCTAAACAGCGATCGCGCCTTTGCCCGCTTTGGGAAAGACTTCTGCTCGATTTCAGCGCAAGCCGCGTGTTTGCTCGTGTGTAAGGAGAAGCTTGTGCCTCCATGGGACCTAACAGTACAGAGCATGCAGCACATGGGGCTGAGCAACAATATGGCACTGACTGGACCGGAGGTAGACAGATTTGAAAGGCACTGCGTCAAGACTTCTGCTCAAAATTCAGCGCAAGCCGCGTGTTTGGTCGTGTGTAAAGAGAAAGAGAAGCTTGTGCCTTCAAGGGTCTGAACTCCTCTCCTAAGCATAGAAGATGCAGCTGCGCTGCCGCTGCTGCAGCAGCACACGGGACCGAGCAGCAAGACGGCACTGACTGGACCAGAAGTAGACAGATTTGGAGGTACTGCGTCACCAAGCGAGTATGTGAGCCATATAAGTTGTATCATGTGTTGCAATTGCATCATGTATCAGCTTGAGCAAAGGATGTTTGTGTACAGCACATCTCGAAATGCCCAGTTGCAGTTCTGCTGCGATTGCCTAGCTAATACAGAACACACGCTCGGCTTGGATGTTCACTGCCAGTAGTGCACGCCATGTACAGCCAATGTCCACCAAATGCTGCTGAATTTGCCACGGCCCAAGCTGATCTTGAGACTGCTCTACTTCAAGTGGCTCAAGATGCTGACTCACTCGTCCGTAGTTGCGATGCTGCCCTACACCTCCTGTCACAGCCAGCACTCATGAACTACTGCCAGATTGAGATGATGAATGTATTTCTCGGCTCTGAGGGAAGCCAACAAGTACTTGATCAAATCAGCTGATGGCTCAACACTGGCCTACATGGCAGAAGCCGCATGAGCCCCGCCGATGTTATGCAGATTGGGCCTGTGCTTAAGTGGGTTGTTGCTGATTTCGAGGTTGCGAAAAGTCGAGATGAGAGCTCAACCATCAAGTGCGCTTGCAACTTACCACTTGAAGTTACAACCCAGATATACTGCGCTATAAGCTTGGAATCCATCGTTTCCCTCCCTGTAGTCACTTCTTCTCCAGTCTGTTCTTACTAAACTAAACGGCTTCGAGTCACTTATCCCTGCCGGAGCGCTAGACACTCCTGTGTTAGATCATGGTCTTTGGAAAGCTCAAGTTGGCGCTGGGCAAGGACGAAAAAGGCGACCTTACCGCTCATGCCTCGCAGGTAGGATTGACTGGTTCCACTATTCCTGGCGTTTGCATTCACTCTGAAGCTTCCAGGATACTGGCATCGCTCCCAATCGTCATATGTCGCCAGTATGAGCCCAAGAACGCTGTGGCTGGCATCGAAGAGCCCAACAAGTACTTGGTCAAGTCTTCCGACGGCCGCACCATTGCTCAAATTGATGAAGAAGTGCGGAGCTCCACAATGAAACGGTCACTTCAAGGAAATGCTCGAAAATATGCATGCCATTTGACTGATCTAGATCTCAACAAGCTGCTTTCTGTTCAGCGTGGCTTCTCATTGGCTGAGGTCAAGCATGAAGTGTCAGTCTACACATATGATACCCCGGACAGTGAAGGTATCCTCGTTGGTACAGTCAAGTCCAAGTTTCACCTTGTGAAGCGCAAATACGACCTTTTCTTGCAACAGAAGACTGGACTGCAGCTATTTGCCGTGGCCGAATGTGTCTCCGCCGGAACCAACTTTGATATTGTCAGTATTAGAGGAGAGTACCTTGGCAGTGTCAATAGAGCCAAACGCGGCGGTATGAAGGACGCATACACATCAACAGGGATGTATGTTTTACGAGATGCAAGGTGCAGACACGATTCATCAGCATCAGCATTGCCAGTAGAAGACGCAAATCTTTATGTCAATGACCCCGAAAGCAAAGACGCTGCAAAGGCGGTCAAGGATACTGCAAAGCAACCGTCGTCCATCATTGCGGAGCGTGACATGTTTCCAGCTGAACGCGCTGTCATACTCGCTTTGAGTATTGCAATGGACTTTCAGTACTTCTCGTATCAGTACAACACGGCTCGAAGCGTCGGTGTCTACAACGTCTAAAGACCATTCAGACCCGTCAGGGACTGTGATCCATTTCCTGCTGCTACGGGAGGCATCGACGTTGTAGGTGAGGTTGTGCACTTGGCTGTGTCTGAGGAGTCAATCGGATGTTGTGTGGCTTGATGCACCGTACAGCATAGGTGTGTCTCATTTTACTTGCAGGCACGCACATATGCTTTCCATTATCTACCAGCCGACTCATGTAAAGTCAAAAAGTCTTTGGCCGCCGTACTAATGGGGGCAGCAAGGCAGGACAGCTTCCCGAGGCTTTACAATGGGCGAAGACCATCGGCAAATCACTTGTCATCCTCCTGCTATTCGCATGCCCGATTGCTGAAGTAGTAAGTAGCGGATGCCATCACCAAATTGAAAGGCTCGCCGGCCTAACACATCATAGAATGTCTTGCCATTACCAGTTCTATCAAGTACGATTCAAGAGCTCCGTTTCCCTTGAGCGTCACTGCCACACTTTGTACTGACTCTGCAGCCCGAATTGAGCAACTTTCTCCTCTTTGCCATTGTTCCATCTGATAGTCGCAGTATGTTATACGATCTTCTTGCAGAGTGAAATCATGGCAGTCTGTGCTTGGTCAAAAAAGGATCAAGTTTCCAAAGCTGATTCGAAGCAGAATTGCATTCAGCCAATGGCCTCAGTGATTGCATGGACTTCCTTGGCTGTTTGAGGTACACTCAGCTTGTACGAGAGTCCAAGCAGATCCAAAGTTCGGATCGGAAAGAAAGAGTATTGAATACGACTGAATAAATATGCTGTCACTCTTCCAGAAGCAGCGAACAACATGGCTAGATTACGCCTCGCCCGAGATATCAAGAAAAAAAAGAGTTGTGAGGGCAAGTCGTGTACTAAGTCTGAATGGCAGGCAGTCAGGTTGGTAATATCTTTCTAGGCGTAAACGCAAAGAGGAAGGTATCCGGGAAGTGGAAGGAAATCGAAATAAACGCCTCAAGCTGCTTCTTAGCAAGTGCGCTTACCTTGACCTACCGCTTCCATGACCATTGCGTCGGCTTGCCAAGTGAGACCGTGGTCGGTGGTTCTGAGCCTCTCAAACTTGCACCTAACTTCGGACATGGTCCTGCGTGCAAAATTTGGGTCAGGGTGAGACAGTATGATCTCGATATTCTCATAGCTGTGCCTCTGGACCTTCGGGCTAGCACAATCCATCATTTCCACAGCTGTCCCGAGGCTGCAACATTAGTTCAGTCGTTGGGAAAGGAATCTGATCAGCAATTACCCTCGCATGTTCATGTTGTGTTTGTCGATGGGACTCACTAGTCGTGACAGTTCTTTCTTAGTCTTGGGGTCCGTGATCGTTCTGCCATTAGCCCTGTCATCATTTGACGATCAAATGCAATCGTACTGTATCCATTTCCGTGTCTTGAGATCTTCGAAATACATGATCTCCAACCTTCCGCCGCCCCAAGCCACGATCTGTCCATGTTCTGGATCCACACCATGTTGTGAATGGTCGACATTGGTAAAAATGCACCTCCAAAATTAGCTTAATAGAGTCAAGATCGATCATACCATTGGGTTGCCAAGCCCTTGCAGTCAGTGAGCTTTGGGGCATACGCTACCACGGCTTGAAACAAATCAGCAAAGTCCCCGATTGTGTGATTATCCCCCCGCCCGATTCCCAACCAAAGACCAACACCTCCATCCGAATTCGCTTCAAGCACTGGCGGAGGACCAATGACCACTGAATAGGTGACGCGTCTGATGGAAACCCCTACCAGAGTTGGACCAAGCGCGCATGCTGCAAGAAACTTGCGGTCCCATGTGCTACTTCTGAGACACAAGTCACTGCAATCAACAGTAAACTGAAAAGCAACATTGCCTACTCAACAACGGAAGATGGCTTTTATGTGGTTGGTGAACTGCAGCAGTTGCCCGTGTGCGCCCTTTTGTGTTCTTTCTTCCTTTTCCCTCAGGGGTTCCCAACATCGTAGACGAGACTCTGCAGGTTGAGTGAAGGAAAGTGGCTGCAGGCATAGCCATATGATTAGGGATCTCCATGCAGTTCGTACTGGTGCACATTAAAATTTAGTTTGTCTTTGCTTGGATGTCCCTTGCAGCTGCTGTCTGAGCCTGTCTCTTGACCTTGAGCTCTAGTCGCAGCACTTTGGTAATTCAGCATGGGCAATCCCAGATGAGGAGCATCTGCAGAGGTAAATTCGTGAATCTCATACTTGGCTGACTGCTTGCGCGAGCCCCAAGCCCGAGTCCAAGGCTTGGTACTCATCAGCGAATGCATGTTCGCCCACCTTGAGAAAATCGTCTGCTCACATGCTTGGCGCAAATTGCGCACATGCACAAATACAACAAGAAGAGCAACCTGCGGGCCATATGGCTGCAATAACATACGAGGCGAATCTCGCCTGGTACAGCTGTCATACTGTCGAAGTGCTTCCTGTACAGTCGCAGCGTCAAGCAAAGTACGTGAAGTCACACTACAGCTGGAGTACGTGTAGTCATTAGATAGTAGGGCAATTCAGAGTTCGTAGTTCACGGCGGACAGATGAAATTTGGCATTTGTCGGGTGCCGAAACTCTGACTCGGATCATCAGGAGGCGTTGTACCTTGTTGACGATGAGAGAGAGACCTGAAGAGCCACTTGAAGAGACATAGAAACCGGTATCAGATGATTGTCAATCGCTAGACACGATCCATAGAATGCATGCGGTCTAGAGGTTTAATCGAAGTGCATCGCTAGAGGCGAGCGCGTCGCTTCTTATGCGCCTCTACCCATCGTCTGTAAGAGTCGGTAGAATCGTTCGTCCGCCTCGCGTCGACGAGCTTCCGTCTCGCGTCGATAAGCTTCCGTCTCGCGTCGATAAGCTTCCGTCTCGCGTTGACGAGCTTCTCGTTGTTCGTCTAACTGGCGTCGATGAGCTTCTTGTCGTTCTTCCGCCTCGCGTCGATAAGCTTCTCGTCGTGCTTGCGCAGCTTCTTGCCGCTCAATGCTCTCTCTTTGAAGCTGTAAATTTGCGTCTGCAATGTGCTTGGCGACCTTGTATCTCTCAATTGTCGCCTCCCTCTGGGCGGCTCGCATAGTTTCGAGAACGACATTCAGATAGCCGACCGAGTCAATCGCCTTGCTTGATGCTTTGGACATCTTTCTAGCTGGTGTCTTGCTTTGCCGTGCTTTCTTGGTGACATGCTCTCCGTCATCTTGGACAGACGAGTCTTCTGAATGGCCATCGCTGACGTTGGCGTCCATAGCTGGGAAATCGCGATCAACAGAGGTTCTGTTGGGACGTTTGGCCGATTTGGAAGAATTCAGTCTTTTGGATGTCGACTTTGAGGTCGACCTCGATTGCCCTTGCGAGCGAGACGACAGGTCGACGGAGGCAGCTGAGTCATGACGCTGCGAAGTGTTACCCTCAGGGTCGACATCTTCAGACAACAACTCGGCCGTCGATCGGTGGGTGCGATTTGCAGGAGCATCCCGTCTATACGCGAGCTCGTCTTCCTTGTCGGCGGCGTTGAGCTGATCAAAGAAGTCGACTGACGATTTGAACACTATAGGCGTATCCACATCGGTGGCAGCATAGTGCCGGGGGCGTTTCTGTTCAACCGCGTCTTGACAGTTAGCCAAGTGAAGAAGCGTCAATATCACCTACCGCGAACTCTAAGGCCTTCATGTCTCGAGGGCATATACCTCTTGCCCATGTCGCCTGAAGTTGATGTAGTTAACAGATGATATGTCAAATATGGACGACAACAAACAAAAACGCGAAATTTCACCACAAAGACGCGCCGGACCATCCAACTTGATCCAAAGTGCAGAGCAGTTGCCAGTTGCCCGATAGAGGAAACGTGGGCTAGCACTTCTGCAGCGGCTGCTTATATATGCGCCTGGCATATGTCTACTCTAAAGAACTATGTGCCGCTGCCGACCTGCTACCCTCCAACAGAGGAAGATCTAGTCTGATTCATTCCCTGATCAGTGCATACAAGCTCCTCTCATCTGACCAAGTAGTGGTCATCAAGCCTAAGCCTGCGACCCGGCAAGAGCTACTTGCATATCATGACGAGGATTTCATCGACGCCTTACTTTCCGCTGATGACACGTCAAATCAGGCATTGACAGATGAAGAATTGGCAGAATTTGGGCTAGAATACGACTGCCCGCTCTTCAAGGGCATCTCAACGTACATCACGCATGTGGCAGGTGCGTCGCTCTATGCAGCAAAGGCACTATGCTCGCAATCACACGGTTTCACCGCTGCTGTTTGCTTTGATGGAGGCAGGCATCATGCTCGAAAGCGAGAAGCTTATGGCTTCTGCTATATCAACGACATCAATCTGAGCATCCTGCAGTTGAGATCATCATTTGACCGGGTCATGTACATTGATCTAGATCTTCATCATGGCGATGGTGTAGAAAGTTGTTTCAAGTACACTGACAAGGTGTTGACTTGTTCGATACATCGTCATGGGCCTGGCTTCTTCCCTCGCTCAGGCTCGGCTGATGAAACAGGTAAGGGCAAGGGCGAAGGATATTCTCTCAATGTGCCGCTCAAGCGTGGCTTGACCGATTCGCCATTTCTGCGAATCATCAATGAGATTGTCATACCAGCCATACGGGCATACAGACCTGGAGCCCTTGTCGTCCAATGTGGCGTTGATGGGCTGCATGGAGATCCATACAAAGAGTGGAATCTATCAATCAACGGCTTTAGCAAAGCAGTCGACCTGATACAACGGGAGGCGACGTCAAAGAATATCAAAACGTTGTATCTTGGTGGCGGCGGATACGAGTCGTCCGTCGTGAGCTCATGCTACGCAACGATTTTGGCAGTTCTCCTTGACACAAAAGATCTATCGCAGGCTATTCCAGAACACAGCCGATGGGCTCAATATAGCAAGCGTGACTACAGCCTGGGTGGAGATGAAGTATCTGGGGTGATGCTGGATGCAAATACAGACATTTCTGAGGTCATTGATCGAGCAGTGCAACAGATGAGCGTCTGGAATATGGACTCTGTCATGTCTGGCTAGCTCTACAATGTCTATAGTACTCAAAGGTAGAGTCAACAACGTAGAGCCACATCCAGGCCAAGTCGCCCGTGCCCGCCCATCTCACAGAATTTCGCGTGCGATGACCAGCACAAGGACAAAAGCAAGAGACATCAGAAGAGACCATCTAGCAAGCCAGACGGTGCCTGGTAGAGTCCGGCCCTCTGGAGCACGCGATATTGAATGGTCTCGGTAAAAGGGAGCTTCAACAATGCAGCACCTCGGCTTCGGGCTCCGGCGTACCACGCCATTGTCTCGCGCGTCCTTCAGAAACGCTTTGTCCACGCGTGTGTCTGCTTATACGTCTTGTGCTACGGCACATCGTTTCTGTTAGGGCACAGTTATCGCCCGTGGTACCTCTTCCCGTGGTCATGGACAGGATTTAGGAGTGTTGCCATCTTCCTGGCTTTGGCACCGCTGTTGCTTCTACGCAAGGCGAATCTGCATGTGACGCGGATAGCCAGGCCGTTGAGTCCATTCAATGTCTTGTCGGCACCATCCATCGCAGCGGCCATTGCATACACAATCGCATCGACCTTCTTTGTGCTCACATACATCAATAATACCAACGAAAAGAGTGGCTTGACATTACTGGTAACGCAGCGAACGTATGAGCTGCCAAGGCTCAATGAACGATGGCTCTATCTCATGTTCTTCTCTGTGATGTTGGCTGTGTTTGAGAGCGGAAAGCATATAGCATGCGACCTCGACTTGCTCGCACGTCCTCTTGCGAAACGACCCATTCCTACGCGCATGCAAGAAGAATTGCCAATGGTTGCTGTACAAAGCCTGGTCCAGGCACTTGGAATCTCACTGGTTGCTCCCCTTGGCTATCTCATCCTTCGCTCATCTTTATACAGCTTTGTCTTGCGCTTCGTTCGACTCATTTACCACGTTCCAAGATCAACAGTACCACCAGAGTGGCCAGTAGGCTTTGGCATGTGTATTCGCACAACATTCATTGCAACGCTCATCATCTTTGCTTGGAATGTGCTACATTGGCTCTTCAACGTCTACCTCTCGCAAGGCCCGACATACAAGGGCAAGCTCATCAGCGAAAAGTCAATGCTTCAAGACGAGACACTTCTGAAAGGCCTCCAGCATACCTCAAAGCCGCTCACGCAATTGATTGCATTCGAAGAGCTTCGTCTGATTGCTGCGCATGGCAAAGACCGACGCATCGCGATATTTGAGACTGGTGCACCAGATGCGACCATGTGGCTTGCCATTGTCAATGCATGTCTAGTCGTACTTGGCGAAGTCATTGATTCTGTAAGTGCTGCAAGTGGCTCTACACAAGGAAATCAGCCAGCACATCCGACTGTTCAGTCAGCACCCAAAGCTCGCGTCATTGGTACACCACCACCTGTACAAGTGCATCAAGCCAACATTTTCCTATCTGGTCACAAGAATGCAAGTATCGTCGATAAACTCAAAAGTCAAACTCAGCCCGCTGCCGCAGCCATCAAAGCGCCTGAGCAGATTGGCCAAATGGGTCAGTCTGTGATGACGACAATCAAGAGCCATGCACTTGAATTCACAAAACCCATGTGGCAACCTGTTACTGAGCTGACTGCTATACGTTTACTTGCAAAAGTCCTTCGAGCAGGGGAAGAAGCCATGCCGAGACACGAGTTTGCCATTCTGGCCATTGAAAGTTTGCGCGACATGCTGCTTGCATCATTGGAAGATGACACCTTTGGCAGAGCACATAAGGATGTATCGCGCGTCCTCACTTCATTGGAAAAGCTTCAAAGTGTCATTGCAAGACTAAGACAGTACCGCAAAGCCAAGCAGCAGGATCAAGATGAGCAGCAACCGCTTGTATCGGACGACATCAATACAGTCGACATTCTCGCTGGCGATGCGAGAAAACAGTTGCTTGAAGCGTTCCAGGCATATCTTTAGCACTTTTCTTAATGAACAATTCTATCCCTACCTCTCACTGTACATCTGTCAACTCTGCTAAAAAGGCGGCATTATTTGGCTTTCTGCCGAGAAACCGCTCCATCATGACTTCCTCATCTCTTGAACCACCTGGCGCCAAAATCTCATCCCGGTAGCGAGCGCCCAGTTCTGGATCAAGAGGACGCTCATTGAATCCAGCACCATAGTACAAATCGGCTGCAAAGACACGCGACCAGTGATACGAGTAGTATCCGGCTGCGTACCCTGCCATGATGTGACCAAAGGAGCCTTGGCCGGGTGTATATACATCTCCTGCTGACTGGTCACGACGCAGGATACCATCTGCATCAGTCAGACATTCATTGTACAGCGTCGTGAGCTGATCTTTGGTGAATGGCTCGGCTGCCGTGTGAATGCGCATATCAAAGGTCGCAAGCCCAATCTGGCGTGCATTCGAAATGCTGGACAAGACGTGCTTCGTCCTGATGAGATCTTTCATCAGGCTGTCTGGCATTGGTTCGTCCGTCAGGTAGTGGCTAGAGAGGTGCTTGAGCACTTCCGGATGCCAGACCCAATACTCTAGCATGGTGGAGGGCGTCTCCATGAAGTCTGATGCTGTGTGCGCATGGAATCGAGCATACTTTGTCTTGCCAACCAGGGCGTGTATTCCGTGGCCAAGCTCATGGAAAAGTGTCTCGACTTCCGAGTGCTTCAACAAGGACGGCTTGCCATCTTTGGGCTCGGAGAAATTGCAGACAATAGCATTGCTGGGGTAATGTCGGGATCCGTTCCTTTCAAGGAATCCAGGTGAGATTGAAAAGGAAGCAGCGTGCTTGAACTTGTTCTCCCTTGGATGCAAGTCGAAATATATGTAACCAACAAAGTCGCCAGTGTCGAGTCGCCACACAGCATATTGCTGTACATCAGCATGCCAAAGGTTGCTCGTCTCGTCGAGCAAGACAAAATGCAACGAGAAGAGCTTTTCGTACATATTGAGCATACCCCTCATAGTGTTGGTGAGTTCAAAGTACTCGGCGACCTTTTCCGCGTCTACGTGATATTGTTGTTCGAGAAGAGTGTTGTCGTAGAAGCTGGTGTCCCATACATACAGAGGAAGCTGGCCACCAGCGTCAGTCTTTACTTTGCCCAACTGTTCCAGATCCTTGTCGCGAGACGAGGCGATTGCTGTCTTGAGGGTGTTCAAAAAGTCCAACACGCGCGGGCTATCTTTTGCCATACTGTCTTGGAGCAGGTGATCGGCAGTGTTGCTGAACCCAAGTATGTCGCTTGCTTCTCGCCGCAAAGCGAGCATTTCGATGAGCAAATCAGTATTGTTTGGACAACGCGACTGGTATGTTCTCGCAGCAGCTTTCCGCGTGGTTGCATTCCGACAGTAGCTCATGACTGGGAAATAGTGTGGGTAGGCGAAGGTCATTTTATGTTTCCCATCGGCATTAGACTGCCAAGACTCTACCAGATCACGCGGTACGCCATCCAATTCGAGGTCCGTGAACCAAAGTGCATCATCATTGTTCGCAAGGGCTCTCTCGAACGCTAGCTGAACCGTGACTGACTCCTTCTCGATCTGAATGAGACGGTTGCGTAGTGTGACATTCAATGATAATCCACGCGCGTGTCCGTCGCGAACCATGAATGTAGCAAGTCGTGCATCTTCTTCATCAAGGTCTTGTAAGCCAGCATCGACTACTTGTTGCACAAGATGGAAATGGTCTTCACGCATTTCAGCATCCGCCATCCAGTCCATGATGTCTTGCTCTGCTTGTGTAGACGCATTACGAACAGATTCATCCGCTGAAACGGTGTACAGGAATGTCAGATGTCCATTACGCAAAAAATCGCTTTGGACTTCCGCCAGTGGTTTGACGACTTTCGAAAAGTCGGCCACTTTGGACGAAGCGATCTCGTCGTGTGCTGCTTGTGCCTCTCTGATGAGCTTCTCGGCAGCACTGTGAATTTGTTCAGCTGATAAGCTAAAGTTGATGGGTGCTTGAGGAGGGGTACTGAACAGCGAAGGCGCTGTTGTAACAGGTGCAACATCGATCGATGTGCCCTTAGTCTTCCATATTGACGAGCCGCTGAGCTGAGCTGGCAAGATAGAGTCAATACTCAAATATCTGACAGAGAAGATGATGGCAAAAAGAAGCGAAACACTGAATGCTGCCAGAAGACGGCGGTGAAAAGAAACCGTCGACATGTCGGTAGATCAAAGACAAGAACACCCTTTCGAGCGACTGTCAACAGAAAAGTCTAAGTACAGAACCGATATTGAGAAGTACTCGTATGATAGAAGCCTGCTAGGAGCGCATGACTGCTAGTCGATGAGTCTAGGCATGAAGAATGGGCAAGTTAGGCGTAGAGCTTGAGGTTCAGGTGTCCAAGATTTTGAGCGCGATCGTCACTAACCCTGGCGATAGATACCTAGTACCTACTACCTCACCCTGGCCCGCTACCTGCATCAGCTTTAAACCCGTGGACTACGAGCAAAGTGTGTCGGACGTCAGAGCATCAATTTCTCGTCGGCATAAGCAGAGTTGGGCACTATAGACTGGTTATCTGCTCTATCTTGACTAGTGTGCTCTTGAATAGTCAAAGGCTTGGTCATTGGTGTGAGACATGCTAGACCAGCTAGTATCATGCATATGACGATTGCGAGAAGTGAAGTGATCCGAGAGTCTCATCAGACATGAAATAGGTTCATTGCTGTCTTGGGCCGGTCCTATTTGCCACCAGCTGCAACGGACTTCATAAAAATGCTTCCGATGCGCCAAACTGCTCCATTTGCTGAAGGAACAACATTCTGAACGTCACAGTCCTCATTGGAGAAAGGCTTGAGGAACGTCTTATCAGGGCTGGACAGTGTGATCTTGACATCAGAGTAAGTGTGTTCTGAAACCGAGGGTTCCCATCCGTCCATGTATTCAACTGCGGCCGTCAAGCTGGATGGTCGGTCAGTGGACAACATCTAGGAAGGAGTAAAGACTCACGCTTTCATGCCTTCAATAACAGCGTTGATTGGAGCGGTCATATTTGTCAGTTGCTGACCGGATGTATCGGAGATTGTCCTGCCGCGATGGTTAGCATGGAGCCTTCACGCTGTGTCAATCGAGGCATACATTTCCCAGTGCTTTTTGGCAGTGACCAAGCGAGATTTGACGAAGATTGTGCGTCCATTCCACGGTACAGCTGGTGATTCCAACTGGGCCAGCTCTGCGCCCTGGTAAACAGCTTCCAACAGACACCTGTAGCAGGAAGTCAGCTTGCATGTTCAATTCGATGCCATCATGTTACCACTCCCCAGTCTTGGCATGACAGGTGTTATCAAAACGCTTCTCGCCAGCTGGCTGGATCAGTCCACCCGTGGAGTATGGCTGCGATAGCCCAAGCCAAATCGCCACACCCCCTAATTTGGTATTCTTAAGATCCCAAGTGGGCGCTGGCTTGGCCGTCATATAGTAGCTGATTTCAACGATTTCGGCCTTGCTGTCCAAGGCAACCCGGCAAAGTCTTGGGAATTTACGATAGAACATGTTTGGTTTTGCAGCTGCGCTCTGCAGCAGCAGCAGGACTTGTAAAGAGATTATCAGCAACTTCATCCTTCCAGAGGACAATTTTGCTGTGCTGAAGCAGAAAAGGAGGGGTCTGAGCTGTTGTTATATGAAGATATGGTTCCTATCCCCTTACGTGTCCTCTTTACCCTTATCTTCCACTTGTTCAGAAGGTGCACTCCTGAAATACGTGGCTGCTGCCAACACACATGCTCTACCACAAAAGTGAGGCCGGCTCGGTGCAATTGCCCGGATTGAACCCTGTCAATGCCAGGAGGAAATGAAGCAACAAACAATCTTGTGGAACACATGCTCCACAGCCGAATCCGCAGCTATGGTGAGTCCGCAGCAAGTCCGATTCTGAGAGTCTCAACCGCGTGACTTGATGACACTGGAACCTCTATAGCAGAGGGCCCAACGGGACTTTTGTCGTTGAGACAATCGATTGGATATGTCTTGTAGCACTCTGTGTTGCGGAAGCGTAACACTGTCCAGAGCGCCTGCAAGCTGCTGCAGGCTTTTGAGGTCATTGTAATGGCAAATAGCGTGGCTACTGTATCTGCCGAGTTCCTGCTCATTTTAGAAATGCTACCAACGTTTTGAATGGAGTCATGTTTGCGTAGGAGACCTATTTCACACAAAATCCTTGTAGCAGGTTCAGCATCATCGCTAAGGAGGGTAGCTGTCGACTGTTGACTGTGGACTCAAAGGTGCGAACTTTGCAGGTTCAACGCGCATAAGTCTCATCGCACATGGAATCAGTTTGTCGCTGTCTTGTGCGGGTCACGTACGCCACCAGCTGCACTAGACCTCATAAAAATGCTTCCGATGCGCCAAATTGCTCCGTCTGCTGAGGAAAGAACATTTTGAACGCTACAGTCCTCGTCGGAGAAAGGCTTGAGAAATGTCTTGTCAGGGCTGGACAGTGTGATCTTGACATCAGAGTAAGTATGCCCTAAAATTGAGGGTTCCCATCCGTCCATAAGCTCAACATTTGCCAATAGGCTATCCTGGTTAGTGGAAATTACGAGCAACTGAGTCGAGACTTACGCTTTCATGCCTCTAGTCATAGCGTTGATTGGAACGGTCATATTTGTGAGTCGCTGACCAGATGTCTCGGAGATTGTCCTGCCGCGAGGGTTAGCATTGGGCTTCCACACTGTCAATCGAAGTGTACATTTCCCAGTGCTTTTTGGCAGCGACCATGCGAGACTTGACGAAGACAGTGCGTCCATTCCACGGCACAGCTGGTGATTCCAATTGGGGAACCTCTTCACCCACGAAGACGGATTCCATCAAACACCTGTAGCAGGAAGTCAGTTTGCATGCCCAATTCATGCTACTTTCTGTTACCATTCGCCAGTCTTGGCATGACAGGTGTTCTCGAAACGCTTTTCAGCAGAAGGTTGAATTATCCCACCTGTGTCATAAGTCTGCGATAGCCCAAGCCAAATGAGCACACCGCCCTCGTTTGTATCAGTAAGATCCCAGACGGGCGCTTGCTTGGCCGTCATATGGTAGCTGATTTCAACGATTTCGGCCTTGCTGTCCTCTTGGATCGACCCAAGTTGGCAAGATCTTGGGAACTTTCGGTAAAACTTTGGTTTTGCAGCTGCACTCTGCAGCAGCACCAGTAGGACTTGTAGAGAGATCATCAGCGACTTCATCCTTTCCAGAGGACAATCTCGCTGTGTAGTGTCCCACTGTCCGGAAAGCGGAAGGGAGGGGACTTATAAGAGGCCAGCCTGGTCACTGGTGCAATTGCTTGGAACGAACCCTGGCAATGTCAGGAGAAATGAACAAACAAAAAAACATGTCGACTTATCCATGCAGAATCGTACACATGAACCATGGCCCAATCTGTAGTAAAATGGTGAGAACGCAGCAATTCTACTGGCGTCCAAGTCCAGGAGTCTGGCGTGACTTGCTGCTACTGAAGTCCCTATAGCAGACAGCATTGCAGTGTCCATCGAAATTCCCCTCTCTCTCCCTCTCTCCCTGAGGCAATTGTTTTGGGGACGACTTGTAGCGCTCTGTGATGCGGAAACGTATCACTATTCAGAACACCCGTCAGCTGCTGCGGGCCTTTGTTTGAGGTTATCGCAATGGCAAGTCGCAAGGCCGCTGCATTGATTGGTCACAGCTGACAGGAGCTGACAAACAGAAGTGGTGGGCGCTGTCGTATGGACTTGTTGTTTGCGACCGACTGGTAATCACGAATGTTTGTGCTCATGTTTGCATAAAGCGTCCCTCCCGGAGCTGCATCGAACCTCGCAAACTTTGTTTGTGGCATTGTCCTCGCCTATGACAGACATCATCGTCGATGACGATGGGTCGCTGCATAGTCTCTTGGCAAAGGTCAGTCCACCGTAAGGATGCAGTGTGTCAAAGCGCTCATAGCGGGAGCAGCGATCCTTTCGAGTTTGCAAGGTCTAAGCTCGGGAGGCTCATGTCCATGTCTAGTACGGCAGGTGGCTTATCTCGCCAGAGCAGGTATTGAACACCGATGCATGAGTCAAAGACTGTTTGAACAAGCGCACAGAGTTTGAATTGCAGTGAGACGTTCGTGCTGGTACCGGCGTAGAAGAAGATCATTTTGCCAAAGTCACCGAGGAGCCAGCTACCGAGCATGGAGAGTCTCACACCTTGCACACTGCGGTGTCGCAAATTGCTCAGGAATTGAGGGATTGGTAAAGTTGCCTCGATGCCAAGAGCTACAGTGCCGAGGAGGTCAACATAGAGCGGGTATCTGCCAAAGAGGTACTGAAGCACAAACAATGCCGCAACGAGTCGAAGCAGCGAGTGCCAGTATGTGTTTCGATTTGACCATTGCCAGAGATTGAATGGCCTCTCGCTCTCTTGCGTCTTGAGTCTGATTGGACGATACTCGAGGCAAGCTTGCAGTAGAAAAAGCTGTGTAACAACCATGACGATCGATTGTACAAGTAAGCTCCACTCGTACCGTTTTCCGATCCAAAAATTGATGCGAAGCAGGTTGGCTACGAGGTTGATGCCACACAAGTCTATGGAGAAGCCGGCAGAAGTCTTGAGCCTGCGAATGGAAAGAATGGTATCGACATAGCTTGTGAGGGGTGATGTGATGAGAAAGAGTGTGAATGCATAAGAGTATAGCTGAGCCAGAAACATGAGACCTCGGCAGCCCGAGGCAAAGCAAGAGAAGGAAGGGAAAGAGCGTCTGTGTTACGTGTGTTTGTTGTTGCCTCTGCGCTGATGCGTCGTCGTCGCAAATCTCACGAAATCACCGAGGACGACGCAGTCCTTGGACTACTTCTGTGCCTCTGACAATAGTACTGCTTCTGATACAATTCTCGTTTAAGTTAGGAAGAATCATCTCTCTTATCAAGTCATCAACATGTCTGGAGAAAAGACTAAATTACCAACCAATCTCGAGAAAACTGGGCCTCGCCTTCCTTATGTGCCCGAAGATGTGGCAGGGCCCATTGCAGATGATCTGAGACGTCGTCGAGGCGGTACTCTGCTCGAGCTAGACCGGATGTTGCTTCGTGCTCCTCCCCTAGCAGCCGGATGGAATCACTATATGGGTGCTATTCGTTCAGGGACCTCCCTGACGGATGCCATTAGAGAGCTGAGTATCTGCTATGTGGCCGTCTTGAACAATGCAGATTATGAGTGGCAGCAGCACGTCGGACTTGCCATTAAAGCCGGTGTCTCAACGTCAATCATGGATCAAGTACACGACGATGTGCTTGACGCCTTGGATGACGAGCAGAGACTTGTTTTGGATTATACGCGTGCTATGACACGAGATATCAGCGTACAAGATGATCTCTTCGCAAAAGTCAAGGATCATTTCAGTGAAGTAGCAACGGTCGAGCTGACTGCTACAATTGCTGCCTACAATATGGTCTCTCGCTTCCTCGTTGCGCTTCATATTGGGAGGTAGCGTGAGTCATCCAGTAGCTGTCAAGAATGACAGATCTGGCAGAAGTGCAACGATGCGCTGAATCTCTAGATCTATTGTATCGTCCATTTTAGATCGACTCGCTGCACGCGACCTTGTTGGTGGTGATATGGCAGGTGAGGCCTCTGCACCTGCTTGCTGGGCAGACGTGACGGGCTTTTCAAAGAAGGACAAGTCCCAAGCATTTGCTTGGCTGACCGGAATCGCTGCCACAGTCGGCGTATTTTCTTTGGGTGCAGGGGCTTGTTGCGGGAGACGACTTTCCATGGCTGATTCAATTGGCGGCTCTGCTTGGACTGCAGCAGTATCAACCGCTGAAAAGACTGCCGTCAACGGTGTGGACGCAGGTGTACTACCCCCACGACTCACAGCACCACTCCTCGAAGACCCTCGTGAGGAAGGTGGTACAGCCGTACTCGTCCAACCAAACACCGCAGCACCAATTGATTCTCTTGCCTTGACGCGTGAATTGCGTTGATGCGGACGCGTCCAGGATGGTTTTTGCTGTTGTTCAAGAGCTAGCCAGCGTTCGACGATTGCTTTGACATCGCGTTGGATGGCACTGCCGTTGAAGCGGATAAGACTGAGAGATTTAAGCGTTGTTAGGCGTGTCCAAGTCGCTGCTGTCGAGTCGATGGTGAGCGGCGGCACATTAAGCCCATTAGTATCAAAGGACGACACGTTTGATGGGCTCGGGAACACATCAGATGCAAAGACTGCTTCGAGGAGCGGGTCTAGCACTGGCACTTCGTCCTCGATGGCATCTGTAAAGTCTCCAAAGTTGCCTTCATCGTCTGCCGCTTCTGCAGATTCCTCGTCAAAATCAGTCTTCTTCTCAAGTGTGGCCTCCGCTTCCCATGTTCTCTCCTCCAGCGGCCTGATGTCCTGCTTCCCCGGCGCGTCGACGTCGTAAGCTGTTGAAGTCTCCCATACAGAGCTGTGCGAGGCCTCTTCTGCCCAGACATTGGCATCATGATTCATAGCATGCCACCTGATCGTGCCCTCCCAGTGACTTTTGAGCAGATAGAAGCAAGAGCAAGAATGCAAGCAGATACTTTGTCTAGGATGTCTCGTTGCTGCGTGCGAGGACGAAAAGATCAAATTTGAACATTTCACGACCAAGACACTTCCGCTTGATTTGGGATAGAGAGACACAGGGACAATGCTGGGAAGACTGGGACTGGCAAGGAGACATCTGATTGCTCCTTGCTATAGAATAGCACGCCGTTTGGCATCTACGAATGAGGCGGCCCCGGATGCGGCAGGAAAGGCGACGACAACAGCATCCAGCACATCGCAACAACAGCCTTTTCGCTTCTCAGGCTTGATTCCTGAGCGGACAGAACGACGTACAGTCGCAGAAACATCTCTGCCGTCGTCTCAACCGAGTCCGACGAAACGGCCAATGGCGTTGCCTTCTCTCTTCAAAGATGAACCCATCACGCCAACTCTCAATAGCAGAAACGCACCAAGTCGGGGTCCATTCGCTTCCTACTCTGGTCGTACAAAGACTGTCATGCAAGGCGACATTCAAGGCGCCTTTCGCCAACTCGGCAGCGTACTGCGACAAAACAACGTCATGCGTGAGTTTCGTCAGCAAAAGTTTTATGAGAAGCCGAGTGATAAGCGAGGTCGACTGAGTCGTGAACGGCATCGGAAGCGGTTCCTGTTGGGTGTGAGGAGATTGGTTGGGCTGGTCAAGGAGCAGCGCAAGTTCCAGTGAGCTGTGAACGATGCATGGCTCTTCTATGTCTTGTCTATGCTTTTTTGACAGGGGCTACTGCTTCTTCCCGGTAAGATGCTGGTCTTTGGCATGAGCAAGCATCCACAACATCTCCAGCCTCGGTGTCTGGATCCCTTGCTCTCGTGCAATCCGAACAATATTACCAACAACCGCTTCAACCTCCATAGGACTCCCATTCTCTACATCCGCCAGCATACTCATCTTGATCCCCGTGCCGTGCTTGGCTCTTGTGAATGCCCGTGTCACTTGCTCCTCAATCTCGGCGTCGCCTAGTGGGTAGCCGAGTTTTGTAGCGACAGCAGCGACTTCGTGCATGGTTGCACGGAGCACATTCGGTGCTTCTGGATGGCAATGGATGAAGTCTGAATCTGTGTTCAAGCAGAGTGCAGCGAGTGGGTTCCAGCACGCATTGATGATGCTCTTCTTCCAACGACGTGCTTGGATATCTTCAAAACAAGCAACATGTGCGCCTCCAGCGAGGAGGCGTGATTCGAGACGTTTGAGCGAAGGAGGAGGAGGAGAGGCGGGGAAGGTGCCAAGCTCTAGGATATCTGGGCCTTTGACACTGCAATGACCTGGCTGAGGCTGGGATACTGGTAGATAGACGACTCCAGAGATGACTTGACCAGGAAAGGCTGCTTGATAAGGTTCTTCAATACCAATACCATTCTGTATGAGCACAATCAAAGTATCTTTTCCCAAGACTGGTCTGATGTCCTCCACAAACGAAGCACGCTCTGGAAACGTCTTTGCACAGACGAGGACATAGTCAAATGTCTCTTGACACTCTTGTGTTTTTCTGACTACACGATGGGGAGTGCAGTGAACATTGCCCCAGACGTGCTCAGGCGACTGAATGTGGATACCAGAGGAGGAGATGGCATCGTAGTTGGAGCGACAGACGGCTGTTACTTTGCAGCCGCCTTTTGTGAGTAGATACACATAGCAACAGCCGATGGAGCCTGTTCCAATGACAAGGACAGAAGGACCTCTCATGAAAACAGCAGCAATACGAGTACCAGTAGCTATCAGTAGAGAGAAGGAGCACAGAGACAGAGAACAGGCCACCAGCAGCAGCAGCAGTTTTGTCAAATTTTGAGGTTTCTTCCCATCTCAACTCATTCGACCGTTTCCTACCCAAAGAACCAGCGATTTTCAACCTCTTTTGCCAGCTCCTGCCTCTCATACACCATGAGCAGCTCATCTGATGATCAGGTCGCGTCTTTCCTTGCCATCACCGGCACAAGCGATCCTGAGGCCGCTCAATTCTACCTCGACGCAAATAAGGGCGACTTGAATGTAAATATATTCGTCATCGATGCATGTCACGGAGCGCTAATGCATTGCTCTAGGAAGCGCTTGCCTCTTTCTTGGAGGGGAATGAAGCGTCCGTACAACGAACTGCTCCATCTTCGCGTCCTGCAGCAAGCTCTTCTAGCAAAACCACCGCGAAACGCGCGACTGGGAGTGTGAGCACGCTTGGAAGTATTGCCAAGCATGGTAGTGATGATGATGAGAGTGATGATGAGAAGCCGGCGGAATTCTACACGGGTGGTGAGAAGAGTGGATTGGGTGTATTGGATCCCAATAGCAAGAAGAAGGATCGCAGTGCTCAGGGACTGATTGAACAAATCATGCGCAAGGCTCAACAGTAAGTCTGCTTTTACAGGTGGTCTATCCGTTGCTAATGTGACTAGAGGCGGGGCACCACCGAATGAAGACGACGATGCATCGGGTGCAAGTCGCTTCAAGGGCGCAGGATATACACTTGGCAGCGACGAAGCAGATTCTACAAAAGTCGAAGACCCCAATGAGGTCTTTCGACGATCTATGGCACATGTCCCTCCACGCGTCAAGCGAACACTCAAACTCTGGCAGGATGGATTCTCTGTGGATGATGGGCCTCTATTCCGTTTCGATGATCCTGCAAATAAGGAATACCTAGAAGCCATCAATCAGGGTCATGCACCCTTGTCCCTATTGAATGTCGCCTTTGGGCAGCCAGTGGATGTGGAAGTGCAAAAGTCTGATGACAACTACAGTCCTCCCCCAAAGATACACAAACCATTCGATGGACAAGGCCACCGACTCGGCAGTGAGATTCCACCGGCCGCAGGGAATGCATCAGTAGCACTACAGCAGTCTGCGTCACAATCATCGAGTGCAAACGCACAGCCGAGTATGGACGTCGACGCATCTCTACCACAGACACAGCTCAATATACGACTCGCTGCGGGCGGCAGACTTGTGTCTGCTTTCAATACAACGCACACGGTAGACGACGTGTACGGCCTGGTCGATCGTGCTAGTGATGCTGCAGGGCATGCGTATGTCCTGTTGACGCCATTTCCGAGGCGCGAGTATCAGCGTGGATCGAAGGATACGCTAGAAGCTGCTGGATTGTTGAAGGGGACATTGCAGCAAAAGTTCTTGTAGACGTTTCGGTTGCATTCATAGCTTCAATCGAGGTCATCCAAGTCGTCTTTTGGCAAATCTTCCCCTGATGCTGCTGTGTCCTCCATCTCCTCATCCTCAGTTGCGTCTGCTGACACAGTGCCAGCAGTCATTTTGATGGTCCCTTCCTCCATATCCTCTGTCTTGCCACCAGCTGCGCCCAATGCCTCCTTTTCATGCTTCATGTCAAGAGCAAGGAACCACAAGACAACACTCTCCTTTCCTTGCGCTTCCGCCTCATCCACGGCCATTCTTCTCGCCTTGTTGATGATTTTCGCATCTGCACCGGCACTCAGCAAGACCTTGACACAGTCCAAATGTCCATTCAGACTCGCCCAGTGCAAGGCTGTATTCCCGCCTTCATTGACGAGATTCAATGCTTCAATTGGCAATGACGGCGTGACATGCCGGACTAAGGCGACATGGCCATTTGCACAGCTATAATGAAGCATTGTATTGCCCCACTCATCCTGCTGAGCAAGGACGGCAGCTAGGCTTGTAGCAGGAATGTAAGCAGGCGTTGTATACTCCTTGAGCTCTTCCAAATCTCCATATCGCGCGCATTGAAGAAGTTCTTGGAATAGCTCTGATGATGGCGATGTGTCATATGCCATTGCAGCCTTGACTTATGGATCTCTGAGCTATGGGCCTTGTTTCTTGTTGCTTGTATTCGCTGTGTCGCTGAATCTGTTGAAAAACAAAATTTGGGAGGAGCTCACTCAGCTCATCAGATCGCCGGACACTCGATCAGTAATCCAGGAGACCATGGACATGCCTCTAGTAATACGCTAGAGAAGAGCAGAGCAGCCAATAATATACAAGAATAAAACAAACTCACTGACCATGACTCAAGACCCTCTGCCGCCGACCAAGCACTTGAATCGTCTGCACCATTTGACCCACACGCTCACCCATCTCCGCCAAACACGCATCCTGCACCACAGACCCTTCGATGCGTGCACCTGCATACAAACTCGCATGCACCTGCTCAGCAAACATGCGTAATTTGATCGTCTCATGCACCAACATTTCTCGATTCTCTGCTTCTGAGCCAAGTTGGCAGATACTCGAGGAGAGGTCGTGCAGTGGGACATTGAGCTGGATAGCGATATTCTTGATGAGGTTGCCTCGCATGTGTGTATCCATACTATCCACCTGCGCTAGCGCGAGTGTCTCATACAATTCACTCAATCCAAGACGATGCGCATCGTAATCTGGCATATTCGCCGCAAGCAACGGTTTCGTCATCGGCTGCTGTCCTTGCTTGGCTTGTTGCGATCGCGGCGACCCTGCGCGGACTGGCGAGTATGCTGAGATTGGAGATAGTGGAACGTGCTCAGCGAGCCGGAATGCTTGAGGCTGTGACTGGGACAGTCCCTGTGTCTTTCTCAACGAAGCATGAGTAGCCGAAACAGGCGATTCGTACGCAGCAGCCTGTCGCTTATAATCTCTGAGGTAAGATGGCGTTTGATAACACTCCCGTGCATGCATGGACGTAGCATTCGCTTCAGCTTGAATACTCTGATCCCATCGTTGCATCTTATCCGCAATGGACTCTTCCACTTGTAATGTCTCGACAGGTGGCAATGCAGGTGATGCGCTGTGAGAACGGTTGTAGAGCGGTGCAGTGGCTAAATCATTCGCGACTTGCTGAATACTCGACTCGCGAACAGATTCCTGCCGCTGCTGCTGCTGTTGTTGTTGGTGTTGCTGTTGAAGTAAAGTCTGCATGACGGCCTTCATCTCGCTCATCTGCTGTTTCGCCTGTTCCAACTCAAATGCCCGTGCTGCATCCACCGCAGCTCTAGCATCTTCAACAGGTGTCTCCACCTCTCTCTGCGCATTCTCCCGACTCGAAACATCATCCGAACCAGCTTGGCGTGATTGTTGCACCAATGTATCGATAATCAGGCCACGTCGAGAACATTCATGTTGTGTTTGTTCAAGTTGCTCAACAAGACTTCGAATATCATGCTCAGAAAGCGTCACGAACTGATTCGTCTGATTAGGTGGAACGCTGTTTTCCTTGTTACTGTCTGTTCGTTGCAATTCTGGCGCCATGCGATGGACAGATGGTTCGCCTTGTAAGGGGCTACCCTGCTTAATGGGCTCCAAGACTTGTAATTCTCCTAGAGACGGGAGACGTTGTTGGACGGATGGTTGTTTTGCAGGGGTTGCAAGATCAAGTAACGGGCCACCTGAACCAGACCCATCCATGTCCATTGCAGATCCACGCGATGCTCGGAATCGCGCTGCAATATTGGCACCGAGTGTGCCGTGTTGCGATTGAGCGCCTGGTGTGGGAACGGTGATTTGCAGTGCATCTTGAATGGCGTGTTGTAAAGAGGTTGCATCGACTTTGGAGAGGGCAGAACGGGTGTCTGAGTGGTCGTGTTGACTGCTTGCAGTGTGCTTACGTGTCAAGTCGCCACGGGTCGCATCGATGCTGTTTTGCTCAGCGACGGATCCGAGATGGCTGATTGCAGGTGAGAGGGGTGCTTGGGGGATGGTTGTTTCTGGTTGTAAGGAACGTCGACGAATAGGCGACAAGACACCAAGTGCAGCAATCATCGATTCAGCCTGACCTTGTTCTTCATGGCTGGTGAGTGCATGAGGAAGACTGGGTTCCGTTGCGGGTATGTGCTTTGTATCCCATGTCTGCTTGGCTGTCCAAAATTGCTGCTGCGAAGCGTGTCGTAGCGGAGAAGGTGTGATTTCCTGAGACATTGGACGCGTTGAGTTGTGCGGCTCGCTCGTCATGGGCTTGAAGAAGGAATCATCGACTTCTTGGACTTGCGCAGGCTGGTAATTTGTTTGTTTGGATGCTGTGGATGCAGACAACTTTTCACGTAAAGCTTGAATGGCAAGACCGCTCGATTCGGCGCGCATCGAGTGTTTTTGGAAGGAAGGTGTACGGTTTGCGGAGACGGTACCGAGGGATTGTTCGGGGTATTGAACAGAGACGCGTCTTGCTGATAAATCATGCTCCATGACTGAGTCCATTTTGGGACTCGATGCAGCTTGTGGCCTGCCTAGCTGTTGTCCAGCAGACGGTTGTTGTGGTTGCTGCTGCGATGCGACTGAACGGTCTGCATCGAGCAAGGCTAGCAGGTATTCCGCTTTTTGCTTTGCAGCCGAGTCTAGAGGTCCACGCATGTAAGAGCCTTGAAAGAGACTGAGGTCTTCTTTGATGTGGTTTGGATGATTTTGGGAGAAGTACGAGTCCTTGATGTACTTGTAATCACGCGCCGACATGGGCGAGTCGAGCAGAGAGTCGTCTGGCATTGTGAATAACGCAGCAGACAGCAGAAATGGTTTGTATGAGCTAGCAATAGCAGCTCTTGTCTAGTTCAGAGCAAGCAGAGCAGTGTAGCAGGCCACGGCAGCTTGAGTTCAGCAGTAGTAACTGAATAATAAGTGAGTAGTTCCTGTCTTGTTTTTGTTTTCGTCGCGTCCATTTCCAATTTTCTGTCGCGCTGTTGCATTCACGTGCACCGAGTCAAAAGTTCAACTTCACAATTACTTCAACCAGCAAGAAACATATACAGCTGCCCACTCTAAATTGTCGCATGTCGGGCCTGTCCAAGGTACTGCCTGATCCTAAAGCACACACCTCCCGCAAGGTAGCAGGCAGCGGGAGTCGTTGGGATAGCAGCGATGAGGAAGATGTCTCATCTACAGCGCCCGCCGCCGTCGCCCAGTCACATGTGACGACGCTGGCGCGGCATGGCAGCATCCCAGCGTATGGTCATCGTCAGGGCTTTGTACCGAAGCGTGCTGAGGATTATGGCGATGGTGGTGCATATCCTGAAATCAACATGGCGCAGTACCCTCGTGGCATGGGTCTGACTTCTACCAAATCCTCCGGTGGTGCGCTCGCTTTACAGGTGGACTCAGCCGGTAAGATTCAGTATGATGCGATTGCAAAGCAAGGTCACGGTGAAGGGCGTATCGTACAGACGAGTTTCAAAGATCTCATACCGATTCGCAACCAAGTTGAAGCTGGAGAGATTAGCCTGGATGTGCCGACAGAGGAGGAAGTGCAAGAGAGTGCTGAACGAACCAATGCTGCACTACAACTCAAAGTCACTGGTCAACTCGCTGCTCAGCGTCCCAAAACGGTCATGTCACAAGGGAAACGTGATGCGACCTTTGTCAGGTATACACCTGCCAGTCAAATGGGTGAAGCATCGGATGTGACACACAAACAGCGAATCATCAAGATGGTAGACATGCCTGAAGATCCACTCGAACCACCACGCCATCGTGTTCGTAAAATCCCGCGAGGACCAGGATCACCGCCACCACCCGTCCTACACTCACCACCGAGAAAGGTATCTGCAAAAGAACGACAAGATTGGGTCATTCCACCGAGCATCTCGAATTGGAAAAACGCAAAAGGCTTCACGATTGCGCTTGATAAGCGACTTGCTGCGGATGGTCGTGGGTTGCAGGATACCTCCATCAATGACAATTTCGCAAAATTGAGTGAAGCATTGTACCTCGCAGACAGACATGCGCGTGAAGAAGTCAAGTCACGCTCTCAAATGCAACAGAAGATCGCCATGCGAGAGAAGGAGAAGAAGGAGGAACAATTGAGGGAATTGGCACAACGTGCACGGGAAGCACGGATGGGACCTGCTACACGACTGTCACGTTCACCATCGCCTGTGGTCCGCAGAGAAGCGTCACGGCCGAGATCACCTGTTGATTCAAGGACACCGCCACGAAGACGACGACGACGTTCCTCTTCTGCATCTGGCTCTGATGATGAACAACTGCGCGAGCGTGAACGACTACGTAAGGAACGCCGGCAAGAAGCCGAACGAGCCATGCGGGTGGGTCGCATGGGCAAAGACCAACAAATGAAACAACTTGAACGCGAGGGACAGCGTGATATCTCAGAAAAGATTGCACTGGGTTTGGCGAAACCAACAGCGTCCAAGGAGAGTATGGTGGATCAACGACTCTTCAACCAAACATCTGGTATGAATGCTGGATTCGGCGCAGAGGACGCGTATAATCTTTATGACAAGCCTCTCTTTGCAAGTCGAGAAGCAGCGAATGCCATTTATCGGCCATTCCAGCGAGGTGGGCAGGAAGAGGAGGAGACGGTTGAGAATGTCACAAAGCAATCGAGATTCGATGTGCTAGGTAAAGCAACCAAGGGCTTTGGCGGTGCAGAGGGAGCAGAAGCGCGCGAGGGGCCTGTGCAGTTTGAGAAGGATGATGGAGACGTGCACCCGAGCAGGAAACGGATGGTCGGTGCTGCGAGTGATGGGCCGGACGACGCAAAACGGCGGAAAGAGTGAATAGGAGTCTTCTGCTTGGTTGAATACCCTGGCCTTGTCTTGTAATGTCATTCTACATCCTCTAGGACCTCTACTGAGGCTCTACCCCTTGTTCTCTTGTCTTCAGCGCCAAATTTCAAATCTGCGACGTCAACGAGAACAAGACACCCAACCACCTACACCGGGGCATAGAAGACACCTGCAGCAGTGCCCATGAAATCTGCAGGCGTGGCCCCCTCTTTACTTAGCCTCCTCTCTCTATTCCTGCTCCTTGCAGGGCTTGTAGAGATGGTGAAACACGAAGACTTCAAGACATGCAGTCAATCTTCATTTTGTAGGCGCAACAAGGCCTTTGCTGAGAAGCAACAGTCAGGTCATGCCTTATCGCCTTATACTCTGGATGCAGCCAAAGTCACACTCAAAGCAGGTGTGCTTTCCGGCGTGGTCATGAAGACACTGGTCAAGGGCGATCCAATTGCATTACCGCTCAAGATGACATTCCTCAAGAGCGGTGTAGCGCGATTTACACTGGATGAGCAGCGTCGACGCGATCTAGACATTGTTCTGCCTAGTGGGAAGGAAGAACGGGTCAACAAAGCGCGATACGATCAGGCGGAGAAGCACACGATTGTCGGTGGGCTCGATGTCGATACGAGTGTCACACAGATGAACACGGCTGAGGGCGTTACGACTATTCGATATGGACCTGTTGTTGGTTACAGTGTGCGTATTCAGCATGCTCCACTTAAAGTCTTCTTTCTCCGCGGCGATGAAGTCCAGATTGTCTTTAATGACCGCGCACTGCTCAACATGGAACACTGGCGTCCTCGCACAACACCCAAGGAAGCCGTTGAAGGTGAAGACGCCCCATCCAACCTCGATGACAATGGTGAAGACCTGACAGGCATGTGGGAGGAAGACTTCAATGGTCGGCCAGACTCCAAGCCGCGTGGCCCCGAGTCGCTTGGTCTGGATATCACTTTTGTTGAGTATGGTGACGTCTATGGTATCCCCGAACACACCGGCACCTTGTCCCTGAAAGAAACAACTGGCGGTCCTGATGGATTCTCCGATCCTTACAGACTGTACAACACAGATGTCTTCCAGTACGAGTATGACAGTCCCATGGCCTTGTATGGATCCATTCCATTCATGCAAGCACACAAGTTAGGCTCGGACGTGGGCATCTTTTGGCTCAATGGCGCAGAAACGTGGATTGACATACAAAAAACCTCCAACAACCCGCTCAGCTTCTCAAAACAATCACAGTCAACACAAACCCACTGGGTCTCAGAAGCAGGTCTCCTTGATGTCTTTGTGTTTATGGGTCCTACTGCACCTGCCCTGTACAAGAGCTTTGGTGAATTGGTTGGATTCACACGATTACCGCCCATGTTTGCCATTGCCCACCATCAGTGTCGATGGAACTACGAGTCTGAAGTCGATGTCCTCGATGTCACTGCCAACTTTGACAAGCATGATATCCCCTATGATGTGATTTGGCTCGATGTGGAGTATACGGTCGGCAAACGCTACTTCACCTGGAACAAGGACTTCTTCCCCGATCCTGTCAGAATGATGGATAAACTGGATGCAACCAAGCGTAAACTTGTTGCTATTATTGATCCGCACATCAAGGTCGACACTGAGTTCCCACTCTATAATGAGGCCATCTCTGGCAAGCACGTCATCAAGAATGCAGATGGCAATCCCTACGAAGGCCAATGCTGGCCTGGTCTCTCCGTCTGGCCAGACTTCACGAAACCAGAGACATGTAGCTGGTGGGCCAATTGGTTCCAGCCAAGCAAGTTTGAGGGATCCAAGTCGAATCTACATGTTTGGAATGATATGAATGAGCCTGCCATCTTTTCAGGGCCTGATATTTCCATGCACAGGGATTCATTGCACCAAGACGGTTGGGAGCATCGCGACTTGCACAACATCTACGGGACATTGATGATTAAGAGCACCTACGAAGGTCTCAAAACGCGTGACAAGGAAGAGCCAAAACGGCCCTTCATCCTCTCTCGTTCATTCTGGGCAGGTATGCAACGCTGGGGCGCCGTTTGGACAGGCGACAATATGGGAACATGGGAACATCTTGAATCAGCAACTGCCACCAACATCAACAATGGCATTGCAGGTATGACCTTCTCAGGCGCCGATGTCGGTGGCTTCTTTGATGATCCTCCCAAAGACCTGTTGGCACGTTGGTATCAAGCTGGTGCATTCTACCCATTCTTCAGGGCTCATGCGCATATCGATACGAAACGCAGAGAACCATGGATTGCTGGCGAGCCGTACACAAGTATCATTCGGAAAGCAATCGTGTTGCGCTACAGTCTGCTGACGACGTGGTATACGGCCTTCTATGAAGCAAGCCAAACGGGTATGCCGGTCTTGCGACCTCACTTCATCGTCTTCCCAGACGACGCTGCTGGCTTTAAAGTGCAAGATCAATACTTTATTGGAGACAGCGGATTGCTGCATCACCCAGTCGTCAAGAAGGATGCCACAAGCATCAGCTTGTACTTGGCAGATGATGAGCCTTACTATTGCTACCATACGTTTGATGTGACACAAGGGAAAGGCCGGCATACCATTGAGGTGCCCGATTTGACCTACAACCCAGTCTTTATGCACGGCGGGCATATCATTACACGACGAGACCGACAACGTCGGTCAAGCGAGTTGATGCGCAAAGATCCCGTTACACTGGTTGTCGCATTCGACAAGCAAGGTCATGCTGCTGGTTCGTTGTACTTGGATGATGGCGAGACATTCAGGCATGAGCAGGGTGAGTACATTTTGCGACAATTCACAGCTGCTGGCAACCGGGTTTCATCAACAAACACGCACCAGCAACCGGACAAGGCGCGGCCTTATGAAGACAGCATTACGAGTGTACGTGTTGAAAAGGTGTTGTTGGTCGGATACACTGGTGCTGCGACACGCGCCAAGGTCTCGCAAGGTGGGCGAGACTGGGAGGTAGAGGTGGATGTGGTGAAGGAGCTGGGCAAAGGTCGCACAGTACTGGCCGTACGTGATCCTGCCGTGCTCGTTTCGCAGGATTGGCAGATCGAGCTCATCTAAACACTCATCAGAGGATAGCGATCAGGATAGATGTCAAAAGTCACGATTGCTATTCGCTATAAAAGGAGAGTCATTCGGTCGTCATTGATAGGCATGAAAATTGCTCGCTCACTTGAAGAGGTTGGACCAGGCGTCTCCGATGGAATCCTTGCGGAACATGTCCTTTGCAGCGTCAGCCTAGATCGTTAGCAGATGCGCAGTACTCAATTCATCTCTAGCGTACCTGTGACTGCGAGCCACGTCGCTTCTTCTCGAGGCCGCTGAAGTAGGCACCCCCGCGACCATCGTTGCCTGCACCGAAGCTGAGCTTGCGGCCAGATTGATTGGTGCCAGTAGGCACTCCTGAGTTTGCAGTTGGGCTAGACATTTTTCTTGTAGTGAAGCTCTTTAGATGGCAGATGCTGAGCTATAGATTGAGGGATGTCAGTCTGCTTATGTACTTTCGCAGATACTCAATGACGTAGACATCTACCCCAGATTTTCGTTATCTAGGCAGCGGCAATTGGTCGAGGAGAAGGCCTAGATCGTGATCAGCAGGTTGGCTGAGGCTGCACATGTCGGTGACTCCGTATCGCAATGATGCTTAGAATCATATACTGCCCTGTATGCAATCATGAAGGCACTATAGCAAAAAGATAAAGCATATAATAGATATATAGATTGTTAAATAGCTCAGCAACGGCGAGTCATGCTGACAAGCAGTTCAGTAGGCTTCAAGATAAAGCCCTCACGAAACACAGTAGCATGCTTATTGCCATCTTGTCGCTCAAACTTGAATCGATAAAGCAAGTTGGCCAAGACAGTCTGCAACTCCATCAGAGCCACGTTGCGCCCAACACATGCTCGAGGACCATAGCTGAAAGGCACAAACTCTTTGTCGCTTGGTGGGTCTTTGATGAAACGACTGGGCTTGAAAGTATAAGGATCGGGGAACCGCTTTGCATCGTGATGAATCGTGTAGGCTGGGACAGACAAGACCGTTCCTTCCTTAAAGTGCTTGCCACAAACATCAAGCCCACCAGCAGGAACTGATCGAGGAAGGCCCATGGCTGAGACTGGCTGGATGCGTAAAGACTCCCAGATGCAAGAGATTAATTCCTTGTTGTACTGCACTTCTGCAAGCGTTGCAAGTCGTTCGTCATCTCGCTCAATGCCAATTTGCTGCATCATGTCATCGATGGAGTTGTTGAGCTTCTCGTACTCAACCGGATTGCGGCAGAGAACGTCAATGATTGAAGTAAGTGCATTAGCCGTCGTATCGGAGCCGGCAATCAATTGTGTCTGTGCTTCAGCCTTGAGTTCATTATCTGGCATCGGATTGCCCTGACAGTCGCGCGCGTTGATCAGAAAGGACAGCACGTCGCGTCTGTTTGAACCCTTCTTGAGACGCTTCTCTACTGCAGTGATGGCAATTTGACCCAATTCCTTCACAGCCGTTAGGCCCTTGGGAAAAAAGGAGTCCCATACCATGTAAGGTGTCCATGGCTTGATGTAAGGCATGGTACCCACTGTTGCAGACCACTCACCACGATCAGTGAGGATGCGAATAGCGTCGTTATGGTCCTTACCCGCCTTGATGAAGCCAAAGGGCTCACCGAATGCCAAATCGCCAATGATGTCGAATGACAGATAGGTTGCCCAAGGGAAGAAGTCGAATCGAGCAATCTGATCACTTGCATGAGTCACCATGGTACTCATCTGATTGAGAAAGAGTGATAGGTTGGCATGAATGTACGGTTCGAACTCGCGGACGTTTTGATGGGAGAAGATATGGGAGATGTTCTTCCGCTTTCGTGTGTGCTCTGCTCGATCACGCGTACTGAAGAGGCCACGATGAATGGATACGAATGCATCGTAATACGGAGCTTTGAGGGTGCCTGTGCCGTGACCGTATACCAGTGGTATGGCTTCAGCAGAAGCGATAGAGACATGGTCAGTACTGATACGCACGAAAGTACCGTATTTGGCGTGAGCAGCATGAACAGCCTTGTACCTCCTGTACCTTCGTGCTTGCCAGAAGAGCCATAACGGTGAGACTTTGGCTAAAAGTGGTCCAGGAACCTTTGCTTTGTCAGCTGACCATCGTTGAGCTCTTCGTCTTCCTTACCCAATTGATGCGCAGGGGGTCAATCAAGTATAGCAGTGGAACAGCGACTGCCAAGCAGATGAGATAGGTCCATGGACTAAGCAGAAGGCTAGCTAACAAACCCATTCTCGGGAGCAGGCGAGCAAGAAAGATGACAGTGAGCGCGGTGGCCAGATAGCTGCGAGCTGCTTTTAACATATTGGAGCACGAGCGTCAATAGCCTGAATCAAGCTTCGCTTTGTGATGATGCACACAATGTTACAATTGCAACATTAAAGAGCCCCTGCAGCGTAGCACTACTGAGTAGTAACCTTGCGTGCACTGCACTCAGCGTCGCATTTGGTCTGAATCCCACGCCGGACTCAGATGGTACGCATGTTCAGTTTCGATTGCGACTGCGTTATCTCGATCCACCGTTTGCAAGCGCGTGCTATTTGCGCGGTCGATGACTATCCTCTCTCAGATATATAGATATCTGCTACTTGATACAGACTGACTCGGGTTGCAACCTACTTAAGGTCACGAGCCATGTTGCAATTGCATATGCTATGCTACGACGAACATATCGCTCTACAACAGCTCCGAAATATCTCGCGCTAGGATCTACATGACCTTTGACGTTTACAGTCAACTTAGCAACTGTTGTCTGATAAGCTGCTCCTGAAATTTAAACGCCCCCTGTTCCTCCTTTTGAAGCTGCAGCTCGTCGCATGCCACCTCGCATTTAGTCATCTTGGCAATGCAATGCATGATTTCGCACTGACTTTGCTAGATTTCCAACACCAATGATAAGCGCTACAGCTCTCATGAATTTATGCATGTGGTGTCAGGGGTAATGTGCCGTGGAGCAAGTCTTGCAGGTTTGCTACGCTCTCTCACTCGTGACCCGTCTGCGCAGGTATGCCAAGACGAGAGGAATACGCTCAAGAGAACCCATGATACTCATTGAATCAGTCAAGAATTCAGAATGCGTCAAGGCGATCATGCTTCGTCGTCTATATGGATGCACTTCAGAATAGGGTTAGCTTTCGACGGCAACGCCTGTCGACAAGCATCAAGAGCCCGTCGCCCTCGACATCCAACACCAAGAACATGTATCTTCAGTTCAGCTAGCTCTTTCCCTTTATATTACCTGTATTACTTCAAGCTGTCATGTCAGGCGACGTCGTAGAGACTGACAGCAAGCTAGCTCTGCTCTTGTCCATCTTCGAGACATATTCGGCTGATGACCTCCTCGAGTCACTTCACAAGCATGATGGCGATATTGCCGACACTGTTGCTGCTCTTTCACAACCATCTCTCAAACGCAGACTCTCTCCATCTGCATCCACACAACTCAAATGGAATGACACGGCCGAAGCTCCTGCAAAGCGTAGAGCTACCATTGTCGAGCTAAAGACGAGAGAACAGATTGAAGCTTCACCGCTACCCTGCACGCTCATCTTGAATGTCCTGCCAAGTCAGCTCGCTAATGCGCTTCTTCGGAGGATGTTAAAGGAAGGAGAAACTTGGGAGAAGGGTTACTTTAAGCTCTTTGACCGCACCGTCACGAGTCCTCATGTTTCTTGCTTTTACCTGCCCACAGAGAAAGATGTCTCGAAACATGCTGCTTACGCGTATAATGGCCAGCCGCTGACAGATATCCGAGTCTTCCCAAGGGAGATGACGGAAGCGCATGGCATCATCAACGAAGTGACGAATACTTGGATGCACCAACATGATCATCTACAAGGAGACGACAGGTGGCAAGCAAATGTCGCTTTTAGCAATCTGTATGATGGTCGGCATTCCAGTGTAGGGTATCATTCAGATCAACTCACCTACCTTGGCCCAGCCCCCTGTATTGCAAGTCTATCATTGGGTGTCGCACGCGAATTCCGTCTCAAGCCCACACAAACGCTCGATTCAACAGTGTCTTTGACATATATCGTCAAGCTACCGCATAATTCTCTATTCATCATGGGTCCACGATGCCAGGAAGACTACAAACACTCTCTGACTGCGTCTCCGAGTGCTGGTCTAGATCGACATGCGATAGCAGGGAACTCAAGAATCAACATTACCTATCGGCAATACAGGCCTGCCTTCACACCGGATAAGCTGCATACATGCAAGTGTGGCGTACAAGTCGTCTTGCGATGTGCAGTCAAAGCGAGTGAAGCGAAAGACACTTTGTCAACTGCAGAAGACGGTTGGTATCGTGGACGACGTTATTTTTGGCATTGCGATGGCGACAAACGACCAGACTGCTCTGGATGTGGCTATTTTGCTTGGGCAAAGCTGAATGACCATGGTGATCCAATCTAATGCTTCTACGACAAGCTCAAAGCTGCTATGTCAGGCAGTTTGAGCGTTTCTGATGTCTGCTTGCTCGCTTGATATTGCGCTGCAATGATTTTGACCAAGTCGGCATATTTGAGCCCTGGATGGGATGCCTTGACACTATCCATGTTGTCACGCAAGAATATTTTGTACTTGCTCAGACCATCCGTACTTCGAGCAGGTGTCTCCAGGCTCGTTGTATGCAATCGTGGCTTGGGCTTGACTTGGATCAGCTTTCCACGACAAGCACCACAGCACACTTTGGACGGATCAATACTCTTGGAATGCCTGCCAAAGATCTTCCCACACTCCGGCTCGATACAGCTCCATTGATACTTGTAATCAATCTCGTAATCATGCTTGACGGATACAGTGATGCCCATGCGGGATTTGGTCACTGCAGCATGTTTCTTAAAGGCCTTACCATGTGGGTGCGTAAAATCAACCGATACGATCCACGTCAAAAGGTGACACAGCTCATGCGCCAAAGTCGCTTCAAGACGTGCTTGGCAATCAATGACTTTGGAGGATAATTCAATTTCTGCAATGTTACTGGATTTGCGATAGAGGGCGCGTCCAGCGGTTGTATTGAGGGTCTTACTCCAGATGATGGTGATGGGTTGTGCGAGTGTGTGCATGGCTGCTTCGGCTGTGGTCATGCACATGCAGCTTAGAAAGCGGCCTAGGAATGCCTGGGCTGCTTGCTCTCGAGACGCGAGGAATTGCTTCTTTTCTCGAGCTTCGAGCGTCATTTGGGCTTTGCTGGGCGATATACAAGGTGTTGCTGGCAACGCAACTGATTTACTGGGAGAAGCAGGAAGATGCTGTTTGACCCACTTGGTATGAATTTGCTCATCCCAAAAGGCGGCATCATGCTCGCGCAAGGGTGACTGAGGCACTTTGCGCTGTCGAGTCGAGCTCGGCAGTGTTGTCCAGTCGTTCTGCAAGATGGCAAGAGGTTTTCTTGCAGATTTGGGGGGTGGTGAGTAGGCGAGAAATGGTGTCGCCTCCTCTTCCTCCTCCTCGTCACTGTCAATGGCAATGATTTTGGAAGGAGAGGAGCGTCTAGCTGGTGCTAGCTTGACTGGAGCAAGATCCTCTTCCTCTGAGCTTGACAAATCAATGTACATGATTTCATGCGACTTTTCATCACAAGAGTAGTAGAGCGAATTGTCTTCATGGATAGCGGAAGCAGGTTTTGTTACAGCTGGAGATGCCGTCAAGGACTCTTCGTCACTCTCAGACAGGATTCTTGGTGGTCTGCGTGCTGTAACAGGACTGCGGAGGACAGCCATCCTTTGCTATTATCTAGAATGCATGCAGCTCTTTCCAGCTCAGTAGCAGTAATGCAGACCCTTGTAGCTTGTAGGCCTCAGTTGTTGCGTTGAATTGTTTTGAGAAGCGTAAATAGCAACGAAAGGGGAAGTCACAAAGTATACTGGACTAATAAGAAAGAAGGTATATCCTCACAGTTTCATGATACTCGGTAGCGACGATACAGCATACCACACATGAATCTACATACCTCTACCGCCATCTATTCTCGTCTGACAGGCTCAGCCACATCTGGGCGCAGTCTGCAGCTGAGATCCCGACGTCAGGACTTGAGCGTAAAGTAGAACTAAATATCTGAACTTTTACTTGTACTCACAGCCATTATACATATAGAAGCATCATCTGCGTGTACTATAGTCATGGCAGCTCACGGATCAAAGCTTCACCCAGACCACAAATCTTTCGCCTGTCACAGCGACCATCACAGGCAATACTGGGGCAATGCGCAACAAGTCGCTAGTCCGCCCTTTGGTTCGCCCACCGCGGCATCAAACGGCCATACCTCCGGCGGTATCTATGCACACATGGCATCTGGATTCGATAAGGAAGCAGCCAACCATGCGCTAGACTTGCTCGATAAAACCAATCTCGGCGTCAAAACACGGCCTGCAGACCAAATACAACCGGGTCTGTTCCTTGGCGATTTGAAGTCTGCTCGGGACCTTGACTTTCTTGAATCAAAGCGCATATCACGCATCTTGACAGTCTGCCCTCCCCATGACTTGTCATTTCCCGCGCATCTCAAAATCGAGCATAAAGTGCTGGATGTCGATGATGACCGGCAATCTGATCTCTTGGATCACTTTCAGGATACATTCAGATTCATCCAGTATGGTCTTGACGAGGGCCATCGGATTCTGGTGCATTGCGAACAAGGTATTTCGCGTTCTGCTACTGTTCTTGCCGCTTTTGTGATGAAGTCAGAGCGGTATCATCCTAGTGAAGCTATTCGATATATCCAACGCTTCCGGCCCATTGCAGACCCGAATCCAGGGTTTCGCAAGCAGCTTGAGATATGGGGCGCAACGAGAGGGGAGCTCAAGGGGAGTTATGAGTATACGCAGTGGAAGGAGTCATTGGCCAAGGGGTCGCATTAATTCGGCATAGGCATCAGCATTGTAGAAGGTAGCCTTGTAATTTTACGCATAGAGTCGGCGTATGAATTGCGCATGACGGAGCTTGTCTGCATCAGAGCCTTGTTGCGTCGCTTCTCGCAGTCGAGCCACGAGTCTCTGTCGCAAGGCCTCAAACGCAGCTGTTGTTGCTGCTGGGACGGTCGTTCTGGGCTCACGGTGTCGAAGTCGCGCTGCCAAGTCGACGGCCAGCTGCAGCCCTTCCTCATCCAACCTTCCATCTTCCATGATAGATGCAAGTTCATCCACTCCCCTCAAGAACCAAAGCTGCTGCCGTGCCGCTGCCTTCATCTCTCGAATCACCGCCCGTTGCCGCAACACATCATCTGCTTCTTCTGCCTCCTTCATAGCTTCGTCTGCCAATACTTGTGCCTGTTGTCGTATCGCAGACGCGCCCTGTTGCAAGACCACAAGCTTCGACGCATCCGTCTGTCCCAATTGAATAAAAGATGCATAATCACGCTGTACACCCGCCGTGAGTTCTCCATCTAGCTGTCTTGCAAGCGCCCGTAGCTCAGCTAGGAGATCATCGAGTTGGCCGTGTTTTTGATGTTGGCAGAGGAATGTATCTGCATCAAAGTCTTGTGCGCGGAAATCCCTACGAAGGGAATGAAGCGGTGCGGGAAAGGGGAGTGAGGCAAAGTCAAGGTCGTGGTGGTCTTCTTCATCATTGCTTTGCCTAGTAGATCGTGTTGCATCGTGTCCAGCTGTGTTGCTGTACCCTTGTTCAGGCGGGAAGTAGCTATCAAAGCGAGTATGCGCGCTACCGCCTGTCTCTATCAAGAGCCCATCCACCGGACGCGTCATTTCCACATAGGCCCTCCTCTCTAGACCTCTACCGAGTGTGTTTTGTCTATGTCGCGGTCGTTGGGAGGTAAAATCGCAGTTTCGACTCTGCACCACCCACGACAAACCCTTCCAGCTTCCCTCTTTTGGCCCAACAGGCCGTAAAGACAGGGCCTGTGCTCTCCGTCAGTGTGCACAGACACTCGCCACGCTCAACATGCCAGACTTTGACTTTCCCATCCGTACTTGCCGTCAGTAGCAATTCTCCGGTTTGATTCCAAGCAAGGCTCGTGATGGCTGATTGGCGCTGTGCAGACGTATACAAGAGACTTTTACGTTGTTCGCCGGATCGTGTATCATGAATAGTGATGCAAGGTCCATCGCCTGCTGCTGCAATAAGGGAACTACCCGGTGAAAAGGCAACAGCGCGTACGGTTGCTGATTGTCCAGCAAGTGTATGTCGTAGTTTCCCTGCAACCGTATCGAATAGATAAATATCACCGCCTTTGTGACCTGTGCAGATACTACCGCCATCAGGGCTATACGCGATACACATCCCGAATTGCGAACGCGTTGGCAGGGTCGCATCCAGCGTTGGTGTTGTCATGGGAGATGCTAGGCCATAGACACGAAGTGTACCAGAGGCAGTGCTACACGCCAGTGTCTGTGCATCAGGTGATAATGCAACACGCCAGAGTGGATCCTCCCTGCACTCAATCGCAGCCAATAAAGTCATATCGCTTCGTTGCCATATATGGACTTTTCCCAGTATATCTGCACCAACCACTAGATCGGTTGATACAGCTAATGCGTTTCCACCCACAGCAAACGCGGCATCATGCGTACTGAGCAGCTCCTGTGATTCAGCGTTCCATTGACGTAATGCGCCATCTGCTCCGGCCGAGTAGAGTACCGCGCCATCTGGAGCGGCACTGACGGCGAAAATGTCGCCGATATGACCATCGCGTTCATTAGAGACGAGGAAGTTGAGGGCCATGGGAGGGCCGGTGCAGCACAAGGCCTGGATGCTATCAAGTCAGCTATTGCGCGTAGATTTCGTAGATTTTGGCGTGCGACTTCCGGCTCCATCTGAATTTGTCGCACGCTGCGGGATTGATTAGAGGTAGTACAGGTATACTGTGAGTACATAGCTATGGCGGAACAGTGCTCTCTGCCAATTGATGCTGTTCTCATCTCTACACAACTGCACAACTGGGCTTCGTCTGCATCGCTGTCGAAGACTTCACAGTCTTCGCTGCAGCAGTACAGCAGCTGTGAGTGATGCTACCTGGTTTCTTGCTATTTGACGATCAGGCATTCATGCTGTGATCCGATCGAGAACCTTACGGCTGGCTTCACTCAGAAGGTCATCAGCCTTGTTCGCTTTTCTTCACACCGATATGGCTCGTCGCCTTTCAAGCAAGGTCACCCTCTTGTTTTATTTCTTCGCCCGTCAGATTTTCGACTGCTTGCTGGCTTTGCTAATTTGCAAATGGACTATGTTGTTATACTTTGAGACACTCTCTAGCAGCCGCAATGGTGATGTATAGTCACAGTCAAGTCGTCTTGCTTGGCCGGCAGCCGACAACGGCCCCGGGCGACATCGGGTTCGGCTGGCTCCGGTTCTCATGATAGCCCCTGAACGCTGCCAGTGACTTGACAGACCAAATTTCATGTCACATCGTCCATGCACTTCTTGGCAAGTTCCTTCAGCCGCCGCGTCCGGAACCGAGGCCTAGGGTGCCTCTCTGGCCCTAAGCGGAAGTCATCTAGGCTGTTCTCAACCCCATACAGAAGTCGCCCTGCTCATTCTACGCCTATGGAGTGGTGACCTCTTATTCATGTTCGTTCTTGCACAGCGTTGACAAGACTAATGCGTCGTCACATCATCCATCTACGGCTTCTGTTCCTGCCCAGTCTAGCCGGGACGTTTTTCCTGCAGTTACACTCAATGCATGTGATTGCCTCACAAGCAGGTTTGACCACTCCCGACTTTTTCAACATTACAGAAACTTCCCATCTGCTCCATCGTCACCGTTTACCACAACAGAGACAGCGACACACTAGTCTGATGCCAAGTGAGCTCTTTCTAGGCTCTTTCAAGCCCTGCGCAAAAGTCATTTTGCTCACTCTACTCCTATGGGATATCATCTTTTTGTCTGCCACGTCTGCCGACAAGTGTAAGCAAGTCAAGTTTCAGGTCTGGAGCGTGCATTCTATCCCATACGCTTGCCCACTTTCGGAAACTTTCGGGGCTCTGGATTTGCAGTGTCTCCCTCGACCAGGGCACTCAGGAGCTTCAAGCTCCAACTCTCAAGCCTTCTCTTCTTCGAGCGCATGGCTTGGTACCTTTGGAGGTCCTACGGTCAGTAACGAAGAGGAAGCATTGCACGTGTGTAAGACAACTTGCGAGAGGCAAATTGGCGACTTGATTTACAGTATTGCGAGGAATGTTCCTGACTACTGTCAAAAAGTCGAGCCATTTGTAGCCTTACCTGCACCTCAATGGGACGTTCAGTTTCAAAATCCCTTGTGGTTCATGGACCCTTTTGACGAGGGTCGTGATACAAATTGCTGGTGCGGCGCCGAGGTGATTTTACACTCTGTCTTGGAACAAGAAACGGCTATGAAACTGCTGAATCTTGAAGCTGAACCGGAGGCGCATTCTTCCCAGAACGGAGAGGATGGACTGCCACATCATGCGCGATGGCGGCTTGGATTTCCCAGTTGTGACGCTGGAGACGTGATTGATCGCTTTTTGAGCTCGCAGAAGACGCTCATGCGCTTTCCCTGGTATCGAAATTCTCGTACATTGCGACCAGAAACGCTTGAATTTGTGCAGGGTTCTGCTGAGACTAGGGAAGAAAAGGAAATTGACTGCGATGCCGAATTCGTCAACCTCTTTGCCGCAGGTGATCAGAGCTCTGATTATGCAACTGACGAGTCCAAATGCACCATCAACTACGGAAATCATGTACGCGCGAGAGATGGACTGATCGTCGATGGTAGACTTGGCCTCTGTTGTCAATCACAAGATGACAGCGACGAGTCAATGATGAACGGCATTATGCAACGAATCAGCGATCTTCGTAAATCTGACACCGCTGTCAAGCAACTTGCGGAGAAGGGAAAATTGCAAAAAGATTTCTGTGTTGCGTTACCGCTGCCGGATGGTTTCGTTTATGATGTCTTCGACAGATCGTACTATGGCGAGCAAGCATGGCTACCAGAACCAGCTCGGATTTTGAATAAGTTCCCGCAGAATTATTTGTGAGTAAGTCAGCTTTTCTCTATAGACTATGACTGTTATCTGCCATTGCCCAAGCAGTATTGTTTACATTTCATTCTTGCTTGCCATTGTAGACACATTCCCTGCCCGAAAGGTGGCAAACTGGGGGTTTGACTTGCATCTTGTACGGATCATGCGCGGAAGAGATGGCCAGTAGCACGAACAACGTACATATCGGACGGTGAGCGCTGAATGAGCGTAATTTGGCTGCCTATCTGACATGCGATCTCTTACAGCTGGCTAGGTTCCGAGTGGCTCTGCTCGATGAGCATCATCTAGGCAGACAGCTGGCTACAATCGAAGACCAATCGACGTACGCGTACTGTCTTCTTGTGCGTGTGCTCCTGCTTGCCGTCTGCGGACCACTTGAGCCGATCCTCATCAATCGATGTGATTTGAATGTCTTCGTCAACCCTAAGTTGTTCATGCTTGGAATAGTACAGGGAACAGTCAGTGCAGTCAGGAGATGCCCCAAAAAGCGGTTGAACCATGTACGCTTGAATTCCAGATCGCTTATAGCACACAGCTATATTTCGGTGGTAGAACTCGATTGATACACACGAGGGTTCATGTAGGTGACATGCGCTCTCTTGTATTCCCTTGCAATTGTATGCGAGCTACTTTGTGTATGCCTAGGCAGGAAGCTCGAGGATGCGTGTGAGACTGCGCAGGAAGCTGTGATACTCTTCTGCTTGAGAGAAGGCGTGAAGCAAGGTTAAAGGTACCGTTGAAAGGCACAAGAGAGCAAGTAAAGTACAAGGAAGAGCGAAGTGAAGTGACAATTGTACAGATAGTCAAAGTGCATTGGCTTGGCAAGGAATGGAAGCATGAGGCATATTGCAGCAGTCAAACAAGAATTTGAAAAGATAGTATTCAGTTGAGCCTATAAGCGTATGAGCTTCTGAAGCAGTGAGCTCGTCAAATCTGGAACCAGGTGATCCTGTGCATATGGACTATTATGGAGGATAACGCCGACGTGACGACTTCAAGAAGTTTCAGACTCACGCGAAGGCTCCAAATTTGCGACCTTGATGACGACGACTGCAGCTGCAGCTGAGCAGGAAGCTGAGTCTGAGCTGTTGAAAGCCGCTCGTAGAGCTTGCTTAGCCTCAAAGATCATCAAAGAAGAGCTGCTTGAATCGTTCAGTCTTGCTCAGTAATGAGTCAGTATGCTCTATAACTCAGCGGCAGCTATGCAAGGCGACAGTGGCGCCAACACTTGTCAGGCAGCTGTCAAGTCGTCACTACGGTTGATGTCAATCGACGAAGATGTGTATAGCTCTCATCAAGAGTCACAGATCGAGGTCTGCCCATGCAGGGAGGTCCTCTGTTTACGCCTGAATGGCAGCCTCACTAAAATGAACCAAACGGGTAATGGGCCCCTATGCTGACACTATTATTTCTCGCACCAGGAAGACGAGGGGCAAATCAGCATCTGTATGATCACTTCTGTCAGAGACCAATCAGTTTCATGCGCCAAGACCCAAGAGCTGCAAGCGGATTTGATCATCTTACTCCCTGTTGATTCATAATGCCAGCACTTCAACTCTCTTCCGCTCACTCAATCGCCAACACCTCCAGCTGCTTCATCGTTCAACGACTATCAGACCCAATGCAGACCGGCACTCGTTGTGCCTCCTATCGCCATCAAGCCAGATGTCTTCCAATCCTTTTGCTCCTCTGGACTCTATCTTTCGGGGTTGAGACGCAGGCTGCACGTTGTGTGCAGGCCAAGTTCACCGCATTCGCAACGATGCCGCTGCCATTCCAAAGCTCTTGCTCTCAGTCGTCGTCGTCTTCGCACAGCTTCCAGACGGATGAGCCCGTTATGGATCCGCGTTTCTGGGAGAAATACAAAGGCCAATGTTTTGCATCTTGGGACCCCAATGTCCGGCAGCCCAACACAGGAGCTGAAGATATCTGTCGAAACGTCTGTGCAGATGTCATTGGCGACCTCATTTATGGAACGGCGAAAAGCGGCCCTGACTATTGTCAGAAAGTAGTTGGCATCGATCTCAATGCACCTCCAGGCGCACACAATACACGCTCAGAGCCACATATGTGGGATATCAAGTTCAACAACCCGTTCTGGCACTACGAATCACCTCTTGCTTGCTCTTGCGGAGTAGACGTGGTTATACAGTCGATTATGGAGCACAATGACGGCTTTTTGACGCTTATGACTCCAAATTTTGTGCCGTTTCCACCTGCATGGAACCCGGAAGAGGACCCAAACTACTACCGCCAAGTACCATATTCTACGGCAATCATGGGACCTCCAACTCGCGTACCCACCTACCTAGGATCACCTGATTGTCATGCTCACACTGTCATTGATCGCCGACTGAGCTCGCCAAGCGTATTCAGGTCGCAGCCGTGGTACCTTTTTATTGCCAATGCGCGAGCTGAACAATATGGCCGTATATCTCTTCAACTTGTTTTTATCGTTCAAAGAATCACATTCATGGTGAATCACCAGTATACAGCATTACAGGCTGTTAGCTGCGATGTTAGCTTTCAGGATGTTTCTTCTACAGCTGGGTCGTCAAGCCAAGCGCAAGGCGTATTCGCATGCACTGTCAGTTACGCGAAGCATGGCACGGAAGGATCGGTTGCCAACCAGATTGGTCTCCGTTGCACTCGAGCACGTGGGAAGAATTCGTTCACGAAAGAGATTGATGATAGAGTTTCGGCTCTGTATAAGAGTGACCCTGATATTGTTCGAAAGAAATATGAACGGGGGCAGGAAGCTATTAGGACACTCACTGAGATTTGCGTTATCATGGAGTGGAACAACCCCGAATTGGTACCGTTGACCGAAAAGCTCAGGGAAGTCTTGGATGATCCTCAGTGGAACCGTGATCATTTTGAGGCGCATTACCAAAACCTTGCATGAATGTCTGCAAGCCTTTGCTCTCAGAGGATGGTCAACCAAGCTGTTGGCGTGACTTCAGCTAGCATCTTTAGCCAAATTTATAACTATAGCTGTTCCCTTTTGAAATGCCGATTGATGAATGATGGGATGACTTTGCTGACCACCTATCATATGTCCATCTATACAGTAGTTTGGTCGATGCACATGTGCGCCATCTGAAAGATACTAAGTGGAGTGGAGCTTGGCCAGCGGCAGAAGCTTTCTGATGTCTCATACCAGAACCGGGCCTTGATCCTTTGGAGAGCCATACCAGGTCCATAGAGTGTCATGCTGGACCAGGTTCCTACAGCTACCTGGCTTTGGGCAGCATGTCCGATGCAACTCTTCGGCCGTGAGATTTCTGCCCCGCAATGCCGGTTATATGCGTACAGGCACTGAAGGCCCAGCAGACGAGCCAGTGCATTGAGGCACAAGGCTTCGTTCTAGGTTGACCCGTGCAAAGACCATAGATATGGCCAGCCCGACTGTCTGCATTCGTGGGTCGACACTCACCGGTACCCGTCATCAAGGTGTCAGGCGATTCCTCAATGTGCCATACGCACTGCCTCCGACGGGCGACTACCGCTTCCTCAAGCCGCGCGCACTACCGCGTGAATACCAGTACGGAGATGTCGATTGTACTGTCTTTGGGCCGATTTGTCCACAACCGTTGTATTTTGTTGGTGATACCCCGATAGGACATCCTCCTGTTGGATCTACGGTCAGTTTTGAATGTTTGGGAAGGAGAGCGGTGCTGACGGTTAGATGAGTGAAGACTGTCTGAAGCTCAATATATGGATACCTGATCGAGAGGCGCCTGTAGATGGTTGGCCATGTCTTGTTTTCGTTCACGGTAGGGCTTCTCTATGGCTTCAAGGTCGAATACTGACAGGCTAGGTGGTTGGCTACAGGTCGGAAGCCCCAATCACGATCCCATGTCTGATCCGACACTCCTAGTCTCTGCTGATGGACTGCAACTCGATGCAATCGTTATTAGTATTGGTTATCGGCTCAATGTCTTTGGCTTCTTTGCAGGCACGGGACATCCTGGCAATGCAGGCCTTTTCGATCAACGGTGCGCATTGGAGTACATTCGAGACAATATCCACTTCTTTGGTGGTGATCCAAGTAAAGTCACATTGAGTGGATTGAGTGCCGGTGCCAACTCTGTGCATAATCAACTACACTATGCTTGCTTGCAAAAGCCAGACGAGAAGCCGTTGTTTCAGCGGGTAGTGATGTACTCCAATGCACTGTCTGCACAGCCGAAAATGCCCGCTGAAGTGGATGTCCAGGTGGATGAGCTCTGTGCTGCCTTCGATATCACTGCAACAGAGATGTCTGAGCGTCTTGCAGCACTACGCAAGATCAAAGATACAGATCTGGCGGCCAAGTTGCTGTCCCTTAAGCATCACACATTCCGGCCTGGGACGGATGGTTCAGGAACAGAATGCTTCATCCCGCCAGGTTCTGCGAATCTCGCTGAAACAGGACATCTAGCTACATGGCTACAAGAGCACAAGATCCAGCTGATGCTAGGTGAGACGGAGAATGAGGAACAGACGTATCGTGCTGTGAATCCACCGACTTCTCGTGCTACATTCTTGCCACAGCTTGAGAACTACTACAAGGCTGACAGAGCAGCTGCATTGATGGAGCATGTCAGGGATACGTTGTCTGCCAATGAGGATGATGTTGAAGGGTGGAAAGATGTATTTGGTGCGATTGTTGCTGCTGCACAAGTACGTGCTTCTCAACGACACTTCATCCATGCTCTCATACAGCATGGTATGCCACTTTCATCGATTCATCGGTATCGTGTTGCGTACCGGCTGGGTTTCTACTCACAGCTTGGTGTTCCTGAATCCATGGGTGTTGCACATGGCATGTGCCAGCCAATCTGGTGGTATCAAAAGCAGCTTGGCTTCTCAGGGGAGGAGGTGGCAGCGGTTCACGATTGGCTTGAGCCGTGGAAGGCTTTTGTCTGTCAGAATGATGGAGATGAGGGTATCTCCAGGGACTGGGGCTGTACCAATGTCCAGCAGTATCGTCGCTTCAACGAGGATGGTAGTGTAAGTGTTGAGAAGGATGAAGACTGGGATCGTATGCTGGCTATTGGACAGGTCTTGATGTCTTAGCTGTTTCTTTTATATACTTCGTCAATATCTCGATATACAGGTCGTCAGTAACAGCTATATTCCTCGAGATCTAGGCCACAAGAGTCAACTTTTCAGCAATATTGAGTCAACTATTTCAGCAATATTCAGCCAAATGATTTCAGAAGCGAAACAAGCAACAAGACCAGCTACACAACAAGATAACAGACAGGAGCCATGGGCCTCTTCAGCAAGAAGAAACCAGCAGCGGCATCCTCACCCGCTGCATCGACTCCTGCTGCTCCATCGTCGCGTACGCAACGGCCCACGACCAGTAATGGCCAGCAACAGCAACAACAACAAACCCCCACGATCCCCGAAGCGCCTGTCCCTGCAGGCCCCTCTGCAGAGGTAGATCCAGTCGCCTACCTCAAATCTCTACCCTCCATCCGTGCACGCGCTTCGCAAGTCTACGCGGCCCGCAACAACCTCGCCCACTTCACATTCAATGAAAAGGCGATCCCCGAGGTCGTTGATTTCGTTGTGAGTATCATCAAGCGGGATTATGGGAGTGATCATACGAGTATACCGCCGCATGGTCGGTGGCAACACTTCAATGTCGGTGGTGCAAAACGCGTGGAAAAGATGATGGCAGCGTGGTCCGGCGTACCACAAGAAGAACAAACCCGTCGCGTCCTTGACTTGTTTCTCGTTTCTGTACTGCTGGATGCAGGTGCTGGCAATGCTTGGTCGTACAAGGCGGAGAATGGCAGACTGTACAGGCGTTCAGAGGGACTTGCTGTCGCATCGCTCGAGATGTTTACAAGCGGTGCTTTTTCATCCAATGCACACAACAAGATGCAGGTCGATGCAGAGGGTCTCGCAAGTATTACGCCTGAGCGGATGGCTTCTGGTCTGCAGGTGACACAATCAAACCCAATGAGCGGCTTAGAGGGAAGAACGTCGCTCTTATCGCGCTTGTCGCATGCACTCAAGCAGAGTCCAGAGCTCTTTGGCACAGCTGCACGGCCGGGCCATCTCTTGGACTACCTTCAATCACACCCATCTAGTCTACGTTCCGAAGAAGGGACTTCTGTACCCGTCACTCTACTCTGGTCTGCACTCATGGAGGGACTTGCATCAATTTGGCCAGTTGGACGTACTCACCTCGATGGCAACTCGCTGGGTGATGCATGGCCATACTCTCGTCTCCCAACATCTCCTCCCCATGCATCAATCGTGCCCTTCCACAAACTCTCACAATGGCTCGCCTATTCCCTCATGCAGCCTATGACGGCACTCAGCAAGATTCACTTTTCCGGTGCAGGACTCCTCACAGGACTGCCAGAATACCGTAATGGTGGTTTATTCATTGATTTGGGTGTCTTGACATTACGCAGAGAAGCAGCAGAGCGTGGACTCGAACAATTCAAGCAGAATGCAAAATTACCAGGCCAACAAAGTGTCGAGGTTGTACCGACGTTTGAACCGATGGATGACGTGATTGTTGAGTGGCGTGCCATGACGGTTTGCTTGCTGGATGTTGTGCATGCGCAAGTCAACAAGAAACTCGGATTATCGGGCCAACGCAGTTTGTCATTGCCCCAGGTGTTGGAGGCTGGTACGTGGAAGGCCGGTAGGGAGATTGCAGAGGTGCAACGACCTAATACGCGTGGAAGTCCTTTGGCTATTCTCTCGGATGGGACGGTCTTCTAGGGGTTCTATTCTGCTTTTCCTTCTCAATTTGCTCCTGTTCTTTTGCATTTAATGATCAACAGGGTCGTCTTGGTCTTGGGTCTCTTCTTCTATAGCTAGTCCTTCTACTGCGTCAAATGGACAAGGTCTTGTGCTGAAGAGTCGTTTATGCGAGATAGTCCTCCCAACGTCGACCAATGCTGCCATTGATACTACGCCAAACACCCATCTCTTGATCCAGTGTCTTTTGCAGCTTCTTCAGCATCCCTTCCACTTCGACAGAAAGTCCAAAGGAGTCCACTTTGGTCAGTACTTTAGACAATGGCGTGTAATCTAGCTGACAACGCCAAGCGGCTGCTGTATCCATTTCTTCAGCCTTGATGTCAGTCAATTGCTTATTCGCCCTGTACTGCGCAGCAATCTGCTCTGCTAGTTCCTTCAACTCTTCCTGTGGTGCATTTACTTGATTGAGCGCCCATAACGTCGTACCAAGCACCACCAAATCCTGCGCAACAGTCGGTTCCCGCATCGCCAAAACGGCCAAGACGCGCCAAACCTCCTGCAAGCCCTTTTTTGTCCTCACCACTTGTGCAGCTGTACTGCGAACGAGTTCTCTAGCAACAGGTTTGATGGGCTGCACGGCACCAAATTGAACCGGTTGTTCTAGCCATTTTCGTAGCGTCTCTGGCGATTGTTTTGAAAAGCACGTATGCCGCGCCAATGCACTCAAGTTCCGCTCCGTGAGAGGTTGAGCAGCTTGTGTATACCGACGTAGCGCTGCTTCAATCTCGGTGGTGGATGGATCTGTTGAGAGGAGTTTTGTGAAATGGGCGGTACTTGGTTTTTGATGTTGTTTCGGGCGGGCTATGGCTGGAGATGCTTTGAGAAGGGTCTGAAGGACTTGCTTGGCTTGGCCCGATGAGGCCTGAGCGAGCGACATGGTCTTCAAGTCGGTGCTTTGTCTCGTTGTCGGTGAAATTTGAAATTTTGAGGGAAAGAGTCAAGAGAAGAGCTCAGGAACAGCTCAGAAGGAGGCCCAAAGAGAGGGCCCGGGGGTCTAGAGGTCTACGAATGCAGCCTGCTACATCGCCTTCTTGTCCAAGTCGTCAATCACAGTCGGCTCCATATCCAACGTGACCTTCTTCCCCAAACTCCCCCTGCGTGCAAGTCCATGGCCTGCCTCTCCAGCATTGGTTTCCGTATTCAACTGCGTCAAGTCGAAATCACTGATGAACTGGCTCATAGGCAACGCTGCAGGCGTTCCCGGAGAACTCACCGACCCTTGCTCCATATTCGCAATCTCTGCCCGCAACAATTCAATCTCCTCCTTGAAGTTATCACGCGCCGCAGAAATACGAGCGTAGTAGTTTGCGCCATTCCAAATACTCCATGAAAAGACTGACGAAAGAAAGATGACGGCCGCAAGGCGATAGTGTAGCCAGATGGGACACGGCAGCATCGTGACAATGGCATACGCAAATTGAATGCCCATGAAAGCGAAAGGTTGCAGCGGCTCAGGCAATTTCAGGACTTGCTTGCCAATCCAAGACTTGGAGTAGGATTTGAGGAGCCAAGTGAATGATGTTGGACGACCTGCTTTGATCTTCTCTTGTCGTCGCACTTGAATAAAGACATAGTAGAGTGTTTGCCAGACAATGTACGCTGCTGCAGAACTCAGCAGTGCTTCACTGTAAGGTGTTGTCATGATACGTTGTGTTGCTGGAAACCGTTCATGCGCATACGATCGTGGTACAATGTGAATGATGCTCTGCATGACTGCTGGCGGAAAGATGTGGATGAACAAGCTGGTAATCTTGTCGACTGAGTGAAACACGAGTGAATTCCGCCAGGCAATGATGGCCCATGCTAGTGAGCCGAATGAGAGGTAGAAGCAAGCCGCCAGGAGATGCTCAGATTTTGGGAAGACCCACAGATAGAGCACAGTGAGTAGATTGACCCAATAGCAGAGATCTGCAATGAAGTAGTGCATGCCACGTTTGTGGTACGTGTAGTACCGCCATGGCAGCCAAGTGACCACCTGGATCGTGTACAAAACATGCACGAGCTCTGGGTAACCACCTAGTAGGAACCCCGTCAAGAAGACATTGCCAACGCCAAAGACAAAGGCAACCTTTTCACGCGCCTTGGCGGCATTCTTGGAATCCCAACGCGATGCCGCTCGGTCGAGCTGTCTGTTGAAGCGCGCCTTGACGCGATCAAACTCCTTGTTGACTTTTCCTTGTAGCGGCTCAACACCTTTAGCGCGCGTCGCCAGTTCAGCGCGTAGTCGCCGGCTACGATCGCCAATCTTCTTGTTGATGTTTTCAAAGCTTGGAGCGAAATTGCCGATGCTATCCAGCAAGTCGAAGAAGCCTGGTGTTTGGTCTTCCATTTCTTCACGGATGATATCGTCGAGCATGGGGTCATAATCGATAGATGAAGTAGAGTTTGTTCTACTCATGGCAGGTGCATCGTAACGCGATCCCATCCTGACAAGGCCCCTGCTCTCTGTCCCTCAGGCCGCCTTGTTGTCTCTGGTCAAAGTCGTCGTCGTCGCATCAATTCTGCGACGTCATCCAATTTCAGCAACTCAATCTACAACCAAGTTACTTGAGGCCTGGTACTGGGCCTGGGTGTATCTGGCTGCTAAGCAATGGAGCAAATCGTAGAAGGTGTGCGCAGACTGCTGCCGTACTCTATGCAGCGCGTCTTGCCCTTCCTGCAAGCTGCGCATGAGACAGCAGATCAAGAAGAGACCAAAGTACCAGATGAACCTGTCAAGCTTGCTCCTGGTCTTCATAAAGCTCCTCGCCGCTACTTCCATGCTCTTGCTAAAGCGCTTCCTGAAGTGCCGCCAGAGATTATCTTGCGCATCTTGGATGAAGCTGGCCTGTATACTCGCTATGTAACCGCTCGCCTTCCTTCCTGCAGCATCTTGCAGCATACGAATTACACAGTCGTCGCAAGAACACCGAGACTGTCTTCTTATGGAGTGAGTAGTCTGCGCAGCATCACCTTCCGCTTCTCGTCCCACGATCAAGGCTTCTCTGGCGAGCCTGCGCAGTTTCATGGCACATTCGAGCACTCCCACACCTGGTTTGAAGCAGCAGTGACAGAAAATATGACTGCCGAGCGGCTACAACCCCCGCCTGTGCAGCGTCTTGATATTCAACATAATCGGCATGCCTCGCGTCAGTTTGAGGAATACGAGGTTACTTTTGCCATTGGGGAGAAACCATTCGAGCATCTCGCAGAGGGGCAAGGGATTGTGCTGTTAGCTTGTGCGCTTTATCCTGCATGGCGAAATGTCGTCGAGTGGGCAGAAATTGAACTGGCTTGGGTAGACACGTTTGATGAAGGACAACCGCCTTACTTTCTGGATGGGGATCTACCTGTCTAAAGAAAAGTCATTCGTGGACCGGTTGTCAGACCCTGTTCTTTTCATCTCTTATCTCGCCACCATCTGCGGCCTGAGTTGTCTCATGCGATACTTCTTTATGCTTCAAAGTCTTTCGCCGTAAGCCTTATCGCTTCGATGATATCTGAACCGATAGGTCACGAATCACGCTTTCTCAGGAGTCGACACACACCACTCGGCAGCGATACCCCTGAGCAAGATCAACCAAATTGATCAAATTAGGCCGATCGCAAATTTGCCCAATTCAAGCCGAGTCCATTGGTTTTCAGCTTGAGTATTAAGTACCACAGCCATTCTCGACAGTTTGAGCGTAACAACTGACTTGAGGGCGCTAGAAATTGTCAGCCGATTGTGAAGGCGATTGTGACGAGCTCTATTTCAAGGATCAACTATACATAACGTTGCCGACGATTCCAATCGTATATTACGAGCCACGTGGTGGAAGGCCTTGATGGATACGACCTGGATGATCCCTCAACCCCAACTGATCAGCCGGTGCGAACTTTACCCCTGATATGCACATCATGAAAGGATAAGAGGCCCTTTGCTCCGCGATGAGCTCGCGAACAGGCACACCATGTCAACGCAAGCACTAATACGGTTGATTGTCCTGGCGGTCTTGTTCCCAGTTGCCACCACATCAAAGGAAGGTCTGAACAAATTGCCTCCACTGCCAAAGACACCTGTGCAGAAAGCATGGCAGGCACCTGCTCCCGATACGAATCCCGAAATCATGTGGTTCGATACAGATCGAACATCCAAGGTTCGCTTGTCGAGAGTCGAGACAGTCTTTCGTTTGGGAGCACCACCAAAAGGGCCTGGTACCTTGAATATCTTCCTTGGCGTGGCTCGCGAGGATCCAGACCCTACGGGCAGACATCCTGATGGCCTTAAGGCAGGTCTCTACACGCGAATTACCTGGTCACAAAAATACAAGGCCCCATGCGAGAATATTTCTCCTGAGCATTGGTAAGGTCAAGGCATTCATTTGCTGCATGGCTAATGACAAGGTGTGTCCACTCTTCGTCAGCTATTCATGGATTCATTAAGACGACGACTGCTTTCCCCTGGGATGGGGTTTCGGATTCGCTCAAGTCGATCACAAAGTACAACGGGAAGAACAAATACATGACTCAATCGGTAATCCTTGACCGGACCTACAAGTCGCGCGTAAAGTCCGCTATTGGAAACATGAGCTTGTAGGGTGACATTTTCAAGAAATACTGGGGCTGACACATTTAGTTGGAGTATGGGCATGATCAGGGAAGATGGGCATCCCGGACTTACGCCGGCCAATGACATACAGTTTTTCAGCGTCAAAGTCAGGACGAGCGACGTGATCGAAAGTGCAGACATGATGCATACGCCGCTCTTCGAGCATGTTCCATGGTATACTGCTGAAAACGGCACCGACTTCTCCTTGGGCTCATTTACGTTCTACGGTAAGAATACCACTGGCGAATTGCTCGGAGCTACCCCAGTCGACGTGGCAGGAAAGAATGTCAAATTGTCTGTCGCAGATGCAATGCCAGGGAGCAACAATGTATTGACTCGGATTGGTATGCGAGCAGTGAAATAGACTTCCAATGAGTACCTCTACGAGTCCACGCGTAAGCATTGATTCTGATGTTTGCTTGCAACTGTAGTGCGTATGCGTATTTGCAATCACGGTCTGCTGTAGAAAGCCAAGTGAATGTCAATAGAGCTTGATGTTTGGTGTTCTGATTTTTTGAGACTACGCAGGCTGCATTTCACATAGTTGACCGTCCAGCCTCGACCTTCTTCGTGAGCCTGGCCCAAGCAGCTTCGACCTCATCAGGAATGTCAATTTGAACAATGAATCCTTTGCCAGAAGGCCCGTATCCATTCGAGTCATTGCGAAGACGCGGAATTTCCCCAATGAGAAGGTCAATGAAACGAGGCATGGACCAGAGATGCTCGTCCGGTGGATTGTCAAACACGACTTGAGTGCCTTCCAGCTTGACCTGTGGCACGAAGCTAGGGCAAGTCTTGCATACCGGCATAGCAATGCCCGCATATGTCTTTTCGAAAGATGCTTTGGTTCGAAGAGACATGGTTGGATCTTGCACAATGACCAGCGAAGATGGCGTGGCGACGCCTGCGGCATCCAGCACCTTTTTCGTCTCAATTGCATTAGCACCACAATTCGTAGACTTGTCTTCAACAATGACTCGTATAGCATGCTTTGCAGCATACTCGTCGAGCTGGAAGAAGTCTCGACCTATGCGATGCAAGATTTGCGACTCGGGCATACCTCTAATCTCTGCAGACAAGGCTTTGTATTGGGGATGGGCAGCCACTGCATCATACAATAGAATGGTGGAATGACCAATACCTCCACAGATGACAAGGGTCTTTGCTACTTGTCTCGATTGAACAGCTCGAAAGACAGACTCTGCACAGTGTAGAATAGCGGAGCCGCAAAGAACGAGGCAGTCGGCTGAGCCGGTCTCTGAGAGATTGAAGCTAGTATCTGTCATGTCATTGCTGACGAAGCGAGCGAGGGTGTTTATATCTGTGACATCTGAGCTGTTCATTCTGCAGATACAGCTGCGCAGTACGCCTTCTGCCTAGCCTGCTCCCCAATATTCGACCTTGTCAGTAAAGTTGTCACCTTGAATGGCCGTTGAGGTTGCTGCGTGCGCTTGACATGCACAATGACCGCAACACCACAAAGACGCGCAATTGAGTGATGGTGGCGACAGGCCCAGCGAGGACTACGGGCCGTCGTATCACAGACAAGCTAGAGGAGCTAGATAAGGATGCTCCCTTCTACTCCTTCGAGTTTTTCCCACCAAAAACAGACATGGTATGCCAATCTAGCAAAACCTCCCCTGACAGGATGACCGATGCTAATGCTTGCTAGGGTCTGGAGAATTTGCACGCGCGGATAGCGAGAATGACGAAGCTTGAGCCCTTGTTCGTGACAGTGACATGGGGTACAGGCGGCTCAACGGCCGATAAATCACTCGAGCTTGCGAAAGCGTGTGAGCGGCAGCATGGTCTTACGACTTGTCTCCACTTGACGTGTACCAATATGGACTCGCACATTCTTGATCGAGCACTGGAGGAAGCCAAGGCCAATGGCATCCGCAATATATTGGCGCTGAGGGGGGATCCGCCGCGTGGTCAAGAATATTGGACGCCCAACGAAGGTGATTTCGTGTATGCGGTCGATTTGGTCAGATACATTCGAAAGCAATATGGGGACTGGTTTTGTATTGGTGTTGCTGCATATCCGGAGGGCCATGCCGATAACACACACCCAGAACACATGGATCCCGCGTCAGAACTCCCTTTCCTTGCTGCAAAAGTACAAGCTGGGGCAGACTTTATCCTCACGCAACTCTTCTATGATGTTGATGCTTTTCTCAAGTTTCAAAAGCTCCTGAGTGAGTATGAAGGGGGTATGCTTGCAAGAGTACCGTTGATTCCTGCCATTATGCCGATACAGTCTTACCAGACTCTCATGCGCATGACTGCTCTATCCCATGCTGCTATCCCTCCAGCTATACACGATGCTGTCGAGCAAGTCAAGGGAGACGATGAAGCAGTCAAGTCTGTTGGTGTTCAAGTTGCCATTGACATGATTCACAGCCTCAGACACAAGACGGGTGGTGCTGTACGTGGAGCACATTTCTGTACTCTCAACTTGGAGAAATCTGTGGCCTTGATCCTCAAACATGGCGGACTCTTTCGTAAAGCGTCCAGAGAGACATCGCCTGTCGGTGTGCGTGTCCCCTTGCGGCCTTCCATTGTACAGAACGGTACAGACGGGCGCCACAGACCTGCAGCAGACAAGATTGTTGACCAAATGGCACGCATCGATATGTTGACAAATCCAACTAACGTTAATGGCCAAGATACGCACGATGTGGATGCACAATCACTTGAGGAAGAAGCCGTCAGTACGTCTGAGGGTCACGGCACACAAGCTCGTGAAGCGACTTGGGACGAATTCCCGAACGGACGGTTTGGTGATTCACGGTCGCCTGCATATGGAGAAATTGACGGCTGGGGCGTGTCTTTGGGTGTGCATCGCACCAAAGCCCTTCAGCTCTGGGGTGAACCAAAGACTGCAGATGATATCACGCGGGTCTTTACACGACACTTGAATGGTGAAATTGACGCAACGCCTTGGTCGAACGGGCCTGTTTCTGCAGAAACAGCGTATATCAAGGATCATTTGGTTGCTCTCAATACGCGTGGACTGTGGACTGTTGGATCTCAGCCTGCTGTTCATTGTGCGCCTTCGTCACATCCTGCGTTTGGCTGGGGTCCTGCTGGTGGCCACATCTTTCAGAAATCCTTTGTTGAATGCTTCATGACGGAATCTGCATGGCGACGATTACGGGACAGCATCAAAGGCGATCCAATGGTTTCGTATTACGCTGGCACGCGCATGGGTCGATTCGAGACGAGTATGAAGGATTCTGGTGACTGTAATGCAGTGACGTGGGGAATCTTTCCAGGGAAGGAGATTGTGCAACCGACTATTATCGAAGAGGTGTCATTCAAGGCGTGGAAGGACGAAGCGTTTGCGCTATGGGCGGAATGGGAGCGCTTGTTTGAGCCGGCATCACAAAGTGCGCGTTTATTGAGGGGTGTCATGGAACGTGTGTGGTTGGTGTCTTTGGTGCATCACGATTTCAAGGATGAAGAGGCACTCTGGCGATTGATGCTTGAGGCAAGTCTGCCACAGGAATGATATGAGAGGCTCAGATTTGCCTTTTGAAAGCGTCATGGCCGCCACTGCTTGAAGCTTCCTTTGGATAGCTGCGGGTGGCATCGTCTTACCAAAGATGTCTTCATAGCCATCGCTTCGTGTAGGTCGGAGCCAATGCGAGAAAGGATGTTCCCATCGGCACAACAGGATCAGTCTATTCAGCTCGGCTCGTTGTAGCTACAGGGCTGACGATATCTTGAAATATGGAAGTAAATTGGTCATCAAATGCCATGCATCTACCTCGTCAAAGGCAGACAAGAGCGACGATTCGATGGTTTTAATTCTTCCCCTTGCCTAGCTTTGCAGTGGCAGGTCAATCTATGCTAGACTTGATGGGTCCAACCGTTGTGAAGCAGACACTCGATGAGATTCGAGGCTGACAAAAGACGGGCAATAGAAGCAGGAGCATAAGCAGTGGCAGTGGCAGTAGGAGCAAGAGCTTGATGTGAAATTGAGCAAGGTGGCATCCATAGCCAGCGTGAACGAGTGCACCTCAAGCCTTGCTACCAGATTATCTCTGCAGCATCACTGATGAGCCATTCAATGGAATGCATCCCTGCAAGCCTCTCAATGCAATGAACAGATGGTAGAATAAGAGGAGATCAAAAGCTCAAAAGCAAAAAAGAAGAAAAAGTGTCGTTGGCAGCACGTGTCCTGTCAGATGGGAATCCAGCAGAGACGGCGAAGATGCACCAGCAACGACAGCTACTTCACCCGCATCCACAGCAAATTACAGAGTGTCAGCACACATAGCAGCTACCAGGAGATCAAGAAGACTGCTCAGCATCAAATTCAAGTCGCCGCAAGAGGAAGGCCCGTCGCTAGGCCACTTTGACCATCTATTTCACCACACTCCGCATTTTCAACCACACATTCTCTCCGGCCTGAGCTAGGCCGCTGTCTCGCACCTTCCTCATCGACATCTCATTGCATTGCTTCGTCTCTTTTCTTTCCTTCATCTAGCACAAACATTCTGTTCAGCATCTTTTACAATTCGGAGCTCTTCTTTCCAATTTCAATCTTGCTCCGATGAGCGCCTGGAACAAAGGCGGTCCTTTGTATGCCTTCCTATGTCTATGCGGATACGCTAACATGCAGTGCGAAGCCCGCTTCGCAATCTCGCGACACACTTGCAAGTACAGCTGCATCAGCACCCTCAACAGCGCAACATGCGCATAGCAATAGTCTCTCACGCATCCGGCAGATGAACAGGGAAAAGTCCTTCTCTGGCCTTCCAGCCTCGTTTGCCTCACAAGGCCAAGGAACCACTGGGTCGCCTGTTCACTCGCCATCCGTTGAACAGAGCGGCTTTGGCCTCGGTGGGTCAGTGGCTTCCTTGGGCGGTGCAATAACAAGTGGTCTACATCCCTTGCGAGCGCCTTGGTGTATTTGGTACATGCATCGCTCACCTGGCAGTAAAATTAAAGACTACGATCTTGCCATGAAGCGGATCGGTGCCTTTTCCTCGATCGAAGACTTTTGGGCCCTCTACGTGCGGCTCAAACCACTGGATGAACTAGCATCCGTTAGTGACCTTCATTTATTCAGAGCTGGCATCAAGCCAACCTATGAAGACCCAGCGAATATCTGTGGTGGGAAATGGCAAATTCGTCTACGTAAGGGCATTGCGGCGCGTCTTTGGGAAACGCTCATCTTGGCCATCATTGGGGATCAGTTTCATGGACCCTTATCAGAAGGTGCTGCACCGGATGAGCTGTGTGGTGCAGTGATCAGTATGCGGCAGCATGAAGATGTCCTCAGTGTGTGGAATCGTACGAGTGGCGATGGCTTTGCAACGCTCAGGATACGGTCGGTGTTGAGGGAGGTGCTTGAGCTTGGGCCAGACGTGAATTTCGAGTATGTTCAGCATTCTGATCGTCTTGGCAAGGTATAAAGCTAGTATTGCCAGTCTTATCGGTATCGCTCTAATGCCATCCTGCTACAAAGGCTTATAGCTAACGTGGCTATGGCTCCGATATATTTCTGATCAGAAATTGGCAATAAGGGCTTCAACGGTTTAGTGTCCGGTGCTATAGTAGCTTTCCTCTACCTGAACTTCATCAACTGCGAAACTCGCCCAAGTAGTGTCGGCCATCGATGCTATTGCAGCTTGTTGGGCCCATGCGTGTCTCGTTCGAGGTTGTCGTCCACTTGCATTCGATCGTCTCTGGAGTCTGAGCTTGTCAATTCATGCGATAGATGCATGTTGAAGGTTAGGCGCATAAGCTTACAGTCAGGCAAGGCTTGTTGCAGGTCAATGGCGGCAGGCATTGTGTAGCAGGGCCATTGACAGCATTGGTCCTGGCAAAGAGCGTGGGTGCAAAGAATGACTCCATCAACCAAGATCGTCCTCATACGCAAAGAGCGAATCCATACCATACGCAGCCAGACCGTGGATCATACTTCCCAACGCAAGTCCAGCTGCCGTTCTACTCCAAAACGTAGCAAATCGCGTGAATAATGCGAGATACGCAAAAATCTGGTAATGGTGAAGGTGAAAGCGTAGCTTGGTCCGACCAAGACCAAGCGTTGTAACTGCAGCAGGCGTCGTTAAGATACCCGTATGCGGCCTGATGTCGTGTTCAAGCGGCACAGGCGGTACGTTTCGCAGTGAGGACGTCTCATCAAATCTGTCAAGTGCATCCAATGCATCTTCGTCTTCTTCCTGAGCAGCACTAGGTAGCATTGCCACGCTCTCTTCTTCGTCGCCATCCACCTTGCTGGCCTGACGACTGTTTGCTGCTTGTCTCTTGCTTCTATCTTGACGCGATGAGGATGCGCTTGTACTCGCTCCTGTATCGGTACGCGGCCTGTTGAGTAAAGCCCGCGCTGTTGATGAGAGTTCTACCTCGACATCACCCACAATACCGCTATCTCGCTCATTCCGGACGAGTGCGTAGCAGAGAAGACCCGTCAAGCACGGTAAGATTAAAAACGTCGCCAAGTACCCACCAAGCGCAATACGAAAACCCCAGAGAGTGATGGCATAGTGGACATGCAGGATACTGAATAGCAACACGAGCAAGACTGCGCCGCCCGCAACAAGGCGCATCGTCCATGGCCAGGACTTGATCTGTGGGAGGGAATAGTGTAGATCCTCAAACTCTGCAAGAAGAGAGTAGCCTACTACAGCGAGATGCGTGGTCGCTGGAAGGACAAACAGGTCGAATGATTCGTCGTACCCGCCGACATAGAACAGTGCTGTGCCAAGGACTAGACTGCTTGCGAGCTCATTGGTGTGGACGATGGGCGATTTCCTCCTGCGGTCGGAGAGAGCTAGGTAGCGGGCGAGAAAGACGTAGAGGAGGTAAGGTGTAAGGATGCATAAAGTCAAAAAGACAGTGAGCATTGGGGCCCTGCGCTGCTGGTCCTCCTACACGCTTCTAAAGGTGCATGTATTTGGTCGTGTTTAGTCGTCGTCGCCAAATTTGAAATTTGAGGATTCAAGGGGACAACTCGGACAAGTTCAGGTTGCTACAGAGGCCTACAGGTGTGGAGGAGCAGGGGAGAGGAGTATAGAGTCGACGAAGTATTCTACAGGGTGAGAGAAGAGTCAGGAAGTGAAGCACTGTCTACTGCCCGCCCATAAGGCCTTTCATCTGCTGGTTAGTCGAATCCTCATATATAGAATTGAACGTACCATGTCCATCATGCCAGCCATGGGGTTACCGCCTCCGCCCGCACCACCACCAAGTCCTCCCATCTACCAGGTTAGCATCATCCAGCAAAGAGCCAATTCTTGGACTCACCATCGACATGAGCTGTGACATGTCTGGCATGCCGCCAGCACCTCCAGGGCCACCGCCGCCCATACCCATCTGCTGCATACGCTCCATGATTCGCTTCTGTTGCAGTGTGCTTGCATGTGTGCCTCTGCCTGCACCGCCCGCTCCAGGTGCGCCACCACCCATTCTCGCAGCAAGACCATTCGCACCACCAATCTTGCCAACCATGCCGGCAAACATCTTTTGCTGGGAGAGGAGTTCCTCCACCTCGCGCACACTCGTTCCAGAACCTCGAGCAACACGCGTCATGCGCTCCGGTTGTTCCTCAAACATCTTACCATCCGAGTCGAGTTCCTTTTCTGTCATACTGTCCATGATGTACAGCAGTCGCTTCAATCGTTTGCCACTGTCTTCATCATCGCCCATACCTTGCATCAACCCTGACATGCCAGGAATCATGCCTGCCACTTTGGAGAGCGGCCCCATTTTCATGAGGTTGCCGAGTTGGTCTCGCAAATCACGCACGGTGAACTTGCCTTCTTCAATGTGCTTCATGGTCTCCTTGTTGGATCCAGCACCGACCGTCTTGACGTGTTCCAAGAGACCTGCAATGTCGCCCATGCCGAGCAATTTCGAGACAAACGACTGCGGCGCGAATCGCTCGAGGTCATACATATGCTCGCCCACACCAATGAAAGAGATGGGCGTGCTGGTGGCCGCAACAGCAGACAGTGCACCACCACCTTTTGCGTCACCGTCCATCTTTGTAATGATGATGGAACCAAAGTTTGAGGCATCCTTGAATGCCTTTGCCTGTGCTTCAGCAGCTTGACCGATACTCGCGTCCAGTACCATGATTGTCTGATCAGGTTGTACTGCATCACCAATATCTACCATTTCCTTGAACAATTCCTTCTCTTGGCGATGCCGACCAGAGGTATCCACGATAATGATTTCAAACTTCTCCTTCTTGAATTTGTCCACGCCTTGCTTTGCAATCTTGACGGGGTCAGGCTCTGTGTAGGACCCATAGAATGGAATACGCGCCTTGGTAGCATTCTGCTTCAATTGATCAAAGGCACCCGCACGGAACGTATCCGCACACACCATACAGGCATTATATCCGCGTCGTTGATAGTGCAGCGCGAGCTTTGTACAGCTAGTGGTCTTGCCTGATCCTTGCAGTCCAACAAACATGATGACATTTGGTTTCCCCTTCTTGGGCTTATACGGCTCCGTCTTGGAGTCGACAAGTGCGCACAATTCATCAAACACCGCCTTTTGAATCGCCTTCTTCTTGCCTTGCGACGTCGGTATATCCTTCAAGTTAACGGCCGACTTGATGGACTTGCGTAGTCCCTGCACAAGCTTGACATTGACGTCGGATTCAAGGAGGGCCGCGCAAATCTGCTTGAGCATGTCGTCAAATGCCTTGTCATCAATCACATTAGAGCGGCCAAATTCAGACAGAGCATTGTTGATGCGATCGCCCAGCTGTCCCAAGACCATCCTAGCGTGCGCTTCGTCTTTCTAGCCGCGCAGGCTCAATCTAAGGATCAACTTGATGGAGTCAAGTTCGCTTTCGTGGTTGTAGAGGCAAAAGAGACAGTCACGTTTCCTCTATGAAAGTCTAAAGAAGCATTCTCCGTTTTGTGTAATGTACCTGACCCACGGCAGAGCAGGATAGTTGAGCTTGCTCTCAATAATCTTGAGGTATCGTACCTGGATGCCACTTGTCGTAAAGTATGGAATCTCAAACTTGACCTCGACCGGCCGCTTCACCGTCTCCTGGGATTCTGAGCGGACACTGGGCAGGCCTAGCTCTGCACGCATTAAGAATTCACGACCACCGCCAAACTGCTTGATGGTCCATACAATGGCAGATCTCTCTGGTGCATAGTGAACCGTTCCGATGCTCGTTCTGAAGCGCGGCGAGTCAGCATCGTCTGGAACAGGAATGAGAATCTCGACGTTGTTTGCCGTTGAGCGACGTTTGAATTGTGCTTTCGCTTTGATCATGTAAGATATGCGGCTGCCGCTGTGTGATTCCTGGATGGTTTCCACCCAAATGAGCGGCTTGACGGCAGAAGACAGGCGATACGACATGAGCTCGAATTCGCCATCCGGTGGAATGAAGGAGATGGTACGGTCGTTCTCAAAACGGGAGAGTCGAACGCACTGGTGGAACTTGACATCCTCCATTTCGATCGACTTGCCGCGTGATGTCCGGCCAGTAGATTCAAACATGACCTTGTCGTTTAGGCCAAGTCGTAGTTCTGGCATACCAGATAGAAAGCACTTCATCTTGACTGCGCCGAGAATCTCTGACCGTACAACATTGCCTGTGCTTGAGACCATGAGATTGACAGACTCCACTACATCCAGGAAGACTTCATTTTTGCGGTAACGAATTCCCTCCGAACGCCAGCTGACAGCGTTTGTTACTGCGATCGGCGGACGTGCTTGTACTTCGAGCCTGTGTGATTCCTGTGTAATATACTCTTGCAGGATCTTGGTCTCCGTTGTTTGCGGATGGCCAAAGTCCATCATTTCGTCGAGCAGCTCGTAGATCACCACAAAATTGTCCCGAATAGACTCTTCCTCAAGCTCCTTGAAATACTCTGTGAGCACCTGCACTACTTTATGCAGGAATTGCAAGATCTCAAATGCATTCGAATTGCGTCGCGTCAATGCAAGGAGGTACAAGTTGTTGTGCTTGATGTAGAGGTAGTTGATGCCTGCATCTGTAAAGACAGGCGAGGTCTTGCCTTCCTCCTCCAAGTCATTCATGAGCGGCATGAACTTCTCCACGGCCGACATGGGAATATCGCCGCGGTAGTTGCGACAGAGCAACGTCTTGCCCTTCAAGTCGAGGATGAAGAGCGACGACGCCATGACAAACGCTCAGATCCTTCCTTGTCTTCTTCTGCACCTTGTTTATTCAGGCCCGCCTTGCTAATGCCTTCCAGAGAACAGTAGACCCGTCCTTGTTCCTCTTGTTTTGTCGTCGTGGTCGCGTTCAAGGCGAAATTCAAATTTGACCTCGCAACGACACTTCTGACACGGGCCCTGCTCTTGTTACTACCTGTCGTGCTCGTAGAAAGCCCAGAATGCTTCATATACGCTGCTACTACAATGAACAATAGCCATGCTCTCGAAATACCCGCCAAAATCGGGCATATTCTGCATCCGAGTGACGTTCCTGGTGCAAAACTCCAGCAGCTAGCCAAGCCAGTCAATGTCGTCCGCTACAACCACTCGGGAGCTTACTTTATGTCTGCTGGCAATGATCGTAAAATTCATTTATGGAACAGTCAAAATGGGCTGCATGTCAAGACCTTTGAAGCCCATGGCTATGAGGTTGCCGATGTCGCCATCAATGCAGACAGCAGCCAATTTGCGAGCTGTGGCGGCGACAAATTGTTGTTTTATTGGGATGTACGAACAGGTGTGACGATTCGGCGGTATGCCGGTCACTATCAGCGACTCAATGCAGTTTGCTTTGCAGCTGAGGGCACTGTCCTTGTGAGCGGCTCTTTTGATGCCACTGTCCGACTATGGGATACACGCAGCCAGTCGCAGGCACCCATTCAGGTACTACAAGAGGCAAAGGACAGTGTGTCAGCTGTTTGTGCGTATGAGCACACAGTGGTAACTGGCTCACTCGATGGCAAAATCCGCACGTACGACTTGAGACAGGGGCAGCTCAGTACAGATGTCCTGGCACGTATGCACACGCTCCCTGCCTAAAGAAGAGCTAACAGTAGAACCCATCAACAGTATCGAACTCTCGCAAGACGGAGAACTGATGCTTGTTTCAACGCTCGACTCGAAGATCCGCCTATTTGACCGCAACAATGGAGGGCTGCTCCAACAAATGCAAGGTCATACCTGTCAAAGATATCGCGTCCCAGCGTGTTTCGGGTATGACGAGCGTAGTGTTCTGAGCGGCAGTGAAGATGGACACATTTGGGCATGGGAAACGAGCACCGGTGTAAAGTTCAAGCAACTACCATGCCATAATGGCAAAGTCGTGCTCGGTCTTGCGCATCACCCAAAAGCAGCACAGATGGTGTCAAGTGGTAGTGATGGCGAGATAACCATGTGGACAGTATGATTGTCGCCTCGCTGGTACTACCTGCAAGTCATATCAGACAAGCATGCAACATTGACTGAATGCATCTGCGCCGAAGCGGTTCCGCATACAGCCTACCTACGAGGCAAATTGATCTGCGCTGGCTAGTAAACCGACCATCCTGTAGGATTTGCACCGAGGTGCTCAAGAGGTTGGTTGAATGCCAGCGCGTAACAAGGGTCGTCACGAGAGAAAATTGAGGGGGAAAGGTCTGTATTGACTAGATGAGGGGCATACCATTGATGACCATCCTTTTGACATCTTTGATCCATTGATTGCCTGTTTCCTTGTTGACGAGGACAAAAGCACGTCCTCGGCGGCCTGCACGACCAGTTCGGCCGACGCGATGGATGAAATCGATCGTGGAATAAGGAACATCGTACAACACGACATTCTTGACGGCAATCGTGTCGATACCGCGCGAGGCAAGGTCTGTGGTGATGAGAACTTTGAGAGAGTTCTTGTCTGGTGCCGAGGCGGTGACCGCTTCTTCAAGCGGTTGGGCTTCATCTGCAACATCAGTTTCGCTGGAATCTTGCTCTGCCGGAGAAGCGATAACGTTTTCCTCAGTCGACAAGAATTGGTTGATGGCAGCACCGCGGTCCGGTGAGTCTTTGGAGAACTCCAAGCAATCAATATTGCGCTCTCTGAGATACGTAGCCACTGGCGCAATCGTCTCTCGCTTATTGACAAACAAGATGACTTTCTTGACTTTGCCAGGCTCAGTTCCGTCTTGTGCCAGGTCACGCAAGATTTGGTGAGCGGCTCGGTCTTTGTTGCCCTTGAATTCTTTTTCAATGTCCACAAACTTCATGGCCACGCGTCGTGGAATAGCATGAATCTTGGAGGACACGAGTCGCTCGATATCTGGGTAATGCTTGCGTAGAAATGAGTCGAGGGAGCGCGGAATAGTTGCTGAGCAGAGAACGAGATGTTGCACAGATCTCTTGACGTGCTTGATGATGGTTTCCATGGTGTCCTCGAAAGAAATGTCAAAGAGCGTGTCTGCTTCGTCCACTACAACAAAGCGCGTCGTGTCGAGCTTGACGATTCCTTCAGCCAGCAAGTTACTCAGCTGACTTGGCATAGTGACGAGGACATCGACAGGATGAACGAGCACCGCATTCTTGGCGCGTCGAAAGCTAAAGCTTGGTAGCAATGTCGTTGCCGAGAACTTGACGTGATGAGAAAGCGCTTTGACCACGCCGCCCACTTGCTTGACCAATTCAATACTCGGCACAACGATGACACAGCCCGGATGTCCTGGCGCACGCACAAAACCCTCGCCTCGTTCTGCTTCATGCTTTTTCAGGTGGTGCAGGATTGGGGCCAGGTAGGCGAGCGTCTTGCCAGATCCAGTCTCGGCAGCTAGCAAGAAGGCTTGCTTCTCTGCACCTGTAGAGCATCCTGCTACAAGCTTAGGAATTGCCAGAGCCTGAATGTCACTTGGCGAAGCATATTCCAGATCTGACAAGGGCCCGGCCATGATGCCCTGTGTCAGTGCTGCAGACAGCCTCAGGGCACTAAAACTCGGACTTGTTGCAGCATTCGCTTGACCTTTTGCAGCTGTGCGTTGATGGAGTGGAATGTCGGATAAGACGGACGTATTGGTCTTGGACATACGACCATGCGATATTTTAAGATGCCGCTCGGGTGCCTCCCGCGGAGAAAGGCTTTTCGGCGTTTTTGACGTATTTTTACCGTACTTATTTGGCAGGGAAGATTGAGCTACGTTCTTGGAGAGTCTTTGGAAGCCTGGCTTGGCGGATAGCGCTGATCGTGCTTGTGTAGCGTATGGCCGCGCGGAGGCAACGAATATTGAAGCATGTCTGCAAGTGGCACAAAGCCAAGTGCTGCCTATGAACATAGAGAAGATAGAGCTTGAGAGCAAGAGCTAATTTCTGATCAGCAAGAGCTTACGACTCACAAGGCGATGACACCTTGACTGACTGGATTCTGCGGAGCTGAGCGTACGCGTGGTGTCTGGGCGAAAATCTCTGCGCAGAGTTCAGCCAAGCAGAGTTGCAACGACACATTGCTCGACATGAGGCCTGAAAGGCCTTCTGCAGCTGAGCTTGGTAATCCTTAATGACTGCTTGTGTACAAAGGGCGCAATGTCCTCTTGATGTTCACGCTTGCCAATCGGGTCTCTATTCCGTGCAAGACGTATGGACGCTTGGTGCACCATCTAGAGCTCGGACCCGTGCGTGATGGCTTAGCGCTGTGCTGCTCAGATACAATCGGCACAACCTGTAACAGCGGAGGTCGAGCCTTGTCAATCTGTGATGGTCAGGCCTTGCTCCTTGTTACAAGTATCAAGAAGACTCTGGCCGCTACCTTTATGGTTTTCAATCGCACCATGTCGCTCGGCTCTGGTGCAGGACTTTCGCAAAGATTCGTTGACGAAAATATCTCCTCTCTACTCGTTGGATGGTGTATTGCCTTGATTACACTTGTCGTTTTTCGAATCTGCGTCAAAGGCCGACTCAGCCACTTTGTCTACCTCTGCATCGCCCTGCTCGTGGTGTCGGCAGCTTTGGCACTCGTTAGTTGGATCTACCAGATGGGCCAGTTGTTTGCAGGGTACAGCGTCACTGTCGCCTTTGTTGTGCTATGGAGCCTGCAAGCACAAATCTACTTCCAGATTGTACCCTTTCGCATCTGTGTGCTTGGCCTTGCGAATCCATGGGTCCTGCGTATCTCGATTGCAGTCTTGATTGGGAGCATCAATATCACCATGCTTGCCCTATGGCCCGCTGCCAAGTGGCGACGACCGAACGATCCGGTTGCCTTTTGGTTGCCTCGTGCGGAAAAGATTGGCTACCTTCTGCTCGACGTTGCACTCAATGTCTTATTCCTGGTGACTGTCAAGTCGAAACTGGTAGATGTTGGTTTGAGCAAGTATGGCAAGCTCATCACGTACAACATCAAGATTATTGGTCTGTCTATTCTCTGCGATCTGCTGCTGCTGGCCAGCATGTGGTATCCGAAGAATAGCTTTCTCTTCATTCTTGTACACCCAGTCGTTTTTCTCAACAAATTGATCCTCGAACGGGCGATCACTCACAAGATGGCCATGGTTTCACAGGAGGATATTGGCTGGACGGCACGCATTAGCTTGTCGACTGTGCTGAAGCGGGCGAGCAAGCACCTCTCTCGTCACAGCACAGCACTGGACAGCGATGCAGAGACGATTGATATCGAGACTGTCACGGTTTGTGCGGAGAAGGGCAGACGCGGAGCTTTTTCACTGCCTTCTCCAGCGTTCCTTGAGCTCGATAAGGATCTGCCTACACGCCCACTGGATCTCTCGAAACACTGATGATCTGTCAATCTTCCCATTCATGTCCATATTCTTCATATTTTCATCCTCAACCATTGAAGCGGCTTCCCCTGCATTTTCAATTTTCAAACTTCAAATTTCAAATTTCAAATGTCATCGCAGACGTCAAGCGTGTCAAACTCTACATCCAAGGACCATGAACCTCGCGGATATCCTTAGCTCAGAGCAGGGGCATACTATCGAGGATGAGACAGGCAGTGAGACTGTCAGATCACACGACGGGCCTGCCGACGATGATTCAACCGTTGTCGTGGAAGGCAACTGTATCGAGTGTGGAGATCAAGAAGCGGTACTACATTGCGAGGACTGTCGGGAGGATTTCTGTGAGGTATGCAGTACAATCATTCATCGGACAGGGAAGCGGAGGAAGCATACATTGAGGCTGTTGAAGGAGGATGTGCCGGAAAAGCGGGATGTTGAAATGTCTGTTGAACCAGAGGACAAGCGCAATGGGCATGCGGTTGCAGCAGATGAAGAGATGGAAGCCAAGCTGACTGTGCGGAATCTGGATGCTGAACAGACGGAGCGTATTAAACAACGCGCCCGCTTCATTCCATTGCGCTTGACGGCTGAGGAGAGGAAGCTACACAGATTACTGGAGGCTGCTCTCAATGTTTCCGAGTACACAGACAAAATCGATGTCATTTCCTACGTCAGCAAGTCACGGCGGATCGTGGCTCAGCTGAAGGAGATTTGTGCCATCTTATCTGGACTGATGGTTGCACAAGACTTCAAAGCCGGTCAGGCACTTATCAATGACCGAGACTATACCGTCAATGCGGAACTATACAAGACCATCTTTGAGATTGGTCGGCGGTATAAGATTATGAACCCTGACCGGATGCGCGGGACGTATGGTAAGATGATGTTCATGATTCAAGACTCTCTCATTCCGGAAGTGAGCGAGACGTTGGGGTTTGACTTGTTCAAGCCAGTGCTCACAGTGCATAACTTTCTTCAAGCCCGAGAAGGTCTCGCTGTACTTGAAGATGACCAGATCCTGACGGCGACGATGGAAATTGTCCCTGACAACAAGACACGGCCCATGATACAATCTGAAATCAAAGCAAAGGAACGGGCGATTGAGAGCTTGTGCCGAAAATACAGCAGTGGTCATCTGCTCAAAGAGGATCTTCGACAATGTCTGTACAGTATTGGCGACGCATCCGCATACCTACGTGCGAATAGAGATCCCGTCATGAGAATGCGCGAGCTCTTGTTTCGCCACTTCTCACCCGACAAGCCCGATCGGAACTTGGCCATTAGAGCAGGTGTTCAGGGCTCCAGGCTCACTCACAGTCATCGTCAGCAGTTTGAGTATGCTAGCCAGACACTCATCCTCTGGGGTCTGATCATGGAGAATATGTTTGAGCTGTATTTGCTTGTCGACGCCGACATGCTCTCAACAACGAGTCGGTACCGTCTCATGGATACAGGCCAAGGTTTGAACAGAGTTCAAGCGTGTCCTACGATATCTCGTCGCATGCACTCCATTCTGGCAAAAGCACAGGGGATTTGTGGGCATTGGGTGGGCAGTTCTGCTATTCATTTGGGGGACCGGAGTGTCCCGAATGCACTCGTCTTTATCGACAAGTACGCACAGATACCACGCATTCTTACCCCGTTGTATACGTCGATCGCTGCACTGCCCTCGCTCGGGAAAGATCCGTTTGTGAGTGGATACTTGGACGAAGCCTTTGGTGGTGTGGATGAACTTGCCATTGAGATTCTTCGAGACTGGGCTCGCAATGCTCTGGATGGCAGCGGTGCTTTGAACAATATAGAAGCAGGTTCATGCATCGATGGTCGCACTACAAGTTTATGGAACTGGTGTCACGGTATACATGGACGACCTTACTTCAAGGCGCTCTTGCTCGTTGGCTTTCCGGGGTTTGATGGATCTGGCTTCAGCGGATGAGGTTGGTAGAGCAACACGCTATGCTCTCCCGAATCTCATGCAGCTGTCCGCCTCTGGGGCTTCATCTACTTGACTCTGATGCGTACATGACAATATGCTGTTCTGCTCTCTGCAAGGCCTGGTCATGGGCAAGTACCCTCAAAGACCAAGGATTGTAGCCTGCAGACTTGCCTCGCTGTCTCATCTGTCCTGTCTTGCAACAAATTGTGTTGGATTGACAGACTGTGACAATATCAGTTGTGTTGGCACCATATCTTGTCATAGGCTGTAAAGACAAGTCTCCCATCGACTACTTGTGACTGCCTCTTTTCACGTGTGCGCTGACGTCGGCGACCGCGACGAAACAACCAAGAAGCAACGAGAGACCCAGGACGAACGAGCTGCTTGCTGTGATCTCGAGGCTTGCTCATTGCTAGGGCTCATCTAGAAGAGCAAAAGAAAGGCTACTTTCCTTGCTCAGGCAAAAGCCACATAGTCGATGGAGTCCAATAATCTCACTCATTTCGCTGGCGCATTCAGTCCGCAGGCCAACAGACGCGCCCGGCCGGCCTCCCTCGATGGAGACTTGATCTCGATGGGTCATACCAGTCCGCCGACTACGGAGACGGAAGAGGCCGACTCACCGGGTGACGGCATGTCCATTGTCAGCGAAAAGCTGCTCAGCGCCGATGACCGTATGCTTTCCCTTGGCCAAGATGCCCAGATGCTGACTTTTTAGACGCGGCTATGGCCGAAAAATACATGCATCCCTTGGAAGATTTCGAGATATTGGCAACAGAAGCCTTTGATTGGCATATAGAAGACTGGCGAGCGCTTGAGAAGCGAGCCCTGAGTCCAATCTTTGAATGTGGCGGCTACCAATGGTATGCATGAGCAATCTGTACTGCTTGGCTAACAACAGGCGCATCCTGCTCTTTCCCTCTGGCAACACGATTCCAGACTGCTGCGCAGGCTACTTGGAGTGCATGGATGGCTCATCTCCTGTAGAAGGACAAGAGTCCCCAGACTGGGCCTGCTGTGCGCAATTCAGCATCGTCCTCTGGAACAGAAACGATCCGACTATTCATCAGGCACACGGTATGTTAAGCTTTTCTGCAAAACACAGCTAACATTAGTCGCATCACATCGATTCACACCGGAAGAAGCAGACTGGGGATTCTCTAGACTGTATGATCTCCGCAAACTTGCGTATCCGCACGATGATCGTGATCGGCCGATTGTCGAAGGCGGCGAAACTATGATTTCGGCCTATGTCAAGATTGTCAAAGACCCAACAGGTGTCCTCTGGCACAACTTCAATAAGTACGTGTGCTGCATTGTAGATCAATCACTAACGACAGTTACGACTCGAAGAAAGCAACGGGTCACGTTGGTCTCAAGAATCAAGGCGCGACCTGCTACATGAACTCCCTCCTGCAGTCGTTGTATTTCACAAACTACTTTCGCAAAGCAGTCTACCAAATTCCAACAGAGAATGACGATCCAAAGAATAGTATTGCTCTTGCTTTGCAGCGCATATTCTACCAAATGGAAAAGTCCAATGAAGCTGCATCCACATCTGAACTCACACAGTCCTTTGGATGGAGTTCCTTGGACGCTTTCATGCAGCACGACGTGCAAGAATTCAACCGCGTCCTGCAAGACAATCTCGAAGGCAAGATGAAGAAGACTGCCGCTGAAAATGCACTGAGTCGTTTGTTTGTTGGCAAGATGAAGAGTTACATCAAGTGTGTCAATGTCGACTACGAATCCGCGCGAGAAGAGGAGTTCTGGGATATTCAGCTCAACGTCAAGGGTATGAAGAATCTCAAAGAATCCTTTGCGGATTACGTTCAAGTAGAGACGCTGGATGGCGACAACAAGTACTTTGCTGAAGGCTTTGGCTTGCAAGATGCAAAGAAGGGTGTCATCTTTCAGGACTTCCCACCAGTCCTTCACCTGCAACTCAAACGCTTCGAGTACGACATGGAGCGCGATGCCATGGTGAAAATCAACGACCGCCATGAATTCCCCCTCGACATTGATCTTACGGAATTTCTCGATGAGACGGCCGATACACAGGCCGACTGGAATTACAAGCTCCATGGCGTTCTTGTTCATTCTGGAGATTTGCACGGTGGACACTACTATGCTTTGCTCAAGCCTGAAAAGGACGGGAAATGGTATCGCTTTGACGATGACCGCGTCACACCTTGCACGCTCAAGGAAGTACTTGATGAAAACTTTGGCGGTGTCGTGGCACCTTCTGTGCGTATGCCCAATCGACCACTTCAAGGAAAACGTTTCATGAACGCCTACATGCTGGTGTACATTCGCGAAAGCAAGCTTGATGAGATTCTAGGCCCAGTGGGGGAATCTGACATCCCTGCACATGTCTCTGCGCGGATTGAAGAGGAAATTGTAGAGGAAGCCCGACGACGCAAGGAGCGCGAAGAGATGCATCTCTACCTCTGGATCAAGACCGTGACCTTGGAAAATTTCAAAAAGCACGATGGCTTCGATATGGTCGACATGACGGATGCCGACCTGGATCAAGCGAAAGTGTACAAGACCCTCACGTATGGTGAGTACAAAGCACAAGTCGCAAAAGCACACAACGTTGCCGTGGAGCAAGTCAGACATTGGGTCATGGTCAACAGACAAAACAAAACCATTCGCCCAGATACAGTGTTGGGTCCTTCCTTCAATGACAAGCCGCTCATTGAGGTGCGCGATGAAATGTCTATTCGTCGGCAAGAGATGCTGCTGTACTTGGAAATCATTAATGTTAACCAGGTTGGCAAAGACTTGGCGGATGGCACTCCCGAGAATGCATCATTTATGCTGTTTGTCAAATATTTCGATGTTGATACACAGACACTTTCTGGTTTGACTACCTTGCACCTCAGCAAGAATGACAAGATTGAAGTAGCACTCGAAAAGCTTGCCCCGCTCATCAACAAGGAACCTAGCAGTTTGCGACTCTTTGAAGAAATCAAGCCAGGCATGATTGAACCACTTCGTCCGAAAGTATCTTTTGCACAAGCAGAGATTGTGGATGGCGATATTGTCACTGTCCAGCGCGTTGTGGAGGAGACAGACCGCTTGGCATTACACAAGGCCGGCAACTTCAGCCATGCAACAGAGTACTATGACTTTTGCCACAACAAACTATCAGTGACACTGATTCCGCGATCTGCTGAACAGCAAGTCACGGAGAAGTTTGAGTTGACCATGAGCAAAAAGTCAACCTATGAGCAGGTAGTCTCCAAGATTGGCGAACATCTCAAGGTGGACCCAACACATATTCGCTTGTCGGCTGTCGGCGTTGGCAATCAGCCTCGGCAACACTTCAGGGCGCCGAGCAGCATGACGCTCAACAACATGCTGCAGCCTGGCTACCTCCAAGCCCCAGTCATGGCAATCGCGTATGAAGTGCTTGAAACAAGTTTGAAGGAGCTAGACAGCAAGAAGCTCCTCAAAATCACATTCCTGCCTGAAGGCCTACTCAAAGAAGTCCCGGTTGAGATTCTGGTGCCAAAAACGAGTAATGTCGAGGACGCCGTGAATCTGTTGGCTGCAAAGCTGCAGCTTCCATCAGAGCAGGCACAAGCTTTGCGACTGTATGAAGCGCACACCAACAAGTATCATAAGCACAGCGACCCAGCAGCGAGCGTCCTTGGCTTGCAAGACTACATGACTCTCTATGCGGAAGTTCTGACAGAGGACGACGCCAAGCAGAATGATACTGACAAACAAGTCAGTGTCATGCACTTCCAAAAGGAACCATCACGCTTGCACGGCGTACCCTTTGTGTTTTGGCTGCGGAAAGGAGAGACCTGGCGAGATGCACGTATCCGGCTGCACCGCAAGACACGATACAAGGAGGACGACTTCAAGAGAATCAAGGGCGCCATCATCTCGCCGTCTTCGGTCTACTCTAAGCCAACGTATCTCGAAGACGACGAGCAACTCTGGGATCTTGTCAAGATGTCTGACGATGTCCTGGGTCTGGATCACTTGGACAAGACCGTCAAGCCGAGTCGCTATGGAGAGCGAGCGATCAAGATTACTGGTTAAAGCTGTGCAAAGAGAGATTCATTATTACGTAGCAAAGTGACTTGTCAATGCAGCCTTTCAGTGCGTGCTATGTTGGTCAGACGGGGGCAATCAATCATGGAATGATTGACAGCGAAACATGTCGTACCCTCGCTTGGTAACGCCGTTTGTCTTGGCTATGACGTTTTCATGATGCCTCGGCCATATGAAGTGGCCGGGCACTTTGGTAATAACGAGCCGAACACGCACCTGTCAGAGGAAGAGAGCTGCCAGCAACATGACTGTGACTGAGACCTCTCTGCACCCGACGAGCTGCTGTATCTTGTGTCAATGTGCAACTTGTTCGAGCGAGAGGATTTTCACAGACGACAAGATCACCTGACTAACCCTACAAGAATAGCTACCATCATACTAGCAAGCTACGATCATGTCTGAAGCTGTAATGGTCGCATCGTCCGTCATCAACCCTGCTTTACGAAGGGTCTTGATGGTATCGTCGATCATGGCCTCATCCAATAGCTTGACATCACTCGGGTACTTTACAGTCTTGAACCATGCCTCGGCATCTTCTTTACTGTAGTCTAGATTGGTGTGGATGTGCTCGATGCCTTCATCGTAATGCTCAAGAAAGTAAACAATGCCTTCGTTGATGGCTTCGAGCAGGGAAGTCACTTCTGCCTTCCTCTCAAGTAATGTGCTCGATGCAGTGATGACCCAGGATGGCCACGGTGTGTAAATCTCCCCAATCTCCTTGATCTCGCCTGAATCATAGTACTTTTTAGTCGTAAAGCGTTCCCACATGAATGCATCTGCAGTACCGCCATTGACGCCATCCCTCAAACCCTTGAATGTGTCGAGCTTGATGAAGTCAAATGGTGCTGCCGTAGGCTTCAGCCAGCCTTGCTGGTCTGCAAAGACGTAGCTCATGACATAGCTGCCAGAGCCGATGCGTGAAACGCCAATCTTTCGATCCTTGAGCTGTGTAGCTTTGGTGAGAGCATCATTCTTGGCACCGGCAGAAATGGCCCAGCATAGAGGCGATGAGACATAAGTGCCGATGAGAGAGTACAAGTTGGGATTGCTTGCGAGGCCATTGACAAATCCTTCTGTCAGACCGATAGCAGCATCGATCTTGCCTTCTTTGTACGATGAAATGAGCTGTCCAGTGCCAGAAGGCTGTGGCACGAGCTGCACATTAAGTCCGCGCTTTGTAAAGAGATTATGTTTCTGAGCTAGTAGCAGCGGAGTCAAAAAGTGCTCAGGGATATATCTAGCATCAGTAATGTGCGATTGTAGCGTATAGAAGTACCCAATTCTGATAGCCATGTTGACAAGTGGCAGCTTCTGGGCATAGAGTGGACGACGTCACGAATCAAATAGAAGTAGTGCGACGACGAGATGGCGCAGTGGCATTGATCATGACTTAGTATTAAACATGTATAATGGCGGCCAGCGCCCGAGAATATTAGACTTGACGCTGACGAAGATGATTGATGGCAACCACGTCCCCCTCTGCTGCTGCGAGCTCCAACCAAGCCACAGCAGCCTTCATGCGCATGAGACTGCCCTTCGATGCCGACACCGTATGCGAAGCATCTGCAAAATGGATGCCCAGACCACCAGCCGGAGCAAACTGAGGAAGAGACGGCGTGTAAGCACTCGATACCGAGGACGAAAGCGAATTCGCTCGAGACAGTGGTCGTCGTCCAGCGCCAAGCGAGTCTGTCGTACCAGCAAAGATTTCCACAGGATTACTGAGTGGCGGTAGCATGATTGGCACATTGACACGTCCACGATCTGTAGGGACAAGGGAGAGTGCCAGTTCGCGCATGGCCACGACATTGCGCTCTTTCGCCGCAATCGTCAACATCGCAGTCGCATCAGCCGTTGTAAAGTCGCTTGCCTCTGCAGCTTGTGTTGCGGCGTTCACCTGCAATGCTTCCACCCGCCGTGCTTCAGCACATTGAAGCGTGCTTTCAGCACACTTTGTCAGTGCTTCCACCGTATCGTGCTTCACGCTCAAGGCTGCGAGTCCAAAATCCCAAAAGACTTTCCCCTCGTCCGTCATGTTGAGGATGCTGGATGGTATGAATGTGGCAATATACTGCAGGTCGCGAAAGAGTGTCTTGGGTCGCAGTTCAGCTTGCTTCAAAATGCGCGTCATTTCCTCGACAATCATATCTGTGCCAGGCTTACTTGCCCCATTCGACGTCGCTTGACCGATAGATCCATGCGGCGATGTATTGAACAACGGCTGCGTATTTTGCATGGGAAGGACTGGGCGCACACCATTCTCAACAGAGCCTGGATTGGTATCCGCTCCAAGCACATCCTTGAACATCGCCAGTGAAGGCGATATAGCATGACCTTGAGGCAGCAGGGGACTCTGAGGCATTTGTGCAGCCATCTTGGGCAATTTTCCAGCTTCATCCTTGCCACTCGCACTCAATGCAGAGACGACCAGTACCTCGAATTCGTACAACGTACGTAATTTCTCGTAGGGACTTGGATGTGCACTGAAGCGTTGAAACAACTCCCTATACGCTCTTGCATTTGGAAATTGGCGCGGCTGTGCGCGTCTTGACAAGGACGCATGAATACGGAGAGGTGACCGAGGTGATGAGGTGAATGGACTGCTTGGATCGAGAGCAGAGCCCGAGGACGACGTGCGGTCGAGGATTGGCCCAGTACTGCGCAGGTTGTCGAGATCAATGGACGGAGGGGCTGGTGATGACTTGAGACTGGCAGATGTCCCACCACCCGTCAGCAGATGCGACAGGGATGCACTCTTCATGCGTCCATGCGGAGGTCGTTTTGGAACTGTTTGCATATTAACTTTAGCCGGCATAGGACCTCGCTCTGTCATCTGTGCCGTGGTCAGCTGGGTAGCTCTGAGTATTGCTTCAGTCGTCACGCGTTCCTTGGCTGAATCTTCTTGCCGCTTTTTGGCAGTCAAAACAGCATCCACCAGCTCGGTATTGTGCCATTCATCCGTTTCACTGCCTTCATAGAAAAGCAACTCTGCCATATCTGATAAAAGCAATGATGTCAAACCAATGCGTGTCTGCAGCAAGAACTCTCGTGCGCCTAATTCATCACATTCAACAGCAGCTGAACCCGTTGTTGACGTCATTGAAATTTGCCGATGTAGAGGCTGACTGGCTGCTGCGAAGGATGAAGCGGTTGGGATTTGACGTTCAGGGGACGGGAGTGACAAGTCATTCTCACTCGCAATACTGACGCGAGTACGACTGCGAGAGCGTGGATTGTCAATACTACCCACTGAATTCCCACGTTGCCGTGCGGCGGTTCGGCTGAGACTGAGTAAATCACCTGCGCTGCCACGTCTTGGTAAACCAATAGTGGACTCCTCAACAGACTGCTGGAGTTGCTCAAAGAAGGAAAAGGGCGGCCGTGTATTCTTTGGAATGTGAAAGAGACCGCTCTCGTAGCTAAAGAGCTCAAATGACCACAAAAGCGAATGTGCTGCATCCTCGAACTCAAGTGTCTGGACAGAATCTTGCACAGACGACCGACTTATCAGTATGCGACGAATCAGGTCATCCACTTCATAGCACAAGCGATGCAAACGCTCTTCAGCCGTGCAAAAGTTGTGGATATCCAGGTTTCGCATCCATTGCAAGACGAGCTCTGCTTGACTTCCAGAAAGCTTGTTGTGACCACCTTGATCAACAGGGACGGCAAGTGCATCAAGAAGCTCATGATCGACTGGATACAGACCTGTAAATTGACCCGCATGCTGCTGTCTCAGCTCACGAGAATAGCGATTCGAGCGTCGCTCTCTCGACTGACTATGCAATTGTCCAGACATGGAAAAACTGCCAGCTTCAGCAACAGATCCCAATGGTCTTACTTCAGCGGGTCGCATACGATGCAGACACTTGCACACTTCCCAAGCTTGTTGCCAGACTTTTGAACGTCGTACATCACTCATATACCACATTTTGAGGCGTAACTTGTTGATGAGTTGGATTTCATCGTCGATACGCTGTTGTAGGCGTCGTTTACAGTCATGCGCGTACGCAGCAAGTGCTTCTTTTTGCTCAAGTAAATCCATTTGCTGCTCCAGTAACGACTCTTCCTCCTCCAGTAAGCTGTATAGAAGTGGCGAGTAGTCATCAGCAGCTTCAGGTGTGCCTGTTTTGGCTTGGAGGTGATTATACGCTTGATGATAGAGTTCAGAGAGGACATAGTCGCGCTTTGACAGGGCACGTTGAGCAGCCGTCACAAGAAGTTGAAGGAGTTGCGAGCCGCCTGTGGACGAGGGCGAGCGTGTCTCTACACCACTAAATGGACCTGTTGAGCGATGTTGTGCGAAGTAGTCTAGGGTAGATCGCCGTTGTGCTGGTTTGCCAAGGTCAGCATGATCAATAAGCTTGTAAATGGCATTCTTGACCAGACCGTCTATATCATATCGTCGTTGCAACGGTTCCGTCATTGTGGACGTTGCAACACAAAGCCCATCCTTGTTTGTTGCTTGGATGATATCGAGTCGATGATCGAGCATACTCTGTTGCTCAGGAAATAATAAGGCCAAAGCAGTCATGGCACGCTGGGTATTGGTGATGAAGGGATCCTGTGGCTCAGAGACACGCTTCTCCTCACCGACACGCATCGATAAGCCCTCATCCTCTACGTTGCCTGGTGTGGACGAGACATCACTTCCCGTGACGAGTTCCAACAGTGCCCACGCTCGCCCTCGAGCAGGGACAGAGGGTTTACTGGATGTGGTTGAATGAACACTGTTGTTCTGTGCGCGGTTCGTACTGGTCATGGGAGCCGGCGGACTTGGCACACGTTGTTGAGAGGCTGGTAAAAGGCATGATGCAAGTGTTTGCAAGTCAGTGGCAGACAAGTAGAACGTCGGTGTTGCTGCATCCGAAAAAGTCTCCGCAGGGCGTAGAACCGGTGCATCGCCTACAACACGCGCAGTATCGTCTGAGGGTTGAGCAAAGAAGCGTGCTGTGATGGACAAGTAGTGTGTGTCCATTTCAGCAGCACCCGTCGGACGCACAGTATGTTGAGCGACACGCGGTGTGACGGGTGAGCAGAAGCCAAGGATGCGTTGATGGAGGACTTCAAGTATTGATTGACGTTGCATAGAACTGATGTAGTAATCATGCAGGAGATGAGCAGACTGTTGTTAGCATAAGTATATCTCTCATGAGCAACCTTACCTCTGGCGTCTTGAGGATACGGCCTAGGAAGTGACCAAAGTACCATTCTTGAACAACGAATGTTTCTGCCATAGCACGCTGAGAATCCGGCAGCTGCCTCATGACAAGTCTTGCAAGATGTAAAGCACCAGCAGGGATCCCTGCATCATCGTCTCCATCGAGTAAGCGAAAGACATCACGCACGGCAATGGCAAAGAATTCTTCTTCTGCTTCATCGCGTTTGCTGTACAAGTGGAAGAAGCGTTGTTGATTAGCACGCTGATGAGCAGCATGTCGTGCTTCTTGTCGATGTAGCAATTTGGTGCCTGACTGAAGCAGCGACATGAGTAGCAGTTCAAAAGAATTGTGCGCTTCCCAGCCGTATGCATCAGCAAACTGATTCATGATGGCAAGACAGAGTCGACCATGAGCAGCTGAGCTTTGCTGAAGAAGTGACGCTAGCGATGAGGCGCCAAGATTGAAGCGCGCTGCATCTTCACTGGCGAATGCGCCAGGTTGAGCAAAGACGCCAAATAGCAATAGAGACAGTGCATCGCGTCGCGCGGGCGGCTGTGTAGCATCTTGTGCCTTGCATGGTTCTCGTAGCGACGCTGTAGATAGGGTCTCGAGAGACGATGTGAGTAAATTCACAGCAGCAGGTGTAGACGCAGCGATACACTGTGCAACCCATAAAGGTTGATTGCGAATCTTGAGCAAGAAGTGTAGTAACGCAGACTGAGTCACACTGTCGAGCTTCAACAGCCAGGACGCATCGTCTGTGCGATCTCTGCTTTCGACGCGATCAATGAGCGCGTCTGCCTCTGTCATAAGCGCCGCGTATTGGTCTGCGAATTCGCGCTTTGCATCAACACGGATGTAGTCTGATAGCAAACGATGCGCAGATCGCATGCGCACAGAAAGACGCGTGAGGAGCGCGAGTCCCTGGCTGTGGTGATGCAGGTCTGACGAGCGCGCATGCAGCGTATGCTCTTGGAATCTGCGTCTGCGCACTTTCTTGGCGAGCTGATGAATGCTGCAGGTATTAGGTGATTCCATGAGAGATATGGATACTGCGTGAGGTAAGGGAGATTATTGATGCGTCATGTAGGCATACTTGTGACTGCAGCTGGTCGTCGTTGTCGTTGTCGTCGTCATGGCGTCACGTAGGCGCGAGTAGGGAGGGATGTCTTGCTTGCTTCTTTGTTTGTGTGCTGCGATGCGACGCGATGGAGGAGAGTGCAGCTACTTGTATAGATGTAGATGCTGGTGTCAGGATATGGATGAAGCTGGGGATGCCGTTGGATGCAGTCTGGCCGTTGTCTCAGGCGACGTCCAAGGAGGGAAGCGATATGAAGGGAGGAATGTGTAGAAGGTCTGACCGTGTACTGTATTCGGTGTATATCACTGTATAGAGACTATGAGAGAGACTTTGGAGGACACTTGATGGGATATGAGTTACTGTGGCACGATGTTACGGATTGACCAGGGTAACGTTCATCGGTATTGCCTGTGTCTGACCGCGAATGTTACAGGGGGCAGGTACTGGCAGTCTCATACCACTTTGTACCTCCCTACCACTGAGTATCTGTGTTGAGTCACTGTGGACACTGCGGACTGAGCACTGAGCCTGGTCTACAGTCTAGTGTCTACCTAGTACCTACACCCAGGGCTGTTGGACAACCTTGCTCTCTTCTTCGCGACATTCCGCGGTAAATAATAAACAAATCGAGCGACAACGAACAGATGAGCCATGAGCATATCCGGCGCACAGACTGCAGCATTCGTTTCGCATGTGATTGTCATTCCAGATGACCAACTGGCAACTGACCATATTCGTGATACTCCACGACTGACGACTGACGACTCACGAGTCACGACTCACAACTTCACAAGTCACGAACCACAACTTCCACAAGCATGTAAGTTGATGATGAAATAGACGGGACGGCCGCCCGCAGACCAGTAATCTAAGATGAAGCCTGGCCGGTCGTCTCTAACAAACCCGCTTAGGCATGCGCAATGCGCATATGGTAGTGTGACTGATGAGAGTGATGAGTCGATGACACATTGACACTACGAATGAGAGCCTTTGATGGGTCATTGACGGCATTATCGCGTGAGCATGTAAATGCCTGTTGTGTAGATAGCACACAATGACACTGACAACCATAGATATGTGCGAGAAGTTTCGTTCCCCAATCAACTGCAACATGATGTAACGCGAGCCATATTCACATGCACATATACATGCACTTGCCCAACACCAACAGACAGAGAAGCAGACGCATAAGCAGAAAGCAACAGCTTTGCGACGTACTGCAAAGCCTCGCATGAACAAGTCAGATACCGTTGTAGTCTTAATTACGCAGATCAAGGAAGTACTCGAGAGCACCGTCCTAATTCTCCGAAAGTCTGTCATCAGTGGTCATGCGGACGATAGACGTCTGCTTCTCTGTCTGCTGGTTCCGGTCATGACTAGTGTTGACCACCCTTTAGCTGAGTAGTCAAGGGACAAACAGACTGCAGCTGAAGCATTGACTAAATTGTTCGTCGCGTCCTTCTCCCTCTCACGCTTAATTTGTTTGGTTACTGGCCACGTCAGATAGAAGACAGTTGCAGCAGAGACTCTTTCCCTTGCCTTATTGCAGAGAAACCAGTCAAGATGCAACTAGTCACGCTCATCACAGCACTGTTCATTACTGCAGCATCTGCTCAATTCCAGTTCTTCGACAGCATGTTTGGCGGACACGGCCATCCACAACAGCAGCAACACCAGAAGCCAGTGCGTGGCCCTGACTGGTACAACGGCCTGGCCCTCAATACTGAATGTGATGAAGGTGCCTATCTATGTCCTGGGACGATGGATTGTGTGGAGAAACCAGGACAGTGTCCGTGTCCGCATGATTTAGCACGCTGTGAGGTGGGTGCGCAGCGGGTGTGTGTCAGTAAGCAGGCGGGTGTGAAGGATGTGTGTGCGGCCATCAAGGGCTTTCATGAGACGCTGTAAGGCGGATGACCTATTGCAGCGACGCGATTAATGCGAGTGCTTCTTCGTTCTACCTTCATTATCACGCCAGTTTTGGCCTTGAGACTACTTTCTGGATGTGCTACACGCATGCACTTGCAATCACGCGCTGTCCAGTATTGCTATTTCTACGACTAATACCTACACGACCCTAGAGTCTGTTCAGAGTCTTCACTGAGTCTTCACTGAGCCTTCCACTTCTCTTGTCTTTCGCGCTTCGGCTTCTTCCGAACTTTTTTATTTCGCACAACGCCGCATCAGCTCACCAGCGACATGAACCCTTGCTGCTCTTCCAGTCACTGTTCTACTCATTGCTAGCATCTCTAGCATCATCATTACATCGGCAGTATGTCTGGCCCTGAGGAGGATATCCGGGCCTCTGACAAGGAAGCTGCGACACAGACAGTTGCTGCCTATCCAGAAAATTCAACCTATCCCGAAGGCGGTTATGGTTGGATTTGTGTATTAGGATCTGCACTCATCTTCTTCAATGGCTGGGGCTTCAGTAATGCATTTGGCGTCTTTCAAACCTACTACGAAATACAATTCCCTGACTCTTCAGCGTCTGTCATTGCATTGATTGGATCTCTGCAAGCATGTCTGATTGAAGGCACAGGGATGCTCGTTGGCGTCTTTGTGGACCGGTATGGTATGCGGCCTGTCATGTTGGTAGGCGCTATACTCCAAGTCGGTGCACTCCTTGCCGCCTCCTTCAGCACAAAAATCTGGCACCTCTATCTCTCCCAAGGTGTCATGTACGGTCTTGGTGCAGGAGCCTTGTATATCGTTGCAGTCAGCGTACCTGGACAATGGTTCCACAAGCGGAAAGCAACAGCATACGGCATCTTGTATACCTCGTCTGGTCTTGGCGGCGTCCTGTGGCCGATTATTCTTACGCAACTGTTTGGTAAAGTTGGTTTTGGCTGGACGATGCGCATCACCATGTTCATCACACTCGTTCAAGTAGTCATTGGCTGCCTATTGCTACGTGAGCGGCCGCTCTCACAACCTTCTGCAGATGCAGACGAAAAGTCTGGTCGTGCGCAAGAACCTCGCGTGGAAGTGCAAGACGTCAACATCTACAAAAGCAAAACCCTCTGGTACTGTGCAGCAGGTTACTTCATCCTCAGCATTGGTATGCTCTCTCCCATGTTTTATATCGGGACGTTTGCAAAAGTTAATGGCATGTCGGATCATCTTTCATTTTACCTCCTCTCCATGCTCAATACAGCGAGTATCCCTGGTCGAACGATTTGCGGATGGCTCGCAGACCGTTATGGTCGTATGAACGCCCTCTGCGTCTCCATCTTTGCTGCAGCGCTCGTTCAACTCATCATGTGGAGCACTATCCGGACCAATGCAGAAATCATCTTGTTTAGTTGTTTCTATGGCTTCTCTTTTGGTGGCCTCATCAGTCTTATGCCGGCTGTCACAGCCCAAGTCTGCGGCCAACAGAAACTCGCCTCCAAGTTTGGTGTTGTGAGTGCTTTAGGCGGGGCAGGGACATTGGTCGGTGCACCCATTGCTGCACTCTTCATTGGAGACTCGCCAGAGAGTTACTTGGGTTGTATTTTGTTCAGTGGGTTTTGCATGTTATTGGCGACTGCGTGGTATACAGGCCTGCGATTCTATACCGACAGACGGATCTTTGTCGTTCTCTAATTCAATATAATATGACACCAAGCGTAGCATCTCTAGCATTCATCTGTATCTCTTCCTCATCCTCTGATCTCTGGTTGCTGCTGAGTCTTGTCCCTGAATCCCCAAATTTCAAATTTCGTCGTCATAAACCACTTCAGGACAACAGCCGTGCCGACGTAGGCCCTCTCAAGGTACACTTGCTGTAGCATCTGCGGAAGATATGACCTCAATTCTTCCACCTCAGCCATCTACAACCCGCGCATCACCTACAAAACTGGCATTCGACCCCAAAAGCGGTCGTATCGCCTATGCGTCCAACAAATCTGTGTTTATACGCGACTTGGAAGACCCTTCAAAGTGTATGCAGTATGTCGGACATGTACATCCTGTCCAAGTGGCTCGCTTCAGTCCAAGTGGCTTTTACGTCGCAAGTGGTGATGTCTCTGGGCTCGTCAAAATCTGGGATGCAGTCGGCGAGGAGCACATCCTCAAAAATGAGGTGAAACCCATTCAACGCATCACAGATCTCGCTTGGGATGGAGATTCTGCACGCATCATCGCTGTGGGTGAAGGAAGGGAACGATTCGGTCATGCATTTACCATGGATTCAGGGAATACAGTCGGTGAGATTACCGGCCATTCAGGTGTCATCAATGCTGTGTCTATTCGGCAACAACGTCCATTCCGTGCAGCTACAGCAGGCGATGATGGTCTTGTTGTGTTTTACCATGGTACACCTTACAAATACAACAAGACACTGCGTCAGCATACCAAATTTGTGCTGGATGTCGCCTTCTCGCCAGACGGTGCAACCCTCGTGTCTGTCGGCGCTGATGCCAAGATCTGCTTGTATGATGGCAAGACGGGCGATGTCATCGATACTACTTGGTCAGAATCGCATACAGGCTCAATCTTTGCCGTGTCATGGGACCCAACCTCCACGTTTCTCTTGACGAGCAGCGCCGATCAATCATGTAAGGTATGGGAGGCCAAGACGGGGAAGCTCGTACAATCTTGGGATTTGAGGGAAACAGATGCCCTCAATCCAGCAGATGGACAGCAGGTGGGTAATGTTTGGACGCCGAAGCACATTGTTTCGTTGTCACTATCAGGGACTTTGACTTACTTGTCTATTGACAGCGAGACACCCTTGCAACGCATCGCTGGCCATCAAAAGGCAATCACAGCACTGGCCATCTCGCCAGATGGTGCACAGCTCTACACAGGCTCTTACGATGCCACAAACTACATCTGGCAACTCTCTGACGCATCATCAAAACGTATCACAAAAAATGCCCATACCAACCAGGTTTCTGCATTGATCGTCTCAGATTCGATCGTTCTCTCGCTCGGTCTTGATGATTCTGTGCGTGTGCTACAGACAGCCACAGGCACCTTTTCTCGAGTCTTGTCAACGACCTCAAAGCCTATTGGAGCGGGCCTCGTGGGCCAAGACATGGTAATTGCCACTTCGACTGAGCTCTACCTTGTTGGTACAGGCTCGGACAGCAAAATTGGATCCATCTCAATTGACGCCACTGCAGCAGCTGTCAGCAACCATGGCTACGTTGCGATTGGTGATGAAGCAGGCAATGTCAAACTCTACACACTTGATGGACAAGCCTTCAAGCTTGTACAAGACCTGCAAGCCTGCTGTCGTGCAAGCATCACAACAATGACATGGACGCCATCAGCTGATAAAGTGATTGTCGGTGATGCAGCGGGTAAGATTCTTGTATTGGATGGCACGTCTGGTGCTGTGCTGACATCACGCTGGTCGAACCACACAGCGCGTATTCAAGCGCTTTCAGTCTCAAAGGATGGCAAGAAGGTCGTTTCTGCGTCACTCGATGCAAGTCTCTTTGTTTGGTCCCTTGAAAACTTTGTCAAGAAGAAGCAGATTCGTCATGCGCATCAAGGTGGCGCGACGGGATGTGTATTCAAAGACGATGCAGGCACAATAGTCGTCAGTGTCGGTGCAGATGGCGCCATCAAACAATGGCCAGACATGACTTTCTGAATAAATGGGGGAGATGCTATGCTAAATACGAAGATGACGATGTTGATCATGGATCAAAATTTGCCACGCCGACGACGCGTCTGTACGATCCGCTCCTGTTGGCGAATCTTGCGCTTCTGCAAGGTATCATCCATATCCTCAAACTTTGTTGGTTGTTTTGGTTTTGCTGCTTCCTGATCGCGTGCTTTTTGTGCAGCAGCTTCTGCTTTGTCGTTGATGCTCATTTTCAGATCCTTGACGCCTTGTACAGTTTCATTGAAGTTCTTCCAGAATCCACCCTCAAGCCGTTTTGCTGCACCCGCGATACCGGGCGCTGCAGGGGTCGATGGAGCCGATGCAACATCAGTCTTGAGGACTTTTGCAGGAAGTGGAGGAAGATTGAGCTTGCTTCGAATGCCCTCATTCCTAAAGGCAAATCCTTGGCAAAGAGAAAAGACCGAGTTGGTAAACCAGTAACCAAAGATGGCAGCGGGAAAATTCCATGTGAAGAGCGGCATAAGCATCATCATACCACGGAATAAGGTCTTGATAATCGGATTCATCTGTGTGCCTTGCGACGAACCAACTTCAGCACCAATCTCGAAATTGATGAGCGTCAATGCGGCCGTTGCAACAGGCAGAATGTGTGTCGGATCGGCGGCCGTCAAATCCTGGAACCAAAAGAGACCGCCAACCTCCATACCGGGCACAGGTAAGGCAACCATCTTGTTGAGTGCCATGTAAAAGAAAATAAAGACGGGCATCTGTACAAAAACAGGAATGATGGCCATCAATGGGTTGACGCCGTGCTCTTTGAACAAGTTTTGTACAGTCATTTGAGCGCGTGCAGCCTCCATCTTGTCGCCTTCTTTGGTGGCTTTTGTCAATTTGGCCATCTCTTCCTTGACTTGAGGATTGATGAGTGCAAGCTTGGATGTATTGCGAATAGACCGCAAGAGAAGCGGAAACAAGCTGATGCGAATCATCAAGGTTGCTGCAGCAATACTCGCAACCCATGCAAATCCTGTGCTAACATGCACAAACTCTAGCAACTGCTGCAAGATGCCCGGTGCTGTGTACCACTTGGCCAAGCCCAGCTCTTGTAATGTGCCAATCGAGTGAAGCGCTTGCTGAGCAGCTTCAGTAGTAAATGGCGGCGGCTGTGCAAGCAAGTCTTCAGGAATATTGGCTAGCGGTGTCGTTGCGTCGGGCCCATTAGGCAGTATTGTGTGCGCATCCGGCGCAACTGCTGGCTTTGTACTGTTATGCCGTACAAAGGGCGAACAGGCCGGCATGAAGGACCGCACGAGCACGGTACGATGCGCATATTGGTGTATTGAACGTAGAGAATCGGGCCTCGGTGCCGGGCCTCTACGATTTGCCTGATGCCTGGTGTTAGAGATAGTCTAGTGGAGATGGTCATACAGCGAAGCGGCCAACCTCCGTCCCAGCATGGATGTTCCTGATGAGAGTCAAATTTGAGAGGTTGAAACCTGAAAGTGAGCTGCAGCTGGGTGTTGCACCTAAACCCAAATCTCACAGCGACATTGCAGCAGCAGTCCAGCAGCAGGCCTTGGACAGATGAGATCATGCTGAAGGTATTGTTAGAGGCACAGCTGCCTCAGGGCATAGAAGTAGCGTTCCACTATCTCAAAGGTGCCCTGCCGCCGAGGACGCCGTCCAAGAAAAAGCTCAAGCAGCCACTGCCCGAGACGCAGTTCCTGACGGTCTACGAGGCTGACTTACTCATCCTGGCACTTGAGGTGCTCGTCTATAAAGCTGAAAACCTGACAACAGTCTATATTTCCAAAGCAGACTCGACTGGCTGCCACTCGAAGGGAGTGTCTTTGTCGACACTCGCTCTATGCTTTCTGAAACAGCTTCTCGCTCAACAGATTGGCAAGGTCAGGCTGGTCCTGTTTGCACGCTCGCAACCGCAATACTTGTTTCCTGGCTCTTCAGAAAATGAGGGCAAGCATCTCCTCGGAGATCGAGAGCTAGTGCACTGGTGGGTTGGCATCCTAGAGCGATTGCGAGGCATCTCAAAAGACGCAACTGCTTGCATCATTGTGCCTGGTTCAGACGACCAAGAAGTCGAGCGGACGTACTTGGCAGGGTACAAGGCCGGTTGGCGTGTTGGCTTCACAGATTCTCCACAGGCCCTCGCCAAGGATGTGCTCTTACGCTTCCCTGACGATCCCAAGGCGCGCTTCCTAGATCAGCTATCGCTGGACAAGGCAATTGACACCACCTCCCTTGCTCAATTCTGGGAGCTCATGGCTTACCGACAGGAAATGTCATCCGGACGTTCCGTCGCGTTCCTGCAACTGGATACCGTTTCAGAGTACCCTGCAGATACAAATGTGCCATCATGGGATTTTCTCGATTTGTCAGACAAAAAGTTGGCGATGCTCCGGGATGAGCTTGGCGCCCAAACATTCACGAGCAGAGAAGAGACTTTGTTGGCATCGGAGCGGTGGTTGAGATTGGTTCCTGCGTCAACTGATGGCGATGCGAAGCCTGTCTGCGTTTTTGGACGCGCTACGCTCAAGACTGTAGCGAAAGCTGATGGCAAGACTATCAATGCTTCAAAGACGTCTGAGATGCACAAAAGGCCAGCGTCAGACACCCAGCCTAATATTCTTGTGCCACGAAAGAGACAACGCCCAAAGCCTTGAGTTGATCTTGACTCGAGCTTTCTTCCGGCAAGATCAGTTACTTTTCAAGCTCAACATCGTCAGGCTTGATCTTGGGCTGTGCATCAAATGGGCCAGAAACGCTGTTGATACTGCTTCGAGATTCGGTCCACATGCGGCCTAACATCGCATATGTGCTGAAGGCCGTCAGAATTTCAAATTCGTCAAAATTCACCGCTTCGGAGTCATCTGGCTTATATTTTTGCTATTCTACAAGTTGGTTGATCTATGGGTTGCTAAGGACAATGTGGCGCAAGTATATGTCAGTGGCGGACATAGTGCTTTCACAACTTCGATACTTATGGAAGCATGGCTCATATGCATAGTCACATCCCCAGCAGGCGAATGGCCGGAGATACCAACAAACAACAAATGCGTTGAATTGTACCTAAGGCTCATTCAATGAGATGGAGAATGAGAGAACATCTTGCAGTTCCACCATCGTGCCGTTCATGCAGTATTGTGCCTTGCAGCGACGCCGCCTGCGACGGTCAAGGAAGCTTGCATAGACAGCTACGTTGTTTAAGGGCGTTGTGGCCCGCAAGGGTCGAGGCTACATCGGTTGGTCGTCCCTGAAACTCTTCGCTTGGATCCTCGTGCCGCTGGCCCGCTTCTCTCCCTTCAGATGCTAAACAGGGGTCATAAAGTGAAGCAACCAATCCTTGCAGGCCGTCCTGCAGACCATGAGCACAAATTGAGCACAAACGAAAGTGGCCTTGCGCCAGCCTATCAGGTACAATCTCTGCATGTGCAATTGAATTGCGAAGTCACTCTGGTACACTCCCAGCAGACGAAAATGCGATCGCCCCTCGAAACGCAAAGCAAGCAGAAGTTGGCACGCTGGCAAATTCGCTTTTGTCCAAGTATAAGACGTAGCACAGCAGATGTTCTTCTATCGAAATGGCACTCTTTGCTGGCAGCGCAAACGGATCAACGACGTCTGCAAGCTTTTGCTTTGCATGTTGATGCTGGCATGTTTGACGTTCAGTGTTTTGAGCCTGCAGCAGCTGAAACAGCGATTCGCTGCTTCATCCATGACGGCACTAATCTCTGGATCCAAGTTGCAGTCGCAGTCGCAGCTGGAGAGGGAGTCGGCTTCTGAATTTCAAGAAATTACTTTCGAAGCAGCGAAGGGCGAGTTTCCAACTGAGGCCTGGGATTCAATCATGGAAGTTCATCATCTTATCAACCAGTCTTCATCGGCATCGGTTCGTTACGGGAAACACAGTAGCAATCCCATCTTGCCTGTGATACGAAAGCGAGAGACCCATGTGCCAGATATGTCTTGTGCTGAAGGTATCTTCGGTGGTGCCTGGTGTGCTCGACTTGTCAATCCCGCGTTCCCTGGGATCCGGCCCGATCGACGTGAATATATTGTCTTGTGCGGAGCCGTTGGTTCTAATAGATTTTGCGAAGCTGACCAAGTCTGTGTCACTATAGACGCTGCCGATGGCCATCCGCGTCATCAAACAACAGTAGTGTGCGAGGACATTCCAGAGATCGATGATGTTGGCAGTGACGAAGATGTGACAGTTTACACCGGGAGAACTCATACCAAGGCGAGCGCTCGTCAGATCGCAGGCACAAGTACGACGAAGGCGTCTATCAAATCCAACAAAGGACAAAATGGTCGACACAGGGCGGTAGCTATTACCGCTTTCATTTTGAGTAAGGTTTTCCGTCTCTCGTGTCTCTCATACTGATACATCAGCCGCTAACAAGCCTTTCGAAGCAAGCCAGCCTCGATGGCTTGTGCAGCCCAAACTTCAGTCAATCACATGCGCGCTCGAGAAAACAGGAGAGAAGCTTTGCGAGACGGATGTGAGCAGCTCATCTAAGAATCCTTACACCTGCGAGTCCACCAACATTCACATTATTGAGGAAACCGCACAAATTGACTGCTCGTTCAAGCTCGCCGCTACCCAAGTTGCTCTCTTCGTCTACGTTGTGGTCTGGCGCGACTCGATTGCAAAGAGCATCGTTGGCTAAGAATCATGCATCCTTTGCGATTTGATCAAGTGCTCCATTTGCAAAAACACTGCTTCGCGCTACTCCTCATCGCTCTCCAGACTTCTGTGAGCGCCTAAGCCATACCTTTCCTAATCTTTTACACTCTGAACAGCTTAGAATTGTCCCAAGGATATTGTAGCGCATTTGTGTGTTACCATTCACTGAGTGCACTTTCTATAGCATTACTACCAGTTCTTTCCTAGCGCGAGCACTGCACACGCACGCTCAAGATTCTGTAGCTGAGAGTCTTCCCACCAGGACCTACACGGCTGACGGTTCTGGCCACAACGGCCAAATACGTATGGTTCCAGGAGAAGTCTCGCAAACTCGAATCTAGTGGCAAATGAACACATGCTAACGGCCAACTGAAGGGGCTATTTCTGTAATGGAGGGCGAACAGGACAGGACGAATGCTTGTGCTGAAGACAGGACTTGGACGAGATGTAGGTGACAAGAATAGAAATTGTAAACTAAGGAACAAGACAGCGGAAGGCTGCCTACTTATGTCTACCAGGTACCAGCATGAGAGCGGATTGCGATGATTGCGATGGAGCCCACGGGAGCCGATTCTCAGCAACAGTGAAAGAAGAGGGGAAGTGAGATTGCATGGGCCCAGTGGATATGTCCGAGCTGCAAGATAAGGACGAGGCAGAACAAGGGACGACGTGGTGGACGTCGTCGACGAGTAAGAGAGCGAGTAACAACAACGTGATCGTTAACAGAGACGAGGACGCTAGGCACGGGACGATAGGCAACGTGCTGAGGTGATAAGCGTCGTAGAAGGGCAGAAGGTAGAAGAGCCGCGATGAGTTGCTAGAGCATGGGGTGCGGGAAGGTCGGATGCGAGGTTTAAAGCAGCGTGTTGGTTACAATTTCGTTGGAAAGACTATTGAAGACTGTTAGATAAGAATTTTATAAATGAGCTTCGAGATTCTGCGGGATTCGAAGTTGGGTCCAGGAGGTGTCTCCTGACGAGCACTGACTCCTAATGAGGCCTTGGGTTCGGGGTTTCAAGAGCTGCAGCGGTGTCCTCTAGGGACTAGTCACATTTGGCTCAACGGGAATGCGATCAAAGACAACTCCTGACTTCTAATTCCTGTTGAGCAAGGCGTGAGACGTTACCCCTCTCGGAATGAGCCGACGCAGACACACTATATAACAGGCCATCTGCTCTCTCTGATCTAGTAACTCATTTGGTGTTTCACTCCAGTGCTTGTTCGTTCACTCAGATAAATAACAGATTAACAGTCCCGTAACAGTTCCCGTTAACAGTCCCGTTGTTTATCTGAGTGAACGAACAAGCACTGGAGTGAAACACCAAATGAGTTACTAGATCAGAGAGAGCAGATGGCCTGTTATATAGTGTGTCTGCGTCGGCTCATTCCGAGAGGGGTAACGTCTCACGCCTTGCTCAACAATTCCTGCCAAAGTCAAGAAGTGATATGTTAGATGTCTTAGAAACCGTTATTATACTTCTTTAGGAGAGATCTAGAGCAAATCATCCCTCTGCGCTCACATATACTCTTTAACACTCAATTGTCCTGTACACTGATCTCATTTGGTAATTCTCACTCAAGCCCCGGTCACAGACCACGTCACGAGATGTAAGCCAACACAAGTACACACTCCACTTTGTTGGAAATCATCAGGTCCGAGAAGTCGTAGTAGCTCTTGAAGACCAATGAGCCAATTGTAGTGCAAAACTGCAGTATCCTTTTGCTTCCAGGAGCCTCGGTCATGGCATGTCTCCGTACAGCAAGTTCTGCTTTTAATCGTTCAATAAATCCATCACCCTACAAGAGCTTTTTCTCTGGGGAGCGAGTGCGCGTGAATTTGCAGGGACATGCGGGAATTTGTGGGACTGGGCGAGCACAGAATTATGGGGCCAAGCCCATGACCGGGCCTGAGCGTGAAGATGTGATAACGATTGCAAACGATGACTAGGCACAGCAAGGAGTCAGAGTAGTGTTTCTTCGAGATCAAAATTGGACTGAAACGCTGTCTCGTGCAGCAAAGCTTGACTGGGTGATGTATCGCTTGGGAACTCCATGACATCAGACTGCTAGACCACGGCGCGAAGCTTGACGATAAAAAGAATGATCGCACCGCTGCGATGTAGACTTACCACTTGTGTTGCCGACCGAAAAGTCGTCAGTATGTCAAGCAAATGCAGACAGACCTCGCAAGCCCAGCGCAAACCTTAGTCCTGTCGCCGCTGACAGCATATGCGATCCGACCGCAACCAGTGTCGACATGCATCGACCCGATTAGAACCGCGATGCTCGCAAGGGTTATCAGCTCTTCATATCCTTGGTGCTGAATACTCGTGCACTAGCCTCGCACCGGGACGTTGTGCGCCGCTCGCGTGTTGCTCGCTTCGATGTGTGTTCTTGCAGTAACCACATCTCTCTCATCACTAAAGCGCCTGTCGAAGCAAGCCAGCATCGATGGCTTGTGCAGCCCAAACTTCAGTCAATCACATGCGCAGTCGAAAAGAAAGGAGAGAAGCTTTGTGAGACGGATATAAGCAGCACATCCATGAATCCTTACACCTGTGAGTTCACCAAGTTTCACAATATTGAAGAAACCTCACCAACTCACTGCTCGTTTGAGCTTGCAGCTACACAAATCACTCTCTCTGTCTACGTTGTCATCTGGCGCGACTCGATTGTAAAGGGCATCGTTTTCTAAAATTCATGCGCCCTTTGCGATCTGCAGCTGATCAAGTGCTGTAGTCATAAAATCACTGCTTCAGACTTGCCGTCGCTCTGCCAACTTTTCCGAGCGCCTGAGATATACACCTCCCAGCCATTTTCGAAACTTTGAGCAGCATAGGACTATCCCAAGAATGGTGTAACGTACCGACATGTTGCCATACACTATTTCCTACATTACCCTCACCATCTCATTCGCTATACGAACACACTCTTGCAAACGCACATTCCTGCAGCCGAGAGTCATCCGACACAGCTTCCCATTCTAGCCAAATTAGCCAAATACGAACAAGACCAAGGGGTAAGAACTAATTTTGCCTCCCAAGCGACAAACAAGCAGGCTATTGGCCAATAAGATTGGGCTCTTTGATGAAGGACAAGTGAAACTTGACGATGGAGATACATTGAAGACCAATCCTGTTGCGGGCAAAATGTGATGGGCCAATTCGCGCTGTAGACCCCGTCGGAAGAGAAGCAAGCAAAAGATGCCACGTCAAACCAATGCCGTGTCCTGTTCGATACCCAGACATCACAACGAAATGAAGGCCATTCGAGTTGGAAGCCAGTTGCCCATGTTCATCGGCTACAAGGTCATCTGTAAGCTTTTGTTTTGCATGCTGGTATGCATTGCCTTTGGCACTCTGTATTTGGAACTCGGGCAGCGTTATGCAACTTCGTCCACGGTAGAAACACCATTTGCAACAAGTTCACAGTTGTACTCCCATCAAGTGCCTCCCTCCACCTTTCAGGAACTGTCGATCAAAGAAGCGATGGAGCTTCTACCGCCTGATGCATTGAATGCCGTTGTTCAAGCTTTTGGACCAGCCAACGACTCTTCGTTCTTTCCGATGCGAGCATTCAACCACAGCAACGATGTTCATTTGCCTGTTCTGCAAAAGCGAAATCTGAGAATTCCTGATTTCCAGTGTTGGGAACATGATCCGCCATTGCAAGTCAGTCGTGCGTGGTGCGTTCCCGTCCGGCCGCGAGATTACATTTTAGAGTGCGTTGGGGATGGGGTGGGGATACGCCGTGACTCATGCTTCCAAGGCGAAGTATGCATCGAGAACCACGACCCGGACATGGAGAATAATCAGGGGATCGCATGTCTGTCGAATTCTGGCGAAGTGGAAGACGCGAGAGATGATGAAGATATCACCGCAAAACACTCCACTACGCATTACATGAAGCACCAGCAACGTGTCGAGGGATCAAGTACGCAAAGTGTGAGTATAAGGACAAAAGGCAGGAAATCATCAGCTCCGAGCCGAACGCGACATGCAGTCTTGACTGCTTTCCTTACGAGTAAGTGATCATGCATGTGATCAACCCGTCACTTTGTTTCGTACAGCTAACGAAGCAGCCTATCACAAACCTGTCGAAGTCTCCCAGCAGCAGTGGCTTGTGTTGCCTGGAGTGCAGCCGATCACATGCAAACTCGAGGAGACTGGCGAAAAGCTTTGCGAAACAGATTTGAGCAGCACATCCAAGGATAAGTTTCATTGTACGTCCACCAAGTTGCACGACATCGAGCCAAATTCGTTGATTGGCTGCACTTTTGAACTTGCAGCCACTCAGATTGCCATCTTTGTTTCCGTCCTTGTTTGGCGTGACCCAGTTTCGAAGACATTGGTAGGATGATGATAGCAACTCTGGCCAAGTCTGGCGCCTTATCAGGGTTGCCACGAGAGTCCAAGAAGCCCAACAGCTAGTAGCTTTAGTAGCTGAGCAAGTAAGCCATGCAATTGACGAGCTGTCCACCTGTGCATAAGTATGGGCCTTGGCCGATGTGAATTTGCGACGTTGCCATATCCTTGTGCGCAGATTACGGCAACCTCTATAAGGCTTCACTGGTGCCTGACCAGACTACGCTGGTATTGTGGAAGACTGCTCAGTGCTTTGGAACCACATTGCTCTCTGACATCCCGGCCGCGGACAGAACAGCTTTCCTCTCGCTGATAATTCTGGCATAAACAAGCTTGAGTGATCTTACTTGATCGGCGAGATGCAGCCTAGCACTGGCCTTTGAATCCGTGAACGCTAAGGATGTCCTTAATCATTTTCTCCGAGTCCTGCCTAGGGAGAATTTCTCTCATTGTGTATCTCTGACCAAAGATGCTCAAGACAGACCTGATCCATAAGGAAGCAACACTTTGCCAATAGCTCTTGCGAGACCACCTTGACTCCTCTATCGATACCCAACACCAGAGATGGCATCGTGATGGCTCCATGCAGCCAGTAGAGAGGGCCAAACTACACTCCTCGCTGATGGCGACTACTATTTTGGCTTGGAAGGCGGTAGTTGACCGTATGTATCGACGACATCCGGCCCTACGGAAAATTTACCGGAGTGTACCAGAGCCAACCGGCGGATTACCGTGAGAAACTTTTCAAGCACAGCGGATTACCGGAGCCAACCGACTTCCAAACTTGCACACCGGAGGAAAACCAGCGGATATGAAGAGGCGGATCACTGAGCCACGCTAAAAGGCAGACAACACACAAGTCAATCACTGTTATCAAGTGATCAGAGGCCAACATCCGCTCATAATCAAATCTAGAAGCTATTTATACTGGATTCGATAGCCCTCAGCTACCCATAAAGAATGCTTCTGCTCTCGTAAGCGCCGTTCTCGCTTAAGCAGCTTGCCTGCTGCTCTTTTCTTGTCGAGCCCTGTTCTCTCAAATTGGCCAGTTCATTCAAGAGGACGCCAAACTGGCACAATGACCTGCAATATGTGTCCTTGCTTGTTGAGAGACTTTGCGCCGCATGACGATATGGTCTTCAACACCTTGATAAGACCTTGATGATCGCAAAATGCCTGCCGTCATGTTCAAAGAGACAGAGCAATTCTCTATAGCTCAATATTGCATTGTCGTGAACCTCAGACGCTTCATACGTCTGCCCACTGAATGCGGCCTTCGTTCGTGAACGGAGGCCACTCGCAGCACACTTCACAACGAAGATCTTTGTGGTGCCTTGACGACTAGCCACTTCGCATCTTAGTCACGATCACAGATTGGCGTTTGTAGGCTCAAAATTGGAAGAGTGTAGCGCTAGCGAATCTTGAGAATCGTCGACTTTGGCGTTTTGCTTCATTCTTGTCTTATCACTTCAGGACGAGATGGGATGACCAGCACACGCATCTGCCCTGCACCGTCTTGCTGCTTGTAGACAACACCTCACTGTCCTTGAGCTTACACATCCGAGCCTGTGGCATCTGAAGGTGCTCGATCACTTTTCTGAGTCTTCTCAAGACAGGTTATTCACTACTAGCGTGAGCAGCGCACGCTGCAAGCTCAATACCTCTGACTGACCTAGATAGGAAGAGGAGTTTTTCACAGACAGTCTGGACGACTACAACAGGCTCGCAGGATCTCTTGCGCGTATCGATATACCATCAAGATCCAAGCGCACGTCGCATGGCGTCTCTAGAACCGATAGTCCCTCTACAAAGACACTACGACTCGCCATGGGACTCTGGCCACGAACGCCATTGCGCGACGCTACCTGGAACAACATCACGGCACATGCACGGTACCTGATAGACACTCACCAGATCGTAGTCGATGCGCAAGGTAGGACGGTCACTTGGCGCCACCGCAACGTCGGGAAGCTTCAGACAGTCATCCACAAGTTGGAAAAGGCCTTCCCTGTCCTGGAACGAGCTCATGGACATTGGATTGCCTTGACCATCTGTCAGCACCACGCGAAGGTGGTCAATGAAGCGGTGAGAGTGTCCCTGTACCTTGCAAGCTCTTGACTGACGCACCCACAGACGCGCAAAGCGAAAGTCTACAGAGAGAAGACTACTGCTGCTGCTCCCCAAGACGATGACCTCAGCAACGCGCACGACGTTGTCCATGGAGCGTCATCTGCTCGCGTCGATGACGAGAACACTCGCTGCGAGACACCCGCTTCCGTCCTCTCTGAAGACGATGATATTGACGAGGCTGCATCGAGAGTTGTGGGTTTCTCCTTTTGCCTGATGTACCTCACTAACATATTCAGTTGCAGCCAACTTCGTCTCAGCACAATGTGAGCCTATCATGGGGAGAAAACATTGGCTAACAAGATGTAGCGTCAAGCAAACAAGAATGTGCATGTTTCCAAGGCAAGTCCGTCCCATCTTTGATGTTATAAGACTGACCAGTGGCCAGAAGTCAAGCAAAGATCGATCCACCTCCTCGTCTCGCAAGGTATACACTTCTGCTATTCCTACCATGACATACTAACGATGCATTTCTAGTCCGGAAGAACATCAAAGCTATCACGCAGAGCACAGGACGCTGAGCAAGGCAGCGCTACTATGACCAAGGCCAAGACTGCAGCATCACAAGCAAAAAAGGCGCGCAAGTCTGCCAAGAAGGCCAAGAAAGCGGCAGCACGTCTGTAGTGTGTCGTAGATGGTCTAGTTGCTACACCTACTGTCGCTAGAGCATCTATTGAGCTCACCCGTTGGCAGGTGGTATCCTCTGGTAATCCTCCGGTTGACTCTGGTAAAGGCGTGCTTATTTCCGCCGGTAGTCTGCCGGTAGTCTGCCGGTAGTCTGCTGGTATTACTGCGCCTGCGAAGTTAGGGATTTTCCGCCGGTATTCCGCCGGTATTCTTCTGGTAATTTCCGCCGGTAATCTGCCGGTCCGAATTTTCCGTAGGGCATCTGAGGCATTCGAGTATCGACCAGCCTGCAACCGCCCTACGGAAAATTTGGACCGGCAGATTACCGGCGGAAATTACCAGAGTAATACCGGCGGAATACCGGCGGAAAATTCCTAACTCTGCAGGCGCAGTAATACCAGCAGACTACCGGCGGAAATAAGCACGCCTTTACCAGAGCCAACCGGAGGATTACCAGAGGATACCACCTGCCAACGGGGAGCTCAATAGATGCTGTAGCGACAGTAGGTGTAGCAACTAGACCATCTACGACACACTACAGACGTGCTGCCGCTTTCTTGGCCTTCTTGGCAGACTTGTGCGCCGTTTTTGCTTGTGATGCTGCAGTCTTGGCCTTGGTCATAGTAGCGCTGCCTTGCTCAGCGTCCTGTGCTCTGCGTGATAGCTTTGATGTTCTTCCGGACTAGAAATGCATCGTTAGTATGTCATGGTAGGAATAGCAGAAGTGTATACCTTGCGAGACGAGGAGGTGGATCGATCTTTGCTTGACTTCTGGCCACTGGTCAGTCTTATAACATCAAAGATGGGACGGACTTGCCTTGGAAACATGCACATTCTTGTTTGCTTGACGCTACATCTTGTTAGCCAATGTTTTCTCCCCATGATAGGCTCACATTGTGCTGAGACGAAGTTGGCTGCAACTGAATATGTTAGTGAGGTACATCAGGCAAAAGGAGAAACCCACAACTCTCGATGCAGCCTCGTCAATATCATCGTCTTCAGAGAGGACGGAAGCGGGTGTCTCGCAGCGAGTGTTCTCGTCATCGACGCGAGCAGATGACGCTCCATGGACAACGTCGTGCGCGTTGCTGAGGTCATCGTCTTGGGGAGCAGCAGCAGTAGTCTTCTCTCTGTAGACTTTCGCTTTGCGCGTCTGTGGGTGCGTCAGTCAAGAGCTTGCAAGGTACAGGGACACTCTCACCGCTTCATTGACCACCTTCGCGTGGTGCTGACAGATGGTCAAGGCAATCCAATGTCCATGAGCTCGTTCCAGGACAGGGAAGGCCTTTTCCAACTTGTGGATGACTGTCTGAAGCTTCCCGACGTTGCGGTGGCGCCAAGTGACCGTCCTACCTTGCGCATCGACTACGATCTGGTGGGTGTTCATCAGGTACCGTGTGTGTGCCGTGATCTGGTTCCAGGTAGCGTCGCGCAATGGCGTTCGTGGCCAGAGTCCCATGGCGAGTCGTAGTGTCTTTGTAGAAGGACTATCAGTTCTGGAGACGCCATGCGACATGCGCTTGGATCTTAATGGTATATCGATTCGCTCAATTGATCCTGCGAGCCTGTTGTAGTCGTCCAGACTGTCTGTGGGAGACTCCTCTTCCTATCTAGGTCAGTCGAAGGTATCGAGCTTGTGGCGTGCACTGCTCACGCGAGTAGAGGAGGACATGTCTTGATAGAGTGATGGAGCAGTCTGAGATCCTACAGGCTCGAGCGTGTGTCAGCTCAAGGACAGTGAGGTGTTGTCTACAAGCAGCAAGACGGTGCAGAGCAGATGCGTGTGCTGGTTATCCCATCTCGTCCTGAAGTGACAAGACAAGAGTGAAGCAAAACGCCAAAGTCGACGATTCTCAAGATTCGCTAGCGCTACACTCTTCCAGTTCTCAGCCTACAAACGCCAAGGTGTGAGCGTGGCCAAGGTGTCAAGTGGCCAGTCGACAGAGCACCACAAAGATCTTCGTTGTGAAGTGTGCTGCGAATGACCTCCATTCACGAAGCGAGGTCGCGTTCAGTGAGCCGACGCATGAAGCCCCTGAGGTTGACGACAATGACATAGTGAGCTATGGGGAAGTTCTCTATCTGTTTGAACACGATAGCAGGCATTTTGCGATCATCAAGGTCTTGAAGACCAAGTTGTCCTGCGGCGCAAAGTCTCTCAGCAAGCAAGGACATATATTGCAGGTCATTGTACCAGTTTGCCGTCTTCTTGGACCAATTGGCCTATTTGGGAGAACAGAGCTTGACAAGAAAAGAGCGGGCAAGCTGCTTAAGCGAAAACGACGCTTACGAGAGCAGAAGCACTCTTTATGGATAGCTAAGGGCTATCGAATCCAGTATAAATAGCTTTCTAGATTTGATTATGAGCGGATGTTGGCCTCTGATCACTTGATAACAGTGATTGACTTGTGTGTTGTCTGCCTTTTAGCGTGGCTCAGTGATCCGCCTCTTCATATCCGCTGGTTTTCCTCCGGTGTGCAAGTTTGGAAGTCGGTTGGCTCCGGTAATCCGCCGTGCTCGGAAAATTTCTCACGGTAATCCGCCAGTTGGCTCTGGTACACTCCGGTAAATTTTCCGTAGGGCAGACAGACATCCACACTCTCAAGCATGTCTCTGATCGCAGCTCAATATAACAGAGCTCGTCTGCCACCCTAGTTGAGGCTAGAGATCGAGTCTAGTGTTCTAAAGCTTCGTGGAGCACTTCTTTTGCGTATAGACGCTTGGAGCCTGAGTCAGTCGCGCTCTTAAGCTTCAAAGACAACACAGTCGTCGTATGCCAAGAAGTCTTCCTGAGCTCTGAATACAAACACAATCGTCTGCTTCTCAAGCTCGAGCGCTCAAGATCAGCAAGAGTGTCAAGTGAGCCAACCAGACATGAGTGCACAGGCAGTCCCGACTGATGCAGCGCTAGCGTTGGTTGCATCGCTACAGACGCGCAAGCAAGGGTTGGCTGATCGACTGCATACAAGTCTGTTGTCTGTCCTTCGTACGATTGCAGCTGGACACGTCCCTTCAATCACGTTGACAAGGGCTTCCAAGGAAGAGACATACTTTGATCACGCCACCCAGTCTATCCGACTTCGTACGGAGCGCCAGCAACGCGTCCTTACATTTGGCAAAAAAGAGACATTCAATACGAGCTCTCAAGCAAGACGCGTCTGACAAGTCTAGCACAGGTGATCTGTCTACTGGTGAGCATCTACGAAGGACTCGTACGCGATGTCAAAAGTACAAAGCGTGACCTGTACTACAGGAACGTGGCGCTCTTCAAGTCACAAAGCGTTGTGGATCGTCTCCTGAGCCAGCTTGAATTGACGTATGAGTAACGACTGCTCACTTGGCTCTTGTCTCAGTCAGTTCGTAACATCAAGCACCAGTACACTAACAGCACTACTGGAGCATTTGCAGAGTTCTCTACCTCTAGCAAGAATGAACGGCAGCTTTGAGTACATTGGCAAAGTTGCATGCCTCTTGCGTCTCAGAGTTGCGACAAGTGAGATGAAGCAGGCCCGGCTCTCGTCCGCAAGCTCGTAACACTCGAACGGTGCACAGTGCCAGGCTTGTGCACGTCTATCGAGCAACAAGGACATGAAGAGCTGGGTGCCCTTGCCAGCATCACGGCTCAACCGGGATGATGCATGTCGACAATGGTTGCAACCACATGGCACATGCCGACAGCCGCTACAGCACTGAGTTGGTGCTTGACTTGCGTGGTCTGTCTGCCTCTTCTTCGCATACTGACTGCTCGTCGGTCGGTACTGCAAGTCGTGAGTCTACAATCCAGCGACATGACGCCAAGAAACTGCAAGTCGCTATACGTGATGACGCCCATCAACCTATGCAACGGTAATCTACTGACAATAGGAATCGAGGTACAATAAGCGCCTGTCAGAGGCTGAGCAGCAAGAGACGGACGGCGAGAGTGACATGCAGCCCCAGCAAGCACGATGCAAAGCACAAAACACTGCGCCACGCCACAAGCAAGACGATGACACGCAGGCATAACAAGCATGTCGCGAGGCACAAAACACAGCGTCAACCGAGAAACAAGACGTCGACAGCGATTTGCTACTTTCACAACCAGGTCACACGAGTCACTTCTTCTGCTATCACTTTTATTGCAATATACAAACTGCTACAGGTCAAACACAACCGACCAACGTCGACAAAGGTTCAGTTGCTTCAGGCTGCTGTGAATGCCCTTGCCGGCGAGGTGAAACAAGCATGATCGCGTTGCAAGCGTGTAAGATTCTTCGCACAACAGTTGGAGGGAAGGCCCATTAAGTCTTCCTTGCTCTCGAGCTATTCCTGATTAATTCAGAGCCCCGTTTCGCCACCTGCAGCCCACTACGTGCTCGTCACCTGCAAAAGCCCCTTGCCACTCGATCACCCTACGGGAAATTTCCTCGGCTGGTTAGTCGATGATCAACGGAAGACTGACGTGGTGGCATACGCGGTGATGGACTCGTAGTAAACTGATGATCGACGAGTGACAACCGGCGATCGCTGGTGACGAATTTGCAGCGAGCTGCAGGTGGCGAGTCAGGGTTTTGCATGGATTAGGGATAGCTCTAGAACAAGGAAAGCTTATTACGTCTACCTTACAACTGTCGTGAAAGGTGCCTTGCACGCTTGCTACGGTCCCGCGCTGGTTCCACCTCGCTGGCGGTGAAGGCGCGGAGTTTCCTATTATTCGCTGCAGCCTGGAGAAGCTGAGCTTTCGCTGTCATCGGCCGGTCGCGTTTGCCCTGTAGTAGTCAGTATGAATCAAGACCAGCGAAGAATGAGTGTACCGTACGACGTGGTCGTGGAGCTTCTGCATCGCTGTCACCGTCTTTGTCATGGCGTGACGCGATGTTCCGTGTAGTCCGCGGTCCTTGACGTGCCTGTATGTCCTCGTCTTCCTCACGGCCTGGCGCAATGTGTCGTAAGGTGCGTGGTCCTTGACGTGTCTGCAAGTCATTCTCGTCGTCAGTCTCTTGATGCTCAGCCTCTGCCTGTGCCAAACGCTTGTTGTGCCTCGATTGCTGTTGTCAGTAGGGGACGATGCGTAGATTGTTGGACGTCGTCACGTACGGCGACTTGCAAGTTCTTGGCGCCATGCTGAAAGATGACCATGGAGATCCAATTCGCTTGTGCCCTAGCGGGTGACGAGGAGTCCCGTTGAAGATGACGGACTGACTTCCTCGGCTCGGCATGGTCGCGTTGTTTCCCGCTGACAGGATTGCCTCGCTGATCTATGCAGGGCAGCATTGATCTGACTTTGCTAGGCAGACATACTTGAGAGACAGAATCAAGGTAAATACTGCAGAGATACGCGTCTAGAGTGGAGCACTTGCGTGTCCAGCGACTATGAAGCGTCCTGTAGTCTATAGCTAACTGAGAGAGTTGAAGAGTAGCAAAAGTTTCAAATCTTAAAGTCAACTTCACAACAGTACATCGCACCAGCATTCGACCTTCTGGCTTCTTGAAGTCTTGAGAACAGGACGCTCTCGATGTATAGCAGAGAGCTACCGCATTCAAAACGATGGTCTCATATGCGGGGTATCTTGCTATTCGGATCGAGGACTTTTGCGGTTTGGTACACGTCGTAAAGATTGCTTCAAGTTCAATCATTGAGCATGAAATAGACAAATGCCATCGTATGCATATGTGTCTGCTTGGATGTGCTATCTATATATGTAGCTAGAGTGCAGGCAACAGTTATCACCAGCATCATCTTTTTGTCTTCCGTCGAGCGCCGGTTCTTGACCAGCGTCTAGAAGTGGTTTTCCGGCTTGCTCCAGTATTTACCAGCAATGCCGATTGATCACCTGCGTGTCATCAGCGAGTCAGTAGTGTGCACCTGTATTCATCAGCGATTTCCCGTAGGGTTATCGCCAGTGTGTCACGCATCAATTGAGTCTTGTTTGTCACTAACGACATAGCCAACCATTTGTAGCCCATGTATCTCACCGCCTCAGTATTTCGTATTTCATCGCGTTATCAGCCGCGAAAGGCTTTTCTTGAGACTGCCACCGATGTGTTGTCCATGCAGCAGTGAACATGTGATTCTCGGCGACTGTCACAGAAATTTGCATAAATAGCTGCAACATCCATGCGCAGCGACGCAGTTTTGTCGCGTATGTAGCCATTCGCAAAGGGCGAGGCTACATCGGGCTTCATGATGAAGGAATTAACACTGTCAGGCTGTCCTGCCGATCAAAGTAGAGGAGATATGCTTCGTCCCGTCACGTGCATCAAGGCATTGTGCAAACGATTTGGGACGCCGGAAATCTATCCGGTTTGCATCGCCCTTTGCAATTGACACACTAAACAAGCCAAAAGTCTGGCGTTGGCAGGTTCAAGTCTTGAAATCAACACAGCAGATGTTCTTTGCGCGAGGTGGCGCTCTTCTCCCGCAACGTAAACGCATCAATGACGTCTGCAAACTTATCATTTGCATGCTCATGCTAGGGTACTTGACGTGCATTGCTTGGAATCTGCAGCAGAGAGACCAGCGAATTTTTATTGGGTCCTTGACGGCGCAAATCTCTGGATTCAAGGTGCAGTCGCAGCTGAAAAAGGAGTCGGGTTCTGACTTTCAAAAAATCACTATCAAAGTAGCGATGGCCGAGTTTCCAACTGAGGCATGGGATTCAATCATGGACGTTTTTCAACGAATCAACCAGTCTCCAGTGTCGTCGATTCGTGACAGGACTCACAGTAGCAATGCAAACTTGTCAGTGTTACAGAAACGAGAGACTCGTGTGCCGGAAATACGTTGTCCTGAAGGCACTGAATTCTTCGGAGCTTGGTGTACTCCAGAGGACGATGAACAGCAAGTTCCACCAGATCCGACAGAATATCGTTTTCAGTGTGGTGATAATATCGAACAGGATGTTGAGCTGTGGTCAAATTGCAATGAAGATGAGGTTTGTATCAATTTACCGGCTCTCGACGGGCAGGAGCATACGGTATTGTGTAAGAAAGATGAGGGAGAGGTCATGCATGTCGGCAACGACAGATGTATGACACACTTCCCAAAGGACACCCATTTGATGAAGAAGACCCGTCAGATTGAAGGCACAAGTGAGAAGAGGGTTCCAATCCAATTCGACAGACGGGGAAGAGCAGGTCAGAGAAGGACAGTAGCTCTTATCGCTTTCTTTTTGAGTAAAGTGCTCCACCCATCGTCTTTCTCATACTAACACATCAGCCTATCACGAGCCCTTTGAACAAAGCCAGCATCGATGGCTTGTGCAGCCTAAAATTCAGCCAATTACATGCGCGCTCGAGAAGACAGGAGAGAAGCTTTGCGAGACGGATGTGAGCAGCTCCTCCAAGAATCCTTACACCTGCGAGTCCACCAAATTTCGCAACATTGAGGAAACCGCACCAATTTACTGCTCGTTTGAGCTTGCAGCTACACAAATTGCTCTTTTTGTCTACGTTGTTGTCAGGCGAGACTCGATTGCGAAGAACATGGTTGAATAGACTTCCTACATCCTCTGCTATCTGATCAAATGCTGTGTCCATAAAACTATTGCTTCACTCTTGTCATCGCTTTTCCAACATCTCTGAGCGCCTGAGATACACAGTTCCCGAACGTGTTATGCACGCTGACAGGATCGCGAGATGCTCTTCGCTTGCTGCTCAAGCGTGAAAGCTTCGTCGTTCCTAGCTGCAGACCGACAAGTTTATTGGTCAACCCTTAAAAATGGAGAATTGAGTAAACGCACGGGAATGGGTGGCAAAAGGCATTAACTGCACCACAGGGCTTACAGTGTCTCAATGAGCATGCCCTGGGCTTCATGGCGTAAGGAGAGGGAAGAGAACAGAATCTTGGGAATGAGCGGAAAATGGTGGTGAATCGGCCTCCGCTGTGAGCGTGAATGTTCTTAAAGATCAGGCAACGCGCGTGGGAACGTGTGATGGTGAGCCCTACATTTAGCAGCCCCTTTAAAACAAAGAACAGCGTGAACGCGCAGGATTGAGTGGGTTTAAGGCGATGGCTACACCACCGTATATCTGCGGGCAAGGGCAGAAATTCATAGCGTGAATGAGCGGGAGAAAGTCGGGAACGTGAAAATGAGTGGGGAATGGTGCCAAATTGGACACCTCTGTGTGCGTGACTGATCGTGAACGTCAGGCAATGCGCGTAAAAAGGTATGTCCGTATGAATTTGTTCAAGCACACCGAGACATACAGCGTCAACACTGCCGAAGCTCGCAAGCATGCGAGCGAGTACTGCTCGAAGCTGTTCACAATGAGGAGCCCCCTTAGGAACCATTTCGAACGATCAGATGGTGAAGAGAAGCTGGAGCTATCGCATAAAAGCACACGACCTGACTGCCAGCAATCATAGAGCAGCTGAAGCCTGCTACGCATTCACCTTGAAAGCTGTCATAAGCCGGATGAAGTGTACATCCACTGTGGGAAGAAACTCAAGGCGCATGAATAACGCCACATGATGATGCATGGTCCACGTGAATCGTACAAAAGAAAAGAATGAGAGTGGGTGCGCGTGAATTTGGTCAGACATAAATGAGGCTCGAGATTCTGTGAGATTCGAAGTTGTGTCCAGGAGATGTCTCCTGTTGAGCACTGACTCCTGGAAGCGGCCTTGGTTTCGGTGGGTAAAGAGCTGCAGCGTTGTCCTCTGGCGACTAGTCACTTTTTGCTCCACGGGGATGCGATGTGTTCTATGAGTTGACATCACTCTATTGCTCCTAGAGGAGACATAATCGCTGTAAGATATAGAGAGCTTCGAGATTTTGTGGGATTCAAAGTTGGGTCCAGGAGGTTTCTGCTGATCAGCACTGACTCCTGGAAGAGGTCTCGGATTCGGAATTTGAAGAGCTGCAGCAATGTCCTCTAGGGACTAATCACTTTTGGCTCAGCGGAAATGCGATGTGAACTCCGAAGGGGTCTGCAGCTGACAACCGCGAGCACTCCTTGACACAAAAACCAAGCAGAAAATTTGGCACACTGGCAAGTTCGCTTTTGCTCACATTTGAGACACAACATAGCAGATGATCTTCTCTCGAGGTGGCACTCCTCCCCCGCAGCGCAAACGCGTCAATGACATCTGCAAGCTTTTGCTTTGCATGCTCATGCTGGGATGTTTGACGTTCATTGCTTCATATCTGCAGCAGCGAGACCAGCGACTTGCTTCTTCGTCCTTGACGGCCCAAATCTCTGAATTCAAGGCGCAATCGCAGCTGGAGAAGCAGCCGAATTCTGCCTTACAAGAAATCACTATCGAAGCAGCGAAGACCGAATTCCCAACTGAGGCATGGGATTCAATCATGGACGTTTATCAACGAATCAACCAATCTTCATTGTCGTCGACTCGTGACGGGAACCACAGTAACAACTTCAGCTTGCCAGTGTTACGGAAACGACAGTTTCGTGTGCCGGACATGGAATGTCCTGAACCTGACGATGTCTTCGGTGGTGCTTGGTGCGCTGAATTTGACGAGGACGAACGACACATAGATCCAACACAGTATTTTATTCGATGTGGTGATGAGATCGAGGATGAGCTTGACCGATATTGCGAGGATACTGAACTCTGCATCAATGTAGAAGCTACGGCTGAGGATGGTCACCACACAGTAGTGTGCGTGCAAGACGATGGAGAGGTCACTGATGTCGGCAATGACAAAGATATGACGATTTACAAACAGAAGACCCACCTGATGATGGGGAAACATCAGATTGAAGGCACAAGCAAAAATGATACTTCTTTCCTCTTCAAAGAACATGGACAACAACGTCGATACAGGGCTGTAGCTCTTACCGCTTTCTTCTTGAGTAAGTTGCACCATCACTCGCGTTTCTCATACTAATACATCAGCCTATCACGAGCCTTTTGAACAAAGCCAGCATCGTTGGCTAGTGCAGCCCAAAATTCAGCCAGTCGCATGCGCGCTCGAGAGAACAGGCGAGAAGCTTTGCAAGACGGATATAAGCAGCACATCCAAGAATCCTTACATATGCGAGTCCACCAAGTTTCACAATGTTGAGGAAACCACACCAATTCACTGCTCGTTTGAGCTTGCAGCTACACAAATTGCTCTCTTCGTCTACGTTGTCGTCTGGCGCGACCCGATCGTAAAGAGCATCGTTTTGTAAGATTCATGCATCCTTTGCGATCTGCAGCTGATCAAGTGCCGTAGTCATAAAAATACTGTTTCGCTCTTGCCATTGCTTTGCCAACATCTTTGCGCGCCTGAAACATGCATTTCCTGACCGTGTTATGCATACTGACGAGACCGCGAGATGCTCTTTGCCTGTCGCTCAAGCGTGAGGGCGTCGTCATTCCTAGATACAGACCCACATGATAATTGCCAACCCTTTGAAAAAATGCAATCAAGTGAATGCGCGGAGATGAGTGGTACAGGCGATAAGTCAAGTGCACCACAGTGGTTTTGTGGGAAGGCGCGGGATAATCATAGCGTAAATAAGCGGGACAAAGCCGATGTGGAGATGAGCTGGCATTGGTCGTGAACAGCATAACCCTGTGAGCGTGACTGATCGTGAATATCAGGCAATGCGAGTGAAAAGGTGTTAGCGTGTAGGACTGGTAAGGAAGTCGCCGCAGTAGATTTCTCACTTTGATATCAGGCGATGAGGATCTACCATGGCTTGGCTCTTCACACGGTTAAGGAAGATCAGGAATAGTGTGCAGCAAGGCATTGATACTTGTAGTGCTTGTGATGTTATAGCGGCCGTCGTGCTAGTGCAGGATGTGAATGATGGTAGCAATGGACATCGAGCTGATTTTGAGTGAGAGACACAACAGACGACTCATTGGGGGGCGCAAGAGCAAGAGTAGATTCAGAGTCAGAGGTTGAGGTGGGCGTCAAAGGACGAGACTGAATTGAGGGGCAAGCCATCAAATCACAGTTGCCAGCGCAAGGAAATACCTCAGTGAGGAGGCAAAAGGCGCTTGCTTGACGTGCTGATGAGTATGCAGAGCATGTAAGTACAAGTAGAGAAAGCTTGCGCATGATGAGAGAAGGCATAACAAGAGCCAGGAGAGTGCATCAATGTAGGCAGACTGCTTGACGACACAAAGCGCTTCCAGCAGAGACGCACTTGATCAGTAGATGGCTGCAAGTGTCAGTGAGGCGATTGTGCCAATACGATGCTTGTAGCTATGTGCAGCCTGGTCAGGGCGGTGTTGACTGTGTGCGTTGAGGTTTGGGTTGGAATCCAGAATTCAAGCTCCAGCACATGCAGCAGCAGCTGGCAGCAGCACTAGTTATGTTGGACACTTTGCAGGATTCGCTGCTGATAATGATGGCACATCTGCGTACCTTTGCAAGGATGCATGCTTCTTGCTCCTCAGACTTGCAACGGGTGGGACGATGCAGGCCCGGCTCGCGTCTGCGAGTTCGCAACGCGCGATGGTGCTCAGTTCCACGCTTGTGCACTGCCATTGAGCATCAAGGACATGATGAGCTGATTCTTCTTGCCAGCATCACGAACTCAACCGGGTTCATGCATTCTGCCAACGGTCACAACCAAATGGCCCATGCCGTCAGCGGCTACAGAACCGAGTTTGCGCACGGATTGTGAGGTCTGTCTGTCTTTGCTTCGCATACTGACGACTTGTCGGTCGGCAACACAGGTCGTAAATCTATATCGCCGCGGTGCGATCATTCTGTTCCTCGTCAAGCTTCGCGCCGTGGTGCAGCAGTCTATTGTCACGGAGTTCTCAAGCGATACTTCAGACAAGCACTGGTGCTACAACAAGGTGCACAATTCAAGGAGTCGGGATTCAAGCAGCAGCAAGGGCAATTAGTGGGGACCGACGCTGATTGAGTCAAGCTTACCAGTGCTTGCCACACAGCAGATGTCTCATCAGTGCGTGTTTGGTCATTAGGCATTGTCTACGACATGCGATACAGATTCTTTCAGCTATTTACAAGCCTTGTTCTATGGTCGGCAACCACATTAACAAGTTGGGCTCCAGAATCAACAGTCACCGCCATCTCGAGTTTCATTCGCCCCGGGTCTAGACAGTGTGTCAAGGACCCTAGGGTAATCAAGACTCAAGAACGGAGAAGAAGACGATGCACTCTGACAGCGTTTATCTCTAGATGGAAGCTGTCACGCAGAAGATAGACGCCTTATAGCAGCGAGGCATCAGGGAAATGTGTGAGTTGGCCGCAAAACGTATGCTTGATCGGCTGCAAGTTAGTGTCGACCTCCAGCGAGGTTCGGACGGAATTATCGAGCGATCAAAGCGCACTTGATCGTACGCGTCCATCAACGAATCATGGAGCTTGGTTTTATGGAGACATTCGCTCCAACAGCATCGTTCATGACCGTGCGTATCCTCCTTGCCATTGCTGGTGAGAAGAATTTGAAGATTTGGCACATGGAAGATGTCGCCACATTTTGCGATGCTGAGATCGTCCGCGAAGCTGTCTACAGACGGGAGTCCAAATGGTGTCGTACTGGGAGCGACGTGGTCAGCAAGCTATGCAAGCCGCTTTTGGGGCTCCAACAATCTGGCCGACAGTGTTACATTGTGCTGATCAAGTTTCTGCTGGAGTTCGGCTTCGAGGGGGGCGAGAGTGAGCTTAATCTTCTTTTCCACAAACATGGTAGAATCGCGATTGCCATTTATGTTGTTGAAATGCTCATGATGGTCGAGGACGAGGCCGTCCCAGATGATTCTAACGCAGCTCTGTCGCAAAAGCTCAATTCTATTGATTTGAGTATTGCTACGAGAATTCTTAGACTTGAGCTTCGCTACAATAAAGATGGTAAGATATCTTTCTTACAATCACGCTACTGCCGGAAGATGTTGCGCATTAGGTGGAGATTTTGATTTCACCTGTATGGTGACAGCTTGGGGGTGCTAGTCCTAGCAAAGGACTCTCGAGCTCGCTATGATGCGAGGACCAAGGATACAACAACAAGTGGCACTACGTTCGACAAATTGTGCGCAAAGGATAGTTCATGTCGAGCTACTTAGCAAAGGTGATAATCTGGCGAACGTCACCACCAAGGTTCGGAGACGAGACAAGCTAGAGTTTTTCATGCTTGACTTGAGGTGCTGTCCACTCGAGATTCACGTTAGGAGACGCTGCAACAAGGTAGAGAGCATGTGTGTTGGCAGCAGTGACGTGGGTCCGGAGTGCATCTCCTGAAACAAGTATATGAAAATGAGGATGATGAGCACTGAGAACTGACTCCTAGAAGCTGCCTGTATCAGTGTCAAAAGTCTGCAGCGTTGTCCTTTAGGGACTAGTCACTTTTCGCTCAATGAGGCTGCGATGTTAGCCTCTGACAATGACGAAGGGACCTATACTAGCGAAGTGTTCTGCCGAATATGAGCACGATCGAATGGAAGCATGCACCAGGTCCATTCACTACATTGTGCAAAGCATTCGGTGACCCGCTCTGGAACTTGTAAGGATCTAGGTGATGAGGGACGAAGATGGCTTGCGCTGAGGACAGGACTTTGACAAGGACTAAGGGTAGATAATGAATTGTAAACTAAAGAGCAGAAGACAGCAGAAGGCTGTCGTTTCATGTCCATCAGGCTCATGCGAGAGAGCGGATTGCAAGAGGAGCGAGATGACGAGAGCAGAGCGAGAGTACGAGAGCTCTGCATGAAACCAGGTTGGATGACGTGTGAGCAGCGTAGCTGATAGGTCGCGATGTGAGCAGCGTAGCTGATAGGTGGAGATGAGATGTTCGTCGTGAGAGTACGAGCGAGAACAAAGAGAACAAAGAAACAGGGAACTGCCAGCGAGACCAAATCAGGCAGTGTAACAGCTGCGGGCTAAGGTGATCAGATCTGCGTGGTCATTACACCGCTTCAATAAAAATATGGAGAAAAGGGTCGATACAGGGCTGTAGCTATTATTGCCTTCTGTTTAAGTAAGTTACTCTGTCAGCTTGTGCAACCTAAGGATCAGCCAATCACATGACGCTGGAGAAGACCGGAAAGAAGCTTTGCGAAACGGATGTTAGCAGCACGTCCGAGAATGCTTATACATGCGAGTCAACCAAGATTCTCAATATTGAGGAAACCGCACAAATTGACTGCTCGTTTAAGCTCGCAGCCACACAAACTGCTCTCTTCGTTTAAGTTGTGGCCTGGCGTGACTCGATCGTAAAGGGCATCATTTCGTGAGATTCATAAGTCCTTTGCGATCAAGTACTGTATTCATAAAAACACTGCTTTGCACTTGCCATCACTTTTCAAACTTCTCTAAGCGCCTGAGATATACATTTCCTACCAGCTTTGGACACTCTGAGCATTTTAGGACTGTCTCAAGAATGGTGTAGCGCACCTAGATGTTGCTATCCTCTCCTTTACACACCAACTTATCCGCTATGCGAACACGCTTTGCAAACGTACATCCCTGCAGCCGAGAGTCATCCTACGCAGCTTCCCGTTCTAGCAAAATTAGCCAAATACGAACAAGTCCGGGGGGTAAAGAACTAATTTTGCCACTCGAGCGACAAGCAAACAGTGTGTTGGCCAATAAAATTGGGCTCTTAGATGAACAAATTCAAACCTGACGGTGGAGACTCACTGAAGACCAATCATGATGCGACCGAAATATAATGAGCCAATCCACGCTGTGCACCCCGTTCGAAAGAAAAACAAGCAAAACATGGCACGTCAAACCGATGCCGTGTCCTGTTTACGCAGACATCACAACCAAATGAAGGCCATGCGAGTTGGAAGCCTGTTCTCCCATTGCATTGGCTTCAAGGTCATCTGTAAGTTTTTGTTTTGCATGCTTGTATGCATTGCTTTTGGCACTCTATCTTTGGAAATCGGGCAGCGTTATGCAACTTCGTCCACGGTATCGACACCATTTGCAACAAAACCACAGTTGCCCTCCCATCAAGTGCTTCCGTCCAATTTCCGGGAGATTTCCCTGAAAGAAGCGGTGAAGGTCCTACCTCCTGATGCATTGAATGCCATTGTTCAAGCTTTCGAACCAGCCAACCACTCTTCGTTCTCACCGATACGAGCATTCAACCACAGCAACGATGTTCAATTGCCTGTACTGCAAAAGCGAAATTTCAGAATTCCTGCCCTTGAGTGTCCGGAAGAAGTCCCGCCATTGCGAGTCAGGCTTGCGGAGTGCGGTGGTCATAGACCGCAAGATTACCTGTTACGGTGCATTGGACAAAATGGAGAGAGGGTGATTATTTTTTCATGCGAAGCTCACGAAATATGCACATACAACTACGATCCGGAAATGGAACATAATCCGGTCGTGTGAAAATCCCGGGGGGAAAATCCCGGGGCCCGGTACAATTTCTCGAGATAGCCGGGATTTTCATTCGAGCTAGCCTGGATTTTCAGCGGCAAAATCCCGGCAGCCAATCATCGTCGAGAGCCCATTTCAGATCCCGGGCCCCGGGATATTCATCGAGGTAAAATCCCGGGCCCCGGGTTTTTGCCCCAAAAGAAAAAAAAAAGGCGATTGTTTCTGTGCGGCCAAGGCTAGTCTGACGCGACTTCCATAAAAGTGAGGCACCTCCTTGCTTCATACCTCCTGCATGGTCTAATGACAGCTCGATGAGAAGTCTAGCATCCATAAGAGCATGCTCTGCTACCACCAGCTGTGTATACTACGACTTCTCAATCCATTGCTTCCTCTTTTGACTTCCACCCTGCTAGTATGACAGCAGAAGAGCTCCAAATCTCTGAACCTTCGGATGACGAACATGAAAGTCCATTACACGACTATCTGGAAGTGACAGAAATCCCAAAGAATGCCAACGGCGCGGAGACTATAAATTTCAACTTGATCCTCTCGTCGTCAGCCAGTCGAAAGATTGGAACAAGATGGTGTGGTCTTGGCTCTCAACGGGAAGCAAGTCGCATGGGGACATGTCCGTACAGACACTTAGATGCCAAGGTCTGTTGATATGCTCTAATCCACTGTGCGCAGTACCACAACGGGTTATCGCGCGGTCGAGGACGACGAAATTTGAGGCGCAAGTGTCCAAAGCGTGTGGCAAATGCCAGAGTTCTATGAACCACATACAATGTGCTGCTAGGCGGCGTCAATCGTTCCGTTTTGATGGTCAGCAGAAAGTCCTCGTCGAGCTTGAAGGCAGGCATTCTCATGCAGTGCCTCCGAATACTGTGATGAAAGAGGATGAGAAGGCCCAACTCCTAGCTATGTTGCAAGCCAACCCAGGCAAATCGGCCACGCAGCTGAAGTTCAACGCCGGCACTTGCCCCGAGTCAGGCAAGACCTTGAGCGCCCTCAGTATACACCCGGGCTTGGGCAATAGGAACGTCCTACGGTATCAAGCACGCAAATTGGATCCAGGCGGCATGTTTGGAGGGTCACATGGTGGCAATTCGTTTCTCAGAGAGCTGGTCAATTTGACAGAAGCATTTCCCGCTACTTTTGTGGAGGGTTCCTGCTTCTTCCGACCGACTAGATGCGTTGTTATTCAAAGTCCCGGTATGAGCATTTTCATCTTCTGACAAGATATCTAACCATTTCACAGATATGAAGGAGGCAGTTTTTGCTGGCTGTTCTATTGAGAACAATCAGGGCGGATACATTTCTGACGCAGCTCACGGCTTCTTTCGCGATGCTCTTTTGATGGTCACTTGCGCCTTTGTTCCCATCATGTAGCGATGGACACCGGTCGTACTTAGCTGGATGCAAGATCAAACCGCAGCTTGCTATGCCATGCATTTTCGTCAGCTATTTCTCAGCATTGAGGCCAAGATGCCCATGTGCGACTTCAGTCGGTTCGCAAATGTCGTGGACTTCAGTGATTCTCAGAGATGTGGCTTTCTCGATGCGTTCGCTCAACACATGTATAACAGGCAACGCAGTCCAGAATATCCTGGGGTCAGACAGGAATTGGCTCATTGGCGTTCTCAAGGGGAATCCATATTGAAGGGCTGCTCGTTTCACTGGCAGAAGGGCATCACAAAGGAGGCTGGAAAGCTGCCATTAGACTCGCGTGCCGCGTTCCAAAGCTTGGTACGTCAATTGGGAACTTGCTCCAGCAACGAGGATTTCCAGACGATTAAATGTGCTCTTGAAAGCCAGTTTCCAACCTCCAAGCATTACATCAGCTGGTGGACGAAACCCTCAACAGCTGGCATGATATTCGAGTCTCAAAAGTCGCCAGAAAGCGCATATCAGCACCAAACCTTGCCCGAAACGAGTAATGGAGTGGAATCAATGCATGCACGCATATACCATGCTGCTGGCATTACCTCTTCTGACAAGAAAATGGATACTATAAAAGGCCTAGAAGCTCTGGCGTTGTACGCCAATATGGTCGCTAAGGAGCGCCAAAACTGGTTGCAACCACATGGCACATGCCGACAGCCGCTACAGCACTGAGTTGGTGCTTGACTTGCGTGGTCTGTCTGCCTCTTCTTCGCATACTGACTGCTCGTCGGTCGGTACTGCAAGTCGTGAGTCTACAATCCAGCGACATGACGCCAAGAAACTGCAAGTCGCTATACGTGATGACGCCCATCAACCTATGCAACGGTAATCTACTGACAATAGGAATCGAGGTACAATAAGCGCCTGTCAGAGGCTGAGCAGCAAGAGACGGACGGCGAGAGTGACATGCAGCCCCAGCAAGCACGATGCAAAGCACAAAACACTGCGCCACGCCACAAGCAAGACGATGACACGCAGGCATAACAAGCATGTCGCGAGGCACAAAACACAGCGTCAACCGAGAAACAAGACGTCGACAGCGATTTGCTACTTTCACAACCAGGTCACACGAGTCACTTCTTCTGCTATCACTTTTATTGCAATATACAAACTGCTACAGGTCAAACACAACCGACCAACGTCGACAAAGGTTCAGTTGCTTCAGGCTGCTGTGAATGCCCTTGCCGGCGAGGTGAAACAAGCATGATCGCGTTGCAAGCGTGTAAGATTCTTCGCACAACAGTTGGAGGGAAGGCCCATTAAGTCTTCCTTGCTCTCGAGCTATTCCTGATTAATTCAGAGCCCCGTTTCGCCACCTGCAGCCCACTACGTGCTCGTCACCTGCAAAAGCCCCTTGCCACTCGATCACCCTACGGGAAATTTCCTCGGCTGGTTAGTCGATGATCAACGGAAGACTGACGTGGTGGCATACGCGGTGATGGACTCGTAGTAAACTGATGATCGACGAGTGACAACCGGCGATCGCTGGTGACGAATTTGCAGCGAGCTGCAGGTGGCGAGTCAGGGTTTTGCATGGATTAGGGATAGCTCTAGAACAAGGAAAGCTTATTACGTCTACCTTACAACTGTCGTGAAAGGTGCCTTGCACGCTTGCTACGGTCCCGCGCTGGTTCCACCTCGCTGGCGGTGAAGGCGCGGAGTTTCCTATTATTCGCTGCAGCCTGGAGAAGCTGAGCTTTCGCTGTCATCGGCCGGTCGCGTTTGCCCTGTAGTAGTCAGTATGAATCAAGACCAGCGAAGAATGAGTGTACCGTACGACGTGGTCGTGGAGCTTCTGCATCGCTGTCACCGTCTTTGTCATGGCGTGACGCGATGTTCCGTGTAGTCCGCGGTCCTTGACGTGCCTGTATGTCCTCGTCTTCCTCACGGCCTGGCGCAATGTGTCGTAAGGTGCGTGGTCCTTGACGTGTCTGCAAGTCATTCTCGTCGTCAGTCTCTTGATGCTCAGCCTCTGCCTGTGCCAAACGCTTGTTGTGCCTCGATTGCTGTTGTCAGTAGGGGACGATGCGTAGATTGTTGGACGTCGTCACGTACGGCGACTTGCAAGTTCTTGGCGCCATGCTGAAAGATGACCATGGAGATCCAATTCGCTTGTGCCCTAGCGGGTGACGAGGAGTCCCGTTGAAGATGACGGACTGACTTCCTCGGCTCGGCATGGTCGCGTTGTTTCCCTCTGACAGGATTGCCTCGCTGATCTATGCAGGGCAGCATTGATCTGACTTTGCTAGGCAGACATACTTGAGAGACAGAATCAAGGTAAATACTGCAGAGATACGCGTCTAGAGTGGAGCACTTGCGTGTCCAGCGACTATGAAGCGTCCTGTAGTCTATAGCTAACTGAGAGAGATGAAGAGTAGCAAAAGTTTCAAATCCTAAAGTCATCTTCACAACAGTACATCGCACCAGCATGGAATCTTCTGGATTTTTGAAGTCTTGGGAACAGGACAATCTCGAAAGATAGTAGAGGGCTACTGCATTCAACCCGATGATGCCATATGCAGGTGACCATGCCATGCAGATCGAGGAATCATGTGCTTTGGTACACGCTGTAGATAGGATTGCTTCCATTTCAATTGTTGCGCATGGGCTGAACAAAGACCAGCAGCTGTGTCTACATGAATGTAGTATCTGTATGCTTGGCTATAGTGCAGGCAATAGTAATCACCAGCGCCAGCCTTTTGTCTTCCGTCGAGCGCCGGTTCTTGACCAGCGTCTGGAAGTGGGTTTCCGGCTTGCTCCAGTATTCACCAGCATAGCCGATCTATCACATACATGTCATTTGTGAGTCCAGTAGTGTGCACCTGTCCTCACCAGCGATTTCTTGAAGGGTAATCGCCAGTGTGCCACGCATCAATTGAGTCTTATTTGTCACCAACGACATAGCCAACCGTTTAGAGCCCATGTGTCTCACCGCCTCAGTATTTCATATTTCATCGCATTATCAGCCGCGAAAGGCTTTTCTTTAGACTGCCACCGATGTGTTGTCCATGCAGCAGTGAACATGTGATTCTCGGCGACTGTCACAGAAATTTGCATAATAGCTGCAACATCCATGCGCGGCGACGCACTTTTGTCGCGTATGTAGCCATTCGCAAAGGGCGAGGCTACATCGGGCTTCATGATGAAGGGATGAATACTGGCAAGCGGTCCCGCCGATCAAAGTAGAGGAGATATGCTTCGTCCCGTCACGTGCATCAAGGCATTGTGCAAACGATTTGGGACGCCGGAAATCTATCCGGCTTGCATCGCCCCTTGCAATTGACTCCCTAGACAAGCGGGAAGTTTGGCGTTGACAGGTTCAAGTCTTGAACTCAAAACAGCAGATGTTCTTCTCGCGAGGTGGCGCTCTTCTCCCGCAGCGCAAACGCGTCAATGACGTCTGCAAGCTTATAATTTGCATGCTCATGCCGGGGTACTTGACGTGCATTGCTTGGAATCTGCAGCAGAGGGATCAGCAACTTTTTACTGGGTCCTTGACGGCGCAAACCTCGTTACAAGGCGCAGTCGCAGCTAGAAAAGGAGTCGGGTTCTGACGTTCAAAAAATCACTGTCGAAGCAGCGATGGCCGAGTTTCCAACTGAGGCATATGATTCAATCATGGACGTTTGACAACGAATCAACCAGTCTCCAGTGTCGTCAATTCGTGACCGGACTCACAGTAGGAATTCAAACTTGTCAGTGTTACAGAAACGAGAGACTCGTGTGCCGTAAATACGTTGTCCTGAAGGCACTGTATTCGTCGGAGCTTGGTGTACTCCAGAGGACGATGGACAGCAAGTTCCACCAGATCCGACAGAGTATCATTTTCAGTGTAATGATAATATCGAACAGGATGTTGAGCTGTGGTCAAATTGCAATGAAGATGAGGTTGGTATCAATGTGCCGGCTCTCGACGGGCAGGAGCATACGGTATTGTGTAAGAAAGATGACGGAGAGGTCACCCATGTCGGCAACGACAGATGTATGACACCGCATATGTGCTGAAGGCCGTGAGATTTTCAAATTCGCCAAAATTCACCGTTTCGGAGTCATCTGGCTTTTATCTTTGCTATTCTACAAGTTGATTGATCTATGGTTTGCTAAGGACAGTGTAACGCAAGTATATGTCAGTGGCGGACATAGTGCTTTCACAACTTCGATACTTATGGAAGCATGGCTCATGTGCATAGTCACATCCCCAGGAGGCGAATGGCCGGAGAGACCAACAAACAACAAACGCGTTGAATTGTACCTAAGGCTCATTCAATGCGTATCCAATGAGATGGAGAGTGAGAGAACATTTTGCAGTTCTGCAACCGTGCCGTTCATGCAGTATTGTGCCTTGCAGCGACGCCGCCTGCGACGGTCAAGGAAGCTTGCATAGACAGCTACGTTGTTTAAGGGCGCCCACGGCCTTTTATCACCCCTTGGTGGCCCGCAAGGGTCGAGGCTACATCGGTTGGTCGTCCCTGAAACTCTTCGCTTGAATCCTCATGACGCTGGCCCGCTTCTCTCTCCCTTAAGATGCTAACCAGGGGTCATAAAGTTGAGGAACCAATCCTTGCAGGCCGTCCTCCGGACCATGAGCACAAATTGAGCACAAACAAAAGTGGCCTCACGCCAGCCTATCAGATACAATCTCTGCATGTGCAAATGAATTGGGCAGTCACTCCGGTACATTCCCAGCAGACGAAAATGCGATTGCCCCTCGAAACGCGAAGCAAGCAGAAGTTGGCACGCTGGCCAATTCGCTTTTGTCCAAGTCTAAGACTCAGCACAGCAGATGTTCTTCTGTCGAAATGGCACTCTTTGCTGGCAACGTAAATGGATCAACGACGTCTGCAAGCTTTTGCTTTGCATGTTGATGCTGGCATGTTTGACGTTCAGTGTTTTCAACCTGCAGCAGCTGAAACAGCGATTCGCTGCTTCATCCATGACGGCACCAATCTCTGGATCCAAGTTGCAGTCGCAGTCGCAGCTGGAGAGGGAGTCGGCTTCTGAGTTTCAAGAAATTACTTTCGAAGCAGCGAAGGCCGAGTTTCCAACTGAGGCATGGGATTCAATCATGGAAGTTCATCATCTTATCAACCTGTCTTCATCGGCATCGGTTCGTTACGGGAATCACGGTAGCAACTTCGGCTTGCCAGTGTTACGAAAACGACAACCTTATGTGCCGGACATAGAATGTCCTGAACCTGACGATGTCTTCGGTGGTGCTTGGTGCGCTGAACCTGCAATTGATGCATATGGCGACGAGCGACACATAGATCCAACACAGTATTTTATTCGATGTGGGGATGAGATCGAGGATGAGTTTGTCCGATATTGCGAGGATACTGAAGTCTGCGTCAATGTAGAAGCCACGGTCGAGGGTGACCATGACACAGTAGTGTGCGTGCAAGACGATGGAGAGGTCACTGATGTCGGCAATGACAAAGATATGACAATCTACAAACAGAAGACCCACACGATGATGGGGAAATATCAGTTTGAAGGCACACGCAAAAATGATGCTTCTTTCATCTTCAAAGGACATGGACAACGACATCGATACAGGGCCGTAGCTCTTACCGCTTTCTTTTTGAGTAAGTTGCACCATCACTCGCGTTTCTCATACTAACCCATCAGCCTATCACGAGCCTTTTGAACAAAGCCAGCATCGTTGGCTAGTGCAGCCCAAAATTCAGCCAGTCGCATGCGCGCTCGAGAGAACAGGCGAGAAGCTTTGCAAGACGGATATAAGCAGCACATCCAAGAATCCTTACATATGCGAGTCCACCAAGTTTCACAATGTTGAGGAAACCACACCAAATCACTGCTCGTTTGAGCTTGCAGCTACACAGATTGCTCTCTTCGTCTACGTTGTCGTCTGGCGCGACTCGATCGTAAAAAGCATCGTTTTATAAGATTCATGCGTCCTTTGCGATCTGCAGCTGATCAAGTGCTGTAGTCATAAAAAATACTGCTTCGCTCTTGCCATTGCTTTGCCAACATCTTTGCGCGCCTGAAACATACATTTCCTGACCGTGTTATGCACACTGACGAGACCGCGAGATGCTCTTTGCCTGTCACTCAAGCGTGAGGGCGTTGTCATTCCTAGAAACAGACCCACTTGATCATTGGCCAACCCTTTGAACAAAAGCAATCAAGTGAATGCGCGGAGATAAGTGGTACAGGCGATAAATCAAGTGCACCACAGTGTTTTTGTGGGAACGCGCGGTATAATCATAGCGTGAATGAGCGGGAAAAAGTCCGATGTGGAGATGAGCGGGACTTGGTCGTGAACGGCATAACCCTGTGAGCGTGACTGATCGTGAATATCAGGCAATGCGCGTGAAAAGGTGTTAGCGTGTGGGACTAGTAAGGAAGTCGCCGCAGTGGATTCCTCACTTTGAGATCAGGCGATGAGGATCTACCATGGCTTGGCTCTTCACACGGTTAAGGAAGATCAGGAATAGTGTGCAGCAAGGCATTGATACTTGTAGTGCTTGTGATGTTATAGCGGCCGTCGTGCTAGTGCAGGATGTGAATGATGGTAGCAATGGACATCGAGCTGATTTTGAGTGAGAGACACAACAGACGACTCATTGGGGGGCGCAAGAGCAAGGGTAGATTCAGAGTCAGAGATTGAGGTGGGCGTCAAAGGACGAGACTGAATTGAGGGGCAAGCCATCAAATCACAGTTGCCAGCGCAAGGAAATACCTCAGTGAGGAGGCAAAAGGCGCTTGCTTGACTGCTGATGAGTATGCAGAGCGTGTCAGTACAAGTAGAGAAAGCTTGCGCAGGATGAGAGAAGGCATGACAAGAGCCAGGAGAGTGCATCCATGTAGGCAGACAGCTTGACGAGAGAAAGCGCTTCCAGCAGAGACGCACTTGATCAGCAGCTGGCTGTAAGAATCAGCGAGGCGATTGTGCCAATACGATACTTGTAGCTATGTGCAGCCTGGTAAGGGCGGTGTTGACTGTGTGTGCTGAGGGTTGGGTTGGAAGTAGCGGAATCAGAGTTCAAGCACCAGTGTAACGAACACGCAGCCTTAAACCTCGCATCCGACTTTCCCGCACCACATGCTCTAGCAACTCATCGCGGCCCTTCTACCTTCCGCCCTTCAACGACGCTTATCACCGCAGCACGTTGCCTATCGTCCCGCGCCTAGCTTCCTCGCTTCCGGCAACGCTCTGTCACGTTGTCCTTACTCGCTCTCTTACTCGTCGACGACGTCTACCACGTCGTCCCTTGTTCTGTCTCTTCCTTATCTCGCAGCTCGGACATCTCCACTGGGCTCATGCAATCTCGCTTCCCCTCTTCTTTCACTGTTCTCCTGCTGAGAGTCGGCTCCCGTGGGCTCCATCGCAATCATCGCAATCCGCTCTCATGCTGGTACCTGGTAGACATAAGTAGGCAGCCTTCCGCTGTCTTGTTCCTTAGTTTACAATTTCTATTCTTGTCCCCTACATCTCGCCCAAGTCCTGTCTTCAGCACAAGCATTCGTCCTGTCCTGTTCGCCCTTCGTCACAACCAGCATATGCAGCAGCACTAGACTATTAGACGCTTGGCAGAATTCGCTGCTGATAATGACGGCACATCTGCGTACATTCGCAAGGATGCATGCGTCTTGCTCCTCAGATTTGCAACAAGTGAGACGATGCAGGCTCGGCTCGCGTCTACAAGCTCGCAACACGCGAACAGTACACAGTGCCGGGCTTGTGCACTGCCATTGAGCATCAAGGACATGAAGAGCTGATTCTTCTTGCCAGCATCACGAATTCAACCGGGTTCATGCACTTTGCCAATGGTCACAACCAACTGGCTCATACCGTCGGCGGCTACATCGAGTTTGCGCATGGGTTGTGAGATCTGTCTGTCTTTGCTTTGCGTACTGACGGCTTGTTGGTCGGCAACACACGTCGCAAGTCTACATCGCAGCGGTGCGATCATTCTGTTCCTCGCCAAGCTTCGCGCCGTGGTGCAGCAGTCTGTTGTCATGGAGTTCTCAAGCGATACTTCAGACAAGCACTGGTGCTAGTTCTACAGCAGGCTGCGCAATTCACGGAGTCGGGATTCGAGCAGTAGCAAGGGCAATTATTGGGGATCGACGCTGATTGAGTCGAGCTTACCAGTGCTTGCCACACAGCAGATGTCTCATCAGTACGTGTATGGTCATTAGGCATTGTCTACGAGTTGCGATACAGTTTCTCTCTGCTATTTACAAGCCTTGTTCTATGGTCGGCAACCCCAGTAGCGAGTTGGGCCCCAGTATCAACAGACGCCGCCATCTTGGGTCTCTTTTGCCGCGGGTCTAGGCAGTGTGTCAAGGACTCTAGTGTCATCAAGATCCATGAACGTAGAAGGAGACTATGAAATCTGACAAGATTTATCACTAGATGGATGCTGTCGCGCAGAAGATGGACGCCTTGTTGCAGCGAGACATCAGGGAGATGTGTGAAATGGCCACAAAACGTATGCTTGCTCGGCTGCAAGTGAGTGTCGACCTCCAGAGAGGTTTGGACGGAACTATCGAGTAAATCAAAGCGCACTTGATAGTACGCGGCCAACAACGAATCATGGAGCTCGGTTTTGAGGAGACATTCGCTCCAACAGCAACGTTCATGACGGTGCGTATCCTCCTTGCCATTGCTGGTGAGAAGAACTTGAAGATTTGGCACATGGAAGATGTCGCCGCACTCTGCAATGCTGACACCATCCGCGAGGCTGTCCACAGATGGGAGTCCAAATGTGTCGTAATGGGGGCGACGTGGTCAGCAAGCTACGCAAGCCGCTTTGGGGGCTCCACCAATCTGGCCGATAGTGTTACATTGTGCTGATCAAGTTTCTGCTGGAGTTCGGCTGCGAGAGGAGCGAAAGCAAGCAGACTCTTCTTTTCCATTAACATGTTGGAATCGCGATTGCCGTCTATGTTGTTGAAATGCTCATGATGGTCGAGGACGAGGCCGTACCAGATGAATCTAACGCAGCTTTGTCGCAAAAGCTCAATTCTATCGACTTGAGTATTGCTACGAGGATTCTTGGACTTGAGCTTCGCTACAATAAAGATGGTAAGATATCTTTCTTACAATCACGCTACTGCCGGAAGATGTTGCGCATTAGGTGGAGATTTTGATTTCACCTGTATGGTGACAGCTTGGGGGTGCTAGTCCTAGCAAAGGACTCTCGAGCTCGCTATGATGCGAGGACCAAGGATACAACAACAAGTGGCACTACGTTCGACAAATTGTGCGCAAAGGATAGTTCATGTCGAGCTACTTAGCAAAGGTGATAATCTGGCGAACGTCACCACCAAGGTTCGGAGACGAGACAAGCTAGAGTTTTTCATGCTTGACTTGAGGTGCTGTCCACTCGAGATTCACGTTAGGAGGCGCTGTAACAAGGTGGAGTTTGATAGAGCATGTGTGATGGCAGAAGTGGCTTGTGTCAGTGGTGCACCTCCTGAAAGAAGTATATGAAAGAGGATGATGAGCACTGAGGCCTGACTCCTGGAAGCTGCCTGTATCAGTGTCAAAAAGCTGCAGCGTTGTCCTTTAGGGACTAGTCACTTTTCGCTCAACGAGGCTGAGATGTTAGCCTCTGACAATGATGAAGGGACCTATACTAACGAAGTGTTCTGCCGAATATGAGCACGATCAGATGGAAGCATGCACCAGGTCCATTCACTGCATTGTGCAAAGCATTCGATGACCCAATCCGGAACTGTCAGCAGACCAAAATGCGATCGCCCCTCGAAATACGAAGCAAGCAGTGATTGGCACGCAAGTACACCTCTAATCAAGTAACAGGCTCGGCACAGCATATGATCTTCTCCTGTGGATACGGGGGATTGACTCTGGTACTCTCAGCAGACGAAAGCGCGATGGCCCCTGATTTACAAAGCAAACAGAAATCGGCACGCTGTCAAATTAGGCTCTGTTCAACTTTAAGACAACACAGGAAATGATCTTCTCTCATTGTGGCACTCTTCTCCCGCAGCGCAAACGCATCAATGAAGTCCGCAAGCCTTTGTTTTACATGCTCATGCTAGGGTGTTTGATGTCCATTACCTTGAATGTACGGCAGCTGAAACAGCGATTTGCAACTTCATTCATGAGGGCACCGATTTCTGGATCCAAGTCGCATATGCAGCTGGACAGGGATTCGACCTCTGAGTTTCGAGACATTCCTTTTGAAGTAGCGAAGGCGGAGTTTCCAATCGAGGCATGGGAATCAATCATGGAAGTATATCAACGAATCAACCAGTCTTCATCGTCGTCGATTCTTGACAGGAACCACAGTAGCAATCTCGATTTGCCAGCATTACGAAAACGACAGCTGCAGGGACGTGTACCAATCATGAATTGTCCTTGGGGTACTTTTTTCGCTGGCGCCTGGTGCGTTAGTTCTGAGCGAGAACCAGATCCAAGAAAGTATGATTTCATGTGCGATGGAGATCTAGTCTTTCAAGACTCCGGACGATGCTCTGAAGGCGAGATTTGCGTCAATATAGAAGCTCCCGAGGCGGGAGATGATCGCACAGTTGTGTGCGAGAAAGGTTATGATTATGGCGAGGTCACTCATGTCGGCAACGATAAAGATATGACAGTCTACACAAAGCTGAAGCACACTCATTTGATGACGGGAAGTCGTCTGATTGAAGGCGACAGCGAGACAAATGCTTCTTTCTGCTTCAATAAACATGGAGAAAAAGGTCGATACAGGGCTGTAGCTCTTACCGCCTTTTGTTTAAGTAAGTTACTCCATCTGTCACGGTTCTTATACTGATACATCAGCCTATCATAAGCCTTTTGAAGAAAGCCAGCATCGTTGGCTTGTGCAGCCTAGGGTTCAGCCGATCACATGCACGCTGGAGATGACCGGAGAGAAGCTTTGCGAAACGGATGTAAGCAGCACGTCCAAGAATCCTTACACTTGCGAGTCCACCATGTTTCACAATGTTGAGGAGACAGTACAGATCGACTGCTCGCTTAAGCTCGCAGCCACACAGATTGCTCTATTCGTCTACGTTGTCGTCTGGCGCGACTCGATTGTAAAGAGCATCGTTTTGTAAGATTCATGCTTCCTTTGCGATCTGCAGCTGATCAAGTGCTGTAGTTATGAAAACACTGCTTCGCACTTGCCATCGCTTTGCAAACTCTTCCGAGCGCCTGAGATAGAACTATCCATTTCCCACCGGGTTTTGAAACTTTGAGCAGCATAGGACTATCCAAAAAATGGTGTGACGCACCCACATGTTGCCATCCACTACTTCCTACATTACCCTCACCATCTTATTCGCTATGCAAACACGCTCTTGCAAACGTACATTCCTGCAGCCGAGAGTCATCCGACGCAGCTTCTCGTTTTAGCAAAATTAGCCAAATACGAACAAGACCAAGGGGTAAGAACAAATTTTGCCACCCAAGCGACAAACTAACAGGCTATTGGCCAATCAAATTGGGCTCTTCGATGAAGGACAATTGAAACCTGACGATGAACACTTAGTGAAGACCAATCCTGTTGCGACTGAAATATGACGAGCCAATTCGCGCTGTACACCCCGTTCGCAAGAGAAACAAGCAAGAGATGCCACGTCAGACCAATGCCGTGTCCTGTTTGATGCCCGAACATCACAACGAAATGAAGGCCATTCGAATTGGAAGCCTGTTGCCCCAGTGCATCGGCTACAAGGTCATGTGCAAGCTTTTGTTTGGCATGCTGGTATGCATTGCCTTTGGCACTCTGTATTGGGACCTCGGACAGCGTCATACAACATCGTCTATTGTAGCAACACCATTTACACCAGAATCACAGTTGCACTCTCATCAAGTGATTCCCTCCGACTTTCAGGAAATGTCGCTCAAAGAAGCGATGGAGCTTCTACCGCCTGATGCATTGAATGCCGTTGTTCAAGCTTTCGGACCAACTAACCACTCTTCGTTCATTTCGATGCGAGTATTCAACCACAGCAACGATGTTGATTTGCCTGTTCTGCGAAAGCGAAACTATAGAATTCCTCATTTTGAGTGTCCGCAAGAAGTTCCGCCATTACGAGTCAGGTTCGCGCAGTGCGCTGGTGACGCGCCGCGAGTTTACTTGTTACGGTGCATTGGAGAAGACGGAGAGGCGGAAATCAGTTTTTCATGCGAAATTGACGAAAGATGCGTATACAACTTCGACCCGGACATGGAATTTAATAAGGGGATCGCATGTCTGTCTGACTCCGGCGAGGTGGAAGACGGGAGAAAAGATGAAGATATGACCGCAAAGCAGTCCACTACGCAATTCATGAAGCACCAGCAACGTGTCGAGGGATCAAGTACGAAAAGTGTGAGTCTAAGGACAAAAAGCAGGAAATCATCAACTCCGAGGCGTACACGACATGCAGTCTTGACAGCTTTCCTTATGAGTAAGTGATCATGCATGTGATCAACCCGTCACTTTGTTTCGTGTAGCTAACGAAGCAGCCTATCACGAACCTGTCGAAGACTCCCAGCAGCCTTGGCTTGTGCTGCCTGGAGTGCAGCCTATCACATGCAAACTCGAGGAGACTGGCGAAAAGCTTTGCGAAACAGATTTGAGCAGCACATCCAAGGATAAGTTTCATTGTACGTCCACCAAGTTGCACGACATCGAGCCAAATTCGTTGATTGGCTGCACTTTTGAACTTGCAGCCACTCAGATTGCCATCTTTGTCTCCGTCCTTGTTTGGCGTGACCCAGTTTCGAAGACATTGTTAGGATGATGATAGCAACTCTGGCCAAGTCTGGCGCCTTATCAGGGTTGTCACGAGAGTCCAAGAAGCCCAACAGCTAGTAGCTTTAGTAGCTGAGCAAGTAAGCCATGCAATTGACGAGCTGTCCACCTGTGCATAAGTATGGGCCTTGGTGGTTGTGAACTTGCGACATTGCCATGCCATCTCCTTGTGCGCAGATTACGGCAACCTCGACCAGACTTCACTGGTACTCGACCAGACTTCACTAGTACTCGACCAGACTTCACTGGTATCGTAAAAGACTGCTCAGTGCTTTGGAACCACATTGCTCTCTAACATCCTGGACAGAACAGCTTTCCTCTCGCTGACAAGTCTGGCATAAACAAGCTTGAGTGATCTCACCTGATCGACGAGATGCAGCCTAGCACTGGCCTTTGATTCCGTGAACGTCAAGGATGTCCTCAATCATCTTCTCCGAGTACTGTCTAGGGAGAATTTCTCTCATTGTGTATCTCTGGACCAAGATGCTCAAGAGGGACCTGATCCATAAGCAAGCAACACTTTGCCAATAGCTCTCGCGAGACCACCTTGACACCTCTATCGATACCCAACACCAGAGATGGCATCGTGATGACTCAGTGCAGCCTGTAGAGCGGGCCAAACTACACTCCTCGCTGCTGGAGACTACTATTTTGGCTTGGCTGGCGGTAGTTGACCGTATGTATCGACGATATCCAGTTGCAGGCTGGTCGATGCTCGAATGCCTCAGACAGACATCCACAATCTCGAGCATGTCTCTGATCGCAGCTTAATCCAACAGAGCTCGTCTGCCACCCTAGTTGAGGCTAGAGATCGAGTCTAGTGTTCTAAAGCTTCGTGGAGCACTTCTTTTGCGTATAGACGCTTGGAGCCTGAGTCAGTCGCGCTCTTAAGCTTCATAGACAACACAGTCGTCGTATGCCAAGAAGTCTTCCTGAGCTCTGAATACAAACACAATCGTCTGCTTCTCAAGCTCGAGCGCTCAAGATCAGCAAGAGTGTCAAGTGAGCCAACCAGACATGAGTGCACAGGCAGTCCCGACTGATGCAGCGCTAGCGTTGGTTGCATCGCTACAGACGCGCAAGCAAGGGTTGGCTGATCGACTGCATACAAGTCTGTTGTCTGTCCTTCGTACGACTGCAGCTGGACACGTCCCTTCAATCACGTTGACAAGAGCTTCCAAGGAAGAGACATACTTTGATCACGCCACCCAGTCTGTCCGACTTCGTACGGAGCGCCAGCAACGCGTCCTTACATTTGGCAAAAAAGAGGCATTCAGTACGAGCCCTCAAGCAAGACGCATCTGACAAGTCTAGCACAGGTGATCTGTCTACTGGTGAGCGTCTACGAAGGACTCGTACGCGATGTCAAAAGTACAAAGCGTGACCTGTACTACAGGAACGTGGCGCTCTTCAAGTCACAGAGCGTTGTGGATCGTCTCCTGAGCCAGCTCGAACTGACTTATGAGTGCGAGCGACATGAGTTCAACGTCGTGGCATCTGCCAAAGGACTTTTGTTTGGTCCAGCAGCAATCACAATGACAGATGGGCAGGTCCTCGATCTCTCAAGCCAAGCGCGCAACATTACTGATGTCGAACATTATGCTGCAATTGACTTGTCGAACATCGAGACGGTACTTGTGGTGGAAAAAGACGCCGTCTTTCAGACACTGTGCCAATCAGTGAGCGCAGCGCCTGCCAGCCATCCTTGCAAGAACTGGCTCCTCCTGACTGCCAAAGGCTGTATGTGCTCGCTGCATAGATCGTCGCTGACGCACAGATCCCGATGTGAGCTCCAGACAGGCGCTGAAATTCATCGAAGCGAGCATCACCACTTCAACAGATGTCAGCATCCGAGCAATCCCGCTGTTGTGCCTCGTCGATTTGGATCCGCACGGCATTGAGATTCTTGCTACTTGGAAGTATGGCTCTGTGGCTCGAGCAGCACACTCGCGGCATCTTGCAGTGACGAGTCTGCGATGGCTTGGCGTACATGTCGAGGAAATTGCCGATGTTGCTGCTCACATGCTGCCGCTGACACCAGCAGACAATAGGAAGGCAGACGCATTGTTGTGCAGAAAATGGTGTACTGGATCCATGCAGAGTCGAAACTGGCGACAACAAGTCATGCGCTTGAAGCAGCTCCAATTGAAGGCTGAGATCGAGATCTTGGCAGAGAAGCAAGATGGACTGCTTAGTACGCTGACGAACTGGATTCAGTATGGCAACTGGCTGTAACAGGAGCTGCCTTTCTGCTCAATTCGACGTCAAGTCTTCGCCATACCGAAACAGCCTCTCACCGTGTTTGATATCGGGCAAGCCTGATTCATAGTGCATGGCCCCGGCAGCTGTGCGAGCCATACCGGCAAACTCGCGATCTCGTCCAGAAGGAAGAGCACGGAGGTTTGTGATTTGATGAGCAGCATGCAAAAGTGTTTGTAGCAGGAATGCATGATCAGTCTGTCTCAGTGCATCATCTGCGTTGATGATGACAGTAATGTGCTTCGTTGCAGAGAGTGCTCGTACTGCAGTGACAATCTGTTGGGCAGAAGCGAGTTTCAGCGGTAAAAGCAAGTCTATGCCATGTAGCACAATGCGATTGGACGGCACAAGCTGCGAGTAGATGTCAGCCAATGTTTGGCTTGTAGCATCAATCAGCTTTGCCTTTGCGCTACTAGGAGCTAGTCTTGGGCGATTTTGCCAGTACACGATACAGTCTCCAGCTACCAATGTTGACGTTGCCAGGGTCACAGTCAGCAGATGCAGCGGCATGACAAAGCTCTGGCCTTTGGCCTCTGGTCTTTGGGTACTCTCTGGCTAACGGTCGTCTTGATCTGGTCGTTGCTCGAAGCGTGCGACTTTTGCTATTTTTTGGAACTTCAGTCGCAACAAGCAAGCAGGTCAAGGACACCCGGACGCGACAGTCGGCCCTTCGTTCCAGAAGCATTCCCATATCTGCACAGCAAAGAAATCAGCTCATTGAACTATTAGCTCGTCTGTAGATGAAGAGTGACTTCAAATTTTCCAATTTGCTGGGTACAGTGTACAGCCGTGGCAATCTGCTCTTCACGCCCGATGGCAACAGCCTCCTCACGCCTGTAGGCAACAGAGTGACGCATTTCGATCTGGTCAACAACACGACATTCACATTTCCTTTTGAGACAAGGAAAAATATCGCTAGACTGGCATTATCGCCACAAGCGACGCTTCTTATCGCAATTGACGAAGATGGACATGCAGTACTCGTCAATTTTATCCGCAAGACCGTTTTGCATCACTTCAACTTCAAAGAGCGTGTTCGCGATATTCAATTTGCGCCAGATGGCCGGCATTTCGTGGTGGCTGTTGGACGGCTGTTGCAAGCTTGGCGTACTCCTCGCTTCTCAGATGACCGTGACTTTGCTCCCTTTGTTCGGCATCGTGTCTATACAGGACACTATGATGAGATCACAGCCATCACTTGGGCGAAAGACTCGCGCTTCTTCTTGACTGCATCTCAAGACTTGAGCGCGCGGATATACAGTCTCGATCCTGAAGAGGGTTTCACGGCAACAGTATTGAGTGGACATCGCGACCATGTCGTTGGCTCATTCTTCTCGGCAGATCAAGAGACCATCTACACAGTCTCAAGAGATGGTGCACTATTTGTGTGGCAATATAGGCCGCTCTACAAGGTGAATGAAGAGTTGCCTGATGTCGAGGAAGACACGAGTAATATTGACGATGATCGGAAACATCGATGGATCATTGTTGATCGGTACTACTTTCATCAGACTCCTGCAAAGCTCAAATGCTGTACATTCCATGCACGCAATAATTTGTTGGTTGCTGGATTTTCCAATGGACTCTCTGGCATCTACGATCTCTCCAATGGCGGTTTTGCCATGATTCACAATTTGTCCATATCGCAAAACGCTATCGACAATGTCACCATCAACGAGTCTGGCGAATGGTTGGCCTTTGGCGCTTCAAAGCTCGGCCAGCTGCTTGTCTGGGAATGGCAATCCGAATCCTATATTCTCAAGCAGCAAGGGCACTTCGATGCAATGAACGCTGTGACGTACTCGCCGGATGGCCAACGAGTCGTCACTGCTTCAGAAGATGGCAAAATCAAAGTCTGGGACATTCGGTCTGGTTTCTGTCTCGTCACCTTTGCAGACCATACTTCAGCCATCACTGATATACACTTTGCAAAGAAGGGCAACGTCTTGTTCTCCTCTAGTCTAGATGGCTCCATCCGTGCATGGGACCTTGTCCGATATCGCAACTTTCGCACATTCACAGCACCGGAGCGTGTGCAATTCAGCTGTCTGGCTGTAGACCCTGCTGGCGAGATTTGCTGTGCTGGTTCAACGGATTCCTTTGACATTTACATGTGGTCTGTACAAACTGGACAACTCATTGATACGCTGTCTGCACATGAGGGACCTGTTTGCTCATTACATTTTTCTGGTGAGGGTGGTGTGCTTGCTTCTGGCTCTTGGGATAAGACTGTACGCATCTGGAATGTCTTTAGCCGCAAAGTGACGGTTGAACCATTGACGCTACAAACGGAGATCCAAACACTGGCCTTTCGTCCAGATGGAAAGGAAATTGCCGTGGCTACGCTTGATGGTCAAGTATCCTTCTGGGATGTGACTGAAGCAGATCAAAAGACAGTCATTGATGGACGACGTGATATCTCTGGCGGCAGGAAACCCGATGATCGCATGACGGCAGCCAACAATGCCAACTCAAAAAGTTTTCGCAGTTTGTGCTATTCCTCTGATGGATCAGCCGTGTTGGCCGCTGGTAATAGCAAGTATATCTGCATCTATGATGTCGACTCGGGTGCACTCATCAAGAAATTCAGCATTTCGAGTAATACGTCTTTGGTGGGAACGCAAGAAAAGCTCAACTCGCGCAACTTGACGGAAGCTGGACCGGCAGAGCTATTGGATGAGCGGGGTGACTTGTCGGATGACGAGGACAGACGACAGGAAACACTACCTGGGGCATCTCGCGGTGACTTGTCTATGCGCAAAGTACGGCCTGAGGTACGGACACGCGCTATTCAATTCTCGCCGACGGGAAGGGCATTTGCTGCTGCATCGACGGAAGGATTGTTGATTTACGCATTGGATGATGCATTTGCATTCGATCCGTTTGATTTGGACATTGAGGTCACGCCAGCCACGACGCGCGAGGCTCTCGAAAAGTCGGAGTACCTCAAGGCACTTGTCATGGCATTCAGGCTCAATGAGACGTATCTGCTACAAACTGTGTTTGAGGGTATTCCACACAAGGACATTGAGCTGGTAGCACGCGACTTGCCCGTGGTCTACTTGACGCGCATGCTCAAATTCTTGGGCAGCGCCGACGAGTCACCGCATCTCGAGTTTCGTTTGCGTTGGATCGAAGCACTCTTGACGAGTCATGGACGTGTAGTGCGGCAGCAATCGAGTTCGTTTGCAGCAGAACTACGCAGCCTCGCCAAGACTGTTGTACGCATTGAGAAGGATTTGGTGGAAGTGGCAGACATGAACAAGTATGCACTCGACTACATCTTGAGTCGGCGAAGTATTGCCAAGACGGAAGACACGGAAATGGAGGAGGCATTTACTGGTTTTGATTAGATGCTGGAGCATGTCCCAAGTAGCGCAACACATAGCCTGCATCAACACTACCTTCTGCTGGTTTCCGTTCCTTGCCGTACTCTGCGAGTTGCTGCTTTACTTTGGTGACGAGCTCAGAACGCTGCTGGACAGAAGGCACGGCTGCTCCACGTTTCCGCTTGACGCCAATGGAGACATCCACCTTGTTGCCTTTTTTGAGAGCCTGTAAGCCAGAATCCAATTTATGTTCCAAATCGTGATCCGTGACGTTCCAACTCAAATTGACCTCTTTCGTCACTTGAGCAGGGTTGGAGGTGCCCTTCTTGGCACGTTTCGTGGCATAGGCCTTTGTCTCTGCCTCTTTCAAGGCATCCAAGGCGAAGAGACGGCACGTAGGTATCGCCTGAGACGGTGTCATATTGACGAGCGAATGCGTTGTGGCATCATAGGCTCTTCTTACTTGAGACAAGGACAGAGTACCCTGGAACTGTCCCTCTGCATTGACAAACCGGATTTGGCTAGCAGTGATATCTCTGTCTCGAGGCGCTTTAGTATTTGTAGCATAGGTTCGAGCACCAAGCCAGGCTCTGAGCTTGAGCGAGGCTCTGCACAGGGAGCATCTAGCATTGAAAGCAGCGAGCATAACAGTTATATGGTGAAGCAATAGCTGGCTGAGTCCTTGCTTCCCGAGATGATTTGTCGTCGTTGCCTTCTCACGCATTTTTTGGTACTCAACGCGACGCGACACATTCGACCTGGGGATACTTGACAAGTTCTGTGCAGTCTGCAGTATTGACTCAGCTACTGTGAAGGTCTCCATGGCAAGATGACACAGAGCCAGCAGAGCTTTTCGCTGCCGTCTGCGGACAAGCAAAGGCTTCAGCTGGCGGCCGACGGCCAATTTGATGCTTCATCAAAAGGCGACCGAGAGACTCGAGCGCCTAAAGGGACTCAAGGCTTTGCAGTCCCGGCCAGTCGACCAAATACAGCTGGACTGAGTGAAGGCGATGGTCAAAGTCTGGACATTGGCTCTATTCTTATTCAGCCTTACTCTCAGTCTATAGACCAGACTCAGGAGGATACGCCGTCATTCAAGCAGCAAGTTGACAACGCGCCAGTGATGCAGCGGCCGCAGACTTTCCAAGAGGACTACTTCGAAGCTTCTGCTTCTGGCTTGGAAGGACTGGTACCGAGAGATGCGTCCACTGCGAAGGCCAGAGATACTGTCCCTGCCTCTTTTTCGCCTCCCTCGAGTTTTCGTCGACCGACAAGTCCTTCGATCGACAGTCAGGTGCCTGTTCGCTTTGAGGAATCGCCAGTTACCAAGATAGATGCCGAAACTCCAGCTTTGGCGCGCACAAAGAAGCACGAAACACCTTCAGGCCTGGGCAATTTGACCCAAATGTTTCAAGCTTCGCAAGATACGCCTGAGCTTTCGAGGCGTAAATCAACATATATCTCTATGAAGGAAAGTCAGGAACTGCGCAATCTCAAACGCCATGCGTCAGCTTCAGAGGATGAAGACTCTGATCCAGAATTTCAGAAAGTTCGCCGAGCCAAGAGTCCAGCAAAGAAGTCTCAGCCAAGTGATCCTCTCTGGGGAAGGCTCCGCGAGCGTCAGGCACAATCGTTGATCCCAGAGACATATCAAGATATATCTGTCATTCCAGCATCTGCACCCCTGGAAGATCGAATAGACCCGGCTCATCGCTCGCAGCCTGTCTCTTTGGTGGACAACTCTCAAGTTGGTGTCAACACACAAGCGAGCAGTAAAGCTGCGGCTAAGACAATAGACTTTGACATTCAGAGCTTTTCTGCGGAAGTCACGACCAGTGAGGAGCCACGGCCACCGGCACAAGAGTTTGACCTTGTGAGCCAATCACCGCAGCAAGACACGACGATGCTCAACGCTACAGGTAGTGCTCTCGCTTCCGTGTCTGTGCAGGATACCCCAGCTATTCCACGAATTGCACCGACCCCTGGCGTGACGAGGCACAATCGATCGATAGCAGAAACGCCCTTTGTCCGGGATGGGTCGAGTCCAGTCATATTGGCTGGCAATCGACGCAAACGTCGGAAAACAGCTGAAATTACAGCTTCCAGCTCTCCGGCGCCAATTCTTGTAGATGAGCGTCAAGTCTTGGAAAGTCTGAGTCAAACGTTTGATAAAGTGCTTTCGCCAGAACACAGTCGGCAAGTGCCAGACAGTGTTGCGCAGACGTCGACCGATGTGCTTGTTCCCATCAAGACTGCTCCTCGACGACCGCAAGATTCCCGTATGGTTGTCCTTGACTCTCAGACTCAGCCGAAGCCGACGCCAGAGACTGTTCGTGAGGCATCGCTTTCTGTTTCACCAGAGCAACGTACATCTCCCTTGACGAGCTTGGATTCAGCAGAAATGATGGATCATATGCCAGTGGCGCAAGAAGACGTGCATCACGACCCTGCACTGTCGCATCGTGTGTTGGCCTATCATGCACCTTCAAAATCTTGGTTTCCCGGATCTGTTGTCGGTGATGTTGCCAAGGATGCTGAATCTGTTCATGTTCTCTTTGACGATGATGATGAGCTAGAGGTACCAATCGAATCACTACGTGCGCTGCGACTCTTCTGCGGCGATATCGTCCGGGTTTCTCATCCAGCGGCACTGCGAAAGACTTCTCTCGTTGTAACAGATTTGATCAAGCTAGATCATGTCACAAAGACAGATGATCAAGGTTTCGCGCAATTCCGAGCACACAAACAGAGCAGGAAGTTCGAGTCGTATGTTTTGAATGTCAGCTCACTTTGGCTACGGGTAGGTAAACTGGTGGAACCATTCTTGGGAAGACCATGGAAGCTGCCAGTTGACGCTCTTGTCCCATCCTCTGCTGTTCCAGCACCTTCACCCATACCCATCACACCTTCGAGAAGGGATGTTTTGGCACGGACGGTGCGCAGTACTTCTCGCTTGCCCACACCTATGCCAGCACTTCGGACGCAAGGAAGTAGTGGCATTTTCAACGGCATAGCTTTTACCTTGACGCTCGTGAAGAGCACAGAAAAGCTTCGCCGTGCCCTACGCCAGCTCATCGTCGACCATGGTGGCATATTTCTGGAAGATGGCTTGTCAGAGTTGTTTGATGAAGGAGAGAGTCTTAAGCCACAGCCCTCCATTTACAATGAAGACAGCTTGGAAGAGCAGTCTGACGCAGACGAAATCACAAGTGATTGTTTGGGTTCTGCAGATGGACGCGTATCGTTTGGTACGCTTCGACTTGCACCACGCTATGCATCGTTGCGTGCAGCTTGTGTCATCTCAGATGCACCCTCGAGAAAAGCCAAGTATTTGCAAGCACTTGCTCTTGACTTGCCTTGTTTCCACTACGCCTATATCCAGCATTGTGCGGCTGCATCGCAACAATCTTCGAGAATGCACAGTGCTCGACCCTATCTGCTGGCCGCAGGAGATGCAGTGCTCGACAAACGGCCCTTCAGTATCTGTATGGATCCAATCATCAAATCATTGTCCCTTCAAAACGACTCTGCGACACTCGCAAGCTTACTCGAACAGCGAAGACAACCCCTCGCTGGACAGCATTGTATTGTCGTTGTTGGCAGAAGAGATGAAGCCGTGCAACGCAAGATTCACCTGTTTTTAAGCCGTGCTATGGGTTGTGCGCGTGTCGCTGCAGTCGAGACGATTGCCGATGCTGTAGATCTTTTCATGCAGTCAAGACGGGCTGAGCTGATCAAAGAGCCTTGGAAGGGAATAAAAGGCTCAAAGGGACGGCGGGCAAGTCAGCGTGTTGGTCGCCCGACATCAAAATATGGTGCAAGCACATTGGCATCGGCCCAGTCTGTCCATGAAGGTGATGACGAGACGATAGCTGAGCAAATTATTTGGCACTGGATCAATGTTCGTGAACACTCCAAAGAAGTGGAAGAGGCCATGAGGCAACTCAGTGGCGAACTCGCTCGTGGTCGGCCAGCGCATGCAAAGGCGAAACCGAGACGGAGGGGCCATGGTGTGGTAGCAACACAAAAAGCTGATACGGTTGACATGCCAGGTATCTTAACCAATGAAGATGTTGTACAGAGTCTCATCTGTGGTGAAATCATGCTTACCGCACAGACATAGTGGACTGTTTGTGTACATAATGCAAAAGAAAGCAGGTAAATAGAACGCTGTCGCTATCAATCAAGTACGCTCAGAGGAATCCACAAAAGAAGCATCAAACTCACGCCGCATACGCTGTGCAGCGGCCTCGTCAAGCGCAGTCGCTGTATCGCCTAGCGCTGCAGCATTGCGCGAAAAGTCTGAGACTTCTGTGCGACCGTCCTTGTATGTTCGTCTCACAGAGAATCGACCTGTTTGTCCTTGCTGCGTCACAACTTGCTGAGAAATGATTTCGAGCTTGATGAGATCATCTGACGGATTGCTCTGTTCTTCCTCTTGTCTGACTGGATATGCATCAAATGGAACGCCCCGCCGCTGCTGTGCTTCTGCAGCATGTTGCAAATCTGACGAGCGGCGATGCTCAAAGACTGCATGCCGATGAGCCGCGCGGGCTGCTGCAGACTTGCCAATTGCTGCGAGGAGCTGTTCCTCATTCAAAAGCCCTCCTTTGCGTCTGTCCCCCTCTGATTGCCCTTGATGTTGAGTCTGAAGTGCTGCTTCTGACTTTTGAAACGCGGCAAGTAATTGGTCTTCCGTCAATGGGCCGGCCCTCTTTCTCTTCTGTTCGAGTGTCTCATGCGGCGGCACGGCGGCATCAAAAAGATCAGAATGCGCAGAAACGGCTCCATTGAAGGGGTTCTCTCGCTCTTTTGCAGAGGTCGGTTGACCCGCACCTCTTGCCATCCGTGTAGATGTCCGTCCGGTAAGTAGATGACCATAGTAGTCGCCAAAGAGCCATCGTCTGCTCCAAAAGTGCAGCATTGCATCTTCAGGCAGTATGGCCACTTCCCAGCCTGGATAACACAAATCAAACAGAGTACTGCCATCCGGCAAATTGAGCACCTCGCGACGGCGCGGATCTAGCGCCAGTAGTTCTTGTTCTGCAGCAGCAGTCGCAGTCTCAAGCATCCTTGTAGCCTGGCTACGCGCGGGCATGGGCCCTGCATGCAATTGTTCGCGCGACTGAGCCGCCGGCATTGTGAAAATGGCGACAATGGGGTCGCCGCGCTTCCATTTTCTTTGCGGCGACCAGAATCTATCCCTTGATCTTGCAGCAGAAGATGATTGCCTCTGCTGATCGATGGTAAACGGCGGTTGCTGGCTGCTTGGCGGAACAAAGGGCAGCCCAATCAAGTCCTTAACGTGATTGCGCGACCATGCAGTGATCTCTCGGAAATGTTGGCGGAAAAAGTCCCTCAGCTTGGACTCGTCTCTGCCTTGGTCATCACCTGCCAGCGGCATTGCTCCTGAGCGGGCCGCCCTGTCGAGTTCCCGTCTTGAAATACTTTAGGTTTTGGGGTAGCTCGTCCGTTGCGAGTCCTGACGACTCGAACTCAGACGACTCGAATTCAGACGACTCGAATCCAAGCTTTTAGCTATAGACTGCGACGATCAAAGCGCTACGAAGAGCTAGAGATGAGAAGACAGAAATGTGAGCTGCCATGGTGCTACAGCTGATGCTGGAGGGCCGCAAAGAGTCTGGTGGCCCAGTGATTCAGTCAGTGGTGTCGAGTGGTCCTACAATACACATATAGTCATCAAGCGACTGTGCTGCATTTGAGATGGGCTTACCACCACATGGCTCGACTCACATCATCGCATTGACCGCTGTGGGCTTACATTGCCAAGGGCGCGGGCTGAGCAATGGCCTCCCGCCTGTGTTGCCCCAGTGCAACCTCCAAAGACAAGAGGCTGCTACTGTGTTGCACTATCATTGTGTTGCTCGACTCGACCAGCGCTTCGAAGACACGATATCTGCGCCGTTCGTCGTTGGACCTTTGCAAAACTCAGTGAGCATAGCGCTTGTGCTCGACGCAGTTACAGCCAACAACCTCAAAAGGCCAGAGGAGATCGCCATGTTCTCCTTGCGGTTGGTCACAGTGGAAGAGGAGCTGACTGAGACAGTCCTTCAGCTTGACAGTTCTACTATTTTCAGTCCTGCGGGATGTTCCTCACGACTTTGAACACATGTCGGGGTTCTATCTGCGCTTTGTGGTAAGGAGCCTGAGATTAATACTGCAAGTGACTCTCTTGGAATAGAAAGCGTACTGTCATGGATCATTACACGCTGGTCTCGCACTGTTGAGGCTCATTGGTCCTTCAGATACATGAATAATCAATGCTTTTTTGATTCGAGGATTTTGTGTCGAACTCGGACGCTGAATAAGGGCAGATCGCAATGGCCTTCTTTTCGACCTCACCATCCCAGCAGAGCCGCCTCAGATCTATCGTATAGATCCATGCTCTCGATCCACCAGCGGATGCCATTGGTGGTAGTAGGCTTTGAGCATGCATTGTTCATGCAATGAAGCGTGCTGCCGAATTGAAGATCTGCCTCGCTCAACCACACGTACACTTGGCTCAGTTTCATCCGGAATCTGATTGTTTCCGTCTGGTCTTTTCGAAGTCCTTTCGCAGTGATGCGCAAGCTTTTTATTAGCACAGAAAACAGGTCGCAGACGCTGTACTGACCTTGTACGTGGAAGTGCTTCAGCAGCACCGTCTATCGAGTGATATGCGGCGTTCAGAGAGGGTTGACTGAAGGCCACTGACCTAGCATATCAGCAACAGGAGTCTTTTCTGAGCTCGCCACTCACTCTCTCCAGCTTTGCGGGTCCATTGCGGGATCAAGATACATGAAGATTCTTGTCCAGTTGAAGTCCATGGGCGACCAAAGCATCTGCCGACTGTTATCAAGTTCACTCTTGATGCACCTGTAGGCGTGAGTACGTCGGAATTGGACAGTTGCACACCTTACCACATATTTTCCAAATCGCGGCCCCGGTTCTCAACACACGGATGACCATACACTTGTAAAGACAAGTCTGAAGTCTTGTCGGGTTCAGCATGCGGCTCCAGTGATAAGTCGAGAAAGAAAGAGTTACTCGATGCTGGTAACAAGATTGTGTGATTGACTTCAATCAGCGCTTCAAAGTAGACGATCTCTACACCTTCTGCAGTCGGGCCCATGGTGATGGATGTGTCGACTGCACATAACATCATGGCCTTCAAAGCCAGCCAAATGGAAATGGTCGCAAGCAGCACCATCTAGTGTGAAAAATTTGCTGGTGACAATGAACAGCACACGCGCGCACATTCAAGTACAGCGCATGGTGGTCAGTAAATGTGGCGAGCATATGTTTGTTGCCACTCCCATGTTTCAAGAACTCCTCATTGTCCATATTGGTCCATGTGAACATTGTGAAGCTACAGACGTGGCTCCTGTCAAGTGTTTGCTAGTCAGAGGTGCAACATGGCAGCCCCTGAATCTTTGCTGTCATGACCCACTCTGGTCGCTGTTCAAATCTGGGTGTCGCTTCGGATGAGTTGAGCTTAACAAGAGCAGCTGTGCTTGCACTTGCAGATGTACTAGGTGCAGCGGTCCGTTACCAGTCGCAATGTCAAAAAGTATCAGCTCGATTTCAAGACCTCCAAGGTCTCCCGATGGCAGACGAAAATAACCTGGCGTCACAAGCAGCCTTGCTGCCTCAGGCAAGTCGAAGCTACTCTAGGCAGCTTTTCGTACCGTCTTGGCAACTCGCAGCACTTTCTGCTTGCAAAACGAATGGCAAGCGACCGTCAGCTCTTGCACTTATGGAAGCGCTGCTGCACCTTCACAATTACTGGATCAAAGCAATTTTGGCAAAATGAAATTGCACCAGGCCATTTTTGGCTTGGTTCTGCTACCTTCGCTGGAACTACAGGCCGCTGATGATGGTGCAAGCAGCTCCACTGCCCACAGTGCCTTGCCAAAGGATGATCTACTATGCGCAGGTGTGACTTTCAATCTCTGGAGAGTCGTGTCAAATCCAGGTCTCAGCTGTCAGGATGTTTGCGATACTTGGAGGCAGCGTTACTGGATTCTTTATGGTGGAGATATCTGCGACTTTCGTAGCAATGTCTGCGTTTGCCTATATGCGGGACCAAATCATGAAGAACTACAGCGAGTTATCAACGGCAAAGGCAAGGGGCCTGCAGGCAATGAGGACATGGGAACATTTGGTATCATACCAGTCGCTCTTCACCATTTGTACCTTCCGGACGCTTCCCCGAAACCACTCTCTTCTGGCGCCACAAGCTCTGATCGCCAATTCCGAGGCATGGCCGATCACTATCTCGACTTTCTTGCCCTTTACCCCGTAGCGCTCGAGGCTTGGCGACAAAGACAAAGGAAAGCCATCACGAGTCTGCTGACATTTGAGCAACTCTCTAATCAGATGGAGCATGAGCTGATGAAGGTTGGATCGTGCAAATGCGGCTTGTCATTCGAATACCTGAGCTTCTACATTGGGACAGGAGAGTCAAGCACTGCTAGCGGCGCGGCAAATCCTGCGCTAGCCCAATGCGCGTTGGATACGGCACTGAAAAGACACTTCGTTGATGGCTGGCTGGGATATGCCCAATCCGATTCTCATGTGAAGCCGTACACCATCGACACAGAGCTGTTCGGATGTCGCGACTTTGCCGCGACGGTGACAGGAAAACGATCCTGTGACATGCCGTCGCAGGGTGATTGTGAAGTCGTGCGGTCTTCGCCCTCCAACTTCTTCGGCAACGGACCATTTGGTGAACACTATGGCGAAGACGATCAGGACTCTGAAGCTGAAGTTGAAGCGTCGCAGCATCCAGGAGATTACGGGGATAGCTCAGACTTTGACTCAGACTTTGATGAAGAGGAGCAAATGGCAGCGGCAGACGATCACATCGAGGCAGTCCTTGATGAACAGGAGCAAATGGCAGCGGAGGACGGTGCAATCGGGGAAGACATGCATATGGCTGACGATGCGAACGTGATACCACCACAAACTCCTACACGAGAGGACCACCGCGTGGAACGCGAAGACTCCGAGACTGATTCGTAACAACCTTCAGATGGTGACCTGAGTGACTTAGCCTCTCATGCAGGCGACTACCACGGAGCATACTTTGATGGTGAGGGTTTGGCAGAGGTAGGCGATCCGATGGAGGGAGACATGCATATGGGCGACGATGCTGACGAGGGCCCCCCAAGAACTCCTGGGTAAACAGATTTGGTGTGAGACACCTGCCATCTGTGGATCCACGTCATTCTAGCGATTGAGGGCCCTTGGTTTCCAGAGCCGCTGGATAATGTCAACTTGTGTTGTTCAGCGACTGAGTTGGCTCGTTTTGAGAAGACCCACATAGTTCTACGCGCATACTTATACAATTTTCAAATGCTAGACTGTATTGATCTTGTGCTCGGAGGAAAACCCTGGCGCATGGACGGTTTGGCGCACACGACCAAGTAAATAACACGTCTTCAATATGCGTTGTCACTGTAGCTAAGGGCGCAATGGAGCTCGCTCTTGCGGAGATGTTTGCTAGAGACAAGCCTTATCTATCAGTCATAGCTAGAAAGTATGGAAAAGACCTGTAGAACTAAATGCAAAGTCGTGCTCAAAGGCTTGCGTCAGAAATCTCAACCGCAATCGTCTCTCATGAGCCTGAGCATCATGAAAGCGCACGATTCCCGATAGGCTATGAGACCTTGTCTCAAGCTCACGAGATTCGCACCTTCGTGAAGCAGGTCTCTGCAATTGCGAGATCTTCGCCTGGCCAATGATACGCTATCAAACAGCTTGGCTACAATGACAGAAGATCTTTAGGCGGGTAGACGGTAGTGATTGCCAAGACAACCAAAGCAGCCCGAAAGGAAGCTGTAGCGCCGAGGAAGGCTGACAAGGACTCTTGAATCCAGCAAAGACGTAAGGCGTGTGCAGCAGCTATTGTTGTTTGCACTGCGATGAGCGCTTGAAAGAAGGCCGCTAAAGCTGACAAAAGACGCAGAAAGAAGCTGATATGGTATTAGTTACAGCAGTTCGCTTTGTTGCAGTGGCATGTGCAGTTGAGGGACCCCTCGTGCAGCTCACGACACGATCTGGGCGTGTTGGCGTCCGCCATGCACACAAAAGGATTTGAAGCACTGTACTGCCAAAAGATTGATGAAGTACCCTAGAGCAAAGTATGATTATGATTGATATCGCCTCAACTCACTTATAGCTATACCAACTTTTAGCGCTCGGAAAGAACGTGCGTCACGTGGTCGACTTGGAATACTCGTCGAGCGCATTTGACGCAAGACGCGAGAAAAGACAAGCTCAAGGAGATCTGCTGCAGACTCAATTGATGACGCGATCGCGCCTGATATCTTGACACTGGCCCTAGCTCTCTGCTTGTCTACCGTTGCTGCTGAAGTTTGCAAGCTTGAGTACATTCCAGCTGCTAGCGCTGTAGCAACTACTGCTAGCTATAGCACAACTTAGCTGTAGCTTGCGGCATGTCGTGCTCCTTGGACAGGTTTGTGGGCAACAGCCCGAAGCCGACGATGATCCTGCCGTTTCAAAAAAGCTTTTGCTTCATTGCAATGCTGACTGGGCCAGTGGCCTTGAAAACTAGCCATGTTGGCCGCGAGTGGAGTGCTCGCTTGTAAAGATCTCCGATTCAAAATGTGGGTGGGCTCTGCTTGTAGCATGCAAGCCATTGAATTCGGTGGTTTGCAGACACTTCGTGCACTTCACAGCTGCTCATCTCAAGTACTGGGAGATGATGCGGCCAGGCGATTTGCAGACTCGGCAAGGGGCGATCGACAGGCTCGAGAAGGGATACTCAGACTTCCAGAGCCCTCGATCAAGTATGAAGGGCGCAATTCGCAAAAGCTAATCCCAGGGACACATCGGCACAAAAGGAAGCTATGGATGCCTATTGATATATTCCTCGTGAACCATCGAGGCCCGCAGCAAGGCTCAAGAAGTCATGCGCAATGCGTCAATTCCAGTTGTGCTCCAATGATGAGGACCGATGTTGTTTCTATCTGACATAAGCGCAGTCAAGAGTGTAGACTAAAGGCATGGGCCTGTCTCCTGAGCTTGATCTCGACGCGGCATTTTCGACCAAAGCAAACGTTGTAGACTTTTCGCATGCAGAACTCACATTTTTTCAAGGGCTGCAGCGCACACGTTTTGCTTATCATGAGTTGCCCTTGCTACACTCTGTAGTATATGCAGGGTCCATGACCCGCGGCAACATCTGGGCAGCCGCAAGGTTGGCGATTTTGACTGACAGGCTTTAGTCTTTAGACTGGTCTTGTGCTTGTGCCAACTCAGAGCAATTCTAGAGAGCAATGACATCGCGCTGGTATCACATCTGTGGAACCGTTGGACTCATCCTGCTTTTCCTGTTTAACTCTACAATCTCCGATGATGAAGGCAGCTCAAGTGCGCAAGACTTCCCTCACACATGCGCAAAAGTCAGCTTCTATGTCTTCAAGGTGGTGCTAAAGCCGGTGATTTTGGAATGTCCGGATGTCTGCAAGATACAGAAGTCATTGTATGAATACGCTTACAGTACGCAAACGGACATTTGCAATATGGGTGTCGATACTTGTATTTGTCTCTCTGCAGAAGAGATACAATCTCCTCAAAGCCCCACCCGCGGTGATAAAGGCAAAGGAAAAGCTGTCCAAAACATGGGTCCGGTGCCAATAGTTCCCGAGCCCTTCGCCACTTGGGACGCTGTCGTTCATTCTGTTGCTCCCGGTGGCACTAGCTCGCACCTTCCGGAGCTCCAAAGAAGGATGAATGACATAGCTGTATATTTAGCCAACAAATATACGACTTACGCTCAAGACGAGGCTGAAAGCAGCAATAAGCGGGCGGCTCATTCTTCTGCTGGCACTTCCTCACGAAAACGACCGCGCATGGACGAGTTACCCGATTTAAACAGGGCACCTGGAGTAGAGGTGTGCAAATGCAGCCTTTCAATCGAATACCTACAGTACGGTATCCCATCAGTGGGTACTGTTTCTAGTGCCTACTGGTTCACCTTTGCTGGAGCTGAGCCGCACATCTGCAATTTACAAATAGCAGCAAAGAGGCATGCTCTGGATGGTTGGCTGGTCGGATATGCCGGTAGCACCAGCCCGGGACCGTATGCAATTCATTCTAGACCTTTCGAATGTCAGCATCCCCTTCCCTTCGAGGAGCTTGGTCCACGTCTCTGCGATATCAACCCTCCAGAATCTCAGTGTCGCTTGGTACACGCGCTACCCGACTTGGCTCGCAATCGTGACATCCCTGTTGGCGCCGATCAAGTGGAGCAAACCATACCTAGTGAAAACCATGCGCAGAGCAATCTCCGAAAAGAATCCGAAGGTTATACCATCCAGACTCTTGCGTCCACAGCTAACGATACAGCCGATAATATCTTCACCCAAAGCGAAAATTATGACAGTCAACAATACTCTCTGGATTCTCTCGAGGTATTTGAGTCTGACACATCAACCTCAGACGATGATACAGATTTCTCTTCAGACTTATCTGATTGGTCAGACGACTCGTCAGAGGGTTCATCAACTGCAGACGATGATACAGATGTCTCTTGAGACTCATCTGCTTGGTCAGACGACTCGTCAGAAGCTTCATCAGCTGTAGACGATTCTCTGTTCATCTAGACGTGATTGTTGACTGCAGTGATTTAGATAGATAGTGTCACGACTATTGCTACAATCAAGTCTGCTTTACTCAGTTGGCTTGACAATCACTCGTAAAGCAGAACTTTTCATGCGTGGGTTCAGCCTTAATAGGTTCGTGCTTTCGTTGCCGTTCATAGCATTCCAAGCTGCTGAATTTGGCTTGGAGATGTCTTCAAACTTTCGAGATTGATGTTCCAGACCTATGACACGCTATCTAAATCGCAAATCTTTACTTTGTGTAGCCTAGCTGTCTTGCACGTTTCAAATCGTAGAGATTCAACTCTTTGATCATCCAAGTTTTACCGTCTTCCTGCTTCTCAGCTGTGGAGCACCCAAAGTCTGGCATGCAAGGATTAGATTTGAGGAAGTTTTCATCTGACTGGTTCAGCAAAATTGTGACATCTGTGAGCTTCATAGGATTCCTGTCTGTTGTGGAGCCGTCTTCTCGAAATCCATCGGCCATAATGATCACTCTTGGCGTCAGCACGGCATGTCATGATGCTAAAACTCACGAAGTTCGATCGATCAGCGCCGCATTGTTGTTCTTGCTCTGGTAGTGGATGAATGGGTCGTTGAGATTGAATGTGCCCATCCTATTTTGTTAGACCATCGAAAAGAGTGTAGAGCGCCTACTGTTGCCAGTCATGCATGAACTCCACAAAATTGAACTTGTAGGTGAGTAATTCTGTTGATGGCCATGGGATTTGCACAAGGTTGTTTCCCGCATACAGGAGACACCTTTTGTAATCAGCAAAACTTACACAGAAGATCGAAACTCTTACCATTGCGGCTGAGCTGTGTCTTGGTTGTAGCATGGCTCGCTTTGCACTGAGATCGATACGTAAAATGGCAAAAAACTGTCAGGATGCTTGGGATCTTTGATCTTATTCGAGAAATAGGGCCCTAGCGAGACGGAAAGGGAAAACTTGTTGTGCCAGGGTAAGGTGAGCATTGTCGGATCCACCACAATCGTGGCTTCGAAAGCGGTGATGCGGACTCCTTCCGACACGGGACCAATCTCGATATTTGTGTAGTAACCGCGGGCAGATCCCGCTCCAAAGACTAACAACAGCAGAAGAACTGATGCGCGCAACGCCTGCATGTCTTGTTCGAAGGCTTGCAAAGTGTTGAGTATCGACGTTGTGGTATCAAAGGGTGTCGTGTCGTTCAGTCGAAAGTCTTCGCCTGTGAAGCTCCGTGAGCCTTGGATGTTATTGGCTGGTTGGAGTTGTGTTTGCTATTTGCTGATGTCTGCATGCTCATGTGAAAATACGGAAACTTCTCGCATGATTCGCGTGCTCAGGGCATCGAGTGCTCGTGATGCCACATGTGCCCTCCATCATTGCAATCGCTCTTCATATGCCAACAACGACTGCATTCGCATGCAAGCATCACCAAGTTTGCAGTCGGGTTTGCGTCAGCTGCATAGATATGATCGAGAGCATTATTCGGTTTTCAGGCGGCGCTGCTTAATGTCTTGTTCAGGTTTTGCCCCTGACTCAATTCACCCCTGGAGAATTTGTGGATCACGTGAACGACTGCATTCGCATGCAAGCATCACCAAGTTTGCAGTCAATTTTGCATCAGCTGCATCAATATGGTCGAGAGCAATACTCGTTTTGAAAGCGGCGCTGCTTAGTGTCTTGTTCAGGTTCTGCCCCTGAATCGATTCACCCCTGGAAAATTTTTGGATCACGTGCGCATCAGATTGCCATTGAAGACAGATAACCTTACGCTCAAGAGCTTGGAGAGGATCACAGTCTACCACCAAATGATGCTACCAAGTCACTTTGAAGCCACGCCTCATGACCGACAGATGTCACTTGGCAACGCGCATTTCGGTTGATCCGGCGGGCTGGCTGAAGTGAGAGCACTGATGAAGTACAAAAGCTTGACGAAAGTGCGACAGCTCATGCCAATATGAAGGCAGAGATGAAGCTACGCCAGCTGCAGGCCATCCTTGGCATCGTTCAGCAAATTGCACGGGTCGCCGGTACCAGTGACAGATATGAAAGCGACTTCGATACACTTGTCACTCAGATAACGCAGGCGGGCAAACGTGCTTGCTCAAGCGTTTCTTTCTCTCTCTCGAAACTTGTGCCGAATTCGTCGTCGAAGGAGTGCTCTCAGGTCTGCACGGACGAACTGAACTTGTATGTGTATGCATATGCGGGAGATATTTGCAACCTTGGTGCAGATGCTTGCATTTGCATGTTTGTAAAGGACAATCCCACAGAGCCATTGCCTGCGCCTGACGACAAAGGCAAAGGTAAAGCCGTTCAGGATATGGGACCATGTCCCATTCCCGTTTTCGGACAGTTTGGTGGTTGGGATGCTGCTGTTCATTCTTTCGTTCCTGGTGGCACAAGCTCTGAAACACCACGACTTTATAGGCCGCTTCATCACTTGATCAGCTCAATCGCCAACCAATATCCCTCAAAGAATCACCAGGAAGCTGGAAGCAGTACGGCACGAAAGATCCATTTCCCTGGAGGTACTTCTTCACAAGCACTGCCGAAGATTGATGTGCCGCCAAAACCTGGACAGATCGTTTGGGTAAGCACATGCCTTTGCAGTCTTATGGTTGAGTACCAGCATTATCGTGTGGAGTCGTCAAGTGCGTTCAGATTTTCTGCCTCAAGCAACCCGGCGGCTGAGCAATGTGCTTTACCTGAGGCAGCAAAGAGGCACGCTGTGGCGGGCTGGCAGCTCGATGGCCAAAGGACGTCTCGTACACCACCATTCGACTGTCTGCAACCACCTAAATTGGCAAGACGTGGCGATACATTCTGTGACAATGTGCTCACGGCACCTCAATGCCGTCGTGTGCACACACTACCACTCACTCTTTTTACTGCGCAACCGGAACCTGTTGGCATTGCTCAAGTGGAACAGTATCATGAGCATGTTGCCCTGAACGACGTGCCCCTAAACAGCGAAGAAGGGAACAGTGGTTATTCTGCTTCCGGTACTTCAGGGTCACGTTTTGAACTTCCAGATGATGTTGTCGAACCGTCTGATGTGGAATCCGATGATGAGGTGATTGACGTTGGTGATTACGCGGACGGTGAGCATGGTTCCGAAGATTCTCAGGTGTTGGATTACGGCGGAAGTGGAGTTGGGTATCTGGCAGATGATTCTGACGGATCTGATGCAGACTCTTCGGATGACGAGGAGGAGCATGCTGAGCTTGGAGCACAAGATGAGGCAAACCATGTTGAGCCTGGGCATGCACTTCAAAATGAAGCAGACCTAATGGACGACGACGATGTCGAGCTTGAGAATGAGATTCAGGGCGACATTGACTGGTTGGCGGAAAACAACTTCGAGGACGAGGGGTTTGACTCAAATGGTGAAGAGCACGACGCAGAGCAGGATCATGCTACAGACGATGATCATGTGGCTCAATCAGACGTCTCGTCTCATGCCAGCCCTTGAGCTGCCGGGCAAGGTCAAAGATGTGCAGAAGAACTTCTGAAGAAGACAGCGAGATGGCGTGAAAACTCCATATCTTAGTTTTATATCACAAAGAGCAGCTTTACAGGACGCTTCATCTGACGAGAGAAGGTTGATTAGCCAAGAAGCGAATGAGTCTTGAGCGGATTCTTCTACAGCGAGCAAGACTTGGTCTGACAGCGAGAGCTTGGCCATGGACAGGCGCTGCAGTTGAGTCGGCGTGAGAGCAAACTGGAGGCTGCTGAAATTTATTGAGCAGCAGCATAACCTCGCAGCCATGATCCTACGTATGCTTGCTCAGTAGATTACGTATGCTTGCTCATCTACTGAGCAAGCTGCTTGTCTGTGAATGTGCCCTATGACGGAGCTGGGCTGTTGATTTCTAGTATATGATTACTTCAAGCAAGAGACACAGCAATCGTCATAGGCCATTCCACGTCAACCACGCCTACCGACAGTACGTCCTTTTCCCTGCATCGTTTCGATGACCAGAAATTGGCGTTATTCAGTGTTCAGGCAGACTCATGTTGCAAGGGGGCGGGTGTAATGTGCCTGCCTTCTTCTTCCTTTCATTAAGAGCTCGCCGGGCTTTCTTTACTGTAGCCTTTCGAGTGTCAGAGAGAGGCGACATTCTTTCAACATAGAGTAGGGTATCATAAAAGGTCTCATCTATACTAAAACTCTGTCCCTGCTCGGATGTCTTTGCTCGCTGCTAGCATGCCCAATCCATAGACACCAGCAACGCCCAGCACACCGGCTTTCCATCCACGATACAACCCAAAGACACCATCTGCCTCTTGCCGTGCAATCCACCATGGCGTCCCAAGCATGCCTGTATAAGCACCCAGATGCACCATCGGTTTACGTGGCGGTGAGAGCTTCATCTGAGCTCTACGCAACAGTGTTTCAAGAGGTAGCCAGACGACCAGCTGGACAAGCGAGCTAATTGGCTCAAAGACATCTGCAAGAAGATGTTGTATAGCAGCTGGAACCGCACGTTCAAGAATAGTCGGCAAAACAAGCGGACCTGGACAGAAGCGGGAGGGTAGTTGTCGTAGTGTATGCACCAACCCGCGAGGCTCTGACGCTGGTGTTGCAATGATCCTGGTGCGTGCCATATCGAGCGGTGCGAGTAAAACAGCTGAGATGCTGACAGCCACCAGCCTCACCAAGAGCGAAAGATGACCATCGCTGGTGGGATCCAGGACAAGTGATGGGTCCGGAATACCCGCCAGTACACTGAGCGCTCCCGTCAGCCACCCCTCGATGCCTTCTTGCATCAATTTATAGACGAATGTTGTATTGGCTGCCTTGAACGAGCCAATGATGCCTTCCATGCGCCAGACATCACCCATGGTCGTGTGCAGCGAAGTTGGATAATGCGCCTTGAGCTGCCACGGCGGCCGCGTCACTGCATCGTCGTCATTTTGCTGTACATAGCCCCTGCGATCGGTTGCGCGCCGCTCAGGGATTGTCTGACGGCGGTATGCCGACCTCTCCCCTTCTCCGAAGTAATCCGGCTCTTCGTCCTCCTCCTCTTCATCATCATGGACCTCGTCATTGTCCATTTGCGCTGCTTCCTGTGCTAATGCTGGACTCAGCTGCTGAATCTGCATCAGTATCTTGGCATTTTCAAAAGGCTGAGCAATGAGCGTTGCGATATAGTCTAGCGCATAGAACTGAGCAAGTGCCGAGAGTGTCTCGACAGACGGTAGACCAGGCGCCTCTAGGTAGTCTTGCGCCATGAAGTCTGTGACGGTGGCGTTTGCTGCTGCAGCTGCGGCTGCGGCATATTCGGGCCTATCTATCGCAGATGCATAGGAAGCTGGCTGTGGGTTGTAGTAGGGTCTATACTGCGAGGGGCCTTGATGCGCCATCGTCCAGGCCGCGGATATCGTCAATGCTCAATTAGAAGTCGTCGTCGTCGTTGCTGTCAGATTTCAAATTTTGGAGCCTGCCAGGGGAACGCCTACGAGCTCCGGAGCTGTCTTCCTTCAGGAGCGAGGGCCTGGTGTACGAGTGAATGAGAATGCATACAAGTCTATCGATATATACTAGAAAGGCGTCCGTGACCTGTTCATCTGCACAAAACGATGCCGAGGTGATGCACGCAACGGCGGTGTCTGGCTGGTGCTACTCACCTGTCCCAGTTGAGACTTGCCTGGGTGGACAGCAACCGGAGCAGCACTAGACAATGGGACCTGTGGTTCAGCAGGAGACATGAGTGCAGCGACAGAGAGTCTCGCCAAGGGCGATGGTCCACCCTTCTCAACGCGTTTGCGTGTCGATACTTCTTGCGCTGATGAAGCACGCGTCCGGTCCCGGCCACGTACAGCTTGTCTGTCATCGCGCATGCGGCGTAGCTGTTCAATCAAGACATTGTTGCGTAACGACAGTTCTCTTGCTTCATCTTGTGCAGCCTGTCTGGCCACTTGCGCTTGTGCCACCGCCAATTTGTACCCAAGGCCACCTTCCTGCCTATTCTGCAAGAGCGCTACTTGTGCCTTGAGATCAGTGACTTCTGCCGACAATTCAGCGGCAGCGGATGAACTCTGTTGATATTGCTGTCGCACAAATTCAAAGTCCTGCGCTTTGCTCTCCGTGGACTTCTTTGCCCGTTCCAGCTCACTCTTGAGACGCGTATTTTCGACCTGCAGATACTCTGGCGCCGACTCTTCCGGCAATGGCGGCATCTGCAGCTTTTGAATCTCTTGTCGTAGATCCGAACGATCATTCTTTGCTTGACGCGCTTCTTCCAAAACCCGTTCGAAGCGCTTTTGTAATGTAGCCGCTTGCAAGATGGCCTCCTCCTTCTGCTCACCCAAAACACGGCACTCCTCTCGTAAATCATCGAATCGATCCATCATGCGTTCAATATCCGCTTCGAGCACGGCGATTCGTTCTTCGTCCGGGGTCTTGCGAGGCCAAATGCTGATGGTTTCCGTGGGCAGCAGACTTGGCCGGCGCTCCAGGTTGAAGGGTGAGATGAATTGTGCAGGCTCAGTAGCAACAGCATCGGACTTGAAGGCACTCAGCGTCAGCGGTTCTTCCGTGTGAACCTCGATTCCATCAATCTGCGTCACAAGAATCCGCGGCCGCACAGGCTCTTCATCCTCGCGCTTGCGTTTTGCCAAGGAGCTGGATGTTTGCAGTGCAGGCAATGGATCTAATTCCAATGGCTCACCACACAGAAATTGCGTCACGCGCTGAACAATGTCATGGACGTTGGTAGCACAAGACCCCGTTTGTTCATGGAGCATCGTTACTGCCGTCACAAGACTGAGTAGGTGTGCGTGCTCGCGCTTTGCATGCTCGACCGTGTTGGGCGCCATCAAACGAAGCATGGGTGTTGGTCTGCTGAATGTCAAGGTTGTATCCTCGAGCGCAATCAGCAAGTCAACATTGCGCGGGATGGCGTCGTTCAGGAGAATGACTTCCGCTTCGCCAATCGATGCATCTTGTGTGCTGACATCGGCCAATTCGATATCTGGATCTGTTTGACGAATGCGAAGACCGCGAAAGATGATTTTGAGGAGACGTCGTGCGCCTTGTGAGCAGGCAACACCCAGCGTCACGGGCTGATGCCGGAGCGCTTCAATCAGTTCAACGAGCAACTCAAACTTGCTGCTGGACTGGACGAGATACCACGCTTCATCGTATTCAGACATCTGAGTGCTTGGCATGTCATCAGAAATGAGGCCTGGATGCGTGCAGACTTGTTCGAGTTTGCGCAGGAGCTCGTGCATCGGTGCACTCTCGGTTGGGTTATCACAAAATGCCTCAATGGCCGGGGCATGATCCAAAAGTAGCGCTTTGTAGACAGTTGTTTGTATGGCAAAAAGCCGTACAAGGACAATATACTCTATTGGAGCATAGGTCTGCTGCGCTTCTTCCTCGAGAGCAGCTTTTTGTTGATGCGATACAATCTTATCGCGTAGTGATGCTTGCAAATCTGATTTCGGAGGCAGTATAGATTGGGCTTCTGCAGACATATCGCCACTCGGGGCATCACCTGAGCTCATCCTGCTGTGTGGAGGACAGACGAGCTTCTGCAGTCTAATCACGCGTTGACGCGTTGAACGAGTGTGTCACGCGAGCTGAAACCCAAATTAGCGTTGGACGTGGCCCGAAAGCTGCGAATGTGTCTAGCTGTAGATGAATGAGCGGCGATGAAAATGAGCTATCTGCTTGCCCAGTGAGAGTCTCTCCTGCGTGGCAGCTGTCCCTTGTTTCGTGCTTGGTCTGAAGTGTCGCTGCCAAATGACCTCGAGATTGCAATTTGTCGCACGGCGCAACATCTCGAGACCGCGACAGGCTACAGCTGCCTCCAAGAGTCCGGGGTACCAACTACACTCTTGCTCTGAACTGCCTTTGCGTGTGCTCGACACTGGCTTGTATAATTTGAGTGCTTGATACTGATCTTGACACAAGGCAGCTATCCTGGGCCTTTGACAGCAAGTGCTTTCTAACAACGGCCAGCCTGCCAAGCTACGTCATTGCTGCAGATATATATCAACAGGCTGTGCCGCTAGTCCGCATCATTGCTTAGTATAAATATGTTACCAAGAGCTGGCATTTGTCTGGGTCGAAGGTTGTTCTCTCGCTCTAACCTCAGCGCTTCTGCGTCAAGGGCATCTGTTGAGCTGCTAAAGGGGCACACGCCTTCATATCGCTTCGCTTCCTTCCAAGCCAGACAAGGTGATGCAGCCAGACAAATCAGAGCTGAAGAGTTGAGCAAAGAAGATATTGCTGCCAAGCATGGGCAGTTCTCATTCACAACAGCAAACTCACTCAAGCTTTTGCTGCCTATGCCCAATCAACAAGTCGTCGCCTTTCTACTACACACGCAGCAGCCTCTCAGCTACCTGGAAACGCTCATTCGCGCCGAAATTGAGGATGAAAAAACTCCCATCGTCTTTAAAGATCTCGCTAGACATGCACGGTGGTCGACGAGTATCGGTGTTGCCGACTTTATTCGCGAAGCAGCAGCCACAACGCGCTTTTGTATCCTCATTGGTGACGATGAAGTCAAAGTCAGTGTGCCCAGCTTTGAAGATCGGACACAGTACCTTCGCACACAGCTTGGTCGCGTGACTGAAGAACTGGATCGAGAGCACAGCATCAAGTACGAGTGTGACAAACTCGCAGCCAAGACAGCCAAGCAGTACGCATTGTATGTCGCAGGCGGCCTTGTCGCTTACTGGTGTGTTGTATTCAAGCTCACGTTTTATTCACCACTCGGTTGGGATGCCATGGAACCCATCACGTACATGACGAGTCTTGCGTGCTTGGTCATGGGCTATGTCTACTTTCTCTACCACAACCGTGAAGTTAGCTATTCCCAAGTTCTCAACACGGCTGCTTCTGCGAGACAGCAACGGTTATACCAAGAAAAGGGCTTCGACATGGTTCGATGGCGTGACTTGGTGGAAGAAGGTAAAGAATTGCGCAAAGAAATTAGACGTATTGCTGCTGAGTATAATGTCGACTGGGCAGAGAAGGATGACGCATATATCAGCAACAGGCATGTTCAAGCAACGAAAGTCTTGATGAAGGAAGCGAAGCGTGAAGAGGATCGCCTCAAAAAGAGGCCCAAGACGAGTCGTCAGGAAGATCTTGAAGACGATGGCATCATCAATGGCAGTAACGAGAATCCTTTGGACAGAAAGGCTCATTGATCCTATTGTAAGTGGTGTTGGTGTTTTCGGGCAAATCACGTCCTTGATCACCCTCTAACAGGGGTTGCCGACATCCGGCAGTCCTCTACTAACAATATTTGGCACATCTTGTTCAAGACTGGTAATAATTGTCAAGTTTGGGTCACACTGAAGTTTTCTCAGTCTTGCAGCGGCAGCAGCGCCTCCTAAGCGATTTCACTGGTCATCTAAGGGCGCAGCGCCTGTAGCCTTACGAAGGTTAGACAAGCTGACATAGGACAAATTTATGGCAATATTCTATATGTGAATCTATCCGAGAAGTGCACCACCAGTGTACTTCCAAATGACCTTGTACCAGACCTTTGGCTTGGCGTCTTCGATTGCTTGCTTCTCAATGTACTCATCATACTCGCTTGCAAAGTCGCGAGTACCAGAAACAAAGTCAATCTCGCTTGCTCGAACACGCTTACATCGTGTTGCAACTTTGTAGCCAAGAATGAGCATCAGGTAAAGAGGAACGCCGAGGTATTGGGTGATGAAGTTTTTGTAGTCAAACTTGTGCACCATTGTGTCGAATCCCTTGAAAATCGTAATGAGAATGCTGAAGAAGAGTGCGATATAGGTGCCGTATGGCTGGAAGGGAGCCGTGTACGGGAGCGAGCTCGGACTGATGTTTTGAGCTTTGAGACCTCGCCTGAAACCAATGTGCGCTTAAGAGGTTAGCAAATGAAGCATGAAGAGAGTGGATACGTACAAACGAGGATCGAAATCCATGTGAGAAGACCAAACACGCTGACCAGCTGAACGAAATATTTGAAGACCGTCTGACTGGAGCTCGAGACGTTCAGGTAGGCGAGAAGTGCAAAGAGCGAGGACACGCCGAGTGAAACATAGGGCAAACCCGACTTTGTGGTGCGAGCCAGAATGGCTGGAGCCTTACCATCTGCTGCGAGGTTGTAGAGGGTACGACTGGCAATGTAGAGATCCGAGTTGGCTGCAGAGAGGACAAAGAGGAGGATGCAGCCGTTGAGGATGTCGGGCAAAATCTTGATGCCACTGAGCTTGATGGCCACAACGAAGGGCGATGCGGCTGCACTGTTGGAACGCTTGTTGGCACCGAGCAAGTCTGGCGAGTTGTATGGCACAATGAGACCGAGCAAGAAGACGAGACCAATGTAGAAGATGAGAATTCGCCAGAATGTACGACGAATGGCCTTTGGCACATTTCGACGAGGGTTCTGAGCTTCACCGACGCAGACACCAACAAGTTCAGTTCCCAAGAATGCAAAAGTCGCTTGGACGGTGGTGGACCATACGGCGAGGAAGTAGCCCAAGTTGCCGCCAACAAGGTATTGCTTGAATGCACCTGGATTTTTCCAGTATTTGAAACCACCGGCTTGACCTGTTGGACCGGCACCTGCTGCCAAGCACACACACTGATATTAGAGAGGAGATGAGAGGAGGGGCACAAACCAAAATGAGCAGACCGCAAATGACCACCACTTTGAGGGTACTCATCCAGAATTCGACCTCGCCAAAGACCTTGACACCCAGAACATTGATTGCCAAGATCATGACAATAAAGATACTGATCCAAACAGCCACAGAAATATTCCTGTTCCAATATTGGATGACGAGGGCACCGGCCGTGAGCTGGTTGGGAACGACAATGATGTACTTGAACCAGTAGTTCCAACCAGTGGCGAAGCCAAGAGCGGGATCAACGAAACGAGAAGCGTAGCCAGTAAAGCCGCGCTGGTCTGGAAGCATGGTGGCCATTTCTCCGAGAGCACACATGACCATGTAGACGACGGCACCGACCAAGCTGTACGCCAGAAGCGTTCCAGCGGGACCAGATTTGGACAAAGCGCTACCAGTACCCTAGCCTTGTTAGAAACATGTTGAAAAAGACCTCACTAGCATACGATAATCCTGATGCGTTAGTTTGATTCTTGATGGGTGACAGACTTACAAACCGGTTCCGATTGCACCACCGAGGGCAATCATACCAATCTGCCGACTCTTGAGGCCTCTGTGGAGCTTCTCGACAGGCACTTCCTCTTGTGAGTCAAGTTTGCCCAAGGCGATATCTTGTTCTGCCTCGTAGATCTGTTCATGCTTGCCGACAGAGTTGTTGCCAGAAGCAGTTCTCTCCATGATGTGAGGGTTGGCTGAAGATGCAAAAATGGAGGAGTGGGGATGAGCTTGATATATAGGCCCACAAGGCCGAGCTAGAGCTGTTCGTCTGACTTTCAAGTTTCTCGTAGTCCAGCAGTGAAAGTTGAAAATTTGGCAGGCTGTGCTGTGCTGCAATGCAGTCCAACGATTCAGCTGTCAATCTCTCCGGATATGCCGCCGTAGATATGGAAAAGATGATTGGCTCAGGGGCCGCGGACAGATGCAAATCTTGAAATCCCACGCGGAAAAGGAAGCGGCCGTGCACATGGGCTCGCATCCGGTCTTATCAGGTTGACGCCCTAACTTTGTCATTGTCGTGTGCTGTAGCCATGGTCAGTGCGGTCAGGAGCATCCTCTAGATAACAAGATAACGGCCTGTCGGACAAATACAAAATATAAAGCTTCTGCTTATCTTGGCTCGTTCATGATTGCAGTGCTCGAGTGTCAAAATCGCCAATCTGAGAATCCCAACGCAATAGCGTGTACGAGCGCTACGAGGACGTTGCCAGATGTTCTAGTCTCTACACGAATAGATGGCTAGACATTGGTGCTGAAAGTCGGCGGCAGTTTTCAACTTCCAAATTTGAGAATGAGAAGCGGGGGCATGTGGGTCACCGCTTGTAAAGACTAGCAAGAAGGGTCCTACGGACTCCTACCCCAGATTGCGTTGACGAGGACGTCCACTGACGACGTTTGGCAGACTGATCATGATCCATGGTTCCATCGCCCGCCAGACAAAGGAGCGTCGAAAGCTGTGCCAATCGGCTACGAGCTCCTTGACTTCGCTAGTTGCCGTGTCTTTGGCCCACTACGAATACTAGTACTAGTGACTATCTTGGGAAGGTGGGAGCTACACTGCCACTATTGCACCATCCTTGCGCTAGACCTTCCAAGGTTGCTTGCTGGTCGATAGCATGTTGTCGACTGAGCTCGTCCTTGGCCCTGATCTCCCTCTTCCAGCGAACTGTGAGGCAACTCTCAAGATTGGCAGGGTCATCAGCACGAAACAATTCTCAGATGACCTGCCCAAATGCACATTCGCCGCTCATAATCATGATCAAGATGACTTGTTAGCTTTCAGAAGGAGACGATCATTAGTTCTAGCATCAACAAACTTCATCACTGCAAAGTACTCGAACACCCAGTCACCAATCTCATTGAGTGCCCTTGTTAGCATCTACCGCGGTCTTCTCGCTCCCCTCAGAGAGATGCGTTGGTTCGGTTGACAAAGTTGCACCTTCCTCTTGCACTCTTTCAGGAACATCATCCACAATCTTCACCACACGCGGCCTCGCTATCCCTGCAGCCCCTGGGCTCGTCGGCGGCTTAGGCATCTCACCTGTCCTCGTCTTGCGTAAACCCAGCGAAGCACTACCACCGGTTCTTGTCCGCGTCATCGTCAAGTCTTCATTGACATACGGCACACCAGCCTGCATATCTCTAATTTGTTGAGCGATGGTATTACTCTCATCCTGCCAATACTTCTTTTGCTGTCTCGGCAATGGTGTTGTCGAACCACTTTGTGAGATGGCTGATTTTGAGCGTTGAAGGGATAAGTCGCCGGATGCAGGCGGTGTAGGCGCATCTTGCGAGGGTGATGAATCGGTGTCTTCTTCTTCCTTGTTTACCGGCTTAGGACCAGTCGGGGTAGGTGCAAACTTGGATCGCTCACGGATAGGTCCGCCGTACTTGATGAAGATGAATGGAATGGGTGCGAGCAGGCAAGCAATGCCACCGACAATCGAGGCACCTGGACCCACGCCGAGGTTCGTAAACATTTGGCGTGTGAAAAGGGGTGCGGCAGCGCCTGCCAGACTTCGAGCAACAGTATTGGCTGCGAGTGCGGAAGCTGCAAATCTCAAATATGAGTCCGTGAGGTAGTTGAGCATGCTGGTAAAAATGATGAGAATACTCGCTGCCAAAAAGACACCAAAGATGGTAGGTACGATCCAGTGGACATAATTGAAATTGGCACTCCAACCAAAGCCAAACATGCTCGCTGCAAAGAGGATGCCACCCCATCGTGCAATCGAGAGTCGGTCCTCAGCCACGGGTTTATGGCCTGCACGCATGGCTTTGACTTCACGCTGAGTCTGCCAAAAGACGAGACCACCACCGAGAACTGCACCAATAGCAACACCAAGCAGTGGCAGCTGGCCAACACCTGCATTCCATCCACGCTGCTTTTGAAAGACGATGGGGTAGATGCTGAAGAGCATGTAGAGCAGAGCATACACAACAGACAGGTAGACTGCAACAGCAAATGAGATTGGGTCGACAAGAATCAGCCAAGGTCGAGTAAGAGCCGTCTTGAAGATATTGGCGAGAGACCTGTCTTCACTCTCGACGGGTGCTTGGACGTCTTCGTAGCCTGGAATCTTTTGCTTGCGAATACGGCGTGCCTTGTTGAGCAGAACAATAGGACCAAGTGTTTCCGGGATCGTCAAAAGCATGAGTTGCGTGATGCCAGCAAGCCATAGGAGTACGTAAAAGCTCCATCGCCAGTTGAGCTTGAGCTGGATAAAACCAGACGTCAACGGACCAAGAGCAGGACCGACAAAGGTCATCATGGAAAAGACCGCCATGGCATTGCCGCGCTCCATGGGACCCCAAATGTCGACCAGCACACCCGGTGAATTGGACAGTGACGCACTAGCAAATGTACCTGTCAAGAAGCGGCCAATAAGCAGACCTGCGTAGTTAGGCGTGAATGCGCAGAGAAACGTGAAGCAGAGGTAGAGCGTAAAGGTGAGCAGAAATAGCGGTCTGCGACCATAAAACTCTGAGAGCGGGCCCCAGAGAAGAGGTCCAAAGACGTAGCCAAGGAGGTAGACTGTAATGACAAGAGAGCCAACCTCTTGCGAGACGCCAAAGTCTTCAATAATGGAACCAAGACAGCCGGATGGTGATGAACTGGCAAATGTCGCATTCACAACGAGCAAAACGGATGCCATGGTGATGTACCATCGTCGCGCGGGAGACCAATTCTTTGGGTTTTCAATATCATCATCATCAAATGCGACATGCCCATCGTCATCGAGTGCAGGACGCAGTAGCTCAGGGTCCACAGCTGTACCACCTGCTGTTGTTTGCCGTTGGATCAGGCGCTTTGATCGATAAGGCTTGGCGGCCGGTCGACTGATCCATCGTTCAAGCTTGCCGAGATCCATAGTCACGGTGAACAAGGTCTTGTAGATGTAGTATGAGTACAGAGACGGACAACACTGCTCTGCGGCGAATCTCTAAGAGATGAAAAAGGTTTTTCCTTGTGTCGTAGTTGCGTTTTGTTTGTGCTACGCTGTAGCTCGGACGGATGTTTGCTCAGTCCGCGCCGATGTCAGATCTCGCTGCGAAGTCGCCACCCGAAAGAGGAAAATCTGAAGAAGAAAAAGGGCAACAGCGGCCGAGATCCCGCGAGTCAAATTCCGGTGAGGTCCAGTAGTAGCAGTAGCAGTGGTAGGCTAGTAGCAGCAGCAGTAGCAGCAGGCTACTAGCGAGGAGACAACGGCTGGCATTTCTATAAGAAAAGGTTGATAGGGTCTTCGCTTGCATCCTCAGGAATCGGCGGAACAACATGGCCCTTGCCGCGCGGAGATTCAGATACTGGCTCTTTTGCGTGATACCTGAGCACAGCTGCAGGCACCGTCTGCTTCGCATCCTCGTCCATTGCATCTTGATCATTGAGCACATCCACCAGGCCATCCAGAAGACTTGGTCCCGCCTTGCCAGTCACCAAATTCTCTTGCGAAGCCGGTATGGCAAGATCCAGTGATAGCGGCGACGAAAGCAATGCCGACGGCATCACTGGACTTTGTGTCGCAGGGACCACGTCTTGTGTCATTTCTTCACCGCCAAGCATTGCAGTCATGGCTTGCTCAGGATCATGCTCTGATCTTGCCTCTTGCTCTTCCTCTGCCGTTGCAGGCGGCGTGGCTACTTTCTCAGGCGCAGCAGTCTCCATTAGTGACAATTCTTCCATCTCCTCGTCTGGCGCCTGTCCTTGGCCCTGTGCAGCTTTCGCTCGCATGTCTGCCTCGTGCTCCTTCTTCCAAGCCTCGCCTCTCGTCAAAATCTCATCCACCATGTCTACACGACGTGAGGCAATCTTGTCAATTTCCCAAAGCTCCCTTTGCGCTTCTTGCGCCTTCTTGAAAGACTCTTCACGCTTGTAGCCAGTTCGTTGGAGCAGGTCCCTGAGAACGGCATCTGGCTCCTGCAGCATCTTTTCTGCATAGTGAATCAGAAAAAGTCCACAATCAGAAAAATTGTCTTGGCCAGGTACAGCTGCGAGACAGGTATTGATTTGCTCCGTGTCTAGCTTTTGACCACGTCGCACTTCTGCTTCAGCGGCAAGATACTGCTTGATGGTACCATACACCTTGTTGTGACGATTGCGCAGGGAGTCAAGAATCAAAATGACAGGTTCATCCTGTTCAATATGCTTGCCGGGTTTGAGAAACTTTAGGGATGGTTTCGCCTTGGTCTTTTTGGGGGACTTGCGCTTGGCAGTAGATTTAGTGGTCAACTCATCCTCAGCTCTCAAAGCAGCAAGACTAGCACTGATCTTTGACCGACTATTCATCTTTTGTTGATGTTCAGCACGAAGTGCCTCAGCCAAGGTGGGCTTTGCTGGTGCTTTCTCGGCCGGCGTGTCGTCGTCAAACTCAAAGATGGTCATTTCGTTCTTTGGTGTTGAGGTGGCAGGTCGTGAGGAGGCCGTCTCCTCCTCATCGCTAATCTCCATGACATCTGGCACCTCTGGCACGTCTTCTTCGATATGCGATTTTTGCGAGCGCGTGTCTGTCCATTCACCAAAGACACACTTGTCGAGGTTTGCAATCACCACAAGGTACCAATGCAGCGCCTCGTTGACAGGTATAATGACATACTTTTTTGAAAACAAGTCCACATTCGCCTTGCGCGTCCATTTTTCAACAGCACTGTGTCCTGTTGCTGTTTCCTTGCCTTTGACGGTACTCTTTTGCGTTAATTTCTTGTAGAAGAATGTGTTGAAGAGGTATGCTTCGCTGCGCCGTTGTTCAGGCAAATGATCGAAATTATAGCGCAAGTAGTAGTCAATGAGCGAGTCATTCAAAAATTCGCCCGGCTTAAGTCGTTCAACATCGTCTGGAAAGAGTGTGACGGAACTCGCTGCTTTGTGCGGATACACCAGCACTGGATCGCTTGACTTGGCAAGCTCTTTGAGACGTGCACGTTGACGTGTCTCGCGCGGGTTCGGTAGAGTGACTGTTGGTTTTGCAAAGGAATCCAAACTAGCGAATGGTTGACTTGCGTCACGTCGAGTGACAGGCACTTGACTTCCTCGTGTAAGACGCTTCAAACGCTCTGGTTGTGCTTTACGTGGCGAAGCAAGATCAACGACTGTGGATGTAGTGGACTCTTTGGGCAATATTGCTGGAGTGGTGTGTGCGTGCCGCGTTCTAGCCCATGCACTGTTGACACCACGACTCAGCTTTGACAGAAAGCCTGTTGGACTGGGCTTGCCTGCAATGATGAGACGCGTGAGCGAGTCTGCTGCATTTCTTTCTCTGAATATCATCTCAATGTGCCGGGAATCAGCAAAGCTAGGCTGATCTTCTTTGCAATGTATGGACAGCATCAGGCTGTCTCCGTCAAAATCCCAATCATCCACCTCATGCATCTTGATAGTTTGCGCAGTAGAAGGTTCTTTTGGATCAACAATCATAAAGCACTTGTTCATGATGCGCAACTGACGCGTCTCCATGCGATTAGATCCATCATAATTGAGAGACGCGAGTTGAGCCCTGCAAAGAGTACGTGGCTCCGTAATTGGAGGAGGGGTATCAGCAAATTTGGTCTTTGGCACCGTGAAACGTTTACTCTCAACAGGCGTCAACTTTGATACCTTCTTGATGACCTCTGGTTCACTCAAGTCATCGTCACTGGAAGCTGGATAGGTATTATCGTTGTATTCGAGCACATTCTCGGGTTTGTTCCGTTTCTGTTGAGGACTCACGAGAACAGCCTTTGGAGATAGTCTCGGGACGTCATCATCCAAATCAATTGTCTCTTTGAAATGCCTGCTCGATGTTCCTTCCACAGCAGAGACTCTCCGACGTTTTGCGCCAGGTGGCGGTGATGAAATTGAGATTGTACTGCGCTTGACGGTCGACTTTGCTGGTTGATAGGGAGCTTCATCATGGCCGATAGCTGGCAACGGTAGCTGCCGCGAGATTCTCTTTAATGAATCGTCTTCTAGCCTTGAATCTGCAGCACGCGCAGACTTCGATGGCTGCTTGAACGGTTTACGCGCCGATGTAGATGGCCCGAACCCAGAACCCGTTTGATTGTTATGTGTTGTCGGCGTCAGATGCTTTGAACCAGGAGTCGGCCGACCTTGTTTTTTAGGTATAGTATAAAGCGAGTGACGTCGAGACGGAGGAGTCTCTGCAAACCCAGACTGTTTCATAGGTTAGTTTTCCTTGTCTTGGTAGCTGTGGACGGCGCACCCCTTGGATATCGGTCCTGCCACTGAATGGCACTATTGGGGTCGGCATGGCGACTCGAACCGAGGGATTTCTGAGGCAGGCCCTGCGTGATCTAGCCCAGCAGGCGGTCCTGTGTCCTGCTGTCCCTTGGTCTGTCGTCGTCGCGTTTGAGAGTGAACACGAAACCAAATTTGAGCCGCAGGACAACGAGGACAAAGCTTGTTACTGCTTCGTCCAGAGGAGCTCCACGCAGGTAGCTCATATATAACGCTGTCAGGATGCTCAAGGCACTCACTCTCGTTGCCGCGGCAGTTATTGCTTTGCTGGGCCACGCAGTCGACGCAGGGTCGCCCATCACCTACCGCGTCAAGTCCAACGAGAATGCCTGCTTCTACACGAATGTAGACAAGGCAGGCGAGAAGATCTCCTTCTACTTTGCTGTATGTTGCTCGGTCATATATGATAAAACGCTGACGGGCAGGTCCAAGCAGGCGGCGACTTTGACATTGACTACTACGTCCGCACACCCACCTTCCAGCTTGTCCTGGAGGGCACCAAGGAGCGCAGTGGTGACTTTGTCTTTACAGCTACAGAGACGGGCGAGTATACATTCTGCTTCAACAACAACATGTCCACCGTCACCGACAAAGTTGTCGACTTTGAGATCAACGTCGAAAGCGAACCACGTCCTGAGCTGCCTACGAAGCAAGGTATCCCCAGCGAAGCCACCAATGGGCTCGAGGACTCTGTGTTCAAGGTGTCCTCACAAGTCTCACAGCTCAGTCGCACGCAAAAGTACTTTAGAACGCGCGAACACCGCAACATGTCAACGGTGCAGTCTACAGAGCACCGCATCTTTTGGTTTGCTCTGCTAGAGTCTGGTGCCATGGTCACCATGTCTGCCCTGCAAGTCTTCATCGTGCGTACATTCTTCCAGAGGCGTAATGCCGCCAAAGTCTAGCCTCATAGTCTCTTCTTAGACCAGTTTAGAGGCGACTTTTGCAAGGGATGCTTGCTCCGTCTCTGTCAATGCACCACTGCTCGCCCACCTGATCTTGCCATCTAGGTCCAGCAAGTACGTATAGCCCACATACGCATTCACTGCACCAATGTAGCGTAATTGGGACGCATATCCACCATCCATGATGAGATACCGCGCTTGCTGAGCCTTTGGGGTTGCTTGCTGCAATCTGCCACGAAAGGCGTTCAGCAGTGCATGCTTCATCACATTGGTCTGCATGTTGAGGTCAATCGTAGCAACACCCAAAGCTTCACCCAGTCCACGGACCTGCTCTTCGCCACTCGTTGCGGAAAAGCAACGCACCAAGAAAGCTTTAGAGCCAGCTGTTTGTGCTTCCTCCAGCAGGACTCTGAGTTCCACTTCTTTGCCACTAGACAGCAAGTTGCCCTTGACATTAGGAAAGTAGAGGGCCTTGTCTTGCCGAAAGAGCAAGCGAGGTGCTGTCCACTGTTTCCCACCAGCTTGCCGCATTGCATGGAAATCTCGCCAATATGAACCACCTTCTTCTGCTAGAATCTTTTTGTGCTGACCAGGCGTTGTCAAGAGCGTCTTTGTGCGTTGAAGCAGCGTAGGTAGAGGGGGTAATGGCTGCATGGGCATGGGAAAGCCTAGCGGGCGATCTAGAGAAGGAGGTAGACCTTCATCTGAGCTGACAGCAGCGGGCTTCTGCAATGTAGAGCTACTATTTTCACGGACGTGAGCTGTGAGAGTAGAGCGAGACGATATAGTCAGTCTCTCTGACGCCCTCAAGGCTATCCGAGGTGCGTTCATAGGTGTGTTGAGTAGAAACTTACTAGAAAGTCTTTCAAGAGCTCGACATTTTCATATTTCAACGCTACCAAGGAGGTTCGTAGTTGGTGCTCTTGCACTTCAATTGAAAGTTGATCCAATCCAAGACGCTGCTACGACTATTTATGCTCATCTACGTATCTACGATGGGCACAAGTTTGCCAAAATGCTCATACCAACGCTTCAGTCGCATGGCATGAACCAGCTCTTCATCAGAGTACTCAATCGGAGGCCCACTCACCGCCACCTCTGCTTGGGCCGCCAAGGCTGCATCATCTTCCGGAGACGCGTGCTTCAGAGCAGCAGCACTATACGCATACACTGGAAACGATACCACAGCCCAGCTAGAACTATCCTTACTGCGAAGATAGGGCTCCTCCCCGATTGTCTCCATCCTGAACTCGCGCAGCACGAGCACATCACCAGGATTGACACTTGGCAAGGCTGTCTTGAATGGTCGAAAGATGCCAAATCGACACCGAGCAGCGAGAATCGGGTTATCACGAGCGTCCCTGATGTAGCGCACATCGCCACTCGATTGAGTCACGGCTAGAGGTTCATTGGATGCTTGAAACAGCCATCCTGTTAGTATGCGATCGCGAGGCCCGTCCTTGGCTCTGTCATACTTAGCTTTCCCACAAATCGCAATCATGTCGCAGACTTTGCCGGGACGTGCTTGCTCAATGCTGGCGTAAAATGAAACCTAAAGCTGAGATTAGTCTTCTTGTCGATATTGTGGATGTCGCGTACGTTAGTTGTTAGATCGCCGGGAACTTGTATCGGCGGCTCTGTTGGAGGTACTTCCTCCTGTTGAGGTTCGGGTTCGGCAACAGTAGGCTCTGGGGCTGAAGCGTCCTTGGTTGGCTCATCACTGATCACTTGGGCTGATTCGGCCGGACTCGAGGCTTGACCATCGCTGGGCTGTTCAAGATTTGCGACTGGCGATTGCTCGTCGTCAATCTCGATGATTGCGTTGTCAGAGGGCGTGATCGCCTCGGCGGAGTCCAAGCCGGCATCCGGCGTTTGTTCAAGTTGCTCAGCAGCTGCAGCATCAATAGCAGAGGTTCCATCCATATCTTCGTCGCTGTCGGGCATGTCTGAATCAGGTGGACTCCTCAGGCCAGTCTGCGTTTGAAATTCACCAGAAATTGGCGGCTCCATTGTGGATGCGGCTTGAGCAGGTTCGTCCTCAACTGCAGAATCGGCATCTGTGTCGCCCTCCATCACCTCGCTGTCTGAAGATGGCGGATTGTCAGAATGGATGGAGATGAGCTCGTCGATATCCTCAGCTGCCACGTCTTCCATGTCATCCAAATCAAGTTCATCTTCCACTTCAAGCTCATCCAGCACGGCCCGAATGAGTCCTTGCGGCGAATCCTCTGCATCCACTTCAATCTCCACAATCTCACCCACCTCATCACTCATGTTCGCATCAGAACCGAGAGCAGCATAGTAATCAGCTTCATCCAAATTGGAATCAATCGTCACTTCATGAAGGAGTTCACCTCCTGCAGGCTCATCCTCAAGCACATAGTCCTCGTCCTGTTGAAGCAAGTCAATCAAGTCGCCGTGATCTTCGACAGCCACTTCGTCCATTAAGAGTTCATCCTCAACAGAGCCAGGCGCATCGGGCATGATGGGCGCTTCCAAAATAGCAGAGATACTCCCACCACCATGAGACTCTGCTGTGGTCATTGCATCGGCTGTTCCAGCAAAAGTTGCACTGCCATTACCAGAATCAGTAGCAACAGCTGGAGGTGTCGTTGGTTGTGCTTCCATATGGTCAAGACTTGCTGGACGCGGCGGCCGTGTCTCTTGATGCTCCACTTTATCTCGAAAGATATCCTCTTGCACAATGGCTTGTTGCTGTAATAAGGTCGCCTCGGTATTTGGCACGAGGTCGCCCGCATTGGAGCTCGGACCAGCTGCTGGCTGTCCCGCAAGGCTAGGATTCTCGCGCTCCTCTGGATGATCATCTGCATGCTCCACTTTTTCGCGAAAGAGCGACTCTTGCACAGCCGCTTGCTGCTGCAACAAACTCGTTTGATGTGGTTGTGATGTAGGTATTGCCTGCTGATGCACACTACCATCAACACTGCCACGGCCGTCTCGCGGTTCGACCATGACGGATGATTTGATGCTGCGTGCTGAACGAGCATATCCTTCATCAGCACCATCAGAGTCTACAATCTTGGAGCGAAAAATGGTCTCTTGAACTGCAGCTCCGCGTTCCGTCATGCTCGGACTAGCAAAGCGTTGACGAGGGGCGGGTGGAGCCTCTTGCATGAATGTTGGGTCCTCGCGGACTGAGTGGCCATCGTGACTATTGCTGTATGCAGCGGCAACGCTCTGACCTTGCGGCAACTCAGGTCGGTCAAGATCATTGTCATCACCAGCCGTTGATGTCTTCATCTCTGCTCGCCGAGCGTCTTGCACCTGAGCATGAGATTGACCAGGCTGCTCTGAATCCTCGCTGATTTTGCGTCGCAGAATGCCTTCTTGAATCTGTGCTTGCTTCTCGAGGATACTCGGCGCCGTATCCAATGCGAGCACACCTTCTTCATTGTCTTCGTCAGCAACCATGGAACTGCCAGCATCCGATTTTGGTGGTGCACTCGCCCGCAATTTGCGAAATAGGTCCTCCTGCTCGTCTGCACTCGCCAGGTCGAGCAATGGAACATTACGAGGCGTTGCCGGGGCAGATATGTTTTGCTGCGTAGCAAAGTGGACATGGCCCGGTGTATAGGCGCTAGAACGTGGTGTCCCATGCGTCTCGTACTTTGTATTATCGAAATCGCCATGAATTGACGACGGCCGTGAAATGTCAGAGTGTGGTACTTCCTCTTCTTCTCTTGGCTCAACGATAACGGGCGGCGTGCTCGCAGCAGGAGGGGTCGGATGTAGCTGTGTCAAGAAGCGCGAGACTGGAGAGCGTGAGCGAATAGGCGTAGCCAAATCGATACCTTCTCCTTGTGAATCTGGCCGTACAGGCTGAGACGGTGTTGTAAAGGCAAACATCTTGGATTGGCCAAGCTGACTAGGCGTGTTCTCGTCACTGAAGGCCTGTTTCGGTGTAGCAGACGGCGTTCCCTGTGTGCTGGAGATATACCTGAAGTTGGAGCCAAACGATAGTCTGCTCTTCTTGGATGAATCCATACTCTGTCCAAACCAAGTATCACCGAGCCCGAGGTCGTCGGCTGAACGCTTGAGCTCTGGCGTCTGCCACGTCTTGCGCGGCGACGGACCTGCTTCAAGTGGCGTTGAGTCGAGCACTAGCTCGTCTCTGCCATCGATGCGCACCTTGACTGGACCCAAGAAGGAGATCTTATAGGGGATATCACGTTCAGTCCCGGCAATCTCTTCAAACGCCGGCTTTGGCGCGTCGGCTTCGACAGATAGCTCCAAGGAGGACATGATGGCAACATCCTTGAGTGCATCCGCTGCTTTGCCTCTGAAACTGATGCGTACTTGGCCTCGAGAGGCGCGTTTGGCGACGTCCTCATCGGCGAGTTGGATGGACAACGCATGCTGGCTGCGGGAATAGGGCCATCGCAGCGTGACAATGCCGCGTAGGGAGTGGCCCTCGAAGGTAGAGGGAGAAAGATCCCGGATGGGCACCGACATGACTCGGCGTCCCGGCCGCAGCAAAGACTACGAGAGCGGAGGGTCCAAAGATGGTTGGTGTCGTGGTTGCTGCGTTGTCGGACGCGATGACTTGGAACCAAATTGACTTTTAAAGGGGCCGTTTGTGCATTGGCTGCTCTACCTGGCTATATACACCTTGAACTAATCCTGGCGACGCATCTTACTGCTCACCTCGTCAATCTTCCGGAAACTCCAGCTCCACGTCGCGTTGTACAAAAACGGCCGCAAGTCAAAGCGATTATCATCAGGTGAGTAGCCTTCTGCATGGTACGCAGGGGTGAGTGTCGTGCTCTTGTGCCGGTTGATGCCATACATACGCCAAAATAGCTTCGTCTTCTCCGCCACCTGCATTGGGCTCAAGTGTGTCCAGACATGCACGAGTTTGGTGAACATGCTGTACGGTCCGAGTCGTTCAATTTTACGTAGCCTGCCAAATGTTGAGAGGTCTGGGTATGTCATGCCCATATCTGCTTCGTCAGACTGGACATAGTCCTTCGTGATCGGCTCCAGCTCTGCGGTAGGCACTGCCGTGATGAAACCGTCGAGCAGACTGAATGGTGTACCATCAATCAGCGTAAATTCAGGAGCAGACGCAGCATAGTGGATGAATGCCTTGAGATCCGTCTTGGAGATGCCTCCAATTGGATTGATGTCTGCAGAAGAGCAGTCGTACTTGGTCAGATAGCCACGCAATGTCTCATCCACATTGGCACTGCCAAGGACCAACAGACTGCCAGAACGTCCACGCGTCCACGGCAAGAGCTGTGCGAACAGGTAAGCAAGAACCATACGTAGCCGTGCTTGGATGTTTTGCAGTGCTAGATTTTCGGGTGGACTACCGCCATCTGACCGGAAACGAGCAGTGAAGCCTGTCACTGCCGTGAAGCAATCGCGTACCGAGGTCACGACCGTGTCCATGTTCATGTCAATATGATATGCACCGATTGCTTTGGAGAGATCCTTGGCCCTGGAACGTGTTTCCTTGGACGAATTGACGGTACCCATGTATGTAGTGTGGAAGATCACACGCGCCAAGTCTTGTGGACTCGAGAATGCCCAAACCTGTATATCTCTCGTCAAATAGGCAACGTCCCGCTTGACTTGTTCGTTTCCAGCCTGATAGGCATCATATACAAGCTTGCACATTGAAAAGACGATCATGGCTGTTGCACACGAGTCAATACCGCCAGAGAGTGGAATGAAGAAGCCAGCTTGCTTTGAGCGTCGCAGGTAGTCCCACATCCAACAAGCAGGACCCAGAGCAATCTCTTGCTCTGGTGAGTAATAGTGCACCTCTCGTATCTTCGTTGGCATTAGGCTCAAGTCATACAACGAATCTGGGCTCGACAAGGCAAAATTGCAAGCGACACGAGGATACGGGGGTGCTCGAGTTGCTTGCATGCCACGCGAAATACCGACACGATGAGCTCTGACCTCTTCCAAATCGATAGTTGCGGTGACTACTTCCACATCATTGAGAGAGAACTGAGACCCCTGTGCAAGGACTTGTCCATTGAGCACAATCATAGCACATCCGTCATAATAAAGGCGATCACCGTCGCAGCCTTGCTGATTTGCATAGAGGTAGATGCCGCCACACTTTTGCAAGGCTTCCTTCATGAGATTGACGCGTCGATTGAGCTTTCTGAGTTCATGGTGCGAACCACTCGAATTGGTGAAAATTTCAACACCATTAAGGGACATGTTGATATGAGGGCTCTGTGGTGTGAAGAGCTCTTCGCACGTCTCTGCACCAACTACTGTATCCCGTAGACTGATGACTGCATCGCCGAATGGTACTTCTGTTTCACCGCAGATGGCAGCGATGAAGCGTGGCAAGATAAAGGGCTCAATTTGCTGTGGTTTGTTCCAGGGTGTAAAGTATCGCATCTCTCTGTAATTACCATCATTGCACAAAGCATCCTTAGGCTTGATCATGAGGATCTTTCCATCGAGAGCAAGGACGCGACAATTGTACTTGACATTGCGGTGCATGACGGGCATTCCGATATCGAGGAGGATGCCATGACACGTTGTATCTTGCAGGATCTTTCCCATTACTTCCCATGAATGAAGGTAGGTATCGCCCTCAAGGAAATGATCAAGACAGCCATACCCAGGCACTTCTAACTCTGGGCCAACGCGCATCTTGGCGCCGCGTTCTTTAGCTATGCGAATACTTTGAACGATGCGCTCAAGATTGCCGTCGAAATCAAGGGCCCATTGGTTGAGAGAGCATGTAGCAAGCACGACAAAGTGGCCCATGGCAGCGATAGCTTTTATTAATGTAGCAAAGCGGAGATGAAGAAGAGAGGGTGAAGAGGGTCAAGACACGGTCAAGGTCAAGATCCAGCTCAGTTAGTAGGCAATGCTCACAGTCACAATTACAAGACGATGACTTGACTAGTCTATACAGGCGGCAGATACTTGTACGGGTTCAGGATACCCTTTGGATCAAACATCTGCTTGATTCGCTGCATTGTGTCAACCATGGCTTTGTTCTTGCTGTAGCCAATGTACTTGCCCTTGCTCAGTCCAAGGCCATGCTCAGCACTGATGCTGCCACTGCGTTCTTGGATCCACTCGTACACAAAGGGCTCAATGCACTTTTCGACTTCTTTGTCGTAGCGCCGGACAGCGACGTTGAGGTGAATGTTACCATCGCCGAGGTGTCCGTAACCCACGACATCTACGACAGGCTTACCTTCGCCCACGAGTCCAGCAGCATCGAGCCGTTCGCGTGTTGCATCCACCAAGTCATAGAGCACAGGCAGCGGTGCAGACATGTCGTACTTGTACGTACCACCGTCCTTTCCAAGACATTCAGTGATGCCCTCTCGTAGTGACCACAACGCTTTAGCTTGTGTTTCGTCCTGAGCAACTGCACCATCTGCAACAATCTCCTGTTCAAGCAGTTCCTCAAAGAAGCCATTCAACTTTTCCTCATCGTGCTCTTTGTTGGAGCCAGATGTCTCGACCAGGATGTAGAACGGGTAATCACCCTCAATTGGACGCTTGTGCGTACTGTGACGCTTGACAAACTCTTGTGTTCGCCCGTCCATAAACTCAAAGGCAGATAGAATCTCCGAGAGATGTTCCTTAGCCTTGACATAGGCTTTCAAGATGCTTGCGTAATCCTTGACGCCGAAGAAGGCGACATTCACGGCAGCACTGCGTTGTGGGCAGAGGACTGAGAGGGCTGTGATGACACCGATAGTGCCCTCTGAGCCAATGAATAGCTGCTTGAGGTCGAATCCAGTGTTGTCCTTTCGAAGTGTCGATAAGTTATTGAGGATGGTGCCGTCCGGCAAGACTGCCTCGAGGCCGAGAATATTGCCATGGAGGGAGCCGTAGCGAAGCAAACGCAGTCCACCAGCTGCTGTTGCAGCATTGCCTCCAATCAAACAGGAACCTTTGGCTCCGAGGTCAAGTGGGAAGATGTGCTTGCGTTCAGCAAGGTAGTTGTCGACCGTCTCTAGGACACAGCCGGCATCTGCAACGAGGGTCCCTGAGACTGGATCAAAGGAACGGATATTGTTCATGCCTGTCAAGCTCAAAATGACCTCGTCAAAGACGGGCGTCGAGCCACCGACCAGACCGGTATTGCCCGATTGTGGCACAACAGCGAGCATCTGTTCATTGCAGTACTTGAGGATCTTGCTCACATCCTCGGCGGTCTTGGGACGAAGAACAAGCTTTGATTGTCCTCTAAACTTGCGCATCCAGTCGATATTGAAGGCTTCGGCGTCGTCATCAAGCAAAACGGCATTGTCTGGCAAGATGGAGCGGAAGTGTTCAATGTCCTTCTTGTCGAGCTTCTTGAATTGCTTGCCCCGGGTGAGCTCAGGGTACGACTCTGCCGTCAACTTGAGCTCGTTGTCCTTTTTGGTCCCAGAGGATGGGTCTGAGGATGTCTGTGTCGTGGCGTGGGTGTCGTCCTGCTCACGGGCATAGAACCGACAGGCGCCTATCTGCCGAGGGAGCAATCGCACTCCCTCGGCCCTCCGCAGGGAGCTCTTTCTGGCTATGCGCCAAGCAAACATGCCGCTGGATACACTGGGCCTCATGATGCGCCCGAGTTCGGGGATTTAGTGTGTGCTTGGGTCCTGGACTTGGTCGTTGAATATTTTGGGAGAGGACGCGTACGACAGAGACCAAGAGTCAAGAGACTGAGTACTTCATTGCTAGAGGCTGCTACTGCTACTGCTGCTTGAATAGAGCCTTGAGCCTGAAGAGACACAGAGCATGTCCTACGATCGAGCACTCTCCGTGTTCAGCCCAGACGGGCGCCTGCTCCAGGTCGAGTACGGCAACGAAGCAGTCAAGCGCGGCACAACGGCAGTCGGCATCCGCGCCAAGGACGTCTGCATCCTCGCTGTGGAGAAGAAGTCGCTGCTCAAGCTGCAGGACAACCGTTCAACGCAAAAGATCTGTCAGGTGGATGCACACGTCACCCTCGCCTTTGCTGGACTCAATGCAGACGCGCGTATCCTCATTGACAAGGCGCGTGTTGAAGCGCAGTCGCATCGGCTGACACTCGAGGATCCCGTCACAGTGGACTACATCACGCGCTACATTGCAGGTGTTCAGCAAAAGTACACACAATCCGGCGGTGTCCGTCCATTTGGGATTGCCACCCTCATTGCTGGCTTTGACCCGCACGATGATGTGCCCAGGCTGTTCATGACGGAGCCAGCAGGCATCTACTCTGCCTGGAAGGCAAATGCCATTGGTAAATCGAGCAAGACGGTGCGTGAGTTTCTGGAGCGCAACTACAGCGCCGACATGAGCCGCGACGAGGCCATCAAGCTCTCCGTCAAGGCACTGCTCGAGGTTGTGCAGACGGGTGCAAAGAACATTGAAGTCGCCGTCCTGGCCAAGGGAAAGCCCGTTGAGTTTTTGAGTGAAGCCAGTGTGGATGCCACCGTGCAAGGGATCGCAACGGAGAAGGAGACAGAGGCTCAGAAGAAGCGCGACAGGCAGGCAGGACGTGCTGCTGCAGCTGCTGGAGCGGATGACGGTGCTGCTGCTCCTTCCCAGGCGGCAGAGACGACGGTCGGCTCGATGGATGTCGACGAAGGTGCTGGTGCAAGTGCATAGACCTCGTCCTCCTTCTTTTCCTGTACAGAGGCCCCTCCATAGCAGCATAGGCCCCCTCCCAGCTGCCTCAGTAGACCTCATGTCGCCGTCAATTTGCTTTTCAGGAACGAAATCCCGAGACGACACTTGCGAAACGGTCACTGGAGCAGGCGCCTGGGCACGGGCAGCGCGGTAGAAGGCGAGAGGACGTCGGGCAGGTGGACGTAGAGACGAGCCAGGTCACGCGAAGCTGCTGCTGCTTTGTCTCATTGTTATCTTCACGGCGACACATCGCTGCTGTTGGCCTATACAACGCAGCATATCCACGTCGTCCATTCGCTGCTGCATCTTGTTCCAGCGCATCTAGCACTTCTAGCAGCCTCCGTTCACTGCTTCACTACTGCTCAGAGCATCCATCCACTACCACCACTCCATCCACACTCCAAGAGCAAAATTTTCCGGCATCCATCGCAGCACACAGGTCGAGCGTGTCCCCGTACGTCCTCGAAGTGTCCATGCGCAGCCAGGGCTAACAGCAGGGATCCATGTCTGACCGACAGCGGTCTTCTCCGCAGCCGCCATCCTCCTCATCTGACCGCGATCCAGCAGGCTTCCGCCCAAAGCGCGACATACGAGGCCGCGACAAGCAGCAACAGCCGCCGTATGATCAGCTAGATCATCCACGGCCTAGTCATGGACAGCGTGGGCTTATACAGCATCCTCAACAACGATCGCAGAGCAGGGAATTTCCACCGCGACCGTATAGTGGCGAGTATGCACGGCAGCAACGACCACCGAGTCGCGAGTATCCGCTGCCAGCTCCTATGAGACTGCATGAAGATGATTTACTGCGGCATGATCGGTTCAAGCAGGTCAGACGGTCACCGCCGCCTGTGGATGTCCGAGTTAATGGAAACATGCCGCACGACAGACGGCAAAGCAGCGAAGGACCAGCGAGGCATCGCCTGCAGGCTCCTCCGGGTCCAGGCGCATCGGATCCTTCACGGCCATATCCTGTCAGGCAAGGAGGACAAAAGTTTCAAGAGGCACGAGACGGCGTGCCCCATGGGCCGCGCCAACCTGGCTATGACAATTACAGAGGTCGACCTCCCGTAACGGATGGCTCTGGACATGCGATAGAGAGACCTCGACAGGGTCTGCCGCACCAGGGACGCTATGAGTCTGAGGATATCTATGATAAATGGCCGCATTCAAGAGAAACACCGCTGCAAAGAGACAGACCGGTGCAGGCGCAAGCTACAGGTCAAAGACGAGGGCCACCGTTGCCACCTCAAGCTCCGCCATTCAATGTTCGAGCACCATTGCATGCTCAGTCGCCACGGGATGTAATGAATAGCTGGGAACGGTCGCTGAGAGATGAAGGCAGACAGGCCAGAGGGCCCCCGGGACCAGCGCATGCACGGAGATTTGATGATGACTATGAACGACAGAGTGCTGCTCCCGGATCTGGAGGGCGCGCTGCACAGCGTCCATTCAATACACCACAAGGTCATGCTCCCCGTCAGCGTGATGATCAGGGTCCTCCTCCCAGTCAACGAGACGATCGTGGGCGACCACCCCGTCAATGGGATGACTCGACTGTTGCACCCCGTCGGAGGGACAATCAAGGTCCTTTGCCCCATCAGAGAGATGAACAAGCTTCTTGGCGCAGTGCCCGGCAGCCGGACCTCGTGCAAGACCAGCGGCCGCATGTACAAGGCAATGGACAACGGCCACATCAGCCTACTCATGGGCAACGCAACAAAAATCAGCACAAACAAGATCAACAACGTACTCAAGGCCGACAGCGACGCTGGTCGCACTCTTCTCGCGGCTCAAACGATACCGTGCGTTCCAAGTCGCGTAGTGTCCAAGGCCAGCGACAAAGTCAGTCGCCTGAAGCAATCTCGAGAAAACCACGCCCACCTCCCACTGCACCCAAAGCAGATATCAGACCGCCGTCTCCTCCGTTTGCTCGACCGACGCAAGCCTCCGTCAAGCGTAGTCCATCACCGACGGTCAAGACCCCTGCCAAGCGCCAGCGTGTCGACCAGAGCGAGTCTCGACCTGAATCGCGCGATCAATCAGCCGTGGGCACGCCGCGTTCTGGCTTCCGCAAGTCCACCTTTGCCGATGGCGCCGTCTATGAACGTATTGGTCAAGTGGGTGAAGGTACCTATGGAAAGGTCTATAAGGCAAAACATCGTGCTACAGGTGAGGTGGTGGCACTCAAGCGTATTCGCATGGAGCAAGAACGGGATGGCTTTCCCATCACATCCATGCGCGAAATCAAGCTGCTCCAACGTCTGGAACACCCTGGTGTTGTCACGTTGCTCGAGATGATGATTGAAAAGGGATCCGTTTATGTGGTATTTGAGTACATGGAACACGACCTCACCGGGCTCTTGGCCAATCCACAAATCGACTTTTCTCCTGCCAACATCAAAGACTTGTCACAGCAATTCTTCTCTGGTCTTGCGTATCTGCACGATCAAGGCGTCTTGCACCGTGATCTCAAGGCTTCCAACATCCTGCTCAACAATGCAGGCGAGCTGAAATTGGCTGATTTTGGTCTGGCTCGGTTCTATCATAAGAATATGACGCGGGCAGCAGACTACACTAATCGTGTGATTACCTTGTGGTTCAGACCACCGGAGTTATTGCTCGGTGCCACAGCGTATGGTGCTTCTGTCGATATCTGGTCTGCCGGCTGCATCTTTGTTGAGCTCTTTACAAAAACAGCACCCTTCCCGGGCAAAGATGAAATTCACCAACTGGAACTCATCTACCAGCATATGGGTACAGCAACGCGCGCGTCTTGGCCAGGTGTTGAAGCACTGCCGTGGTTCGAGCTCGTCAAACCAGGTCAGTTTCCCGAGGGTAAGTTCAAAGAGCGTTTCAGTGGTCAGCTCTCACCTGCTGCATTACAGCTTGCAGAAGAGATCCTTGTGCTGGATCCTGCCAAGCGGCCTACTGCAAGTGCACTGCTCAAGCATGCCTACTTCACCGAAGAACTTCCCCACGCAGAACGACGTGTGTTGAGTGATACGACAGAGTCGCATGAATGGGACAGTAAGCAGCGGAAGCGCGAAGAGCGGAAACGGACTGGTTCGAGCAAACTCGTACCACCTCCACAAAAGCACAAGAGTAAAACGGCAGTGCAGCACGCCGCTGTTGTGAGCTCTGGTTCGCGTGGTTCTGGTGGGCAAAGTGCAGGGACAGCACCACCTAGTACATCTGACTGGGATCCTGGTGAGAAGGAGAGTACGGGCCGTGCATCGGCTTGAAAGCATCAGGTTGCCATGGGTCTACTTTGTGTACTGTAAAATAACGTAGTCGACAATCCTGCACCACACACTACACTTTCATACTTTGAACCACGCTATACCTCTATGTCTGATCCTGCTCAGCAAGCCCTGCATGAAGGCTTCCGTGCCTTGCAACAGCTCCTTGCTCAACCACAAGACGGTCTTGCTCTGCATAATCTAACCAAGCACTTCTCACAGGCCATCAAGCTGAATCCAAACAATGTCAAGCAAGTTGCTCCATCCCTAGAATCGTGTGGCAGAAAGCTCTGTGCGCTGGCCATGTGGGCACAAGCTCTCATTTGTGAGAAGGACGCTGCTCTACGGTGTGAGTATGGCTGTGAAAGCTTAACGCGGATGAAGAAGCTGTATAGTGCAGGCCATGTGAGCGACAAGGAAGATGTCGGCTTTTGGAAGCACTACATTCTCAAGGCAGACAAGCAGCTCAAGCTTGTGCTGGATGCGTACATTTCGCTTCTACAACTTCCTTCAGTATCGTCAGACGAAGACGGTGCAACGCAGTGTGCTCAATTCACAAAGACCATCATGGTAGACTTGCGCGACTTTTTCGATACAACGCATCTCCCCCAGCTCAAGACGCTCGAACGCGCCTTGCAAGCCGGTGGACCAACGATGCAGGCAAAGGCAGAGATCCTCATGATGGATATTACAAACATCAAGCGACAGCTGTCCTAATCTACAGCAATACTTGCAGCTGCTTCTGGTACACTATATCCATGCCGCTTGAGTGCTTCTTTCGCCTTTGCATCACTACAGCCCGTTGCAATCTTCAACACCATCAGCTTCGCCGATAGGATCGTCTTGTTTGCCAAATCAATCCAAGACTGAGCAACTTCGTCATACACTTGGCTGATGCGACTATCAACCGTCTTGACTTGAAAGGACAACAGCGCAGAAACAGGCCGGTGGTCAGAGACGCGACACGTGTGTTGCTTATAAGAGGTACAGGACATGTTGCCTCCAAGACCTCTGTAGTAGATACGATCGCACCAGGCGGGGACACGAGCCTTTTCCGAGGTGTCATATTGATCTGAGCCTGGATCATACTTGTACGTAGGCGGGAAGCGTATCGTTTGCTCTTGAAACGACCGGAGACGATGCGTTGGATTACGCTTCAGTTCAATGAGAAGTTGATCTGCTTCAAGCAATTTGCTGAGCTTGCCCTCTTTGATCTGCTGGATAACGTGCGTGCGCCGTCCATTGATGCGGTAGTTGAGATCGCCATTCAATATGCACACTTCGTGATCCAGTACCATGCTTCCATCACCACCACCGCTAAAGACGTGCCGATCAAGTTGACTGCTTGTACCTGCAGGCAGTGCAGCCTGATCGAGGATAGAGAAGATGTCGTTATTGCGGGCCATGACGTGCTTTTGTCCGGCTGCCAAGTGGCAATTGACAAAGCAGATGGACGTATCGTCCAGCGTCATGCGAATAATGATGCCTCCCTTGTTGCCATAGCGACCTTTGAGGCCCGTCTTGACAACTGTCGCATCAACGCTGGTGGTATGCTTGAGGAGGGATTCCTTGACAAACACGCACGAGAAGAGGCCAACGAGTTGCTTGACTTGGATGAGCTGGTAGGTATCTGTTGAAGAGATGGCCACTTGCTTCTCCAAGTGATTTTGCCACTGCTGATATGCAAAAGCAAGAGCCTTCTCCTCCAACTTGTCTTCCTTCTTCTTGGAGCCAAAGAAGCCTTTTGCAACACTCCTCGATGCTTTTCCCTTGTTGTCGAGATCCACCAATTCTTGAAAGCCAAAGACAATCATATCGGGTGATTGTGCTTCGCGAATCATATTTTCAATGAATTGCGAGTCTTCATAATCACGACTGAGGCGAGACGGTACAGAAGCGCCAGCGTTCCATGTACACACCACAGCACGTACTTCGCGAAATGTCGAAAACGAAGCAATCCGCTTCTGCATCTCTGCATCAAGCCAATCAGTCATCATCAGACCATCCCATACTTTGACAATACCATCAGCAGAAACAGAACAGACACCGAGTCGTTTTTCCTTCCAAAGACCACCGCGATCGACGCAGAGTTCCGTGATGGGAGATTTATGTGCAGGCCACTCCTTCATGACACGCCAGGGCTTGCAGTGTACATCATAGACAAATACCTTGCCTGTCTTGAAGCTCGTCCACAGGTAATCACCAACCGCGAGCAATGCAGAGATGTTGTAGTGAGATATACTGAGGACATCGATACAATGCGGCCGATCTGTCGCATAGACTGTCACTTTACCGTCATCATGGCTGAAGTAGACTTTATCAGGGTCATGCCGAAGATAAACAGCAGAAGTGATGAGACCCGTTACGCGCGATGCTTCAACGCCGCGTTCAGGTGTCACTGATTGGCCTGTTGCGTGATAGACGTGTACGGTACGACCGCAACCAATCCATAATTTGCCATCAATTGCGAGGGCTGCTTGAATGCCTGGAACGGTGCGAATACTCGCATGAAGAGGTTTGCCTTTGAGTGAACAGGCAGGTGGCCAAGTATGAAGATTGCCGCCCTCATCGAGTGTCCACATGGTTTGAAAGTCGCGCAGGATATGGGTGACGGCAGAGTTATGTGCGCGATGCAGTCGTTCAATACAGATGCGATGCTTTAAATCATATTCATGCAGTGAACCATCTTTGAAACCTACCCATAGGAATCGACCAGCGTCCACGAGGTTGGGTATACCCACTGTACGAAACTCGAGAGCCGTGATGCGCGTATCGGCCACGGGTATCTGCCAAAGCACTTCTTGCGTCTGTAGATGGAGGACTCTGAGACGATCGTTCTGCGCGACAACGAGCAAGTCACCAGCAACCGCCATCCGCCGTACTTCTTTGCCGGTGTGTACTTCCCATGCCTTGTTTTTAAAGAGCGGCGGTTTGCGATTTGCTGTACTGGCATCAGGTTGATCCAGCGACCGTGCATTCTCCGCTGGCGATTCTTCTTCATCGCTATCAGCCTCCATGGTACTGCTCGCTGCTCTCGACCGCGGTACATCCAAACTCGCGCGTATATCGAGCGGTCGTGGCCGTTCGATTTGTAGAGATTGCCGAACGGTCACTTGTCGCGATGGCAAGGTCGGAACGACCATATGCTCTCGACGTAATTGTGGTTTCGCAGGTGGTAGCATGGATGCCGGGCGAAGAGGCAACACCGGCCGCGAAGGTCCAGGCGAAGCAGGTCGTGAGCGAGAGGGACTGGATGTCCGCGATGGCGACGGCGAGCTACTTGCTTCAATTGGTTTATTGGGCGGGATATTCGGCGCGCGTGAACGACTGCGCGATGTCGGCCTTGACCGTGCAATAGGGGTCCGTGAACGTGCTATCGGCGGTGGAGGCGGCGCTTTTGTGCCTACTGAACGAGAGAGCCGTTCATCAGGCAGCTCTTCTGGCGTTCCATCGCCAAACAAGTCTACAGCAAGCTTTGGCGGCGGCTGTCGCGTGTCGAAAGCAAGCGGTCTGGGTGATTTGAAGCGCGGTGAAGGCAGCGGTGGTTTCGCCTTGACTTCAGGTCGTTGTGGACTGCCTGCAGCAGCAACTGTGGATGTAGGAACAGTCAAGGTATCAAAGAGCCTGCTCTCTCGGAGTCTGGGAGCAGCAATAGGGATGGGCATGCTTTCTTCGACAGCGGGCGATGCAATAGGACTTGAAAATGGATCACTGGCATCGGATCCTCTTCGTGCAGGAGCACGCCCTGCCTTCTGATGTAGTCCCTCTATCGCTGCCTCTGTGACCGTAGCAGGAGGAGCAGCAGCAGCATTGTCGCCCGATTTAGCACCTATGAGCTTGGCGGGGATAGCAGGTTTGACACTGAGCCTTTTTTGTTGCAAGTTGGCAGGCAGCGGCGGCCGGGTTGCGGCCCCTTCGAAGCGCTCCCTCAGGCTCTTGACGCCTTCTGGCATGGGATCATGGCTAGCTGGGTGCGCGTTTCTGCCGCTCTGTCGCGTTGTCTTGTCTTGTCGCTCATCCGTTCACCGGCAACAGGCGAAGGGAGCGTGAGAGCGACGTAGAAGCAGTCATAAAGTGGACATGCCAGGTACATGCTGCCCACTGCTCTCTGCTCAGGTCATGATGAGCTCAGCAGACTGCATAAGGCTACTGGGCTGTCACTGTGCTGTCATTGTCAAGCCATGAGCTGCAGCGTTAGATTAGATGAGATCTGGCAAGAGATCTATCCTCTAGCAGGTAAGTATTACTAGTGACCAAGCAGAAGATCCAATCTCGCAGATGTCTCACAGGCGCAGGAACAAGGCAAGCTGGTGTGCAGAACCCGCACTATAAGGGGACGCTGGTTGCTATTCGGGGAAGCCGTCCATATCGGTATTCTTGGTCAATGTCCATGATTGTGTCTCTGCCTCGGGTACCAAGCGAATTGATGCTCCTTCTTTACAGTCGAGCCTGTCCTGACTCCTGTGCCCTCATGGCCCTGTAAGCCTTCTGCGAATGTCTCATGCGGCACTCTCTGTCAAACGAAGATAATTGAGGAAGTATGCCTTGGCCATGACTAGCCGCTGACATGACACAGCGTTCTATCTGCTCAAGATACAAAAAGTACATCAGTGAATAGCTTGCAGTGCACCTTCTCGGCGGCTCTGAACATCCTACAACTGTCGTCGTCATCCCTCGAGCTGCTGCCAAAGTCCATCCATTGCATCCAATTGGACGAAGATTCACAAATTTAAGTGTTTTCCCATCGAGGGGAAATTGGGGGCGACTCATCACATTACGTCCGTTCAACGGCTTTTCATCTGCATCCCGAGCAGCATGAAGGGCCATCACTGCCATGAACATGAGCCAGGGAGGTCAGCAGCGTGCTTACCCATGAACTGCCAGCAAGAAGAGATAATGTCTCGCGCGGCAACAGGCTGCATCTGATCTGCAGCTGCATGGAGCCATTGTCAAAGTCGCATATTGAGACAACGCCCAGCAGATTCTCCCTCCTCCTCTCCCCGGTCGTCCTCGCAAGGGTATATAGTCGTACTTCCGCAGACTTAACCCACACCCCAAACCCTCTCTTAACAAGTCTCACCGCAGACACTTCCTCGCTCTCTTGCTTCCTGTCACCTTCGACGTCAGCAACAGTCGCCTGAGCCTAGGCATCCACCTTCCTTTCAAAAGACATATATACAGCTCTCGACGAGCAACAGCAACAGCAACAAAGCAATATGTCTTTCGCATTTCCCCCAAAACAGGTCCAACTGAGTTGCACGACCTCTGTGATTGTCGGCAGCAAAATCAACGGCACCATTCGTGTCCAACAATCACCTCATCCACTCGCCTGCGTGGTGCTGTCTCTCGATGCAACCCGACGCAGCGAACATCGCGACCGCAACCTCTTTCACAAATCACTCCTCGTTCGACACGAGGACTTCTGCCATCGCAACCATGCATTCGAAGCGACATTCAGTATGCGCATCCCGCTCAACTACCCAGTCAATGCGCTTGCTGATTTGACACATACCTTGACGGTCAGTGTCAAGTCTGCCGGTCGACGCGATGCAAGCGATGCGGTGAATTTGGACGTCCATTCAGAAGCGACACTACGCCTGCACGCTGCTTCGTCCCTCGGCCATACACGCACATCATCCTTGCCATTGCCGCCAAAATCACCACGTCGCAGATTGTCTATGCAACCCATGACACGCTTACAGGAAGAGCCTGGGCCCATTTCACCAGTACTGCCTGCATCACCTGGTTCGCTGTGCGATTCAGAATGGTCAGTGTCAGAGTCTGGTGCAACCACTCCTCGTTCATTTGAAGAGACAAGTAGCTTTGAGACGATGAAGCGACACACAGGAGATCGCATGTCTTTCAAGGCACGTCATAAAAAGACGTTTTCCTTGCAATCGCTTGCAAGTCTGACGGATGGCAGGTCGAGCGTCATGGCGCGATTTGCACGCAAGCTGCAGTTCAGAGAGGAGGAGGACGAGGAATTGGAATTTAGCTGCTGTGGTCAAGAGTTGCTGTCACCTGCAGAGTTGCCAGCAGTAGCAAGTACAGCGAGTCTGCCTGTGCCTGTCAGTACTCACAGGACAACCACCAAAGCAGAGAGGCGGCTAGGAAGAGCAGCACTGCTTGATTTCGACTTTGGGTTTGATGATGCGCCTGCATTTGAGTATGATGAGGCGGCAGATCGCGCTCTGTGTGGTCAGCGTGCGCGCCAGTCTGCGCTGTGGGTCTAGATGGCGTGCGGCAGTGTGTCTTTGGTAGTATCTCTAGTAGCTTCTCTAGCGCTCTCCAGCTCTCTCAAGCGCTCTCTTTAAATACAGACATTCTCGAGTCTCCAGCTATCACAATCCTCTCTAGCAGACAGCAGCAACTGGGATGAAGACATGATGAAGTGGTGGTGTCTGGTGCAAGTCGCCTTTTCCGCCTTTTTGTGTCTCCGCAAATGACTCATCCAACAACCACCACAACCATAAGCAGACAACAGGACCACCTCTGCCCGCCCTTGCTGCTCAGAGACACAAGGGCCCATCCCTAGACAGAGAGCAGCGTCAAGTCTGCTCCTGCATTGACCAGAAGCACGCGGAAGAAACAAGGCAAGAGACATGGAACCCGTCAAGCGGTGTGTCCGCTGCAAACAAAAGAAGAAGGGCTGTTCGCGCGGCAGCCCTTGTGAACGCTGTGCTTTGGCTGGCTTGACTGCTGAAGAGTGCATCTACCTTCCTGAAGACGCGACTTATCGATCGCCAGTCCGGAAGAGACAGCAGCAGCAACATCATCATCAGCCCAAAGTCACCTACCTCTCCACCTCGCTTGGTAAAGAATACACAGCAACGGAGATCCAGCGATGCAGTCGGTGCATCCGTACAGCGCGTGGCTGTGACCGCAATAGACCCTGCGGACCCTGTGCAGCAGGTGGCCTGACAGAATGGGAGTGTCGCTACACCTCCGCCTCATCCTTCAAAGTACGCGGTCCAGGTAAGAAACAGGAAGGTTCACCCCTCGTACACGCGCTCGATGCAGACTCCTTCAAGAAGCAAGTGAGAAGTGGTAGCACAGGTGCCTTGCCGGATAAAAAGTCATTGCTGGTCCCTGCAGACTACCGGACACCCTCGCCTCCAGGCAACGTCAGTCCCATCTCGGATACGTGGGAAGAAGCGGTTGCTGACGAAGAGTCTCCTGTGCTTTCTAGGCTATCTGTTGCTGTACCCATCCCAGGTAAACCGCAGGAAGTGGTTGCGCAGCCTCGCCAGCCAAGCAGTCATCCAGAGTACCCAAACATGATGGAACGTTTATACTCGCAGCACTCGAATGTACCGGAATCCTCACCGCGTGTCTTGGCGGAAGACTACCAATCCTCGCCGTCACCCTTCAACTCACCGCCCTTCCAGTCATCGCCGCCTGTGTATGGATATCCGTTGGATCCCAGCCAATACCAGGAATCCGCACTGGTTCGTGCACACAGACAAGCACAGCAGCAGCAACCGTACGTTCAGTATGGGTTTGGCAGTGGCACCTATGCCGGCATGTCCACGAGTCCACAACCCAACCCATACTTATACCCACCACCGCGAAGTATGGCTGGATCGCCCAACACTGCATCGGCCATGACGGCAACGCCTCAAGCCAACACTGCTCAACGACGCATTCTAGGCAGTCCCCAACAACGGCACTCGCCACAACCATACTTGGTCCCCTCGCGTCGCGGTAGTGGCGTCGGCCCACATCAGGGACAACTCGGTTCTTTATCCGGCTCACCACTCGGCTACAACTTACAGCAACAACATGTTCAGAAACAAGCAGCCGCTCAACAAATGTCACGCTCAGTGAGTAATTCTCGACTTGCTGAAACTGGTGGTGTGCCTATTGCCGGACAACAAAGCAGAACCGGTGGACCTGTACGGTCCGTGTATGGCTCACCGAGTGCCGCTGCGAGTAGTGGTGAATTACGCAGTTTGGCTGCACAGCATCAATTGCAACAACAGCAGCAGTATCAGTTGCTGCATGAGCAAGCACGGATACAGCAGCAGCTACAACAACAGCTCCAACAACAAACCTATGTACAGCAGCAATCTCGTCAGGTGGCAGCGCAGCACCAGACAGATTTGCTACAGCCGCCGCCCTTGCAAGAACATGATGGCTTGTTTGGCCATGCAGCGTATCAACATCTCAGTGGAAGTTCAGAAAGCATTGATGGGGAGTTTCCATTGTTTGGAGAGGCAGAGATGGAGGGCGAAGAGTAGTGTTGGGTTGGGTTTTCCTTTTCTCTTTTTGGTTTCCTTAGTAGCGTTAGCCATAGCAATCGTTTTCCTGTCGCTTCGATGCTTCCTCATGATCTCTCAACATGTCCCTCAGCTCGCCTCATGCCCGTGAAGATGGTCTGCATTGCCAAGAGACCATGCCATCTGAGCAGGTTGATCGCGTTGCACCTCGAAAAGCAAATGTTGGCTTGCCTGAGTCCTGTAGAAGAGCTGAGAATCTGCTATAGACTGAGGGACTGTTTGGTTGTTAGACGATGCGGACCAGGCAAAGTCCAACAAGCTACTTCGTGTTGATGGATCTGCAGCTGCCACTGTCTGATCCAAAAGCGAACGAGGCTGCCTTCTGGTATACTAGCTTTTGTGCACTGGGGAAGGGCGTTTTTCTGAGACATGATATATTATACTCTTGGTGCCCTGCTGAAGATTACTGAGCCTGAAGCTTAAGATGCTGAAGACATATCTAGCGCTCTGTTGCCTGCACAAGGCTCGACCATGCGAGCTGACGACTGAAGCTATAGCACATCAAAGAGTGACCGCAAGCATGTACGCCTCATTTCCAATCACATGAGAATCGCTGATGAGTCTCTGAGCATGTCTCGATAGAAGAATCGTGTCACGGCTAGCAATAGTAAGCTAGGCAAGCATGGGTGCGAGAGGTATCATTGAAGGCTACGCTACATATCTAGACACAATCGCAAGAGCCTGAAGAGCTGGCTGGAGCATCTGAACACGACAGAGTGAATGTTCCTGATGAAGCTAAGTTTGGAGAGATGGTGTAGTGCCCCTCTGCCTACTGTCTGGCAGTGTCTGGTGTGCATAGAAAAAGGCGCGTGCGATTGTGTTTCAAGCAACCATCACACCCAGCTAAAACCTATCACACCCAAGGCCAGGCAACTGGCACAGATCTCAACGTCAACTCAACGCAGATGCTTCGGCTTGCTAGTGAGGCTAGTGACATGCATCTACTAGTTCGTCTTCCACGCTGTCGTCAGTCAAGCCTTGTCAGTTTGGCTTGATCCATGAAGTCTGAAGATGCTCCTGAGTTTGGCTGCAAGATGAGCGAAGTGCGCGAATTTTGCCAGCTCAGGCTGCAAACAACGCAAAAGGAACCTCATGTAGCACGCAGCTAAGTAGTCAGCGCTGTGAGGCAGCTTGACCCCGGGCGATGTAGCTCCGAAGAGCATGATGATCATCCCTCACATGCTTCGTGGCGAGAGTATCTTCTTGTGATGATTGGCAGCTTTTAACAATGACAAGATGAAGAAAATGAACACTTCCATCGATGATCACTAGCTCAGTACAATATGAACATGAGATACTTCAGGTGCAAAGGCACTTTCCGCATCGAGAGCCGGACCTGTCACTGTATCTACAGCTGATACTCTTGGATATGCAGGACGAGCCCCTGATCAGCTTGTTTGTCAATAAACAGAGCCAATGCTACGCAATTTCCGAAAGGACAAACAGATGGCGTGCTTTGCGGACAAGCAAAGAATACGAGGTCATGAGCTCAGCCGAGCCGTATCATCCTGTTCAAGGAGCACATGATAGCCCAAATTTGAGATATTGGATGAAGGAACACAGTCAAGGCCCGGCCTAGGATGGCTTCTGACAAGTCTTTCCTGTAATCCGATTGAATAAAGTCGTCCTTTTGGTCAGGGATTGATATTGAGTATATGCGAAGCGCAACACAAAAAGGGGGTTTGTTTCGAAGCGACATGCGTCTGCATACTACCACTTTGAAATTCGACACGTAGGCCATGCGAAAGATGCATGCACGGCACTCATGGAGTCAGCTCTGGCTGCAGTTACAAGGGGGAAGCAAAAATTTATAAAGACTCGCGTCAATCGCACTTGCAACTTTTCTAGCAACATCGACATGGTCGTCAAAATGGGGTTCTGCAAGTTGTCTAATTTGATTTCTCTGTTGTTGGCCATGGTTGTGCATGGCAAGCACCGTCAGACACACGATGACTGTCGACAAACTGGTTTTGCCCTTGAGACAATGATACCCCAGCGCACGCCTATGATGTCTGAGGGGGATTGCGCAGACTTGTGCTCCCTTCGACACACGGATCTCGTGATATGGCTCAATCACCCGGACCTGGACTTAGTCGGTCAAAACCCAACCGAATGGCAAGGAGGACGTCACACATGGACCGAGTGCAAGGCTGAATCTGGAGTGTGCAAGTTGGACAGCATTGCTGAATTGGAGGATCATGAGAAGCGACCAGGTGTGAAGCAGTGCAGGTGTACTGCCATTATCGAATTTCCACGTTGGGGACCTCATGGCGACGAGGAATCGGAGTGGTGTTATCCTCACAACGCACAGGACAATTTAGCTCTCAATGCAGTTGTACGTGGCATCTACACTGACTTTGATACTTCTTGGCGTTCAGTCGATCTGGGCGGCCGAAGCTGGCACTTGTTCAAGAACGAGCATGTTCGATGCTACAACAAGCTCGGAGGTAAAAGTGACAGATTCCTCAGCTTTGCAGATAAATCCGCCTGCTCGCACAATGGCGAATCCTGGCAGACAGCCAATGGTGATGGTGCTCCTGATGATCCATTCAACAACTTTCTCCAATACCTGCTGAGTGGAGGGTGGCGCATGGTATCCCAGGGCTTTCGAACAAATCCAAACCTTGGCTGGGAGAACCATTGGATTACTAACCCCTAACCTGAAAGATGCTGACTTGGCCCAAATTTGACTCTTACGATGTCTTTATGAAACGGCCGTGGAAACGACATTTAGTGCTGCGTTGCCTAGTTTCTTCCTTCTTCCGTATTTCTAAGAAATGTTGTCGTCTCTTCAATAGAATTTCTTCTCTCTGCTTCATTGATGATGAAGGACAGCACGGGTCACTTCACAGACACATGCACAGCTGTTGTCGAGCAACGAGAACTTGAAACCCATCTGACAGCATTTTGCTTCTTCCAAGGTCTCTATGACTCGCGATTGACGCGTTGTCCCGTTCACAAGCGCTTCCACATCGCCACTTGCTTTGACCCAGCTGCATCTGTCAGCTTCTAGAGCTCCTAGAAATCCCAGAGACATGCATATACCTCTTGAATATCGCATGCGGTCAAAAAATCTGCTGCAGGTCCAGACGATTCACCGAGTCCAAGAGGAACAGGGCAGCTGGCAATGTCCTACACTGCCGTCTAGCTATGATGCATATTGATGCTAAGGAGGAAGATCTGTTTATGTTCATTCAGCTACTTGCACATGACTCGCAGCTGCAAAATCATCACAAAGAATCTCCTATATTGTGCACCCATAGCGCAGCTCCAACTGCAGCAGATGCAAGGAAACCTCATGCCTCGGATCTGGGCCTTTTCTTTTTATTGTCGAAAGGTTCAGGCATACAGAGAAGTACACAGCTGACAGCATTGAAGGCATCGATCGCGAATGTCCTTTGTGCAATCCGAACTCAAGGCACGCCGATGTACTTCGGTCACTTGGCCAGTCGCATTCAGATCAGAAGATCTGACTCAGAAAGGATCACTATCTAGCTCAGTCGGGTGCTGTGACTGAGCGCGCATCTGCACAAGATACGACACAAGAACAGGGCACTTCTCGATCAGGGACCAGAGCCGAGGTGACTATGCGCAACTTGGCACGTCGTCGATAGCGTTCTTCGCATTACGGCTGACAAGCGGTATCAGAATTTTCCAGCGTACTTCTTGCACCCATCACCTCATCGTTTCATAACTTTCATCAAATCATCAGCCACTAAGTTTGACCGCTCTAATCTTGCGATTGACAATGGCTAGGCGTCATGCATCGTATAGAGAGAATGTCGTCGAAGAGGTTTTGTCCTTGAGACCAGCAATGTCCTTCGCATGACTTGGATGCTTGACGATGATAACAAAGTCTTGTGCTTTGCTTTGAGTGTCAGAAGGGCAATATCGAATGCAAATTCGAAACTGATTGGAGACTCGAGAATCGCCCTGACAGATAGGGCAAATGAACAGTGCAGTTGTTTTGCCATGCTGTATAACAGGCGTTGGGGACCTCAACGCAACCATCCCAGCGACTTATCTCTCCCAAATACCGCACTGAACAACTTGGCTGAGCATACAGTCGTGCGAGTCTTTACACTGACTTCGACACCACTTGGAGTCGGGTCACTCCTGCCGGCAACAGCTGGTAAGCTTGAGTCCAAGGCGACTTGCATGTCCTGAATCAAATCTGTGGCTCGGGCAAATCGCAAATTGGATCTTACGGGCCGCAGTACCCTCAAGCGAAGAACCACCACTCATAGGTTTCCTTCGAACCATGTTGACCACTGCAGTATTTCAAACATTCACTTAATTAAAATTTTATCATTCAGCATCAAGATGGACTATTTTCTTATATGGCTATATCAGCTTGTGCTGCACTATTGAAATCGTGCTCTATGAATATCAGGATGGAGTCTAAACACAGACAGCAATACATCTGCAGCTGTAGTTGTACGGTGAGCTACGATTCCGGTAGATGTTGAGTGCCCATCTGAAGGCATCACCTGCATGAAGGTCAATTTGCCCGACTGAGCCAGGTTGTGCTCTTGCAGACGCATGCTTCTTGGTCGCATTGACAAGCTGCAGGTGCGATCATCTGAAGTACCTCAAACTCTCAGGATATATAGAGAATGACCTCGCTTCCAAGCAGTCAACGACTGGCTACCACAAGTCAACCACGCTGCATGGGCGATCGAGGTTCATACGGAAGCTAGCCTTGGTCTAAGCTCCTACCTAGCTATCTATACTAGGTTGGACGTGAGGTTTCAGAGCAAGGCAGGCTCAGTGAGAGTCCAGCAATCACTCATGCAGCTGCATGGTCATTACAAAGACCTCCCTTGACCATGCTTCAAGTTGCTCTTCTCCCCTTCTCCTGCTGCAAAGAGCGTAGTAGATGATCTTATGGCCCGATGTAACACCTGAGAAGGCAAAGAGCTATCATTTGGCCGCGTCATTCGTTACAAATCATTCGCCTACCTCAAGTCATTTATGCAGCTGCAATGTGCGCAGACAGTCAGATGACAAACTCATCTAATAAGCAACCCCATCTTTCGATGTCTCATGACACTTGTGACTCTCGCAAATGAGCAAGCATATGCAATGCGACTCAATCAGGGTTCAGAAGACACTAGGCACCCCTGAAGTCTAGACCACAGACAGGCCCATATTGACACGTATCCTGTACGTTGTGAAAAGCTGTTCAAACCTTCATCTTGCCCATCACAAGCATTTCCAGACGCTACGACATAATGGCTGCTGCAGTCCCCAGTTATGTCAAGTTGGTAGTCTTGCTTCTAGCAATAGCTCTGCGTCACGCTGTTGCCAAGCACTATGATGTCAACAAGGACTGTCGACAAACTGGGTTTGCCCTTGAGACAGTCATACCCCAGCGCGCGCCTACGATGTCTGAGGAGAATTGCAAAGACTTGTGCTCCCGTCGACACCTGGATCTCGTCATTTGGCTCAATGTCGCTTGGTCCGACAGGATGACACCATCCATTTGGAACGACGGAAAGAACCACACATGGCTCGAATGCAAGCAGTCTTCTGGGGTCTGCCAGCTGGACAACTGGGCTAGGTTGGAGGATCGTCAGGACCGACCAGGTGTGAAGCAATGCAGGTGCACTGCTATTGTGGAGTTCAAGCGTTGGGGGCCCAGAGGCGACGAGAGCAATGACTGGTGTTATCCAGATAACGCAATGAACAACTTAGCTCAGAACGCGGTCGTACATGGGGTTTGGACCGACTTTGATACTACCTGGGTTCGTGCTCAAGTATCCGGTAACAGCTGGTACTGGTTCAGGAATGAGCATATTGACTGCGACGCTTCAGCTGGAGATACTGGTTGTGATTTCGTCGGTCACTGTTGGGACAATGGGCCATCGCCAATCCTGCCGACCTTTGAAGCTCAGCTTGGCAACACCATTCTTTCGTGGGCGGACCCCGAGGCCCGCACGTGGATACTATGCCCCAATTTAGGCCGATGGGCTACTCCGGGCAAGTAGAGTGCTAGGGACAAGGACGCCGTGTACGGGCTTCTTCGAACAATGTTAGCCCTCGTAGTGCTAAAGATTTTTGTATCCTCTATTATGGCATCATTTTGCCATGCATTGTTGGCATCTCGTCTCGATCCCACATGTGAGTCTGGAGGTTAAAGTCACATTGCTGGAGATGTGATATCATGGACAAGTGCAGCTGCACATCTTTGGTCGACTATGGGTGCGAAGGCTACCGCAGGTTTGGCTGCCCGTCTGGCCATTGCTCGAGCTCTACCGCTCCAAACTCTCTCATCAGGTCGTTGCAGACTGCAGCTGATGCAAGATCTTTGCAAGCGACGATGCACATTAGATGTGGATCAGGACCAAAGTGCAGTTTCTAGGCTCCAGAGCCCTTGAAGGGATATGCTGCACAACATATCATGTCAGATGATGATTCAAGCCTGAAACTCTGGATCCATTAGCTGGAGCTGCCATGCGCGCCAGGAGACTAGACTCAGTGGCCGGACCTAGCTCGATAGTGGTGCGGCTTTGCCAAGTCAGAGCCAAGGTTCTCATACCTCAAGGCTGATGGCGCCTCTACTGAGGATCCAGTCAAGATGCTAGGTGCCGCACACGACGTTCCTATGCGCTCCTCACTGAAAGAGATCAATGGTCAAGCTCTGGAAAACATCTGCTCACAATCCAGAGCCCAAATTTCTCAAGATGCGGGCGTGGAGGAGCTCGAAGCCGAGTACTCGCCAGATGAGATGAAGAAAGCAGAATCCAAGTGTTCAAAGCGCTGTTCGCTCGGACCCGATGGACTGCCGGCCGAGTTTGATACGGCTACTTTAAGAGTCACGGGTCCTCTTTTGATGGCGATAGCGAATCAAACGCCGACTCAAGAGCCCTCTTCTTGTGCAGGAAGACTTGTACACTTTGACTCAATTCACAACAAAGGGGATCATGATCAGCCGGTAATAGGCGACTCATCTTGCTCATCAACACTGACGAAAAGATCATGTCAAAAGCCCACAACATGCGGCTCACACCCGTACTCCACCACATCGTCATCAAGTTCCAAATTGGCTTGTTTTAGTTTGAGCGTTGGATCCGAACGAACATTGCAACCATGAAAGCGATACTAGACCGAGTACCGGTCGGAAAAGCTGTGATCTGAGGCCTTATGGCAGTCTTGGACTTTGAGAAAGCATACGATCGCTTCTCGCACGAGTACTTGACAAAGAATTTCAATCTAATGGACTTCTGGTCTCGGCCTTTCCACTGGTATACCGCCTTTCAGCTTTGCAGGCCTATCTGAATGGTTCGCTGTCCTCGCCTCTCAAGCTACACACGAGAGTGAGACATGGTGATCCCCTTGCACCTTCGCTCTCCGCAATTGCCATTGCCGTTGAAGGCCTAACTTGTGCCATCCGGCGAGTTAGAGGCATCAAGTCTTGGATCTGCGATTCAGTTCTGTCAGACCCGAATACCCTATTCGCAGATGACGCTGCGTGTGCACTGGAAGACTTCGACAACGCAGATTGGCCTCTGGAAGCGGTGCAGGTATAGACAAGACAAGCGCCAGCAAGGCTAGCGTGTCAAAAATCTTCTTCAACACGATCGCCACGTTCCACGAAACGAGGCGCATCGTCTGGCGTGGCCAGGAGATCAAGAAGATCTTTCCGATTCCTGGCATTCGCATTGGCACACAAATTGACTACACAATCTTCTGGCAAAAGACACAATGGAGGGTTCTGCAAAGAATTTGCGTGATACCCATCCTGAATCTGCACCTTGCGTCAAAAGTCCAAGCGATCAACATGTACTGTTTCCCATTGATTCTGTTTCACGACAAATTACTCCAGCTCCAGCAGAAGTGGTCGAGGAGATTGAAAAGGTGGAACACTTGGCTTCCTGGCGAAACTGGAAGCCCAAGATCAATCTGAATCGACCCTACACTCCAATAGATCATGGCGAATTTGGTCTGTCTCAGCTGTCTTTTCAATTGAAGGCAGTACGCGCCAGATGAGTCTTCGGCATGCTCCCAAACGAGTTTTGTGTTAACCACCTTTACAGAGCAGCACGCACAAGACTCTGACTTCTTGCATCTGGTCGTAACCGCGCTGTATACGTTGGTGGACTGTTCGACTCTGGTAGAAGAACAATCATGTGGCAATGACATTTCACTTCGATAATGCCTAGTGGATACTCCATGCCGCTGAGTAGAGAGCCATGCAAGCACAATACTCACGCTGGCGCATCTCTTTGGAACGTGTCACGAGCTTCTCGGCCGGCCGCGCATTGCCAACTACAACAAAGAACTCCTTCCTGGCAAGACAACCTCTCATTGGCCGTTTCTCTGCCGACATGCATGCCTCGTTCGATAGTCTCTACAAGCTCTTCACGCTACCAAATGGCCAAGAAGTACACAAGGAAGCTTTCGATAAAGCCACGGCCTGTTTCAACAAGACCAAATGTCCGCCAAGATGTCCTCTTGGACGCAAGAGGAAGGTAGATGGCGGGATAAAGCAATTGCAGAAACGGTGGCTATTCTTGCGCTACATCCGACACCTTTGCCCGGTCACGGAAGACGCACTGTACCTTCACTCGCTTGGCAGTCTCAATATAGTACTGTCTGGTCAACACGGATTTGCATGTATTGCACAAATGCCTGCCCGTCAAATGTCTTATTGTCTTTTTGTTTTCTTGCGACAATTCTGTTGTTGAGGCGTGTTACGCTCTGAATTGTTGTAGGATACAGAGACAATACAATTAGTTTATCACCGTCCTGTTCTGGCTTCAGGGTGTGTAATCATACCTTCAGAACGAGATAAGTGATTTGCTTACATAAGCTAAAATTGTTGTCAGATTCATATTCCATATTGCCACGATGACTGAACAAGCGTATGTGGCTCAATCGTAATCTCTCCGCAACGTGGAGTGTTCGAGTCTGTAGGGGTGCATAATTTAGTGGTTCGAATACTCGTCTTCCAAACGAGATACCCGGGTTCGATTCCCGGTGCACTCACTTTTTTTGGGTCGAGGGCCACTTGTGCACCACTTGCACTGACAAGCGCTCTGAGAGCCTTCTTCGATCTACCTCTACCTCTATCTCTATACAACTATTGAAAGACAATCAAGATTTGCAAGCGCATGTTCTAAGACAGGAGCCTGGACTCTGCTCTCGCTAGAATCTTGCTATCATCAAGCGTGACATCTTGGTTGTGCAGCAGAGGCAATAGAAGAGGCTACGCACCGAGACCTTCAATGGTCATCTGCGGCTGAGACTCAACCCAGTTGTTTTCTTGGTGCTGGGAGCCTGGGGTAGTATAAACTCTATACTGCAGAGAAGTGCATGTACAACCAATAACGGCACCGCACACCTCAAGGCTACGGGTAAAGCCCAATGATCCAGATCTGAGCGGATTGTCCTTCACATCCACGCTAAATGGATTACTGTTCTTGTTCTGTCCTCCTCTCACACTTTGCAGGCATTTTGATCAGCCTCCAAGTGGGCATGAGCTACCCTTTGTCTTCACATCCCCGTAGCTGCAGCCCCAGCGACCTTGTTTACAACTGTCGCGATGGTCCGTGGTCACGAGCCTTGCATTTGCGACTGCATCTGTGTCAGATCTAGGGTTCGGCAATGTGACGCGCTTGTATGTTGCCTCCGTTCATCGATGTCGCCCGATTGAGTAAGATCGTAATAACGGTCCGTCCTTTCATCTATTGCGTATATATAAATGCAATCTGAAGCAGCTACTTGTTTAGGGTGTCGGTTGTCTTCAGCTATTCATCACAAAACACTTGGGACCAAAGCCCTCAGACTTCGACCGTCGAATGTTGCTTGAGGCAGCTGCTGCTATAGCTAGAGATGCGGTATCTCCCCTTAAATATCAAGCAGCATATGCTCTCTGGCGATGTGCCAATGACTCGTGAAGCTCGCATCTGGCAGGGTACACGACTCTCCTGGACGTCACTGAGGTTCGAATGTCATAGGCTACTGCATGGTCCTTCGTATTTACAAGTGGCAACGACAGTTGTAGCATGCGCAAATCTGACCCCACTAAGCTTGACCTGCTGCACGGTCGTACCGGCTGTTAGGCACCTTTGCAACCTTGTCTGCCAGCTCATCATGTACAACAGCCGCTCCTAGGCCAGTCCTCCTTGTTGGGAATCGTGCGAAGTGAATTGCTAGTGAAGCGTATCTATGAATGAAAGAACAGCCTGACAACACAAGGCTTCCTCTAAGGCGAGCGTTCTGCCAAGCAGTGACAAGCTGTGCACTATTCCAGTTCAGCCACAACATAGACGACGCCATCTTTCCCGTTGACAGCATCAAATGAAGTTGTTGCGTTGCAAATCTCCCCACACTCGCCGATTTTCCCCTTAAAACCAGCGGCCTGCAGCTGGCAGCGGGACGAACCTGCAAGCGAGCCTTCCTGCCGTTGGCCCGTTGCTTGACCGTGGCATCCAACCACAACGGCAGATTGCGCGTAGTCGCTCACTCAAGAACAAGTCACTGCCGATGCATATGGCAGCTGATCGAATATTGAACAGCTGGCCGGAGACAGCACAAGTATAAAGGCAGCCATCTGCCTATGTGATATCTGTATCCGAATCATGCAGTTTCTCAACATCCTCCTCAATGCGCTCGCCCTTGCCAGTGCTGTCGTTGTTGAAGAGCCACCAACGACAACGACACCTCCCATGGTTTGCAACCGTGACAACTGTCTGCGGGCTGCCATAGCCAGCGGTGCCAAGCCTGGCCCGGTCACCGCAGGTCTCGAGTGTGCCGCATTTGTTGGCTCGCAGCAACCTGTCACCATCACGACCATCAGTGGAACAGTTCAGACCATCTCACCCAGCCCAACTGGTCCCTTGACTTCCACCATTTCTCGCGCCTGCGGCAACAGTCCTTCGCGATACCTGAGCGCCTGCATGTGCCGTGGCTACACACGCAGCACCGTCACCAAGACCTCGAGTGCTTCAGCAACAGTCTCTGAATTTGCTAGTGGTTGCAACGCCGACAACTGCGAGCGTGGCATCTTCGGCACCAATGCAGATAACCAGAATGTTCCATCGAGGTTGAACGACTGCACGTCATTCTTGGCCAGCAAGACTGTATTTGTGGGTGACGGTGGTGGTGGTACCGCTACAGGCGTTAACGATGTGCCATCATATGCTACAAGTGCATGCCAGGGTGACAGCCGTGCAAGGTATGAGTCTGTGTGCCGTTGTATCGGTGTAGCCGAGGCCACTGAGACGGTGAACCTCAACTTCCCTGAGAGGAGGTAGCTACTCAACACAGTAAGCAGCCATAAGCTCCCTGGTCCAAGCGTGGATGGCGTGTCAGACAGTTTGAGACAAGATTTTCTAGGTCGATAGCTGATGTAAGCCTGTCAACTCTAAATAGCAGCTGACGAATGAGTGACGATGCAGTGACGAGCTGACGAGCCAGTGACGACGCGGCACCGCCGTGATGTGCCCGTCGCTGCCCGTGCGCTGGGCGTCTGATCTCTTGAGTCTTGATTGGGTGCCCGGCAGATCGTCATGAGCAAAGCTCGAGCTCGGGATCTCTGCAGATTGACCCACTTGCCCGAGGGATTGAACAGATGGCAGGTGGTCAGTACTGAGCACTACTAGTCAGTGTACTAGTCACAGGCAGCCCATGCAGGCTTACCATACCAGGTTGCTGGCTGCTCATCTTCATTACTGATTCGATGGCTCCGTCCACTCGTTTCCTAGTCCGAGCATTTCATAATTCAGCCAATATTGAGCCCATCGTCATCTGTGCGTCACTTTGGGACGAAAACCCTCCCAAATTCAGGGCATACACGCAGTCTCCAGAGGGAACTCGAGGCCCACGGAGGAGCTGGCAGATACGAGCAGATATATAGCACACGACGGCCCGCCCTTGCCGTCCCATAGTACTCTATTCACTCTCACAAGATGTCTGCACAAGAGTACGAACAAGCTGCTACAGCACGCGCAGACTCGCTTTTGGCACAGGCAGCAGACAAGACACAAGTAGCCACCTTGTCCAATGCATCGAGTGATGCCATCTCAGACGACGCATTGACGCCCACAACCAGTAATGGCGATGGCAGCGATGCCAACCTCGGCAGACGCCTCAGTGTCAGCGACTACCACGGTAGCCTATTCAAGCACACAAACGCGCAATACGTCCGCAGCAAGGAACGACTCGCAAAGCAAAACTCGCGCAGAGGTCGGCGACCGGCAGAGCAAACAACTGAATGATGACATGGCGATGATGATAATGAGAGCGAGGCATATGGTTACAGCAGGTGCATAGTTTACGATTTGATTTCCACGCCCCGTCGTGCTTGACTTTTGCTGAGAATGGTGCCCTCTTGGTCAATGCGATCTTGCAGCGCTGCTGGGTAGATATCATCGAGTGAGAAAGAGCCAAGTTTGCCGCTTCGGTAGTCTTGGATGAGTATCTGCGCACAGGCATCGTAGTCTGCCTCTCCGTGCTTCTTGAGCTTACCACGGGCAACAGCGACGGCATGCAACAATGTCTCGACATCGTTCGTCTGCTGTGTTTTGTAAAGCGTCGTATAGCTCTCCACGGGCAGCAGATTGAGCTTGTACAAGAGATAATCGACCACGACCGTCGGGTCGACAATGCTGTCCTTGACACTATTGACCAAGCACAGCTTGAGCATCGTCTCTGAGTCTGGCACAAATGGGATCATGATGCCTGGCGTATCAATCAGGTATGTCGGAGCCGTCTGATCATGTGCAGGAAAGAGGGTAAAGATGCTGTTCGTTGAGCGTGTTATACCAGGCTGTCCCCCAGTCTTGGCTGCTTTGCCACGCTTCAGCGTTAGATGTCGCAGCGCATTGAGCAGCGTCGACTTGCCGACATTGGGCATACCAATGACAAGCACGCGTGTCCCTTGCACAGAGAGCGCATCTTTGTCTGTCAGCGTTTTGAGCGCCCGTAATAGCCGTGATACGCTTGCTGGTCGCTTCGAGTCTTGCAGCAGTACAGGATGTGGGCTATCCCAGCCACGCACCACCTTGCCATCGATAGAAGACAGATCCAGCTTGTTGTAGACGACGACCCGCGGCTTCTGCGCCAATAGCGGCGCAAAGAGCGGGTTGCGCGACGACAAGGGTATACGAGCGTCGCGCACCTCGACAAGGACGTCGGTGGTATTGAGCAGCTGCTGGATCTCGCGCAGCGCAGCATGCATGTGTCCCGGGTACCATGAGGTCTGCACCTGCCGCGGGAAGCTCTCCCGCGCTACAAACATGCAGGATACATGGATGCAGGTCGTGGATGGAGAGTTTTCTGCATGAAGACCACCAGACTCCTGCAATTGAGTCGACTCAGCTGTCGAGTGTGCAATGGGCGGCGATGGATGAGCACAGTATTGCCGCCGTCGCGGATACGCAACATCGCCATCATTGCACACGTCGACCACGGCAAGACGACGCTCGTTGATCAGCTCTTGCGGCAGTCTGGAACACTGGATGCCGCCAACAGCGATATCCGCGTCATGGACTCCAATGCACTGGAGAAGGAGCGTGGCATAACGATCCTTAGTAAGTGTACGAGCATCAACTACAAAGACTACCGCATCAATATCGTCGACACGCCAGGACACGCGGATTTTGGTGGCGAAGTGGAACGGGTCCTCAGTCTTGTTGACTCTGTGGCTGTTGTGGTGGATGCGCAGGAGGGACCCATGACACAGACGCGGTTTGTCTTGCGCAAGGCACTGGAACGAGGACTCAAGCCGATTGTCGTGCTCAACAAGGCCGACCGGCCGACATCGAGACCTGAACAGGTGGATTCTGACTTGCTGGACTTGTTTGCCACGCTGGGCGCATCAGATGAACAGATGGAGTATCCTATGCTGCTTGCAAGTGCCAAAGCTGGCTGGGCCATCACTTATGCTGGCGGAGACTGGTCTATTCCGACCAAGGGAAGCATGACAAGCCTATTCGAGGCGATTGTCGAGCACACGCCACCACCCAAAGTTGACCCTGAAGGGCCATTCAACATGCTGGTCACACAGCTTGAATCAGATGCCTATCTCGGTGCTTGCTACATTGGTAAGATTTACGGCGGCAGCGTCACGGTTGGGCAAAAGATCAAGGCACTCACACCGGAAGGCGACTTTATTGAAGAGGCCAAGGTCACCAAAGTATATTCGCGTATTGGGTTGGCTAATCACATGCTTGATGCTGCAGGTGCTGGTGATATTGTTGGTATTGCAGGTGTTGTCAAGGGTGCCGTGAATGCTACCTTTTGCGACCCATCTGTGCATGAGGCCATTCCCATCACACCGTTGGATCCACCGACCGTCAGTATGCTGTTCGCTGCGAATGATTCGCCTCTTCAGGGCCAAGAAGGCTCACAGCTCACATCTACGATGCTAGCGACGCGCTTGCTGGCAGAAGCACGAACCAACATTGCACTGACTGTGACTCCCTTGGGTGAGCAGATTGAAGTGTGTGGACGGGGTGTGCTGCATCTTGGCATTTTGATTGAGACGATGCGCCGGGAAGGTTATGAGATGAGCATCAGTCCACCCAGGGCAGTTCTCAAACAGGTGGATGGCAAAGTGCATGAACCTGTGGAGGAGGTTGTGATTGATGTGGCGATTGGCGATGTGGGTGTTGTGATGGACAAGTTGACGAAACGCAAGGGCGAGCTCACGTCGATGGTGGATGGTGACGAAGGCAGGATGCGGATCACAATGCAAATTCCATCACGCGGACTCATGTCGTACGTTGCTGGTGAGTTCAAGACGGATACGCATGGCCAGGGTATTCTCAACAGCAGTTTTGTTGGATATGAACCGTACAAGGGACCCATCAGCACGTCGCGCAAGGGCAGCCTCATCAGCACTAGTGCTGGACCTTGTACGACATTTGCCCTGGAAGCTCTGGAGCCCCGCGGGGTCCTCTTTGTGAGTCCTCGCGAGAAGGTCTACGAAGGGATGATTGTGGGTGAGCACAGCAAAGCCGAATCGCTGGAAATCAACCCAACCAAGGCCAAGGCCTTGACCAATATGCGGTCCGTCAACAAGGACGAGTTTACGACGCTCAAGGCCCCGCGCCGGTTTACCCTGGAGGAGGTGCTAGCGTTTGTCGGGGACGATGAGAAGATTGAGGTGACGCCGTCTTCGTTGCGGCTGCGGAAGGCCGTGTTGAATGCGAATGCACGGAAGCAGCAGAGCAGACGGAAGGAAAAGATTGTGTAGAGCATGAGCATGAGCATAGAGCATAGAGCATAAAAGCATGATAGACCTATACCTTCATGGTTGAGCATCTACATCAACTTTCCATAGATGACGACGACGACCAACCACCACACAACGCAGCACTGGCGACACGAGCAGCGCTGAAGCGTACTAATTCATCCTGCGCATCGTCCCCCGGCAAGCGAGTACGCCAGGAGGACATGAAGCAGGGACAGAACGGCCATGCGCCCAAGCAGGACGAAGAAATCACGCGCCTCATGATTCAAGCGCTCGGTGATATGGGCTACACGGGTGTGATGCATGCGCTGAGTGATGCATCTGGCGTACGTGTTGAGAGTCCCGTTGTTCTAGCATTTCGACAAGCGATGCTCTCTGGTAGCTGGCAAGAAGCGCTCGTATCGCTGCAGCAGCTTGAACTTGCAGACGCAGCGCATCACAAGGCAGTCTTGTTTCTGATCTATGAACAGCAGTTCCTGGAGCAGCTCGAGCAAGGCTTCTCATCACAAGCGCTACAGACGCTGCGGCTCCAACTGACGCCGCTAAAGCACGATCGTGCACGCCTTCATTTCCTTTCATCGTTGCTCATGACGGCGCCTACAGAGTTGTGTACGAAGGCAAGCTGGTCAGGCAGTAGTGGCGACTCGCGTGCAGCGCTCCTTCGCAAAGTATCGCGGTACATTGCACCAGGCAGTATGATGCCTGAACGACGCCTTCAGCAGCTCCTTGCAGGTGAACGACAACGGCAGGCGCGCGCGTGTCATTACCATACAGGTGTTCGACCGGTTTCATTACTGGCGGCTGAGCACACATGTGATCGTGAAACATTCCCACTGGTTGCAACACACATCTTGGCAGATCACATGGATGAAGTATGGCATGTCCAGTATTCGCCGCGTGGACGGTATCTAGCGAGTGCGTCTCGGGATGGACAAGTCATCTTGTATGAGACGGCCGGGTACAAGATCAAGACACGGTTACAGTCTCGAACGCTGCAGGTGGGTCAAACTTCAGGTGTGTCGCACTTGGCCTTTTCAGCGGATGAGGAGATGCTGCTGAGTTGCCAGCAGGACAATACGCTGTGTATATGGGATCTCAAGACTGGCTTGCTCCTCAATCAACTCTCCCATCTACACAAGGAGCCGCCGAGTGCTGCTGTTTTTGTACCGGACAGCAGTGGGCGATTTCTGAGTGGTGGTCTCGACAAGCGGATTTACTTGTTTAGTGCGGCAGGTGAAGTCCTCGAGAGTCTCGAGACGGGTCGGATCTATGATTTGCAGTGCACGCCTGATGCGCAGTACTTTGCAACGATTGATACCAATGCACATCTGAGCGTGTATGCACTCGAAGGTATGAAGCGTGTGGCACAGCTGGATATGGGCGAGGAACTGACGAGCCTTGCAGTGAGCAAGGATGGTTCGCGTCTTCTCGTGAATGTCAAACCCATGCCCACGGGAACAGCCATGCTGCATGAGTTTTCCATACCGTCACTCAAACGACTGCGTACGCTCTACGAGGGACCTATGCAAAGTCAATTTGTGGTACGAGCAGGGTATGGCGGTGAGGATGAGCAATTTGTGCTGAGTGGCAGTGAAGATGGGAGGATCTATGTCTGGCATCGTGAGTCTGGTACGTTGTTGGAGCAACTCGAGGAACATACACAGTGTGCTGGGAGCGTTTGCTGGCGACCCGGTGCACAGGCTGAGTGGGCGAGTGGCAGCGATGATGGGACGGTGAGGATCTGGCAGACACGGTCACCGGAGTAGCTCAGTAGCAGGATGATAGAGTATGATGATTGACCACAAAGCAAAAGAGAGTGAGTATGGTGGACGTCTAATAAAGTGAATGAACATGTTGATGCGTCTAAAGGACGAGAGCCACGGCACCGGCAACAAGGCCACCGAGTGTACCGACAGCAGCAGTGATGGCAGCACCAGCAGCACGCGAGGTAGCAGAACCAGCAGCAGTAGATGCACGCGAAGCAGCAGAGGAAGCAGCTGATGCGCCGAGAGTCGAGCCAGAGACGGTGCCTGGAGTGTTAGTGAGTATACAGTAGAGATGTAGGACATACCTGATCCGAGAGAGACGGCGCTACCAGAAGCAGCAGCACCTGAAGCAGCTGAAGCAGCAGCAGACGTTGCTCCTGAAGCACCCGAGGCAGCTGATGCACCTGCACCTGCACCTGCACCAGCAGAGGCAGACGCGCCAGATCCTGCGGTAGCACTCGAAGCAGCGGCGGCACCTCCAGCAGAAGCTCCAGCAGAGGAAGAAGACTGCACCTGAGCAGCAGTAATCAAGAACCAGCCACTCTGTGCAAGGACACCCGAGGAAGTCTGGGAGTTGCCTACGAGGTTGACGGTGTAGTTTCCTGGGGAGAATGCGCTTGCTGGCGTGGTGAATCCATTGGTGCTAGGAGAGACATTAGTTGTGAGTGTGCGTGCATTGCCTGAGTCGGTAGAGAGTGCGAGCTGGATGTTGAATGACTGCTGGTCGGAAGAGACGGTTGCCCAGGTGACGGCGAGATCTGCTGTCTGGGGGATGGACTGTCCGAGGGAAGGGGAGGTGACACTGAGTGCTGAGACTGCGGTGAATGCTGCAACGGAGAGGGAAAGGAGAGTAGAGAACATGATCGAATGAGCAGTAGGGAGCAGTAGGGAGCAGTGTTGGGTGTTGTGTTTGTGCTGCTCTGTCGCTGCAATTTTTGTCTCCTGGCGGCGTCTCCTGGCTGACTTGGCTGACTTCTGACTCCTTGATGTTTTCCTGTTCAGGGTTAAGCAACACCACACAATACATAGATAGTAGTTATTATATTATAGTATATTAGAGCATAGCAGAGCACAGCACTATACCCTTGAACACCGACCACACAACGCATCACCCTCTGCAGTGTACATCCAGCACCGGGGACACTTCTGCAGGGACGCACCATAAACAGCCACAGTCACATCTCCCTCAGCAACGGTGCACCCGCCAGCAGCCAGCACTTCCCTGTCCTCCTGCTCCATTGGATGCACACGAGACACAAGCAGCAGATTGGCCATATCCACACTCGCATCACCCAGCAAGCCCTCAACACCAGGCCCACTCAACCACACCTCAGCCTGCAAGCTAGACCGAATCTGCTTGCCTCGACGAGCCTCCTCCAGCAACTTGTTGACACACGAGCGTACAAACATCCTCGCCTGCCATGCCTCTTGCTCCTCCTGGCTCAGCATCACCTCTTCCTGCTGCCAATTTGCAGCATAAATGTGCTCGCCACGTTGCAAACACGCAGGCAAATACGGCCAAGCTTCCTCAATCAAGCTCGGGCAAATAGGTGCCAGCATTTGCATGTACTCTTGTAGAATGATAGCCAAAGCAGTCTGTGCAGATTGTCTCGACTGCGATGTCCTCGCATCTGCATACAATCTGTCCTTGAGCGTGTCAAAATAAAAGCTCGAGAGCGTTGCATTCGACAAGTGGTTGATGAGCGAGACAATCTTGCTAAATGCACAACTCTCATAGTGTGCATTGACTTGCTTACGACACTGCTGCACGAGAAATACAGCATACCGATCAATTAGCAGCAGCGTTGACGGACTGGTATAATCATTCAAGTTGCCCAGCATGTACCGTGTTGTGCTACGCATCTTGCGAAGAGATTCAGAGACATGTGCCAAGATGGCAGGCGAAACGTGCACGTCTGTTGTGTAGTCAGAGGACGCTACCCAAAGCCTGAGCGTATCCACTCCAAGCGGCTTCAACTCCTGTGCAGCTTCTTCTGCTTGTCTGATGAGCTTGCGCCGCTGCTTCTCGTCCTTCATAGCTGGAATGGTAGCAGGCTCGACCGCAGGCCGCCCAGAAATCACTTCCAATGGGTCAATCCCATTACCGAGACTCTTGCTCATCTTGCGGCCCTTGTCATCAAGAACAAATCCATGCGTCAAGACGTGCTTGTACGGCAGTTTCGACTCGGCTGCAATGCGCGTCAACAACAAAGACTGGAACCAACCACGATGCTGATCTGTGCCTTCGACCACCAGGTCGGCCGTGCCTTGCGTGGTCGTCCACGCGCATCCACTATCAAACCAAACATCCAGCGTATCGGTGCCACGTCGCCAGGACTTGTGCCGATGCGCAGGCAATACCCATGACTCATCCTCACCCGGATCAAACCAGGCATCGCTGCCACGCTTCTTGAGCTGCTCAATAATATACGCAACACTCTCTCGTGACATGAGCACTTCATCCTCTGCATAAAGCGCCGGAATCGGCACCCCCCATGCACGTTGACGAGAAATGCACCATTCATCTCGACCTGCCACGAACGACAGCAGTCTTGCACGCCCTTGCTCCGGTGTCATCCGAACAGAGGCAAGTGCTTCAGCAGCTTCTTGTTTGATGGGAGCCAAATTTGCAAACCATTGTGGTGTCGCACGCAGTATGATGGGCGTCTTGGAACGCCAGTCGTACGGGTACTTGTGCTTGTACTTGCTTACTTGTAGCAAAGCACCTGCTTCCTTGAGCAGTGCCAACACCGCACGGGAACCAGCAGTCTGAACGGGCAAGCCAACAAGAGAGGCGATACCAACCTGAGCAGTATAGCAACCTGCATCGTCCACGGGAGAAAATGGGAGGATGGGAGGCGCTTGATCTCGACAGAGCATGAAGTCATCTTGTCCGTGGCCGGGCGCTGTATGGACCAAGCCTGTACCAGAATCGGCAGAAACATAGTCTGCAGCAAGAACGGTGCGTACGTCGCTGCTAAGCACATCTGTGTATTGCAATCCGACCAAGTCGCCGCCTTTGAAGGACCCACTCGCTTCACCAAGGAAGTCAAGGGCAGCAACACGATCCTGCGCAACGACCAACCCGTCCACGAGCGAGTACATCAGCTCTGAGTTGATGGCAATGGCTCGATTGGCAGGAATGGTCCAAGCTGTCGTTGTCCAAATAAGCAGACGCGCATGCTCTAGACCGAGTCGGCCAGCCGACTCTTGCGTCAAAGGGTACGCAACGTAGCAAGCATCCGAGACGTGCTTTTCATTATATTCAAGCTCTGCCTCTGCGAGCGCCGTCTTGCTCGATGGACTCCAATAGACTGGCTTCTCGGCGCGAAAGATGAGGCCTCGCTCAACCATATCACCAAAGACTTTCAATTGCGCAGCTTCATAGTCAACGTCAAATGTGTGGTATGGATTGCGGTAGTCTGCCATGACGCCGAGCTGCTTAAATCCTTGTGCTTGCGTAGCAATTGCATCTGACGCTAGCTGCCGTGCAACGCGTCGCACATCCAATGGAGACGAGGCTTTTGACTGCTGCAGAGCCTTGAGCTCGATGGGCAAACCATGACAGTCCCAGCCTGGTCGATAGACAATACGTTTGCCTTGCAGCAGCTTGTAGCGGTTGACCATGTCCTTCAAGGTCTTATTGAGTGCATGGCCCATATGCAGCGGGCCATTGGCAAAGGGCGGACCATCCTGCAAGATGAAAGGCGGCTCATCTGTATGCCGTGCAGCCTGCCAGTCGTAGAGTGCTTGAGTTGATGGCCGTACGGCAGTCTGATGATTGGGCCTGAGTGGGAAGGCAGTTTCCGGCAAAGCAAGAGACTCGCTATATGAGACTACCTTGCTGTATCGACGGCATCTGGCCAGTCTGCTCGCGTGCTGCCATGGGCGCATCAATGTCCATCTATGCAGTAGCTTGTTTGTCTTTTTGGTTGAATTTGGTCGCGTCGAGTCGAATTTCTCACGGCGGCATCCAACGACACGAAAAGACTCCCACCACCGAGACCACATCTAGAAAGTGTCTGCTGCTATATGCTCCTGCTCTCTGCCGCTTGCTACTCTCTGCTGTAGTGTATACTTTTCCTAGCTATGTGTGTACTATCAAAGTCCACCAACTTGATGAGGCTCACGTACTGAGCCGTGCCTTCTTCAGGGGGCAGCCCCTGGCGTCTCCTGCCTCATCACTCCGCTGAAAGAGATGTCAATGACCCTGCAACCTTGCTAGCGTGCCATGGCCACGCGTTGAATGCGAGTCGCGAGTATCGACTCAAGAGATCTGCTTGCCTCGTGATGAAGCGCCCTCACTGGGAGTCCATTGCCCCCAACTATGAGCAACAAAGATAAGCAGGCAACCTTGACTAAGACCAACCAGCCTGCTCCAGTGCAGGTCAGTCACCAACAAGCAGCAAGAGCTTCATCGCCCTCACAATCGCCTACAACACCTGCAAAAGCCAATATGGTCGACTTGACCCAGAGGCGCCGCGTCTTCTTCAACATTGCAGCCGCCATTCTTCTTGTTGGCACCATCATCATGCTGTTCTTCGTTGTCCTTGCCGGCTCTCAACCGTCTAACCCTCTCAACCGCTTGTACTATCTGGAGGTCAAACTCACCTCCTTAAACTACCCATCGCCAGACAAAACTGTGCGCTGGACAACATGGAACATCTGTGGGGTACAAGACGGCAAGAATGTTCATTGCAGCAAGAATCAAGCTGGTCACACCTACGATCCAGCAAAGCAAGTGCCGGATGCTCAACCGCCTCTCCCAGGATCCGTTCTCGAGCATAGTGCCGAGTCTGCAACAGCGTCTCGCATCTTCTTTTCGTTCCTCGTTTTGAGCATCATCACCGCCTTCATCACCCTGGCTGTGACGCCTGGTGGTTGCCTCGGTCGCTGGGGCTGCATCTTTTGCTTGTACTCCAGTCTCGGTATGCTCTTCTTCCTTGGCATTGCAGCTGTGACAGCTACGGTTGTCTATTCAAATGCACGCGACCGATATCGCCACAACGGCATTGATGCAAAACTTGGACCTTCAGTCTTTGCCTTTCTATGGACAAGCGTTGCGTGCAATCTTTTGGCCACTGCTGCGTTTGCATACGCTTCAGTTCGCTCGCCACCCGCCAAAAAGTAGATGCTATCATTCGTTGTTCATCAAGTATATTTAATCACTATAGTCTTCAAGTCAACTACTCTGCATGTTTGTGATACTTGAATGTCATGATGCTATCATGCTACAAGAATGTTATGCAGGAGCAAACCCAGAATGGCTCTGATGATAGTATGCAGGGGAAGGAAGCTCATATCGTTGGACCAGGAGAGAGAGCACACTTGCAAGGAAGCCTGTCAAGCGAATGCCTTTAGAGTACTCGCCTTTGCAATTTCCACGTGAATCAGACGTTTGTTGCCACCCAAGTGTTGCCTAGACTCCAGCCAATGTAAGAACTTGTTTTCCTTCCTTTGAGCCAGGAGGCGATATTGAATGTGTAGAATGCAATAATTGTCCTGTGCATCTTGCATGTGGACCTTGAGTTCGTCGTGAGAAGACTTCATACGAGCGCCCACGTCGTGACTCGCAGGGATGGTACGAGGGCCAAGTTGAATAGTAAAGCGAGGGTGCCAAACGCGAGGCATGGAGACGTCTTGACGATGAAGTGTTGAGTAGTGTTGTAACAGAACTCAGCTTGCGGAAGGAGAGCACGCCAGTCATCTTGAGCATGATTAATTGATCCAGTATCGGAATGACACGCTCAGTCTGTCCATCGGTCTGAGGGTACAATGCTGTAGACAAAAGAGACCTGACATGTGGATCAAGTAGCGATTGCCAAGATTTGGATGTGAAAATGGACACTGGACCGGAGACATAGACGTTGGAAAGCCATGATTCGAGACAATGCGACCCACGAAAGGTTTTGCAAAGGTCAATGCACCACTAGCCTCCACGTAAGGGATGAAGGAGCTCCGTTGGTGAGATGGTCGACAACGACCAAGATGGAGTCATAGTCGTTGTCAAATGAAGCTTGGTTGTGAAGTCGAGGGAGAGCGCAGACCATGATGTATCGGGAATTGGCTTGGAACCTCGTAAAGGTTGTAGCTGGGGAAAGCAACACACCGGCTCATACCCTGGTAGGCAGTAGATCCTGCAAACACTTGGCATTCCACCCCTTTGGCCAGCTCGCACCATGGAAGATCATTCTGGCATGGTCCTGCAGCTTGCTGTCCTCCGAGCTCAAGATTCGACCCCACCCGCACCATATACACTAGGTCTTTGTATCTTGCAACCATTGAGCACCACCGGCCGGGGCAAACAGCAGACTCGTCAGCAACAGTCTCTCTTCTTTCAATGCCACGAGCTAGACATGCCAGCGATCAAGAGGCAGTCTCCAACGCCGAACGGCACGAGCGCAACACGCTGGTGAAACAAAGACCAAGGGCCGCAGAACCGCAGCGCATGTTTCACCAATTGCCGCTCGACCGACTGCAAATCCAAACGCCGTCGAGGGCGCGGCCGGCATCACTTCAAGTACCCCGATTGTGCCGACCTCAATTGCTGCGGCCAACCATTGTCCACCAGTGCGGAGCATCCTTCCTCAGCTTTGCTGATCACGCCAACCCCGCGAACAGAGTTGAGAGTGTTGAGACTCGAGAGTGTTGACCGCGATCCAAGTTGAATTCGCGACGAGCGCGCAGTCCATCTGTTGCTGCACGCACTGCAGTCGACTTGCCACAAGCCCAGCATCGGCCTCCATGGCAGGCGAGGGCGAGGCCCCTCGGTGTAGTTCAGCATCACCTCCGGTACAAATTCTTGATCGTTCATACTTGTCTGACTCTAGATTCCAAGCGATTCTCCAATTGTGCGCGATATGCTCGTGGTTGACCTTCGTGGTCTTTCCTCTTCCAAGGCAGAGCAGCATCGCCATGATGCGCAGGCCGTGGATCCTCCTCTGTCTCATGCTCCTGCATATCGCACAGGCACGCCAATTGTTTCAAGCTCAGAGGTTGTTGGGCTAGGAAGCGATGTCAATGTGTCATCTTCTGGCACAGCAAGATCCCGTCTGGGAATGCAGGTTCAAGATGTCCAGCCTGTGGTAGTATCAGGGAAGGACACATCGCTTTCCACTGTTTCCAATGACCCACAAGCATCCCAGTCGCTTAAACGCCGCGCTACTGCCCTATCAAACCCTTCTATGGCATCTGCGAGCCCAAATGAACCTCCCAAAAAGCTGCAGAAAACGGGGAGGGTGGAATCTGCTGGTACATTCGCATGCCTTCAGTCTCCACCAAATGCAGATTCGTCGATTGTGGGGGATGTCGCCACCAATGGACATGCTGCCCCGGCAACAAAAGCACTGCCCAATATTCATGTCAACGGCGAGACTGTTAGAAAGAACTCGAGCCAACATGAGTTGTCTCATGCCAGTCATGATGGGCAGCAGATAGCGAGGCTTGAGAATGCACTCGAACAGACGCAAGAACGGCTGGCTAGTATCTTGTATGAGCAAAGCAAGAAATACCAAGCTGATATGGAGCGATTTGAGAGCCGCCTATCAAGATCATATCAACTACAGCTGGAAGAGAAGGAAGCTAGATTGGAAGCACGATATCATGCATTTCAAACACGGGCACTTCGAGAGTTTGAGGCTAAGCTGCTTGCTACCACTGAAGATTCTATCGTTTGTGCGTCCAAGTCGACGTGCAGTGAAACAAGCAAGGGTATTCAAGAGTCGGCACTCAAGCGACTGACGGCGACAACGGAAGGCCTTGTCCAAGAGCTCGCAACATACAAGGAGCATGTTTCAAACCACAGCGAACTAGGAAGGAAGCTTGATCGAAAGCTTCAGGCAGTCACGACAAGAACTTCAGATGCCTCTTTGCAGCGCTTCTTCTCAGACTGTGCGGTAGACTCATTGACGTTGCTAAAAGAATCACAAACAGAAGAGCTCGAACAACGACTGAAGCGCATTCAACAGGAGCTCGCTCGACGCATTGACCAGACAGAGATCAGTCTGCGTGACTTTTGCAAAGGCCTGTCACACGAGCTGCAAGAGCAGCCAAATGTGAATTTTAACACGGATGGTGGTACACTGGATGTGAACGCTACTTCGGCAGTGAACCAGATCATTCCGGCGGAACTAGCCAAACTGATTCTCCGCGTCGAGTCGGTTGCCACTGAGGCACAAGCGTCACTGGATGCTACGAGCAAGCACGACAATTGGGAAAAGAATATGTCAAAAAGTATCGCCTCACACCAACAGACACTCCATGCATTGAAGAGGCACACGAAGAACCATCACAGTCTCTTGGCTGAGCTGTCGAGGAAGAACAAGACCGCTAAGAACTCTACGTGTCAATCGCTAGCAACACCGAGGCCAGAGACATCAAGTCGAGAGCAACTTCAGTCGCAGTCGCAGTTGCCGGCCAGATCGCCTCCAGTCGCGGAGGAGTTAGAAGAATCACAAACCACAGAGGCAGGCACAGGTCTTACAACATCTTTCTCCCTGACAACAAGTCATGCACTCCCTGCTGCAACGCATACCAACACGACACCAGCATATGCAAGTATATTTGCA